GTGCATGAAGGACCTATTCGTCGACGTAATACAGCCAGACAAAGCTTTATTACACGCGATAGCAGCCATCGGCGAACAGAAGCCACCCTCATCGCTCACCTCCAATCCCATACCGATTGCGTCACTGGGTTAGCTGTATCTCCAGATCATGCGTTCTTTGTTTCATGTTCAGACGACATGTCTGTCAAAGTATGGGATACGGCACGGCTGGAACGCAGTGTGACTAGTAAGCCGCGTCATACATACACCCAGCATCATGCGCGTGTCAAGATCGTATGCATGTTGGAAGGCGTCCATTGTTTTGCTAGTGCAGCAGAAGACGGAAGCTTGCATGTCATCAGGGTGCACGTCAACCAAAGTGGGTCTCTGCCGAAGTATGGAAAGCTTCAAACCATTCGAGAATATCGAGTGGACTCGCCCGGCGAATATATTACCTGCATGATTCACTACAATTCAGGTAAGATTTTGCTTTATTCCAGTCTGCTTGGTGAACCAAGGTTTTATCAGATGTCGCCTCAAATCTTGTCTTCGCCACAACACACTCTGTCATCACCATCCTGGACTTGCGAACCATGCGAGTTTTGCAACATATGCAAAACCCGCGTCATTTTGGGCCTATCACTTGCATGTGTCTAGACCGCAAACGCACGTGGATTCTCGTGGGCACTTCTATGGGTGTGCTCTCACTCTGGGACCGACGTTTTGGCTTGCTTCTCAAGAGCTGGCAAGTTGGCAAAACTTCTTTGGGAAAATCTGCGAGAGTCAACCAATGCATCATCCATCCAACAAAAGGGAAAGGGAGCTGGGTAATGGTTGCCGTCGAGAGCTGGAAGGGTGGTCCGGAGTCTTCACCCATAAGCCTCATCGAGGTCTGGGACATAAAAAATGGTCTTCTGGTGGAGAGCTATATGACAAGAACCACGTCTACGCCGACAGAGTGTGTTCCTGAACCTGTGGAGCATTCAGCAGTGGAGGCATCGCAGAGCCCAGCTGCCGCCATTGCGGCTCTTGTCGATGCTAGATACTCGGGTGGAACTGCACACGCCAATGCGAGCAAGAATGGAGGACCGTCTCAAAGCCCCCAGCGTGATGAGGCGCTTCCAGCACCCTCACACGATATTCGTGCAATAGTAGCTGGTGTCGATTTTGGACATTCCGGCTTGCATAGGTCAGAAATCGTGGATTTGTCGGTTGATGCCCCCGCATCGAGCCGGAATTCCAGGGGCTTCATGGTGACAGGTTCGGAAGATAGAAGAATTAGACTGTGGGATCTCAGCAGACTCGAACGAACGTCAGTGGTGGCTGGCCCAGAGTCAGAACATGACAGGCCATCGTACAGGTGAGGGACTGCGTGTTTTCGCAAAAGATGTTTTACTCATTATAACTTCAAGCACTGTGCGAGCCTCAGATGCTTCGCCGTACGTCAGTAATGTTGAGACGTGGGCACATTCGTCCAGCTCAGCAAGTCAGAGCAATCGACCTCCGCAAAGGATGTCGATGATTACCCACAACCAACAGAACCTTCTCAAGTCACACCAGGATATCGTGACGTGTTTGGCTTGCATTGATTCCCCATTCCGAGGAGGCATTGTGAGTGCCGATAGAGCAGGGGTGATCAAAGTGTGGAGGGTTGGAAGCACCGACTAGTACTCTGCATATTTATGATACTAGTAGCGTCTTGTTCACTTGCTTCACCGCACCTTGCAGTCTATTATCTAGAATCTATCGTAATATTTGCTTTTGACTAATTTTGCCCGAATTTCATGAAATTTGTCGTGAAGAGTGACTCGAAGAGCGCGCGCCTGATATCATGATCATGCCAAAAACAGACTTGGTCCTGACTCGGATGCTCAGATCTCTGACTCGGGCTCCTCCATATCTAGCCCGTTGTATATATCTCCCTTGTATCTACAGGCCACAAGTCAGCTTTCTTCGCGCTCATTCGACAGCCATGGCCACTCCAGTCGCGTCTTCTTCGCAACCCGTCCAGATACCCGCCCTAGATGGACCACACGCTGTAAATGCAAAGAAACCAAAAGAGAAGAAGGACAAGGCGGCGGCAGCAGCATCTCAGTATCCACTCGAAGTCAGTGATCCTCATACATCTTCTTTCACCTTTGACTGACTTGGGAGTAGCTCCAACCAGCACCAGGTTTTTTTGATCATCGCATCAAGCTGTTCGAAGAACTGCACGCAAAATACAATGAATTTGTGAAAAGTATGCATGGCCTCCATCCCAAGATCAATTATCCTGATCACAGTCTCAGCTCAACCGCGGGAGGAGATCATTATCACGATGCCTGATGGTTCAGAGCGCAAGGGCACTAGCTGGGAGACTAGCCCCATGGATGTTGCAAAAGAAGTGTCAAAGAGTCTGTCGGAACGAATTGTGATCGCAAAGGTATGTGACTCCATTTCTTGATGTTTAGATTATAACATGATTCGGGCAGGTCAACGGTGATCTATGGGACTTAGAACGACCATTGGAGGTTTCGTGCAAACTAGAATTACTAGACTTTGAACATCCGGAAGGTACGTTGGGGATATACACCGCCTTTACACCTTTTGACCAATCTTTGCAGGCAAGAGGGTCTTCTGGCATTCGTCGGCACATGTTTTGGGTGAAGCCGCTGAGCGGCATTACGGTTGCCACCTATGCATTGGTCCCCCAACCGACGACGGTTTCTTCTACGAGATGGCTATTGAGGACAGGTAATCGGTTCCGACCAATACTATGATGGGTCAGGTATTAACTTGCCGCAGAGCTGTTACCAATGCAGATTACCCCGCTCTGGAGAAGCTTTCAGAAAGCGCCGTCAAAGACAAGCAGAAATTCGAACGCCTCGTAGCGTCGAAAGAGGATCTACTGAAAATGTTCAGCGTATGTCCTTCGACATTTTCTAGAACACCCACCCATCTAATACTATCATAGTACAATAAATACAAAAAGCACTTGATTGAGACCAAGATCCCAGACGGCACCTCTACCACTGTGTATCGTTGTGGACCGATGGTAGATCTCTGTATCGGTCCTCATATACCACACACCGGCAAGATCAAGGCATTCATGGTCACCAAGGCAAATATTAGTCCACAATTTGCTCGATATTGCTCTGACACAACCCTTGTAGAACTCTGCATCATATTTCCTGGGTGATGCAAACAATGACTCATTGCAACGCATCTACGGTATCTCGTTCCCAGATAAAAAGCAGCTGAGCGAGTACAAAGCATTCTTGGTCGAGGCTGCGAAACGGGACCACCGCAAGATCGGTCGGGAACAAGAATTATTTTTCTTCAATGACCTCAGTCCTGGAAGTTGCTTCTTCCTTCCTCATGGTACTCGAATCTATAACACTCTAATTGAGTTGATGAGGGTGCGTTGAAGCCCGAAATATAGTAGGAAGTTCAACTGACATCAGCACAGTCCGAGTATTGGAAACGTGGATACCAAGAAGGTGGGTTCATGGATAATTCAAACGACATCCGGTGCTGAGCAATCTGTCAGTCATTTCCCCGAACATGTACAACTCGAAGTTGTGGGAGACTTCTGGGCACTGGCAGAATTACAAGGACGACATGTTCACCCTTGACGTGGAAAAAGAGAAGTGGGCATTGAAACCCATGAACTGCCCGGGTCACTGCCTCATCTTTGACTCCCGAGATCGGAGTTATAAGGAACTTCCAATTCGCATGGCAGAATTTGGTATCATCCATCGAAACGAAGCTTCTGGGGCTCTCACTGGTCTCACTCGTGTTCGGCGGTTCGTGCAGGACGACACGCACGTGTTCTGCCTGCCCTCGCAGATAGAAGATGAGATCGGTGCACTATTTGATTTCATGCAACACATCTATGGCCTCTTTGGTTTTGAGTTCCACCTGGAGCTATCTACTCGCCCCGACAACTACCTTGGCACCATCGAGACTTGGAATGCCGCGGAAGAGGTATGTTTCCCCTCACTGCGTACCATGAGCGGCACACTTACCATTTCGGATGCATAGCAACTCACCAAAGCACTCGATAAGGACTATCCAGGCAAATGGCAAATCAACCCTGGCGATGGTGCATTCTACGGCCCCAAGATCGACATCACCATCCGTGACGCGCTCCGCCGGTCGTTCCAGTGTGCGACCATCCAGCTCGATTTCCAACTCCCCCAGCGATTCGATTTGAAGTATCGCTCCGCGGACGAAACGACAAACCCTGATAAGCCCCCTTCACGTCCTGTCATGATCCATCGTGCGATTTTGGGAAGCGTAGAGCGCTTCATCGCGATCATCACGGAGCACTTTGCTGGAAAATGGTGAGTCCATGCTCTGATCATCTTCTTTTACACTTGACTCATAACGAGCCAAGGCCATTCTGGCTTTCACCCCGTCAAGTTCTTGTCATCCCGGTTGCTGTGCCGTATGTGAGTATACTCTGGTAGAACGTGACGATCCGATGCTGACACGTATCGATTCCACAGAAAGAATATGCCCAAGAGATAGCCACTCGTCTCACCGATCTTGGTCTTTTCGCAGACGTCGACAACGGAGCCGATACGCTGCCGAAGAAGATCCGCAATGGCGAGATCGCGCAGTACAACTTCATCCTCGGTGAGAGAACCCTTCTGCATTGCACTGTCCTGCTAGACATAACATATTCACACACAACTCAGTGGTCGGGCAGGAAGAACTTGATAGCCGCTCGGTTAATGTTCGAAACCGGGATGACGTCGGCACCAAATCTAAAGGCGAGATGGCGCCAATTGTAGAGATTGAGCAGAAATTGGTGGCACTGAAGAAGTCAAGGAGTCTCGCAAACAAGTTGGTGTAATAGTGAAGATAGTATGTAGCAAATCTGGAAGATAGGTAATCTGATTCTGATTCTGATGAATGCGAAAGGCATCGACGATCATCGATCTCAAGCTGGCATAGCATAAAAATAGCTATTTTTAGAATACAAGGTGTGCCCTGTGTGCCGCGGCTCCAGGCTCCAGACACGCTCCGGAGATCCACTAGGCTGAGATACCCAAAAATTGATTGCGCTTTCACCCGGAGCCTGGGTGAGTGAAGTTCACCAAATATGACTCGGATCAGACATACCAAGTTCTGGACTGCTTCTCGCTCGGAAGGCGGCAAGCCATTGATCTGGTCCGGAGTTAAGCTGAGTACTTGCATGAGCATTTGCTGTACATCCAGGCACGTGAGTTAAACATCTAGATCAAGGCAAATCAGGACAGACCCTTTGGGCCGGATCAATGCTCAGGTCAGGCATGGGAGCCGGGTGGGGCGGGGGTGGAGGCCGATACCAAGACTGTTGTTGCTGCGGAGCTGACATATGCGACGGGGGCTGTTGGTGCGTGTACATACTCGGTGGAGCGGTTGACTGTGGGGGCGGGGCGGACATTGGCGGAGGTATGTGCGGTTGGGGCTGGGGCTGGTGCATGGGTGGAGGCTGCTGGTATTGCATTGTGTGGTGGGGCGGTTGAGAAATTCCTGGACCCGGGGGAGCCCCGCTACCCGCAGTTGCTTGAAGCATGCGCTGTGCAATTGCCATTTCGCTCGACGGTCGCTCCACACCGAAATTATTACGACATACCTGAAGAACACTCTGGTCTACTATTTTGTTCAGCAGCAATGCTTGGAACAAAGCATAAGCATACTGCGGATGCGCAACGAGAAGTGCCTTCGCTTGATCCGGGTGGGTGATCACAAAAGCCTACACAAACAAGATCCGCACACACGTCATTAATTCTGAGTCACTCCCCGGTGCAGACCGCAGCACACCTTCATCTGGGCAAGCACTTCGACCAATTGAGCCGGGCTCATAGTTGCAAGTGTCTGACTGATGGTATCTAATGCAGTCGACCCAGGAGGTATGGGTACACCGGGTGGCAAACTTGACAAGAAAGAATTTGGGTCTTGAGTTTTGGGTTGATCGCGAAGATTATCATATCGGTCGCGGTCGCGGTCTTGTTGCTCACGGTGATCACGCCAGCGGCCTCTCGGATCACTCCCATCGAGCAGCTCGCCTCGCACAGTGGTCTTGCCTTCGAGGAAGGGATCGGAGTCGGCGAGGTCAATTCGTAACGGGCGGCCACCAACATCGGCATTATTGAGGTTCCGAACAGCAGATGCAGCGGTTTCATGATCTTCAAGGCACAAATGCGAACACATAAGTTTTGAGTCCGTGTAAACCGGTACGGGTAACACAGAATGACACAGTGAATCGAGAGAGACGCGACGAGAGGCACAAGTTAGGCGGGATTGCGGAAAAGAGCCGATTTGAAGTCAGACATGCATCAAGGTATACAAAAATAAAAAATGAATTGGATGTACCAGCAAATTCACAGAAGCCATAACCTCTAGGTTTCCCTGTCTCTCTGTCGAAGACCAGTCTAAAAAAGCATTGGCATAAGTAGGTGTGCGGGCCAGGAAGAGTGAGACGGACCTGAAGCCCACGACTTGACCGACCGACTTGAAGACGTCGATGAGTTGTTCCTATACAAAAAGGTTCTGTCGGAATGGTACCATGAAAGATTGATGACTTTCCTCTCCCATGTTGTAGGGGACATTCCCCACTGGAGGGAAAAAGGTGTTAGTAAAAGCAATGCGACACCCAGGGTGGACCTACCGAAAACAACCTTACTCATTTCGAGAACGTGTCGAGACTGAAAGAAAGCAATGCAAAATTGAGTTGCTACGAGAACGGTCGGGAAAGTTCAATGGGTTAAGCGCTGGTAAGTCACGGTAATTTCGGGCCACAGGATGATGTGTGACATTGTGACATTGACAAAATTCTGACGAATCGTTTCGCTGATTCATATCCCTTCAAAGTTCAAACTCTTGTCTCGGTTCATAAGCAAAGCTGGGTTCCGTATGACTTGCTAAGATCCTTACTGCTCGGTCTAAAGTCAGTGAGAGTCATTGTCACTGCGGCCTCGTCAATGGTAGCACTTTCAACTGATTAGCCTCATTCACGGATCAGCCCAGTCCTCCGAGCTCAAGTCGGACTCATCGAGACTCCACTCAAGATGCTGTGTGTCAACTGTGTGTGGTCTCTACTGGACCCCGCCCGGACTGCTGTGTCAAGCTGTGCATGTGCACAGCCTCATTCCGATCATTCGGGTAGAAAATTGGGGCATGTCCTGGACTAATCATGCCGATCTCGGCAAGATGCGACATTTATAAAGAGTCTGCAAAATCTTGCAACACAACATTCGATAAATGACCGTCACCACTTCTCCTCTTCGCAAACTGTCTAACTCTCGGAATACCAACGAACAATTCCAGGCCTTGGATCGTGCCTTGGCAAGGAGATATGTCTTTCGTCTGCTTCACGAACAAAGGTTGCGTAGAGTGCAAGAACAATCTCAAGGCGACGTGATATTCAAACCAAGGTACGAGTTGCATTTTGTACTGGTCGAAAACCTTTCCGCTAACATCATTTTCAGAGCAGAAATATGTGACGATCCATCTTCCTCGCGTATTACAGCCACGCTTGAACTTCCCGGCATGAAAGCAGATGATGTACGGGTCACACTCGAGCGCAATAACCTTCTCGCTGTTTCAGGCGAACGCGTCTCAAAAGCACCTTCTGATCAGTCTGCATCCGTGAACTATCCTGTGAGGGAGATCAAGTACGGAAAGTTTCTTCGTACACTGGATGTTCCATCTGGTACAATGGTGAGTTCCACGAATTCGTGGCTTCTGTATCACTATCTAACCCTATTTGTCCAGATGAGTACCATATCAGCGACAATGAGTGATGGCATGCTGCTCGTATCTTGGCCTCGCTTTCCTCCGGGCGCTATATCTCGTTCTCCGCAGTGATTCTTCTGCCATGCTGTAGCATCATGTTCTACCATATCCGTTCTCCTGGACAGCTCTCCCGGCTCCTACATTATGATTTGTATGCTATGCACAATTTGTATCCCTAGATGGGTATATTTTTGGTACAGGGGTTAATTGTTACCATAGATATCTCCACTTATTCACTGTTTTTGTTGCAGTTTTGATTGCCATCGAAGACTTATACACGCGCACTTAGAGTCATCGCTGACAGGTTCCTGTGTTGTATGATAGCACTTGGCAGATTCACACCGGCAATGTATTGTTACAATTTTGGATTTCATACACGTTGGGAGAACAATGTAAATGTATTGGACGAGTCACAACCTAATTTTCGCAAGCCTGCGCCTTACTAATTGCAAATGCACATCTGACAGCCTCCGTAGCAGGCCGTCTCTCCATATAGCTACCACTCACATTCGTCAGGTTTTGCGGGTTCTGCATCAGAACCATCCGGACTGGTATACTGCTCCCAGACCGGAGACTTGTCTAGCTTGTAAATATTCGGATTGCCGGTGCGCACGAAGGAAAGCCAGTAAGCAATGAGTTCGGAAGCGAATGCGGCTTCGGCGGGTGTCTGTGGCATAAATGTCGCAGAGCCATTGAACCTAAAAAGTCACTTCTGTGAGTCCGTGCTTTTATTTAGGATGGACTGTGTCAGATGCCCACCCAGTGTTTGTGCCATCAAACATCATCCAGTTCTCCGCAGCATGTTCAACGACGTCGGTACCGCTCGTGGGGTTGGGTGTGTTGTACCGATAAGTCCAAGTGTTGGAATGTAGCGAAGATGGGCTGCCCATGGCCTGGCGCTGACGCGTACAAATGGGGTATTGTTAGTATGATTCAAGAGACTATGGCGGTGTATTATATTAGGCTCAGACTTACACCGCATATCAATTCAGGTTCTCCTGTGGCCACCTGCAACTGCTGACTCGGAGAATTAAATTCATCTACTGGATATAGCCGCAAGAACTCCCGAATGTCTGCGTCTGTCAGTGATGGGAAAAATCCCTTAAGTGCCAGAGGGATACTCTCTCCGTCAGAACGAGTCTCATTGGACGTTGCGCTATGAAACGTTGCCATCAGTGGGAGCGCGGCACCGAAATGACTCCTCTTGTGTCAACGTACCCAACTATAAGCGGAACATGAACGAACTCGTTGCGCTGGAACTTTGACGTAGGATGTCCTGTGATCAACACGCCGTCCAAGACGGGGTGGAATGCATTATACGACCCGGAACTGCTTCCCGTCAGCTGCGGAAATGAGTGCTTTTGAGTGGACAGGACGCACAACCTTCCCTGGACTGCAGCATCCTGTGCCCGTGCAAGCGCGCTGATTGTTGCACCACGGAGGCATGTCATTTGCTCTGCCACAGGACCCGTTCCACACCCTGCATACGATGCGTAGAATTGGAAGAGTGGCTGTTATTCGGCGTTAGATTGGGCGTCTATCTAGGTTCAGCGCTTAGCATACCTGCTGTTGCACAGGGGTGGGAAGTGGCGTCCTGAAGACGCTTTGCGCAATGGCGCCAGAAAAAAGCTGTTCCCCTTCGTTGGCAATCATGTGCAGTCCACGGAGCTACCGCCGGCGCTCTGACCGTTGATGGTCACTTCAGTTGGGACGCCGCCAAATTTGCCGATGCTATGACTTGACCCATTTGAGCGCCTGGATTTGGTCCTTGATCCCCGCATTAAAGTCGCCGTATGCGGGGTCGGTGAACTCGGGAGTGCTCAAGAAGCCGAAAGAATCAAGACGGTAATAAACAGACACGATGATAACATTCGGACTTTGGTTGATCCAGCTATCAAATGGCCAGTTGCGTGGATTTCCACGAACATAACCTGTGACAACCGATGAGTAAACAGCTACGGTCGTCCTTGTCACTTGATAACACGGCTTACCTCCACCATGAATATAGAACAGCACAGGCACTACTTACACAGAACCGTTGGTAAAGCAATGAGAAATTAGGACGCACAGGTTAAACATCTGAAACATACAATTATTGCCTGCTTTGGCACCGTATGGTGCGTAGATGTTGACTTTCAAGCAGTCCTCCGATCCCGCTCCTCCCGCATCCATGGCTGGATCACGGTCCGAGTCAGAGAAAATATCTAAGTTAAAGTTAATCACACATACAACCGTGACCTGTTGTTCCCTGGATACAAAAGTCTGGGTAGTAGGTTGCGCTGACCACTGCTTTCCCGCTCAAGTTAGCCTCTTCACTCACACGCGTCGTGTTCAGAGGGACAGTTGCGTGGAAGCGCAGGTCGCCTACAGGGGGCTCGGCATACGGTATGCCAAGGTATGCCACCGTGTTTGGGTATGACTGGCTGCCCAGATATGTCGCATATCCTACATCGACTGTGGGGCCCATGGAGGTCTGTGCAAGTGCACCATGCAATAGGGCGAGGTTCAGCAACGTGAACATTGCGCTGAGCATTTCTGAGTGGGGAGATCGGAGAGTCGTCTGCCATTCAACAAGCATGGGTTTTTTAAACCCCCTTCTGCGGAACAGCCCACTGTTCCGCGGGAGTAGGTCACTGATAGGTGACCAGGTGGCCATTGAATCTGGTAATAATTCATACAGTGCAAGGCCGGGCTTATGCTTTGAAGATTGTTTTAGGAAACCGAGGCGAAAGACTTCACCCCGCTTTCGACGGTGCATTACGCTTCGGGGTGCCAGGACATTTCGAAGGGGTTCACGGTAACGAAGAGGTTGATAAAGCGGAAAATCTGACTGCAGAGAGTCAGAGAAACAATAGCTATCACGATATTTGCAACCATCTCTCACATTATCTCCGCCACGAACCCCTGAATTCCTAGATCTCAGTATTTCAGCCCTCATGCAAGCGCGAAAAAAAAACGCATTCTTGTGGGTCCGTCTCAGGCAGAAATCGCCGCGTTAAGCTCGCATGCACCAACTGGACTCCAAAGTCACCTAAACTCACCGCACTTCTAATGAACCTTCGCTCGCGACACATCCCGCCCGCATCGGTCAGGAAAGCTGCCTCCCCCTCACGTGCTGCCCTCAGTGTCCATCATATTCGAGGAGACAGTGCATCATTCCCGTTTGACTGCTTCCACTTGCACCGTACCAGATGATGCCGTCTCCGCCTTTAAGTTCAACTCTCGAAGCGCCGCGCACTGGATACGCCACTGTGGCGCTATCCATTAGCAAATTACAGTTGCGCCGTGCTCACCATGTCTAGGACTTCGAGCCCCACGGCCTTCGTTCTCCTTCTCCAACTGGCTGGACAATGACCACCATATATACATAATGATAGAAGCACTGTAAAAGCTGTTTATAGCAGGTAAATACAATTAAACGGAAGGCTTAACTTGCTGTAATGTACGAACACATTAAAGATGAATGTATCCAATCAGATCGTGATATAGTTACAGTACTTGAGGCGAATCAACCGCATCGCACGGGATAAGTGCAATCGTGAAGACAAATGCAATCATGAATCAGTCAACGGGCTTGTGGACCGAGATGGGAAAAGTACCCTGGAGGAAGAGATGCGTTATGTACGAAGGAGGACCACCTGTCTTCCAGCACCAAATCCCCTTGCTGTCCTTGTTGGGGACCATATAGCGAAGGAGCGCACGGAGAGCGAGAGTATAATGGCCCAGAAACCTCCCGGTGAAGCAATTCCAACTCAGGCAGCCCAACCGTCCCTTCCTCAAGTGTATAGTCAACCCCTTCCGGAACCGAAGGGATGTTGAGATGCGACTGATAATTGTCCCGTTGGTTTGGGGGCTTGTTTTGAGTCGCCGTGGAACTCGCAAGCTGGATTGGAAGTTGGGAAGTCCGCGAAACTTGCTTGCAAGATTTTGTGACCAATATTGTCCGACCACCAAACACCTCTAGTTCGTCAGGCTCATCCTCTGATTCAGAAGACGGCAGGTGGTTGACGTGTTGAAGGGGATCCATCCTCGCATGGACCGCTTTTTGACGAAGCCGAAGCAAAATTGGCTTCGGAGGCATAATAGTGAGCTTTGGTAACTGACAGCCACCCTTGCTCAAAACTCACCAGCGCCTTTTTGGCGCGGCTACTAGTCTGCGCCGCTTCGTGAAACAATGAGCACGCCCTTTCCAGATGCTCGAATGGGTCCGGGTCCAACTTTATGCCTAGTCTTCGGATGGCAACGGTGCCAACGATAACCTTGATGAATTATTGTTAGCACAAACCGCCACATGAGATATATATCCGCGTACTGATGCTGAGAATGCAAATGACCATATTCGCCATACTCGGGAACATAATACGGGTTGTGACGTGAATTGGTTGATAGTTGTTGTGATCAGTATACTGGCACATTGGTAGGCAACCATGAATGATCGGCCTAGAGGGCTTCTAAGCGGATCTGAAGGAAAATCTGACATAGCCTGTGCAAAGAAACCTCTGTGCAAGAACATGAGCGCTTTGCAATTCAAGTCAGTCAATATGAAAGCATGAAAGCACTGTGACACGCACTGAGTTCTCTGTAACGCGATTGAGCAAAGGAGCGCATCTCCATGGGCGTACGGTCGAAATTAGTTGAATCCGTAAACACAGGTACAGAAAACTCTCGTATTTTGCGGTCCAACTCGAGGACAGTTTGGTAGTCAGGTGGCTTTGCAGCCTGAGTGAGCTCGATGATCGATGCTAGACACTCCATCGTGTACCGAGAACTCCAGTTGCCAACTTTGCAATGTATTAGAGCTCTTTCTCATGCAGTTATGTGGTGAAATGACCTTACATCCAATGGGGATTTCTCCAGACTGGTACGTAGCCTCGTCACAGTCACTAGGGATTTGGCAGTCGACGACAGCTGGCATAATCACGGGAGGGCGCCCAGTGACCAGGCTTTGCCAGAGAGTTTGAGAAAAGAGAGTCCAGAAGTATGAACGGCGTTCATAAGCTTCTCGCCCCTCAAAACCCCATCGTGAAGGATCCTTGTCTACATGGTGACATTAGCCACGTATCACTGGTTGCCTTGTGACACAACATACGGAACCCAATCTAATAATGCTCGTCAGAGGTCTGTCTGATGATCGTGATACCTGTAGCTTGGAACTAACCTGAAGTGCGGCTTGACCAGCAAGGTTGAGAAGGGAATAACAAAGTTCCAAGTTGCTCTCGACGCCACTCATGCCGTAGTACACGCTCATAAGATGCAAGACCTTAAGCGTGACCACAGACCGCTCCGAAAACACAGATTGCAGGCACAAGGCGGCGCGCGCCATTCTTTGATAGTGACGAGCTTCGGCGTTATATGGGGGAAGGGCAGGATCAACCAAAGCTCCGATCGCTAGCACACTGAATAACAAGGCCAGGTCATGTGGACCGTAACGAGGCCGCTCCAATGATTTTATCCCCGGTCTGTATATCAACGGGATGAGATGGTCAATAATTTGCTGTCGCGAAACTATTTGGAACATCCATGAGAGAGACTTTAGGAAGGTCTCACATAGCGAAACAGCGCGCTGGATTGACGGTAAGTAGGATTCTATCATCTCTCGGATCCGTTCTTTAGGAAGCCCCGAGGGTGTGAAAGGGAAAGCCTTGTCAAGGGCGCTGATGTGAGAAGGCAGGTAATCAGCATCGATTTCTTGTTCCTCTGTCGATGATGACGGAACCCCTGGGATAGCTCGTTTTGCAGCCTATGTGGTCATTGTTGGCTGGGCGCTCCAGAAGAGTGGATAAGACAAACCAGCAATAAACTCTAAAGCTGAAGTAAGTTTCATAGCGTGTCATGGGAAATTGTCTAGTCCGCACCTCAGAACCCCCGGAAGGTCCAAAGAAACGAGAAGCACCAGATTGTGGATCACCATCAAGGTGCAAAGAGCCTAAAGAATCTATCAGACCATGTAGATTGAATTCTGCCCTCGTAGGTGTGGTGTCGACGCTGCTCCCGTTATCAGCCTCTTCAGATGACCATATTTTGGCCAGCAATGGGTGCGGCGGAGTGGAAGTATTGACCTGCAGGATCGCAAGAGCGTCCTCAAGTGAGCGCATTCGCTCTTCCAGCTTGGCAGCCTTGTGACGTAGATAATCTTCGGCAACACCGACGAAGCTGATGGTAGGAATGCCATCTTCAGACTTAGTGCACCTGTATGGCGGCGCCATGCTTACCGGCTACCTTTTCCTGGAGGCATCGTACCTACGCATGATCTGTATGCAAGATTTCCATGTTCGATGTCATGAATGAATTCTCACCATTAGGGCAAAGCATACTGCATCCTCTTTTGATACAAGTAGAGCATGGCACTATGGGTACGATCAGTCCGATGTCCAGGACAACTTTAAAGTAAAAGATTTACCTTGCCTGTCACATCGGGCTTTCAGTCTGATAGGTTATCATGAAAAGTAAATATCACGACAAAGAGACCATTGTGATAGAAAACAGACCTACGACACTCCGCGCATGCTATCTCTCCTCTTGTTCGCTGTCTGTCCTTGCTGTTGCTCATCACAGAGAAGATCAACGTCGGAGTCTCGACTAGTACTACTGCATGGTAATGTCGCGGTTTAAATGGGATCCTCGGACTCGGGTGCAGAGCAGATCTATATTAATAGGGTCAGTTTCTTGGCGAAATCAAAGCAGTGGAACTGATTCAAAGATTGCTATTGAGTTCCCGGCACTGATTTCGCGATTTTATGGCATGAAGGGATAGAGTTCGCATCCCATTTTTATGCTTCAGTCAATGATGCTCGGCTAATCGTTTTACCGACCATGATGTTTCTTCCACACTACGACGGTCTGCGTGTTAAGGGTAGGCATCAGTGTACACTTCCTATCAAAATCTGTCCCAATATTGTGACCATAGGACTTCAGGCCAACCCTACAATGGTCAGCTCTCTTAGGTACTAAATAGTAGCAATATGATGCTATTACTCAGCTAGTTTTTAGTATTAAAGTACCGACAACGAGGTCGCGGTCACGGTCATTGCCGAGCCCAGTGCATTAAGTTCCCCTGGACAGGTCGAAAACACGCATGGTCTTCGTGATAAGAATAGAACCTCCGCTCTCCTACACTCCACTCTCTTTGCTGGCACCATCGGATTGGTTAAGTACCAGTAACTATCCCCTGGAGGTTACAGGCACTCAGTAAGATTGAAGCCAGTTTCGGTTCGCCTTTCTGTGGATTCATGGTGCTATATTGAGAATGCTGCCATGCATAACCCACGAGGGTCTGATATCCTTGATGGGCCTGATCTGATAAGTAATCGCCTTCAGCTTAGACCCTTAAGGTATGACAGTCGATATTGATGGATGATGCTCTTACCGCCAAGACTTTGAAGGGCACATCCATGTCGGCAGAATGCGCTCGTTGTTGACCTTTGAAATTTGGCCCAGATTGATTTTCTGCTATTATGTCTATCGCGGATATGTTCTTTGACCCAAACTGAGTTATGAAACTTCTCAGCAGCGTAGCAGCGGCACTGCCACAGGGAACGTTCACGCGACGCGCGTTCAATGAAGAAACTTCCGATAGTCGCTACGCCACTGCTGCAATTACGATTACTTACTCATTGCATAAAGTTGAAGTCACTGTCACTAGGCCGCATCTGGTACGAAGTCGAGTCGGTCGAAAAGCGCTTGAAGTCAAAGTTCAGATGTGTTTTGGAGCTTTTCTTTACGCAACTGAGTCGCCCCAAGCGGCTGAATTTCCAAAGCCTGTGTTTGGGCATCACGGGCATGCGTAGTGACCACTATAGAGAAGCAATCACTTGAGCGCTGTTGCTGATTGGCAAGTACATAAGCAAATGAAGGTACTTCCCTACGCGCGCGGGGCTACTGGAGTGCCGGCATAGCCATCGTGGAGCGTTTTTTGAGTTTTTTGAGGTTTGGGGTTGTCCTGATACTAGGTGGCGATTATCGTGAATTGATTTGGGCGACAGTCGGCTGATGACGGCGCAAGAGCAAGCTTAGAAAACAATTTATCACATGTTCAAAGCTCGCTTCCTGGGCACTGAGAACATTAATTCAAGTCGCTGTAATTTGTACCAACGAGTCCACATGTCTACATGTTGTCTTTGGCGGCTTCAGAACTTTGTAAAGAATTTGCAATTTTGGGAAGGTCTTTTGTATGTGCAATCGATAGGGTTCCCATTTAAATTGAGTTGTCAGTAGCTGATTCGCGTTCTAGATGCAGTGACTAGTCAGCTGGGTTCACAGCTACATATCGCTGGAGAACTCTCGTGCAGAACTTTGTAACGAATTTGCAATTTTTGTGCCCGACTGAGAAGTTGGTTCCACTCAAGATTACTTGAAGGAGGCATCAATATATCCTGTGATTTGTGGTTCGGTACTTGGAGATACGAGATAAGACAATATGATTAGTACGCATGCTATCTGGGTGTTGTAACAATGTTTAATTCCCGCTCCAAATGTACTGAGGGTAGACAGTTGATGTCACCGCGTGTACGACACTGCTTATTTCAATCGATTATCTTGCTGGCGTGAGGACTCGTGAGGAGCATCCTTAAGACCAACGTAAGACAATAAGAGTAGTAGACGGTTACTGCAGCGACGTCGGCGGTGATGCTGGGCAGTCTGTCATCACGAACGATGGTGCGTTGCCCGGACCCGAACTCGGAGCTTTGAATCCCTTCTCCATCTTCCCCAATAAAATCTGTGGGAGGTGGAAGCACCCAGGAGATGATGTTCGCGGGAGCAAACACTATCGAGTGTCCATATCAGATAGCTGTATCAACAGCCGAAATGAAAATTATTGTCTGTGAAGTCGGGTAGAATCACAGCGCGCTCATTTCCATGGGTGGCGCGGTATTGAATTCATTGTCAGTAATGAGGCATGTGGGACTTTGAGGGTCCGCGCTGGAAACGAAATGAATGGTACTCATGACGATTACCCAGCGAGCTGCTCATTGCCAATACATTTGGAATCGCGTGATAAATCGTCGATGTCAACGTCGAATGTGCCTGCGTCCAAATTGGCGATCCGGCTGTTGCTGTGTGAAGGAACATTAAAACGTCGCACTCTCGGAAAGCGGCATGTGTGGAGTCATACACCTTCTTGAGCACCAGTTAACACCCCCCAGAGTCCCCCAGACAATTTCAAGTATTCGGAAACTTCATGTTTGTCATAAACAGTGTCGCATGATACCAAGAAATCAGCGCAACAGGTAGTAAACGAAGTGAGCGTACTTTGAGAACTTTTATACCCTCTCAATAACGCGATACTAAATGTGAGTCTTACGGTCTCATTTCACATGCCAAGGCCGCGCAGAACCGTCGGATGTCCACAGTTTGTACGCAATGTGAACCTGTTTGCTGGCATCAGCGATTAGAGGGGCCGATTCTGGATGAATAGAGTAAGAGGCGAGTATTCCACTGTGAGTAAGTAGGCAGACCATATAGAACGACGACGGTCGTGCCTTTTCTACTATGTTGACTAACTGGAGAACAAGCAAGCTCTCCTACTCGCACCTTGTCGAATGGTCTCTTGAAATGTCCTGTGTGGAACAGAAACACTGTCAATGAATGATCGTAAATTTCTCGTGGTCTGTCTGGCTTGAGAGGTGCTGATCTTGTTGTTCAGCATGTGATTGCTATCGAACCATTTTGACCCCACTATCGGACGGCACTGGAAGGAGCCTTGCTGTAGGAAACCGAACAAATTACTTCAGCATTATGGCCGCAACGGCGAGACGGAAAAACCAAAAACCACACACATGTGTAAGGCGGCGATTTAGACGGCAAGTAGTGACATGTGGGATTCAGTGGGAATACATTTACATTTAGGATTGAATCAAAGTATCTCCATGATGTCTTCACCAAGTCCACCTTCTGCAGATGGTACTACTCAACTTTATCTTATCAGATATGGTGCTGCAAGCGCCGAATGAGCGTGAGTGCTTTCAGGCGTTAGAGGTGAATATGCGGCATACCAAACGGGAGCAGTCTAGGCTACCAAAATTTCAGGAGGTAGCCACACCAATGATAGGGACGAGGAGTGGAATTAACCCACACACTCAAACATGTACAAGTCGTAACGAACCGGAGCCTACATCTTGGCGATCGCCACGGAGACTAATGGGCTTTTTAGTATTAGTAGTCCTGGTGAATGAAGACTGTCTGTTGGATTCGCTGGGAGGAGGGGATCAGATCGTGATGAAGGACATAGCTAATTGCATCGACGAATCGATGTTCGAGGATCACTAACGTTATTCTGGAGAAGATCTTCGGGAAAGCGGAACTTGAAGGCATGGGGGTTTGGGTGTATTTGTGGTTCGCAGCGTGGACCCGTTAAGTCCGTTAAATGTCAGGTCCCTTGGGGTGTCATCTTTTTTCGGATCGGCGGGTACATGCGGAGGCACTTCTTCATTCCTTCATTCCATCGTGTTCCATCGATGAAAGGTGTTGTTTAGATAGTTTAAAGGACTGCTAGTCATCGTTGTAGACGGTGTTGAGAGTCACGCCACAGCTGCTGCTGGATAGTCAGCGTGACGTGTGACAAGAAAGTGTGACTTTACATTGTGTTGACTGTTGGCTTGTTTTTTCGTGCAAGCAGGCAAGACACGACAACCATTGGCGACCTGTCAGTACGCCATTCAAGCTTTTAGTACCAAGGCGTTACAGGATATCCCAGGAGACTTCAAATTTACTACTTTTACGCTTCAAGTTGGTCTGTGCGTTGTTCTTTTGCCGAGTTTCGTTCCCTGGGAACAGCTCCGCAGCAGTCGTTCCGAGTTACTTTTGAGTCGCAGGACAGGTTTTTGTTGGTAAGTGAAATCCATTGGTACAATCAAAAGTAAACGCAGGGTGCATGCCCGCGCTTTCCGGCCGGTCAATAAAATCTCATCATATCCATTTTCTCGTTTAGCATTTGTTATCACAGATCTTCGACGCTATCTCTCGATCCGAAATCCTCTAACTTGGTCAGAACCTGTTGTAAAACGTAAGCTCCACTATCCCCCTACACGTATCCCCCATGTTAACTAACAATTCCCCTCTAGCACTAACGTCTGGGTCGGGCGCTAACGACCCTAAACTCGTGCGTCTCTCATGCATCCTGTTCTAGACCGTCTGTCCTCATCATACCTAGACGGCTCACAATGAACTACTCCCCGCAATTAGCACCGCAACCAGGTTCTACTCAACTAGGTCACAACCAATTCCCCCAACGACCTACGTCCTCGGGCATGTCCTTTGGAATCCCCATGAATGCCAACCAAGGCATATCCATGAATCCCTCCCAAATGAACGGCGCAAATATGACCATGAATCCCGGCAACAACATGGGTGTGCCCATGAACCCAACCATGTCGATGAATCCGCACAATATGGCCATGAACAACATGCCAATGAACATGAACATGAACAACATCAATCCATCCTTCCTTGCCGCTTTCCAGAACTCCCAAAACTCTCAGAATGGCATGATGGCCAAATTTCCAAACTATCAGGCCTCTCAGCAGCCCATCCCCCCTTCCACGCCTAATCTTGGCTCTACGCAGGGCCAGGGTCAGTCAATATCGCCTTCGCAGCTCATGTCAGCTCCCCCGTCACAGCTTATGGGACAACAGTCACATTCACAAGGGCCTAATTTGACCCTCACTCCCGCACAGCTCCTTCAACAGCAACAAGGTGGCATGAACCAGGCCTCTATGGGCACCATGCACCCGGCTATGGGCGGAATGGGCGGGATGAACATGGGCGGCGGTGGAATGCAGAATATGAATATGGGCAACGCCATGCCCAATATCAGTGGAGGTGGGATGAACATGGCCACTGGTATGCAGAACATGAGCGGGAACATGGGCATGTCAAATATGATGAGCGGTATGCCAAACCTCAGCAACCCTCAGGTACGTATGACCATGACGCCTCAGCGTTGGGCGCAGATGTCGCCGCAGGAGCGTGTCGTCTTCCAGCAGCAACGGCAGCAACTTGGCATAGGTCAACCTCCAAGCGCTCCCAATCAGCAGCACCACGAACGGGGCCCAAGTCTGACGCACGACCGCCCACCGAGCCAGCATGGGAGACACGACCGTGCTTCAAGCCAATCCCATGACAGGCAGCCCAGTCAGCAGCCGCAGGACGTCTCTCAGGTCACTGACCGCCCCTCCTCATCCGCTTCTATTCGCTCCCACCATTCCCACCACAACCTTGACTCTGGTCTGATGCCCCCACCATCCTCTCGACCCGGTACTTCCGGCGGCGTTATGGGTGCTCAAACAGTAAATCCACGGATGAACCAACAATCCATGAATTTAAACCCACATCTTAACATGGCGCCCGGTTCCAACATCAATCCTAACATGAACGTCAGCAGTAACATCAACCCGCACATGAACCAGACCTCGAATATCAACTCTGCGATGAATCCAACTCAGGTCCAGATGCACATGAATATGGCTCCATCGAATATCAATCCCGCGATGAACCAGAATCTGAATCCGCATCTGAACCGCCCTCCGACGAGAGCGGATTCTGCACATGGACTTGCTGCGTCGCCAAAGCAATCACCGAGGATGTCGGGAATGATGAATCTCCCTGGTGGCCCTCCTGGGGGCATGCCCGGTAGCATGGGTGGCCAGGTCAACCTTGGAATGATGACGGGCATGCCAAGCGGTACGATGGGAATGCATGGTGTCCCCATGAGTGGTGTCCCCGGTGGTGGCATGAATATGGGTATGGGCGGTAATATGAATGCAGCCATGGGAAGCATGGGCAACGCTGGTGTAGGTGGCATGGGTAATCTTGGCCCGGTGAACATGAATGCCAACACTGTGGGCGGTTTGGGAGCCGGCGGTAGCATGTTAGGCGGAGCGGGGGGAGGTCTCATGGGCCCACCTGTGATTCCTCAATCTATGCAGCGGCCTGACAGAGATCAGATGATGCAGAGAGAGCGCTCGGGCTCGCTCCATGGACGTGAACAGGTGAGGAGTACACCTCCGTTCTTCTCGTATCGTGAACTGACTTGGCAAACGTTCTTTTACTCGTTAATGCGTTATCGCCTCTGTTGTGCCACAGAGTATGCCTCCGGCGTCTGCCGCACCATTTATGGGTCAGGGTCTCGATAACTCCGGCGTCCAGGTATTGGGATTGGGGAATATGGCTGGTGGCATGGGTAGTATGCCTCGGCAGCAATCTCAACCGCCAGTCAACCCACATCAGCAATCTCCTGCCCGCCAAATACCCCCAGGCCACCGCTCCCCCATGCCTCCTGTTCGCAAAGCCGGGGAGATACCCAGCGCTCCAGCGCTTCCCGGTACCCCAAACGCTGCCGCACCACATCCAGGCGCAGCTGCGGTTCCGAAACTCCCCCCCCACCTTGCATCGCTCAATCCCGCCGTGACCAAGATCTCGTATATCCCTTACACCGTACACTCAAAACCCGGAGCAACTACCGATGGCGAAGATGAGAAGCCGCCTGCCGAAGGTGCCACCGATTCTGAAGACGCTGATGCTTCCTCGCAGGTCAAAGTTGAAGACCCTGTGAAGCTGCTGACCCCTTCGGAGATATCCATGTTGAAGGAGATCATGAAGCGTGATGCTGCATACGATGCGCTACACCGAACCAAACAAGCACGTATAGTCCACGAGTTGCGCACGCTCGGTCCTGCGTCGCGAAGCGCCTGGTGGGAGCGTGATCATGTTCCAACCATGGGCATGAACCGCAGACCCGAACGGTTCGATGTGAGATATCCAAGAGTCCCCAATGTGGACCGGGGCTCGAATACAAGTTCGAGGAAGAAGGGTGTGAGGAGAGAAGGCATTCGGATGTGAGTTCTCGTTGTGTCTTCTTTTTGTTTGAGGAGATTGATTGATTCCCGCGGGTTTAATAGACCCAGGAAGCTCCCTCCTGAGCTGGCCAACCGCCCCGAGCAACTCGTGCCGATCAGACTCGAGTTCGATGTGGAGCATCATAAGATGCGCGAGACCTTTGTATGGAATTTGAATGGTAGGCTTCTTGCTTCGAGTTACTTTATAATTCGTTAGTGACGCTGTTGTTTAGATCCCGTCATCACCCCCGAGCATTTTGCGCAGACGCTCATTGAGGATTATGCACTGCCCCAGAGTTATCACGGTGTCATCGTGAGAGCGATTCAGGAGCAGCTGGGCGATTTCAAGGCTCACATTGCCAGTGTGGATGGCGACTGGAGACCTCCGTCCTCAGCGAGGGAGATGGCGATGATGGATGGTTATAAAGCGGATGAAGAAGATGGGAATGACGCGGATGTGCGGGAGACGGACGCCGAAGACGCTACCAACGACTATGATCGCAAGTTACTTGAAGATGATGACCTGACCATGGTGGACCGGGGTAGTCTTGACGATGAAGACGTCAAATGGTGGGAATCATGGCGCAAACGATCACGGCAAGAAAGCGCATTTGCTCGCAGCATATCCTTGAGAAATAGCCGTAAACGGCGCAAGGTGGCATCGGTCAAGGTTGAGGAAAGCGACGCATTCGAGACTGACAAGGAAAGGCCACACACTGCGGACGAGATCGAGGTCGATGAGAAGACGGTGCATGAGGATTTACGTATCTTGATCAAGGTATTCGATTGATCCTCCCCTGTTGTGTTTCATGTATCGGTGCTAATCTTCTGATCGTAGCTTGACATCATAGTCGGATCTATGAAGTTGGATGATCAATTTGAATGGGATCTTGAGAATGTCGATGCCTCCCCTGAACAGTTCGCGGACGTGTATGCGAAAGAGCTGGGTCTTGGTGGGGAATTCAGGTGCGTAGGGTTGTGTATCTATGACTTCATAACTGACTTCTTCTCCAGAACGGCCATTGCGCATTGCATACGAGAACAAGTTCAAATTTATCAAAAGTCGCTGTTCCTCGTTGGCCACCCCTCAGATGGATCGCTTGTCCAAGACGATGACCTGCGCATGTCCTTCCTGCCCAGTCTCACATCCGGTGCCAGAATGATGGATCAAGTACCGTCGTTCACACCGCTGCTCAACTATCTCAGCGACGGCGAGATTGAACGTAGTGAGAAGGAGAGGGAGAAAGAGCTCACCAAGCGCAGGAAACGGAATACACGAGGCCGTCGAGGTATTGCGTTACCTGATCGGGAGCCTAATCGCACGTACCGCACACCTGCTATCGGGTTCCCAGAGCTGGATGCTGCAACCCTTGCGTTGGCCGCCGCGAATGCGCCGACTTCAAGACGTGCTGCGGCCGCCGCTGCTTCTCTCACGATTGCCAACATGGTGGCCTCAGAAAATGGCACGAGCGTCATGCCGCTGCAGTTGCCTCCCCAGCAGATCATAGCTACTGTCGCTGCTGGAAAAGAGAAGAAACCTAAAGGGTTGTTCAAGGCACCTTCGTATCCTTCTTCCGTGCTTCGTCCTCGTGCTCAGGTCACTGCTCCCACACCGTCGACAGCGGTCGAATCAACGTCAATGCTGCCTTCATCGTTTCTTGACACTGAGGCACCCGCCTCCTCAGTTAGTATCCCTCCCCCTGATTTGCGAGCTGTTGCAAAGAAAGCCAAGGAGCTCGAAAGGGAGGCCAAGGAAAAAGAGTTTGTCGATGGACAGCATGCTAATGTTATTAACGGGGTGTGGCACTGCTCGAACTGCGGGTGTCCGGAGAGCGTTGCTATCGGACGAAGAAAGGGCCCATTGGGCGACAAATCGCAATGTGGCACATGTGGTGCGTCGACCTTTTCGGCTAATCAATCATACACTTCTGACAATTTATCGTTATCCAGGTAAATTCTGGCATCGACACCGCAGACCCCGCCCTGTAACATATAACCAGGATCCCGATTACCATTTGAGCCTCAGGCACGAAACAGAACAGGTTAAAATCGGGGTGAAACGAAAAGGACGAGCGCCGAATTCTCAGTTGGCTGCTGATGGCCAAGATACGCCTAGTCGACAGAAATCAGACGTCTTTGTCGATATCTCTACTCGACTGCCTGTGGTGGCTTCCGAAGACGACAGAGCCATGTCGCCAGTATCGACTGCCTCTAGTGATACAGAAGCTCCTCTTGCCCAACGCGTTACAAAAACCAATGGTGCCAACCATGCAGGACCCGCGTCGTTACCTGGGTCGCCACATCCAACAAGCAACGGGGCTGCACATCCTACTTCGCCCAGGGAAAGTAGTGCTCCAATTTCAAACGGCTTATACGTCAGCGTTTTCCCTCTGAGACCAGGATCTTATTGATGCTGAATATTAAGTGAACAGGCCGCTCCGCCATGGCTAACTACAGCAATTCGTTCGCTTCAGGACCAATACCCAGATGATAAGTTCGAGGCAATCCTACGTAGACAGAGCCCACGTGCTGTACCAGAGTGGAGGATGAAATGTCTGGATTGCCCTGGCAAGGTTCGTCCGTACAACTAGACTTGGACCAACGCAGACTTAAGTTTGGTTTGCAGCTATATAACTCTGGGCCTGGGGATACGCTGTCGAACTACGAAGTCCATCTTAGAAACCGACAACATCGATTACGGGTGAACGCTCGTCTGACGCAGGCGTTAGCATCATAGTAGACGGTTTGCATCGTTCGTGTTGGCTGGCTTGCGCTATTTCAGTATTTTTCTTTGTGCATCTGTTGTGTTCATATGCTATCTGTATAACGTATATATACCTTTGCTTGTAATCGCTATTGGATTACTAAACCCATCAGCGCAGACTGGTCAAACTCACCATGTGAAGCATGTGACGTATTTGGCAATGAAGTTCATCCACCCAAGTGCCCGTTCCACTGAGTGTACCGTCCGAGCTCCACTTGAGAGCCCGCGAGAATAGAAGGCGGACGCTGCTGCAGAAAGCACGAACTATTGTTGTTTTGTATTCTCTCATGTTCATGGGCTGTTTGCTTGTTATTCTCCCTTGGGTTGCAGTAAAACGAGATTTCCAAACACCGTGTAAGCACCTGCGCCACGAGAGAGGGATCACCTTGACTCTGTCAGGTCAGCGTCCCACTCACTAACTAAGTTCCATGACCCGCTGGCTAGTATATCGTTGTCTGGAGGAATGTCTGAAGTGATAACCACGCTGGTGTGACCATCCAAGGGAGCTCTGATGACCTTCCCACTCTCAGCATCGTGCACCCATGGAGATGAAGCGAAATTGTGAAGCAACGACGGTAGACGATACTCTTCTGGGCTAAATTGGAGCGCTTCAGAGTAGCGCTTGATGTCAAGGTTGAGATTGTGTGGGTTTCTCCGTTCCTTAAACAGTGTGCCAGCGACCGGTTGGCAGGTTATTTAACAAATCAGCGTGTTCTGGGTGGGATGGTGGTCGCAGGTGTAGAGCTTCGCTGTAGCAGTCTACAGCTGCATCAAAATCATCAGGGCCCCCCCTGAAACGCGAGCCTGGGAGGTCCTATCGATATCGTGCTATCGAAAACAGCTGCGGTTGTGATGGAAGGCTTTGTTTGGCAAATCCTTTAGATCCAACAACAACCGCTTTGTGCTTATGAAAGTTGATGTATTGAGCAAAACCGCCCGTTGAGTGTTTCCGTAGTAGAACGCGTGTACATGTAATGACGAGGATAGCTGAACCGATACCCATGGGACAGAATGTGGTTACGAAATCACCTACATGCGAGAGAAAATAATATGACCACTGGTGCGGTAAAGTGAGTTTGATAGCCAACACGAAAAACAAAATTTCAAAATGAAGGAAGGATACAACTTAGTACTACGCACAGCAAGAAAACCCGCACAACACTAATAATCATTGTTGTAGCGTCCACAGGGATAGCACACCCGTACCAGAAACCTGTTGAAGGAACCTTCAATGGTCGTGTGTGAATCTGAGTCGCGATTGGTGTGGTGGTTGGTCACAAAGTGCAATGGGGACACGTCCGATGATGGTCCTCCAATGGCTTGTGAATATTGAGCTGCATTGACGGCTACGGCGTGCGATGGGGATGGGTGTGATGATGTACCTCCTGTAGCTTGCGAGGATTGAGCTTCATTGCCGACCACGGCGTGCGATGATGGCCCTGCCTGTACAGAAACTACTTGCGAAGATGATCCCGGCTGTGACGAGCTGGCACCTAAGTGAGGAATACTACCCGTCACCGCCGATGGCTGTGTCTTGCGTACCCGCTTCATTGGGACATATCTCTGCGAGTTCCGTCTCTCATAAGAATCAAAGTGTCCAGAAGATTTAACTAAAGGTTACCTGGAACCCGCGCACAGCATATACCTCAACGACTTCGGGATGTTTCGTTGCCGGAGCGATGTTGGTGTCGGAGGGGTCTTTTCCACGGCCACGCATCATCCTTTTCCAGATGCTTCGATTGTCTTTGCTACCGAGGTCGTCGAGGTAAGTGGGATCATGAGATGGTGTGCTCTGCGCGTCCGTGGGAGTCTCGTCTCGCTGTTCGCCTTCATTCTTTCTGGCGCTGGGCGGATCATTCGCGGAACCGCACTGAAAGCCGTCGTATTGAGGTGACATTGTGGGAGAGCATTAAGGCACTCACATCATTGTCACCTTGCTCGCCTTTGCCTTCTCCTACTTTACCTTCTTGTACTGGTGGATTGCCTATCATGGTTGCGAGCTCCAGAAATGTGTTTGAGCGAGCACGACGAGCAAAGAACTTGCGCTTCGAGCGTTCTTTTGGAACAGACTTGTCTGCTGGTGGGTGAGGGCGAGAGAAGACCTTGGAGAAGCAGCGAGCTGAAAATAGGTGGGGGAGATGGGAGCTAGGGGATGCTGATGGAAGAGATTGATGCGAAGACTACAATTACATGTTGTCAGCAGTATGTAGTTGCATGAGAAACACGAGTTTAACCTGGAAGAAGTTGTTGTATGGACTATCATTCCCCTCCTCGATGATGCCATCGCCCCCGGTAGCATCAGCCTGCGACAGCACTGTGAGCAAGGAAGACAGGCGGCCAAACATGAAAGTACTGACATCAAGGTATGAAGATGGGGAGTTGGGCTGAGTTTCAGCCTTGGAATGAGTGCGTGTGAGCATGCGAGGGAGTGAGATCACAGTGGGGAGTTGTCACCTCGTTCTTCGCGCTGGCCAGAGAAACACTTTCTGCTGCTGCGAGGACATCCTCAGGTATCTCCCATTGCGAGATTTTCTTGTCCCAACCGCAACTGAATACGGAGCGTCCATCCACCGAGAATGCAACACGAAATACATCATCTGAGTGCTCAAATCGGGCTACTTCTGTGCCTGTGGGGAACTGCCATGATCGGACAGTGCGGTCGTTAGATGCTGATGCAAGAAGGGTGCCAGCTGCGTTCAAGACAATATGGAGGATGTTGTAATTTTTGTCATGGCCAATCCAAGGATCACCAGCCTGTTTCCATGTGGATGTGTCCCAACAGCGGATGACAGGATCATTTGAACTACCAGCTGAGAAGAGATGTGCGTTATCACGACTCCAGGTGAGCGAGTAGTTGAATGCATTGTTAAAGCCGCAGTGGCCGTTGAATTGAGCGAGACGCTCCATTCGTTCCAAGTCCCATATTTGTATATCTTCCATGGTAGCAACGGCGAGTTCACCGGTCGGGGAAAATCGGACGCAATGGACGGGTGATCTGCACGCAAGAGGATGACCTTTCCTCTGCCAGGTGGTCGTGTCCCATAAAATCACTGTGCGATCATATGACCCGCTGGCCAACATCTTGCCGTCAGGGGAAATGTCCAAAGTAAACACAGTGTTTGTGTGACCTTCCAAGGGACCTGCGACGATCTTCCCACTCTCAACATCACGTACCCATAACCCCCAATACACCACTTTATTAAAGTCGTCGTCTTGAAAACCTTTTTTGGGGTCGCTTCTTGGGTCCTCTCCCTCAGCACTTGCAACCTGTTTCCCGTTTACAAAGACTACACATGGGGCGAGCATCTGCTTCACCACCCACTTCATCATCTCATTGCCGTCCTCAAGCCTCCATATCCGTATTGTCTTGTCGAGAGACCCAGTCGCTATTCTCTTGCCATCCAAAGAAGTTGCGATTGAATTAATGGCACTATCATGACCCTGAAACGTCTTGACAGGCTCTCGATATGATCCAGGTAGCTGTTTGTCATCCCTCATCCTCAGCTGTTCTCCCGCTGAATTCCTCATATGTTATACCTAGCGGAAAGTTAGAGACGCCAAAGAGGATAGTGCGAGAAATATACCAATCGCTGAAGCAATGGTTATGGTCAAGGTGCGTAGTCGTGCCAAAGCACTGCTTCAGCCGGGACGGCACACTACATTTTTCGGTCCGTTTTGCCACCGCAAACAAGCGCTGGGACACAAACCAGTACAGGCCCTAGGGCCTAATACGAGGACCAACAGATCCAAGACCGGGACAACGAACACATGCGAGACCAGAACGGCAGGCACAGATGCAAATTACATCGCAGGTACCGATACCAGCGCCACCACGAGCACTGCCAGTGTACTTCTGAGCTACACCGAGAGCCATGGAGGAGGGTGGAAGGATATACGGACTGATGCTTTCACCGGACGGGAAGATGATTGCGTGCGGGTAGGAGGACGGAAGCGTTCAGCGGTGGAAAGAAGAGTCAAGGTGAGTCCGAAAGCTGCACAGCTGTAAACCGTAACTCAAATCTGCTTCTTGGCATGATAGATCAACGGTAATTATCGGTAGTCTCTCTCAATTGTGGTTAACTATTTATATATTGGCCCTCATCTCATCTCACTGGCAGGTTATACGTAGACGCAGGTTGATCATCTATGGACAACGGCAAGCCCAAACTTCTATATGAACGGAGAGGCTAGCGCTGCTTACCTTCTCGCGTCGGCATTCCGTTTCAACACCTTGGCTCCTTACGGATACAGAGATTTCGTGCTTCAAATACTACAAGGACTCCCTTCGGTCGGCAGTTGCAGCATTGCGTTTATAATAAATAACTCGGAAAATACAATGTTTGCAGAATCTCGTTCTTCGCTCGTCTCCGTAAATAATCATAGTGTGTATCTCCGTGTCCTTACTCTCGATAACATTGACCGTGAGCGAAGGGGTCACTGCGGAGGTCAAGAATAGGAATAGTCGTTCGTGCACGTCCAACAGATAGATACCATCTTCGGCGGAAGCTGTATTCGCACCAAACATAAATACATCGACACGGAGATCACCACTGTCTGGAGTGGCGATGAATTCGAATCCGTCGTATCGCCAGAAATTCTTTTCATCAATTTGAAATTTGCCGCCGTTTTGAACGCCAACGACGCCATGAAAAGATCTAGCAGAGCGCCATAGCCAATGCGCGCAAGGAAATAGGAGAACGCAGAGCAACGATATCAAATGACGCGAATTATTCAAATCATCGGTACAGACCAACGGCAAAAACGCGCGCAGTCAGATGAAAGTGTTGTGGATACATGGCCACAAGGAATTACACCAAATCGTACCAGTATACATGGATTTCATCCGCATCAGCTCTCAGCATTGCGCTTTTATCAACTGCGACGCCCTTTCCTCCGTGTGACGAGGGGTAAAGATACAAGGGAACACAGGATGTCTGCATCGGTTCAAGGTTGGCTCAGATAAACTGCAAGGAAGGAACCTCGAGGATATGACTCACGTCGTTACGCCTCCCGTCCACTTCACCCCTTCAGCATCAGGCCCGACGTTCCATCCTAACGCACGTTCCACCCGGAAAACAGCAAGAATATTCACGACAGCAGCGAATAAAGAAGCATCCGCAACATGACGTCCAACACTGCTCCAAAGGTGAAGCAAAACCATTTATCCTTGAACTTCGAACAATCTTACCAAACACGCCTTCCGAATCCAAAAGCGAAGGAAATATCAGGGCCATGCGCTGATGGCGCTTCGACGGAGACCTTCGACATATGGCGCTCGGGCACGAACTTCGTCGGGTTTGGATATTTCTCTGGATTGCGTGCCATAGACCTTTGCATATGAGGAAATCATTATGGTTTGATCTTTGTTCACTTGACATGATGGATTACCACGTGTTGGCCATTACAGTAGCCCCTTGTCAAAAACTTTTTGAGCGGAAATAGGGCTTTCAGTCTGTGTGAACTGACCTTTTGGAATATAATAGCCTTCGTAGACGTCGTCATTTACCGTGGCATGGGGAATACCTAGATACACGGTTAATGATCGTGCTAACTAGAGTTCGAGGAATCAATAGCACTGACCCAGAGGTACGACGGGGAACCACCTCAGCGTCTCCTGTATGACGGCATTGACGTAGGGCATGGAAGCGCGATCGTCCCAGTCAGGAAGTCTTTCGAGGGTTTCCCCAATGACGGAATCAATCTCTGCTTGAGCACGTGCTTGTACCTCAGGGTAAAGAACCATCGCAAGCAAAAAGACATATAAAGTGGAAGTCGTCTGCGCCTTGAGTCAGTTGATAGCTAAAGTAGAAATCTCATCTAAACATACCGTTTCCGAGGCAGCTAGAAGCACGGAGAAAATCAGAAATATGTGAAACACATCCATGATCATGACAAATTTGTCACGGACCAGCATAACCAGAGGCACTGGCTTCCTTAATCGCTTTCTCAAGAACAGCGGCCTCCTTTTCTTCACTTGTTTTCTCTGGTATACGACGCAGTGCATCCGACACCATGGATGGTGCAGCCGTTCCAGCAGCCTGAGAATCATCAGTATTTGGATCATACTGAACACCCAAAGCCACTTGGCACTTGCCATATTCTTCTTCACATGTTCAAAGGGCAAGTCCACAGTCGTGGGAATGAGGGTCTTCAGGAGTATTGCACCCCTTACAAAGCTCGCTCCAGGGAACCAGGGAGGAAGTTTCTCCACTATGGGTACATAAGAATAAGACCACAGCTTAGCGAGGTCGATGGTGCAGAACAATACGTACATATCGGAAATTCTGATACGACAGCTGCGACCTCAGGCCTGAGTTCCCTTATAGATATCTCGAGTGCCTGCTCGACAGCCGCAACAAAAGGATCATCACGGGGCGCTGTCGAATAGTCATACACTATTGACATGATGATGGACGTGCTGAATCTATGGAGAAAGCATGATTCAGCTACGTCATACGTGAAAGGGGAATAACTAACGTGTGGAGATGGGCTCCATACGCCTCCGGAGATGCTAGTAAGTTTGACACTAAATTGCGAGCGTTGCGCATCTGAATCGGCCGAAAGGCTGGTGCTGCTTCTAAGCGGAATGCTTGATGGTAGATTCGCCTGTCTAAGAAGACGTAACAAGTGAGATAAGAGAACTCGAAGCCTCAGGGCTGTACTGACGAAGTCTCCACCTGTCTGAGTATGGTAGAAAGACAGAGGCAAACTCGGAGCCAAAACTGGGAGTCGTTGAACGATAGGCATACAAACGATAAGTAGAAGGGGCCTCACAAGTCAAGAACGTGCATAAGCCCTGGGGGTCTCGTGGAATAGTTATGTGAACGACGGGCGAGCAAGTCATGAGCAACTCTCTCGGAGTTGATGATCACGATATCCTGACTGAAGAGTCGAGAGTAAACGATCTCCCCTGTGTCATAGTTCAGGACATCCACATACGCAAGTGGTTGTTCTACGTACCATACTCATTTCCCCATCTTGAGTACGCCAACCATGGATGATCCGTATCGATTCCGACCACATTTCCAACGAAAGGGAGAGGTGGAGGACCAGGGGGTAAGGGAAACCCCTTAGTATCTCTCTTCTTTTGCAAGGATCGCACTATCACGAAAGAGAATAGCGATAGGAGAGCAATCGCGAGGGTGGGGGCCATAACTTGAACAGTGACTATGGTGATTGTACCTCTAAGACCTCGAGCATAACCACAGCCGGTATATATACGCTTCGACAACGTGCCGACGTTCTACCGTCTCTTTGTATATTTAGCCGTAATAGGAATGCAGGATGTTCCTGCAACAAGTGTCAGAAGTGGACTAGTCATTCTGGATCCGGGTCATGCCCGAGATGCGGGAATAAGCAAAGAGTGAATTCAAGCAGTGACTTGTACTGTCATTGTACATACACATAGTATGTAGCCTCCTTCGAAGCCATAGATAAGCATTAAGTGTTGTGCTTGAGTCTTGAGTATACGAAACCTATGATCAGTACTTGCGGTGTGCGGTGACCGAGCAAGGGTGCGGATATCGATGACTGTGGGTGCCGGTGCTATGCAGATTCCGAGTCAGAATGACAAGGTCACATTAATGGGGACCGGATAGTGGAACGTTGGACTGCGGAATATGTAATCGTAGGCTTGGCTTCGCCATCGTTGATTGAAAGGGTCCTTCTCGGATGCTCAGCATCGCGCTTTTATCGTTCATTTCTGCGGATGCGACTTAGCGACTCACCGAAGAGCAACCGAAGAGCAAAGGCAATCGATCCCCGGTTTCAATCACCACTGTGATTCTAGTGGTTAGTTTCAGATCTTCTGATAGGGCGCGCGTTTCACCAACTACAATGAGTGATGCCCAGTGAAAACCCAACACGATGGCCATTGGCTTCTGTGTGTCTGGTGCACTGTCTTGTTCTGTGCAGGTCTGTCCAGAGTGTGGGAATTTACTGAGCAATAGCCACCAAACCGCCAGTTATTCCTGCTTAAATATTGATATACCTTTGCTTGTAATCGCTATTGGATTACTAAACCCACCAGCGCAGACTGGTCAAACTCACCATGTGAAGCATGTGACGTATTTGGCAATGAAGTTCATCCACTCAAGTGCCCGTTCCATTGTCAGATCAGAGTGCTCACATGGGTGCTTCCTTGTGACGGACCTTGTCTAGATCTGCCATCTTTCTGCTCTTACCATGTCTGACATGATAGTTTGGCGACCAGAAGATGATCCAAACATCAGACCTCCGCTTCAGGAGGGCCAGGTACACAGGCCAGACATACTTGACTTGATTGAGACCTCCCTCGACGGACTGCGCGGGGAACTGAGGGCACTAAGTCTCGATATCCATGGTAATCACCCCTTAGAGCGGTGCTTTCATTTTGTATCAACGCATCCTACGCTCACGCATTTTCGAAAGACCATCCAGAACTGAGGTTCGAAGAAAAGTGTGTTGATTCTCATCGTACGCCATAGCTAAGCGCAAACGCTCAGAAGAATTGTCGCAGATATGCCCATGACGCATACACTGCGTTCATGGAAAAACATGGTTTCACAGTAACCAAGAACTATCATCTTGAGACTGCCTGGGTGGCTACCTACACCCATGGACAGGGAGGGCGCGTTCTGGGCATCAACTCTGAGATGGATGCGCTCCCTGGAATCGGACACGCTTGTGGACACAATCTGATTGGGATATCCGGAGTAGCGGTAGCTCTTGCAGCCAAGGATGCTATGGAGAGGCTGAACATCGATGGAAAGGTGGTTCTGCTGGGTACACCTGGTGCGTCGGTTGTCTGCATTTGCAATGATCGACTGTGAGATAACACGTTGCAGCCGAGGAGGGTGGGTTTGGCAAGATCATGCTGTATGAAAAGGGGGCTTATGATGAGATGGATGTGTGCCTTATGTCAGTTCCTCTACCTGTGGTCCATATCAGATGACCAGGATTACTCAACCTACTTTGGAGGTGCCATCCCGCACCTGGCCCCCGCCACTCCATTAGTTTGACTAGCTGCTTGGCTCTTTCTTTCATCACTGTGGAGTATCATGGCCATACGTCAATGTCTTTCGTACTCTTTATCGACTAGTAGTGTCTAATTCTTGGCGTTTACAGTGCTCATGCTGGGCTGAGCCCCTGGGAGGGTCAAAATGCGCTTGATGCGGCCGTCCTTGCATATAATAACATCTCCCTTCTTCGTCAGCAGATTAAACCTACTCATCGCGTGCACGGCATCTTTGAGGGAAAGGATTGGGCTCCAAACAGTGAGATTTTCACCCTCCGTAAAAACGCTTGGAAGATAAACTTTGAAAATCAGTCATCCCAGACCACGCTATAATGCAGTAAGTCGATCTTAGGAATCACTCGCTTCAAGCGCTCTAGACCCGTGTATAGGTGGCTAGTCCGTGCTCCTACGACATCAGAGATGGAGGACACCAGGACACGTGTTATTGCCTGTTTCGAGTCAGTCTTCACTGTCGACATGTTCGATTGATTAGACAACATCATCTCTTTTCTCATCACAGAGCAGCTGCACTCGCATCGGGATGCAAAGTCCAAATTACAGTTACAGCAACACTCAACGAAATCACGCAAAACAAAGTACTTGGTATGAAATCGTGGGATACTGTAGCTTGGTACTGAATATCATACCAGGCGATGAGCTTGCTGACATTGTTTTGAAGCGCTATGGTGCTATAGATTATGAATGGGGTATCAAGAGTGCATCCACTGATTTCGTGAGTGCTTCGCATTTTCAGAAAGTGCGACAGAGCTGATGTTTCGGACCAAAAAAGGGGAACATTTCGTACTGTGCGTCTGACCTCCATGACCGGGATAGGTAACCTTTGCTAATGAAGTTCTTGTTCGTCAGTGATGCCTGGTCTTCACCCTGGTTTTTGTAAGTAGCCCAGGTTTCGAACCAACAAACAAGATACTAACCGTTTTTTAAGCCATTCCGACCATTCTAGACGGCGGGAACCATACCCCAGGATTCACGGATGCTGCACGTTCCGAAGTATCCCATGATGCCTGTTTGGTGGTATCGAAGGCACTCGCGGCTGTAGGCATGCGAGTGTTGACTGACGAGGCATTCCTCCAGAAAGTAGGTGTTACGCGTCGTTCAGATAACTTCGTTTTGACTTCGTTTTGCAGGTTAAGGACACTTTTGAGGAAGGTAAGAAACTAAGAGTGTAACCAAGCTCCCACGCACAGGCTCTCCATTCTCCCTTCAGCAACTTCATCTCACATCTAGTACTTCTCAATCGATACGCTAACCTTTGATGGAGCACCTTGTATGATCAGAAGCAAGAATTTGTATATGTCAAACATAGTTATATTGAGTCTGTCCCCTTCCGTTCTTCAGCTGACCTCCCGATGATAAACACACGCATGACCAGCTTGTGTAGCAGCTATTAAATTGCCTCGCGACTTTTCTTGATAGGTAATTGGTTTTTCTTGTAACTCTTATTGAAGCGTTGGCCGTGGCGGGACTGTCTCGTCCTGATATTTTATGCCGTTTGCCATCTATGTCCACGAGGATATGCTATGTGCTATATATTCCCTACAGTTTTATACTCTTGGTTCCACACCATGTCCGCACAGGTCCAGATCTGTGGTTGCAGTATCGATTTGAATAAATGCTGATCTTTATTCCCGTTTCCCGACTCGGCTGCAGTTAATGCCATGGCCCAGACAATGCTCAGCAGACCCTCTAAGGTCGTGGAAAAGAACCTTGTCAGTTGGAACAAGTGCCCTGAGCCTGAGAGTACTATTCTCTGCTAGTGATTGCTAGTTTGGAATTGAACTTCATTTCAACTCATTGTTTCTGACATGGCAATAGTTCAGGCTGATGTTCTTTGGCGGCCAGAAGATGACTACAAGGTTAAACCGACACTGGAACAAGGGGGCATTTATCGACCGGATATCCTTGCGGTCGTAGATACCGCTATCGATAGTCTCAGCGGAGATCTACGAGAACTGAACCTCGATATTCATGGTAAGATTATGTATTTTGCTCCTATCTGCCGTTGTCATGAAATGCTAATTTAGATACGCAGATCATCCAGAGCTTAAATACGAAGAGCGGTACGTCCATATCTCGATTTGAAGTTGCCAATCGTGCAACCGAACTAATCATCCGCCACTCAGATACGCCCACGATGCGTACACCTCTTTCTTAGAGAAGCGCGGTTTTGAAGTCACGAGGCATTACCTCTTGGAGACCGCATGGGTTGCGACCTATACCCACGGGCGGGGGGGACACGTTCTAGGGGTGAACTCAGAGATGGATGCGCTCCCGGGCATCGGGCATGCGTGTGGGCATAATCTCATCGGCATCTCAGGTGTCGCTGTCGCCTGTGCAGCAAAAGTGGCGATGGAGCAGCTCAATATCGATGGGAAGGTGATTCTGCTTGGTACACCTGGTACGTCGTTTCCCCTGATCGGAATGGGCCGATAACATACCCCCAATAGCCGAGGAAGGCGGATTTGGGAAAGTGAAGCTGTGGGAGAGGGGAGCATACAAAGAGATGGACGCGTGTCTCATGTCTGTGATAAAACCTGGCTGAATACTGTTGTTTTCTCGTCGACTCACGTAACATGTTCGTGACAGGTGCCACCCTGCTCCTGGTCCCCTTCACTCCATCAGCTTGAGCAGCTGCCTTGCAGTCATACGTCTGGAGATAGAATATACAGGTCACACGTACGGTCCTCCGATGACCATACTCTGACTTGAACTCTGACTCGTGCCTCCGACAGTGCGCACGCTGCACTTAGCCCCTGGGAAGGAAAGAATTCGCTGGATGCAGCTGTTCTGGCATATACGAACATCGCTTTGCTGCGCCAGCAGATCAAGCCTACGCATCGCGTCCATGGAATTATTGAGGGCAATAATTGGGCACCGAGTAGTGAGCCATGTTCGTCATTCAGCGCTGGACATTCATCTGAGACCGTGTGCGACAGTCATCCCTGACAACTCAAAGATGTAGTATGTGTGGTTTCTAGATCCAGAGACTTGGTGCAGGTGATGATGTACTTCAGCTATTATATCCGTGCGCCGACCACCGTTGAAGCGGAAGAGACGCTCAAGCGCGTCGTTCCTTGTTTCGAGTGAGTTACTCTATCACGCATTCACAAGATCCCGATCCCAGACTTTGCGCAGAGCAGCAGCGCTTGCAACCGGGACGAATGTCAAGGTGACCAGAGGAGCCACCGGGAATGAGCTTGTGCAGAACAAAGCCCTTGGTGTGTCGTCTTGATGGTAATCTCGTCATTCCTCCTAAAATTTTGCACAGGTGACGAAATGGCTGATGTGGTCAGGAAGAAGTACGGCGTCATTGACTATGAATATGGGATCAGCGGTGCATCAACAGACTTTGTGAGCATGCTTGTATAGTATCTCAAGCATGTATACTGATATCAGCAAAGGGAAATGTTTCGTATTGTACGTCTTGGTCGTCATGTCTGGCAGAGACTTTGAATGTCATTATTCACCAGTGATGCCTGGCCTACACCCCGGATTTTGTTCGTACAGTTCTCCCTTCTTTTGCTGATAATTTTTGACTTCAAAATTACTTCTCAGCCATACCAACAGTCCCGGAAGGCGGTAACCATACTCGGGCATTCACCGAATCGGCACGTTCGCAGGCTGCTCACGATGCGTGTCTCGTTGTCTCAAAGGCCCTTGCACACGTTGGCATGCGCGTGATCACGGACGGTGAATTTTTGCGGCAGGTAAGATGGCATATCTTTCCGACCTTCTGATTGCTACGATACATTTTACTGCAGGTGAAAGATGCTTTCGAGGAGCAAAAGAACAACAGGACGTGAAAACACGGCACAAATACGAACAATATAACTACATTGCCAGGCTTACAAATACAACGACTTCTGATTTTGCTTTCACTCCAAACCCAACCTGGCTGGGCGAGCTGCTCACCACTTTTCGTGGGCAGGACGCACTGTTCGGAAGTGTGTGAGAAATGGGTAATGGCAAATCATAGCCACGCTTACGGTCGATCTCCCAAGTCCAGGCTGAGCTATCTTGCTTGACGAGGTACTCATAGGACTGAGGGGTGTGATCAGTTCAGACGCGTGCTACCACAAGAACGCTCCAACCTTTGCGATAGCGTCGGGATCAAGCCGGACATCCTGGTTGGCCTCCCAAGAGGGGTCGTCTCGCCGAGATTTGGTGCGGTCAGTGAGAATACCTGTTACTCATTAGACGATCTTTTGTAGTTGCTGATATCATGCTTACCGCCGTCGATGATACTCTGCGTAACACGCTCAAACGTTCATAAACACTCTCAGCACCAGAAAATGGTGACTCACATGAGCAACCTAAGAGATAAAATCTCAGTCTACAAACGATCCTAAGACGATATGCAAGACACCCACATGGATATTCTGCTTGCCGAACTCCTTGGCTAAGCTTTGTGACAAAGCCCTTATACCAAACTTGCTCGCAGAAAACGCAGAGGTCAGGGTGTTGCCTCTGGTAGAAGCCGTCGCGCCGGTGAATATTAGGGTACCCCTTTTGCGAGCATCACCAGCAATTCCGCCCTCGCTCGCAGTCTCCAACTCAAGCTTCGTAAACTCGAGAAGGGTCGCGCGTGCAAAGGCAAATGCCGCCACTATATTAGTGTCGATCGACTCACGCACTTCGTCTTCTGTGATGTCAAGGAATGGCTTCCAGACGCCGTAGCCCGCATTAAAGACTGCGACGCGGAGAGGTGAGGAGGGCCAGTGAGACTTGAGGGAAGCGAATGCAGACTGGATGGATGCGGGGGTGTAATCTTTGATGGGGAAGGTTGCGGCCTGTTCCAAACGAGCTGGTCAACATTACTGGAGTGCATGTAAGAATAGGAGTCAGATAAAGCACCTCTCCGCCTGATTGGTTGAGCTCTGTAGCGAGTTTGTTGAGGTGCTCTGGTCCTCGGGAGATGAGAGCGACTCTGTAGCCAGATTTGGCGAAGAGACGGCTGTGGTTTGTTCATTATACTATCAGTGCAAGTTGAAGAGGAAGAACGTGATGTGTGCGTACGCCGTTGCAGCTCCGGTCCCTGCACAGGACGTCAGCCTTGCGTATCGGTACCCACAGAGTAGGACTTACCGCTGCCATTGCCGATACCTGCGACTACGAACAAGGGGCGGACTGAAGACATCTTTCCAGTTGATAAAGCTGTGAGAAGGGAGGCGTAATTACTACGATCTCGTGCAACTTTCGCTACATTTATACATAACCCCTCTCTGGCGCAATTAGTCGTGATCACAAATTTATCAGCCTGGTTCTTCATTATCGCGTCAAATTGCTCCTTAGGATGACGAGTCTAGCTTTGAAATCCCATTAATAATAGGTTGATAATAGGCCACTGTTAACGGGTATGGTATCATCAAGTATCACGCAGGAACCACAGTTCAGGGGAACGAACATTCTGATTATGACAAACGCGTGGTCGGTTATCAGGAAGACGTGGCGTAACAGAACCATTAAAACGAAAGCAAGTCTATTTCGGAACTGGCAAATCTAACAAGATACCTCAGTGGTGGCCGCCCAGTGCAATGTGTCCGGCTTTGCTGTTCTGCCAAGCGTCACGGCTTTTAGCCCAGGTATATGTTCCATATCCTGAAGCCTGATGAGCTTTTTTTTTATGAATGAACGCAACAAGTGACACGCACCAATAGCAAAGGGGACTATCCAGTAGGGAACTTGGGCAGCAAGACGCCTGTAGCCGTTGAATAGCCATCCTCTGATCATGGCTTTGGAGCCCCGCTGTCTAAATGGCGAGACACCTGCCAGTGCAGAAATAAGGGGAGACAAAGAATTCGCATCATGGTAGAAACGCGACGAGGAATGACGCGACAAGTGGGAAGCACGACCCAAAGTTAGAGACATCTTTCAAGCAGACAGTTGGGATAGATGTGACGCACTGTAAACAACCACTCCTCTCTGTTTATGCATGCTGGTGTCGCCCCACCAAGGGCTCTATGGAAGGAGGTAAGAGAGGTAAGAACAGCCGATGCTTGTTATTGCAATAAACTCACAAATGTTTTAGCTGTGAGCTCGGTATTAGCACGACTGTTCCATAATAAAATTAAAAAAAAGAATAACGTACGTCCAGGCATTCCTTCTGAACGGGCAGCAGTGGGACGCATGATGGGCGGAGTGATACACTGACGGTTGGCTGAATCGATGGGTGCGGCGTTGGATGTTTAGACCCGAGGTTTTCCGGCGGGAACAAACAAGGACAACTAACGCCACGAGAAATTTGTCACGTCACAGCATCCGTGACAGGTTCCTCCTGTATTTTGAAGTGTTTTGACCAAACCACGACTACCAAGCTAAAAGTACGTGTCATATGCATGAATTGTCGACCTCCTCAATATCTGAACCATTCACTGACTAGGTCGCACCCACTCCTTTGCTTCCAAAATGATGAGCCACCAGACGCTGTACAATCTGGCGAACTATCTTGGCGCCCTCGCTATGATCACCGTGGTCGCATACCATTTCGTTGCTGTGAACGCAAGATATCTTGCGAAGAACGGCAGTTGAACTCAGAGGGTGTACTAATGACTGAGGATTGCATGTGTAAAGTATGTTGTCGATGTCCTTGCCCTTGCGTGCCTCCGCTGATACGTATGTATTCTCGTTTTATTAGCCGTACTCGGCTGTTTGTCAATAAATAATACCGCAACTCTTCAATATATGCAACGTTCTTTGAAAGACGAAACCAATATGTCCGTTATACGTCTGTATGCATCACGTTAACTCATGGTATCTTGACCTCTTCGCTGCTCTTGTACGTGATCCGCTGCTACCTCCCGGCTCGCATTATTAGCAATCATAGGGTCTTTTCTCTGAGGCTGATCTTGCATGACCTCAGGATATACCATCTCGAGGTCTTCGTCCTGCTTCCTACAACAACAGGAACATGCACGAGGGTCTTTTAGTACCAACTTCGTGAGTGAGCCATTCAGCACGACGCGGGTCGGACCTCCTACCGTTGGTGCAGACACTGCTGCAGATACCTGCAACAATGTTCAACAGTGAGAAATGACTAGAAGGAAATTATCACGCACAACAACAGGTTATAAGGCTGAGGAAGATGTCACAGCAGTCGGACATGGATGTATTGAGCAAAAGTCGACGATCCTTCGTTCACGCAAGCTTGACAACCAGGCTGTGACATTTAACATCGGCAACTCATCTTTTCTCTGCTTTCATCAGAAAGGGTCGTTTACTAGGTATGCACCGAACTATCTATCGTTATCCGCTACTCACACGAACATGAATCAGGCACTATCATGATGTAGTTCACTTAAAAAAACCTTCTCCTGGAACAAGAACAGTCAGTCCCCATGACGCCGCATAGCATGCTCTGTCCCTGTAACGGATGGACCTAGTCACCCAAACCCTTGCCACGTATGAAACATAGTATTACTGAAGCATATGTTTGATTATATCACGAGACACTCACCACCATCTCACCACTCTACTGTATATAACACTCAGTACTAGGTTTAGTGTAGTTCGGCGGTCTTGGAATCTTGTATCTGGTTACTCGAACGTCTGATTCTCACACTCTGTGCCGTCTTATAGCTTCTCACAGCCGTCACAGTCCAGGGCCTTCCCTTCAAAGATGGCGAGGGGTGAGGCCTCACCGAATTTTCTGCTCGGTGTTGCTATGCGTGTATCATGCCTTGAAAAGTTCACGGGGTCCATGCTACGTCGAGGACATATGGGGGCTAGTACGGGTTACCATCGACGAAACAATGCTTGTTCGGCGCTATAATTACATCAATGACTGCAGACTTGATACGTTATTCAATTTAGTACTCAGTGCACGTGACGCTGTCGAAAAGTCTGCATGTTCAAACCAAGTTCAAACACATTCTTTGAGTGCGTCAAAAAAAAACACCTCGAAGGTGGGGATGAGTTAAGTTATAAACTCGTCGTCAACTCCGTGGATAGTTTTTCACGGAGCCCTGGACCTATTCCGCTGCCACCTCCCGGCTCGCATCATTCTTAGCAATCATAGGGTCCTTTCTCTGAGGCTGATCTTGGACGACCCCAGGATGTACCAGTCTGAGGTTTTGGTCCTGCTTTTTAGAACAACAGCAGGAACTTGAACTAGAGTCTGTCAGTACCAACGTCGTGAGTGAGCCATTTACAGTACATTATCTCATAATGTATAGCGACGGGAGCAGCCTTTTCGCTATACAATATGAGAAATATGCACTACCAAATATTTCCCACGGTGGGGGGTCAACCAAGATTGGGGGTGTCGATGCGCGCTACTTGCACAATGCACATAGTCTAAAAATCAATTCTGCACGGCGAGGTGACTTCTGCGAAAGGTAGCGTCCAAAAATTCGTTCGATGGAGGAACACGACGGGGAAAGTACGTAGTGAGTAATGCTATATACAACGGGCAAAGTTCGTAGGATGTGAATCAAGTACTGCGAAGATTTTTGGGGATTCGGATTATGGTTTACTGTTCATCAACGTGTGCAAACACCACCAGCCAGTCGTTCAAAGTAAGATTCTTCCGCCCACTCAGAAAGCTTTGTAGATGTTGCAGGACCACCTTTCTGACGAGGTGTCTTTGGTTTCCGCTTGTATGGGGCGGGATTTGGACGTGGCTGGCGTTTCTTAGGGCTGGGCACCATCATGATTGGGACTTATAAGAATGACTATAAGTTTTTTTTATCTTACAATGTTGTTATGCATCATTTTCCGGCAACTCAACAGTAGTCCTACTCGGTACAAACCATATCTCATAGTGTATATTGGACCTCCAAAGGCTATACATTATACAATATACAATTTTTTGGGCGTCTACCTGCATACCACGATGGGAGCTGCCAAAACTCGATACAATATGAGATTTATACATTACTAACTTATACATTATGACCTATTGTACTGTAGCATGATGCAGGTCGGACCTCCTACCGTTGGAGCAGATATCGCTGCAGATACCTGCAGCAATGTTCAACAGCAGGAAATGACTAGAAGGAACTTATTACGCACAACAACAGCTTACAAGGCCGAAGATAAGCCCACAGTCGCAGTCGCCGCAGTCGCAGTCACAGTTGCAGTCGCAGTCGTCGCACATGGATGTGTTGAGCAAAAATCAACGATCCTTCTTGCTCGCAAGCCAGGGTGTGGGGTTCAACGTCGGCGACATCTTTAATCAGTTTCCATCAGAAAGGGTCGAAACTTTCACTGAACTTTACTGGGCACACAAGACCATGATTCAGGCACTACTTACGTAGGTCCAAAACACACTGCCCGCCGGCACCGGAGAAACACTGGTCGAACAACAAGGTAGACGAGGAACGGGTGGTAATTATAAGGTACTGCTGCGTGCGCACAGCATAATTAGCATATGGCAGGAGGCGCTGGAATATACTGTAATGATAATCTAAGGAGAGACGGAATAATTGAGAAGTGTGTTGGTAACGCTGTATGGCCCTGTTGGGTTGTGCAGCCGTTAAGATGGTGAGCAACGTACGTTGAACTTGGACTCTTTCAGTCTTTCACTCAGTGCATGATTACCTGTTCTTATCCGAGGCAATAAAATCTTCAGGCTCCAGCACGTCCAAATTGAAACACGGGCCTTTTGACGATATGACATCAGAAGCAGACCTCAAAGCCTTCATTGACCGCCATCGTGAACTACTCTCAAAGGAACGCAATGCAGAGATCGAGCGAAGCGCTCTGCTCCTCACAAACTGCGGTCCCAAACTCCTGGAGCAAAAAGGGCTCGCGCTGGGGAGTCTTGGTGTAGTTGGAATCAATATAGGCCTAGGCGGGAAAACGTGTGTTGTCATCCATTTCTTCCTGCCTTTCCGTTTCCTCATTCGAGTCTTACGGAGAAGCGCAGATTAGTCGAACTGGAGCGGCCTACAGCGTTTCATACTTCACAGACATTTCCTCCTCATAACTTCAGGTATGTCGTTAATTGAATACGTGTAGATCTTGTAGTTGAAGTCTCAGAAAGACCGGGAGACCTTGCTCGCATCGAAGAGAATGTATCCTCGAATGCTGCCGCCAAAAAATCTGCGAAAAGTAAGAAGGCTGCATCTGCTGGCGCTGAAAGTTCCCATGCTGCAGAAGGTGTGGTATACAAAGTGTGATATTGTGCAGCTCAGTTGGGCGATCACTGACTTGCGCACTCCAAAATAGGTGTCGGATACCCGCATCGTCATTGCAATGGACCCTTCAGATTCTAGATCAGACGATTTGGACTTTCCTGAACGTTGTCGAGTGCTGAAGTTAGCCAATAGCGTCACTTACGACAGGTATTCGCGCCACTCATTTTTTCCATGCGAGTGTTCTCAATTGCACCACATTCAAGAATGAACAAAACACTGGACCAATTGGAGAAAATCGGCATTCCTTCATCGAGACAGGCAACTCAACCGTACACTCCCGCTCTCCTGATTGCTAACAACAGCTCAAACAGTCCAGCGACAAAGGCGATTATGAGCTGACACCTCTCATCCAAGTCCTACTCGGAATATCTCCACCCTCTGAAAGGACTCCTATGGCGGAACTTAAGTTCTTTGATGACTCTCTGAATCCGAGTCAGCAACAGGCTGTCAAGTTCGCTCTTGAATCCCCGGAAGTCGCTTGTATCCATGGTCCACCTGGTAAGTCTACTCGGTCCTTCCACTCAACATAACCACCTCATGGGAATGATAGGGACAGGAAAAACACACACGCTAATTGAAATTATACGTCAGCTCACCTCTCCTTCAGAGCATGGGGTCAACGAGAAACAGAAGCGCATCCTTGTGTGTGGCGCTTCCAACTTATCTGTCGATAATATCCTAGAGCGTCTTCTTGCCATACCATCCACTGAGAAGGGCAAGAGAACTCTCTTGGCAGCTACCCGCATAGGCCATCCCGCACGCGTGATGGCTAATCAGGGCATCTTAGAAGCAACGCTAGAAGTGAAGGCCAACAAGAGTGATCAAGTTATTCTGCTTCAGTATCTGATACGGTTTGCTAGTGCTGAGACTTTGAGTTAGGCCGCGCTTGCAAAGGACGTCAAATCTGAGATTGAATCAACCCTCGATTTGCTTGCTGGGAAGGGGAAAGGCTCCAAGAAACCGAGAGGTTTAGAACGGAAGAAGATGTGGGAAGACGTGAAGGCTCTCAGGAAGGAGTGAGCATACACGCCTTGCTCAGATTCAGCACGTGTACTTACTTTTGGTTCAGATACAGACAGCGTGAAGGCGGAGTTGTCAAGACTGTCCTCGGGGAGTCTCAGGTATGGCCTGTAATACTATTTCGAGTTACCAGAACCAGCATTGATCAACTTTAGGTTGTCCTTGCTACATGTCATTCCGCTGGTGGCAGGCAACTCCGTGACCACAAGTTCGATGTAGTCATTATCGACGAGGCAACACAAGCGCTCGAAGCAGTCAGTACGATTCTGTTCCAGATGACGAGCTCATTGATATGCCCGCAGGTGTGCTGGATTCCGATACTCAAGGCAAGAAAGCTCATCCTGGCTGGCGATCCGATGCAATTGCCACCTACGATTCTCTCTATTGACAAACATGACAAGAAAACACCGAAGACTGTGACACCCAAAAAGAACGAAAGTACTGTGGATGATCAGAAGAAGTCGCAAGAGTCAGCAACATCAAAGTCTCAGCTGCCCGAACCCGAAGAAGGCGAGGACGCCAGTCCTAGTGATGCAGATTCTGAAGCGGAATCAGTCAAGGGAGATGAAACCATGGCACAAGACGCCACACTCGAAGTCTTCGGAGCAGGATCACAGCATAATTTAGCTGAAAGAACTCAAAAGAAAACAAAGAAACGAACTGGCTTGCGACCACCTCGAACATTAGAAACAACGCTCTTTGACCGACTCGAGAGGATGTATGGTCCAGATATAAAACGCTTGCTCAATGTACAATATCGGTAAGACACAAGTCATGCTCAAATTGCACTTAAGTAGCTCACAACGCACATCCCTAGCATGCACTCGCAGATTTGCCAGTTTCCTTCCAAAACGCTGTATGCGTCAAAGCTCGTGTCCCATCAATCTGTAAGATCTCATCTACTCAAGGATCTACCCTCCGCCAGCGCCTTTACTGCCTCTGAAGATGGGGACACCATCAAAGAAACACTGGGAACGCCAGTCGTGTTTTTTGACACTGCGGGTTGCGAATACTTTGAACGAGTAGATGGAGATGGCGACGAAGGCAGCCGCTGCAACGAGAACGAAGCAGTCGTGGTGTCAAAATGGGTGGAAAGGTTGACGGGAGCTGGATTGCTGCCATCACAAATTGCCCTAATCACTCCGTATGCAACCTTCTCCCGAGCTGAGACACACAAGTCGGACTTATTCATATTATATATCAGGTATCAAGCACAGGTCACTCTTCTCACTTCTTTGCTCAGACCAGTATATGGTCCTGAGCTTGAGATTGGAACAGTCGATGGGATGCAGGGACGAGAGAAGGACGCTGTCATTATTAGCTTGGTGCGCAGCAACGACAAGGTGCGATTTACCCCTCTCTACTGCGCTTTTTATTGACAAGAGGATTCTCAGCGCGAAGTCGGGTTTCTGAAAGAGAAGAGGCGTATGAATGGTTTGTAATATTATTCAGATAGGAACGTCATCCTCATTAACTCGTCCAACAGTCGCCATGACCCGAGCAAAGAGGCACTTGGTAAAAATGCAAATGTTATCCTCATCATGTCGACTGATCAGGACTCGCAGTGTATTGTGGGCGACTCGTCGACCGTGAAGCATGGCAGCACGTACCTGAAGAAGTGGCTTGCTTGGCTCGAGGCAAATGCAGATGTGAGGTTTGCGGAATTTGATTCCATTTAATCATGGATTTGGCCCCTGAATATTGAATTTTGAATGAAATGATCACAATGTAGGTCACAATTCCAGTGATGTGGCGGTCAAGTGGCGGTACAAGGTTGCGTACAACACGAATATACAATATGAATAGCCAGAGGAAAGACTCCCAAGAGGGTTCCACTTCAGATTAACCAGCGAGATCCCTTAGACAACGCCAACTTGGAGCCTGTACAAGACTAATGCTAGCAGACCTACAACACGGCATACACTACAACAGTCAGAAAATGAATGCAATGGTATAACGAGGGAGATGATCGATGAATAACTTATTAAATACCTGTAATGGAAAGAAGAGGACACCGGGCGAAGGCCAGCCAGCCACTCAATACTCCTCAACATCAGTAAAAGAAGCATAATCCGACAATGTCCGCACATCCTCATACTCCAGCACAACTTCCCGCATCGCATAGCGCATGATCGGCGTCAGGGGCACCAGTTTGGGGCCAATTACTTCATCATCCTCGTCCTCCTCGTCGATCTGCCCGAGCTCCCGTGTGGACATATTGATGGGATTCACCACCATCATATCGCCGTCTTCTGAGGACGCACCAAGTGTGCTGCCGCTCCCGATATTGATTGGGCTGGGTATGATGCCCACCGGCGGATTAATGGCGCTAGGCGTTACTGGTTCAGGGCGCGCTAGCGGTTCGCCCTCGTGCGTCACCGGGTCTGTCCACTGCAGATTCAACACGCGGCCCTTGATCATCCCATCCACCGCGCGCACGCCAAGCTCCCGACACAGCAAAAAATATGGCAGATGGGTCGTGCCCGCCTGACTCAGCTTGCTCATCACCTTGAGCAACTGCATCGCGCTGAAATCGGAAGAATAGTCCTCGCTGACGCTGCCGGGGTCACGGAGGGAGTTTCGAACAGGAGGGTATGTTTTGAAACCAGCGGGCCCGAGGTTGGCATGCAGTGCGTCAGGCCCGGAGGAGCGCGGGCGGGCGGCAGGTGTGCTGGGTGTTGTGGGGTCTTGGCCGCCACTGGTCACTGTGGTGGCTTGTGAGGAGTGAATGATGTGAAGATTGAGGACCGCATGTGCCTGTAGGAAGTGGGAGCTTTGTTTTACTATGATACGACGTTAATGGCTGCCAGTGTGGTAAAGCGACGTAAACCTTACTTTCAAAGTTTCCACCTGCATTGACTGTGAAATATCTGTCAGTATTCCTCCTGAAAAGACAAAATAATGGTAAAAAACATACTGTAATCATTGACATAGTCATTCCAGTGCGCTAGCTTGCCACCAAATGCATCATATAATGAGTCAAACGATAAGGCTGCTTGTAGGTGTTCTGGAACGCGAGGCAGCATTTTCTCAACAAAGAAGGTGCGCGTCTCTGCCTTCGTGCAATCTCCGATGGTGATAATCTACTTCCATAATACCAATCAACTCCTGGAAAATACGTAAGAAGGTGTGTGAGTGCGTACCTTGCAGTGCTGCATCACGTTCAGCTGCCGTAGCCATGCTTGATAGAAAGGGTCGCTAGTGGCATGGATTACATGACATAACCTGTCCTGCTTCGTGAGTACTAGCATCGAGTCCAGGAGACATTTCATCGCGTCAGATGACTGGATCAGCGCAGGGCTACGACGGTTACTCATCAGTGCCTAATATGTAACCTTCCTGGAGAGGTGTACCCACAGTTTATGTGCTTCGTCGAAGAACACTACCGGGATCCTCTTGGTTCCCTTCTGATGCTCCTTTTCGTGGATGTTGGAGTTAATCATCGGCGAGGGCAGTTCCTGATTCTGCTGGCCATCGGATGGCGTCGTGCCTTTGCGCTTGAAGAACCACCGGGATTTATGCAAGGGTGAAGAAGGTGATGAACTGTTGAGTTTTGTCCTGTCTGAGGACACATCGGAGTCCTTCTTACGCTTTCCATTTGCCTGTGGCTGCTCTGGGGGCGGCTCAAACTCACTGTACTTGAGAAGCGAACTCTGGATCAAAGAAGTCAATGATATATGCATTAGCAGGTGGAAATACATGCCTGGAAGAGCTCCATGAGTCTCGCGATATCGCACGTCCTTACTTGCGAACCAGAGCTTCCAGCAGGAGAATCGTTAAGCCTTCGTTCGACGTTTAACCTCTCGTGCTGTAATGATATCAGAAATACCATCCTTCAACATGATCGGTCACCGAACCTTGAATTCCATACCCTCCTTCCGGAATTCCTCGTATCCAGGCATCGTCTTCGATATTTCGTCAAAGTACCGTTCTATTTGCCGCGACATACTCATATAAAGGCTCGTCATATCCGCAAAACCGGGTATGCGTAAATCGAAGTGAAGAACATGATAGATGTTCCGTGAGAGTATCTCTCGCAAGAGCGCAGTCTACGATCTTTGGTGAATGGGTGATCGCACTGACATATGCAGAGCAACCGACCTTCCCAACAGAACTCGCACCAAACAAGACAGTAAACGCAGGCTCGCCCTCCAGGATACGTTCGATCACACGGATCTCGGTTTCTCGCGGAAGAAAGCATGGTAGGCGAGTAAACGCGTGTTTTGTACGCAACGGAGACCGCTCGCGCGAGTCACGTGTCTCGTCGATTTCGTTGCGTGCTTCCTCGAGGAGGCGCTTTGACTCGCTCAAGGAGCGAAGCGTCTCGGAAGGCTGTGGACATTTAGGATTTTGAGCTATGTTGAACAGTGGGTTGGATACGCACATTCAGAAGAACACCAAATACTTCGCTCATGCCAAAAAGGTTTCTCCGTCCAAGGTCTGCGCTGTATGCAGCTGAGCTTCTGCGATGAGGCAAGTTTGAACGGAAGAGCCAGTGCATGGCGTTTGAGGAATATTGGGAGCGTGGACGTGGGACAGGAGCAACAGGGCTGCCCTTGGTGGTTCTGGTGCGCATGACAGTCGAGGGGTGTGGGGCTGCCAGCCTTATAAGGAAGAGAAGTGGTAATAGTTTGTGTGACTGGAGAAGTTTCAAGTGAAAGGGCGGCAGAAGGGCATGCGCAGTGGCAGGCTAGTTGTAAGGTGTAGTTGCAGTCAAGAAAGAAGCGCGGAGGGACCATACATCTTATGCATGTTTGTGCTCGCGTGAAGGATGGGAGACTGCCCAGCTGTGCGGCACAGCACTAAGTCCACGCATCTACATTTTTTGCATGAGCGCGGTTGATCCACGTTGTTCGCGCGAGGCAGCTCTCCTCGGCCGCCCTGCACACGAAATGGAAGGATCACCAAAAACGGGCTGATACGGAGGCATGATGACGAGAAGACACTAGAGCTTATGTAGACGCATACTATGGCGTCTAACTGATTCAGATACTTCAGATACTGTTTTTTAAGCAAACAACAGGCACTGAAACGAACCTGGGGCCCCGTCAACAAGTACTAGTACTTGGAGGTCGATTGAAGTGAATACAGGAAATATACCTTGATGCCGCAATAAGTCGCAAGCCCGAACTGATCCACCCTAAGGACAAAAGACGAGGACGAGAGCGTGATCCGGGCAATTTTAAGCTAGTTGTTGACTACTTTAGATAAGATAAGATAAGATAAGATAAAACGACGTTTACGTAAGATGTAACAGCCTTGCCAGAATTTGTGAATTTACAAGGATGCATGAGTAATTAAATATTATGTGTGGTATCATAGAGGTGTGCAACACCGTGACGGACGGATCATAGTTCGCTCCTTGAGAACGCCCTTGGGGGAATTCCCTCCACAACTACGCCTAGAAGCGAGGTTTCAGTTGCGAAGCAGTTTCTTCTGCACCACTCGAACACAGCGTTGACCGAATCTCCTTACCTGCTGACCGGAGCTACAAGTATACATGTGGTTCACTGGTACCTGTCGTTGCACGCGTTGATGACTGCGCAAATGCACACATGTGGTTCACTGGTACCTGTCGTTGCACGCATTCACCCTGCGCGTGTCCTGCCCCATTGCGTAGCTTGGTGAACAAGGCCTAGACAATAGAATTTAGTAAAATGATGACGGTAACCGTGTAAAAACACTGGGCGCTCGGCGCTCGACAGCAGTGCACGACCTTGGCACGACCCGATGATCGTGAATGCGATCGTCAAAGAGACTGTACGAGTATGGTTGCGCACCACCTGCTGTCGTCCAGAACCAGAATCAGGCCTCAGGGATAGTCGACGCTTTCAATTTGCGCAAGAGGTCGTCACCAAGATTTTACAGCAAACCTTGACCGGTTGACCCGTGAAGTCCATACCGGATAACAAATAAAATGCCACGCGGCTGCACTTAAGCGCTAAGCTCTTGACCCTTGGGTTAAAGTTGGGATTAAGCATAATTAAAATCACCTCACCATCAGAAACATTGATCGGCGGCCTGGGACTCATCCACAGTTGACAGCGGGAATGGAAACCTGATGGGAACGTCCATTATGTATTCACTGCCGTCAGGTTGAGGGTCCTGCTGCGACTCCCAAAACGGAGCTCGCAAAGCTCGCCCGTTCTTCTTCTTCTGCCGCTCTCCAAACGAGAGGTGCTGCGGCGATAAACAGATCAGGATGTATCAAAGATGCATCACCGAAAAAAAAAAGAACGAAAAAGAAAAAGAAAATTCGCATCTCACAAGCTGGAAAATCACATGCATATGCGACGATCAAACGAAGATGATTTCTATGTAGGGAAAATAACATTTATGCTCACGAGTGGCTACTGCCATCCGATGACCCCAGGACCTCAACCTCATCATCATCGGACTCAACAAGACGTCCGCGTCTCGGACGCGAGGGCATAGGACGGATATCAAAAACACTATCGAGCTCGTCCTCATCTTCGTCGGAGGAAACTACAATGGGTGCTGTCCGGCCCGGCCTACTCGCAGGTAACGGTTCGTCTTCATCTTCTTCCTCGGAGAGGACGTCAGCATCTACGGGCGAATGATAGTCTTCATTATCACTGTCATCGTAGGAAAGTTCATATATGTGCGGCAGCTGCTGTATCGGGCCACGAGGAATTCCAGTGTCGTTCTCATCATCGATGAAATCACTTTCATAGTCCTCTTCATGTCCTTCGTCGTCTTCGTCTTCGTCTTCATCGTCTTCCTCATCCTCCTCTCCATCCTGCTGAACATAGCCAAAGCGCCAACTGAACAATGGCAACCCCGGATAGAAATCTGCAATCGCCAAACCATCATCTTCATCGTCCCCCTCGCCTTCTTCGAGACCCATCCAGCCTGGGTCATCATCAGGGTCAAACTCTTCCACTCCAGGGGCAAAGTCCAAGCCGAGTTCATCGTCTGACCAGTCCCCCGCTCCTTCGTGCCCCGGATACCGCCTCCCGCACGACGTACACAAGCCATCCCAAATCTCATGCATGCAGTCCAAGCATCGGTATATCCCTCCGTCCTCCGTATCAAGCATACCGACATCTTCTCCGCGACGGGGCTCGACATCTGCATCGTCTGCAAGGAACCAGGGAAGGTAACCCTGGGTTGATTTACGAAAGATACCATCCCAAGGATCTGCGTCCGCAGGCCGATCAGCATTGGCTTGCGCCTCGTCGTGCGGAGGCAAGTTGGCAAGACCGCTCTTCCCTACGAGGTGCGCTAGATTTTTGATAGTCCATATTTCTGCGGGGCGCTCTCGCACGACTCCTCGGCAATGTGGACATGTCTTCTTCCGTAAGATGGCTGGTACGACAGGTCTATTATCAGCAGGCGGAGCGTTAAACCACTGGACAAGGCAGTCATAGCAAGCCACGTGACCGCACGGAGCGAGTGCGTAAGGCTTGTACATCATGTCGAGGCAAATCTGACATGTCAAAGCTTGGGAAATGTTGCTGAGGACACTTTGATGAGCAGCCAAACGCTGATACCATGAAAAATAAATTTGAATTAAATATTAAATATCAATTGCTATGACGAAGTGCGCACCTCGCCCCTCTCTGCCAATTCCTTTGTCAGTTGCGAAATCCTGTCTTCTGGAACAACAGCTGAAGGGTGTTGGGAGTTGACATCTGCGGACTGTTTCGTATCACTATGATTAGCGGTTTCACATGAGTCGGTTCCTTTCTGTGCGACATGATCCATGTCAGGAAACGTCACAAACAATACTTTGGACATACCAAGGTATCTGGCTGTAGATTCCCTTGAGAATTCTTTTCGGTATCGCCCTCGTGACTAAGAGGATTTGAAATAACGGTCGCAGAGTCTGATGGGGCTTCGACCCTGGTCTTGCTTCCTGACAGGTCCGTAGACGTAAATCGAATGATTTCATTGCGAGAAGATGGAGGCGGCCGTTGAGGCTGAGTCGAACTGTCCCGCCTATGATGATCCAGCTTGACAACCACGGGCTCCTTTTTTCTCCTCTTCTTCCGTTTCTTTGGGTCCCGTCTGGCTGTACTCGTTTCTGGTGACTGATCGACCCTGGGTCTTTTGGAGTTTGAAGGCGCTGTTGACTCGGCCGCCTCCACGTCTGATGCGGTTCTCTTGATGCCCTGGACCAAATCGCTGTGTTCCGGCATAGTTGGACACGTCAAGAGTGGTTGTGTGTAGAACACACGAGAGAGACAAGATGCCTGATGAGGCCTCTCGGCGCCTGCGCGAAGGGATAACGCTTAGCTAAGTTATTGTTGGAAAAAGAAATGTTACTCGAAATTCAACTTACACGTGATTGCGGGTACTATGCATCATGCCGCGTTTCCAGGCGATCCTCCTTCGTCTCCTGGACATTCCTTGAGGCTCTTGAACTGCTAAATGAACACATTACAAAGCTGGTGTAAGTTTCAAAATACATAATGCAGAGTTTTCCCTGGGGAGGCCCAAGGTTTTTTTCCCACCAAGGACAGCTCTGCAGTGAGCAGGTACCCAGTGGAACTTGGGACCTCCTTCAGGTTTATCCGGTCCCTAGAACAGTCAGCGACGGTGTTTTGAACTCCTCCACTCCGCTTCCCAGTACCTAAGTTACCTGTAGTCTTGAACGAGGGACCTCCGTTCGGGGTTTTCCGGTCCCTAGACCATGCCGCATGGTTGCCACACCTCCGTTTCTCAGTTTCTGTCAGAAGAACATTGTCTGGGAACAAGAACTCTTTATGACCGATCAAAGTGCCTATCAATGTACAGCAACATGAGCCGCTGCACGACAAGATGTAGCACCATAGATGGCTAATCGTCCCATCTTGCTTCGTGCTTCGCTGATCAAAGCTTGAGCTCCATGAATGGATTCGCGTTGCCAATTGTGTACGTAGTGTATTACGTGCTCCCGGCGGCCCTCTGCTTTTACTAGTTAAACCTAATTTTATTATCACAAGCAACAAGCTAGCTGTGATTTTGGGTCTGATAAGGTCACCGCGCGTGTTCGGGGTTGTTTCAAATTTTTTATCGCCGACTCTCCGAGGGATATGTAGAGCGAGGAGGACATCATCGTCGAGACTTCTCTCGGAACCGTAAGGGATTTGCCTTGTCGCAAGTCAAGTGCAAGTCACGTTGACGGCGCGTGCCGTGCCGTTGAGATTAATTAAGGTTGCACCAAGGTTGCAGGCGTCTGAAGCAAGAATAGTACCTAGGGTTGCGAGCATTACGGTACTCAGAGGCGTCTTTCGTCAAACAATACTTCCACTGTCCGTTTTCGCACTCTGACATGTCCTCGTCCGTGAGAGTCGAGGAGGACCAAGATTTGGATGTTACAGTAAACCGCGTCAATCTCCATTCACAAACTCCATTCACGAAGCTCGCCCCTGGTCCGAATAACAGACAGCGTCTACGCCCTTCGCATGGGCAAAGACGTGCCCGTGACGACTCCACGGTGACTGTCAGACCAACGGAGTTGTCTATTGATCGCTTACATCGGCGACATGAGTCATATGCATCTGTCCCTTCGAATTCTGGACCATCGATCTCAGATTTAACTTCAGTGAATCCTTTGCAACACTTCCCGAAGAAAAGGTCCGGTAGTATCCGCCAACATGATACCGGTTTTATAGCTCAATCCCCTTCTGTTCGAACGTCATCTCTGCAACCCCTTACGGGTAGCAAAGAAGACACCTGGGGCACCTACAGGCACAGTACCGTCCGACTCTCGTTGGCAGGTTCAGGGGACGATATCTTCAAACCACACGCACACAAGCGTCACCCATCTCTTGTATCTCGTCAACCCTACTCCAATCGTCTGGTTTCACCTCCCCCGCTCGTCACCATGCAAGACCTCCCCCCGCCTGCCACCTCCACCTCTTCCTCTGACATACATATACTCATCCACGATGACCCTTCGGACCACATATCAGAAAAGCATACCCCGCTGCTTGCACCAAATTCATCCTCCTCTCCCTCTTCACGCCGCTCCTTGGCATTTTGGCTCATCCTTTATTTTTGCTTCAACCTTGGACTCACCCTATACAACAAGGGCGTCCTCATCCACTTTCCTTTCCCATATACCCTCACTGCCCTCCACGCTTTCTGCGGGACCGTAGGAGGGCTCACATTGCTGAGAAATGGTACATTCGTGCCCGCTAAACTCTCCGACGCAGACAACTTGGCGCTCGTGGCCTTCAGCGTATTATACACCATCAACATCGCCGTCAGCAACGTATCTTTGCATTTGGTAACCGTTCCAGTGAGTGATTCCATTCTTTACACAGGGCGGGATCTCACAACAAGTACCACAGTTTCATCAAGTAGTCCGTGCAGCCACGCCGGTTTTCATTATTTTGCTCTCCATTTTCTTGTTTGGCACCCGGAGTAGTAACCACAAAATGATATCCCTAATCCCCGTCATGGCTGGCGTCGGTTTTGCGTAAGTCAACCCTAGCCCCAGTACGTCAACTACTAAAATTCGATCTAGGACGTATGGAGATTATTCGTACACGACTAGCGGACTCGTTTTAACCGTACTGGGAACAGTGCTTGCTGCCATTAAGACAATCTACACTTCGGTCCTACAATCGACTCCGTCGGCGACCTCTCCGCAGCCCCGCGTAAATTTTGTCGTTCCTCCACGGTTACAATTGCATCCGCTGGACCTGTTGACGCGGATGGCGCCGCTCGCATTTATTCAGTGCGTTTTCCTCGCATACCTCACGGGTGAATTATCCCGCGTGCGTATATGGAGTTTAGACGAGATGACGCCTATCAAAGCGGCGCTGCTAGGGATTAATGGCCTGATTGCGTTTGGGCTCAATATTGTGAGTTTTACGGCAAATAGGGCGGCAGGCCCGTTGAGTATGACCGTTGCTGGTGAGCGTTAATATTGTTGCGCACACAACGGCACGCCTGCTGACTGACGAGCCTACAGCCAATGTGAAACAAGTGCTCTCTGTTTTTTGTGCGGTCGTTTTATTCAAGCTTACGATAACGCCGACGAATGCGCTTGGCATCCTTCTCACGATCGCCGGTGGAATGTGGTACGCAGCCGTTGAATATCAAGAAAAGCGAGGTAGATGGAGAAAGTAGACGATGATTTAGGTGATGTCCATGCTAGAGTTCATTCTTTGTGTTCACTATAGTATCCCCTTCACTTTCTGAAGTCACTAGACATGTGCATTGGATGTGCATGTCCCATCTTTATCTTTTTTGGCACTCATACCATATCTGTAATATATCACCTGGCAGCGCACATGCCAATTTTTTGTGTGGGGCCACATTGGTCCAACTGATTTCGTAGTTTGGCAGTGAGACGTGGACGTGTGGTCATTTCCGTGCTTGTCGAAACGTCAGCGGTGGACGCAATCTTGATTAACGTTGACTTAACCCTTGCGACAGAAGATGAGCGTCGTCGGCGTTAACAATGAACGAAGGAACAGCAACATGGCGAAAAACAAAACAAGACATCCCTGATTTGATTCATTTCCGCCGTGTACAATGTTGCAAAGCTTTCTGCGATTCGCTTTGTAAGTGAGTCTTCTCGCACCAACCTTCTGGAATTTCAGCCTAACCCCACTGGAACAAGCGTTTTCGCAACAGAATTTCTCTTCAAGAAGTCTCATCTGACGTCACATGTCCACGCCACAAATATTGATACCGAAAGGGAATGCCGCCTGCTGCCGATAGGTCAGCTTGGGACGGCGAGCTTGTGGCACCGAGTTGGCACCGAGTTTCCTTAAAGTTAGGTGGATTCTGTGTCGAAATCGAGAAGGATTCTGAAGCCATACGTTAACAGTGCTAGAAGCATTGTTGTATCAATCGTGTAGGTAATGTGGTTATCAGATTGTTTCACTTGTCAGCCCTGTGCAAGCCCTGCAGTCCCTGCACGCACCGCCGTGAAATTGTAATCCATATCTTATCAAAAGTTTCGGTCCGATTATCAGATTGGACGGCACGTGTCCGAACAAGTCCTATATTTGACTCTGAGCGGCGTAGCATCAGATCAAGATCATTTAAAGCAAGTCTATGATTCTCGTTGTAATATGAAAAGGTACCCCTCGCCTGGTTTTTTTTGTCGGAAATGTCCGGTATGTTGAATGCGTTGATCGGCGCACTATAGACTTGTTCAAGGGCCTCACGGAACTTAGCTCGGGTGATAACAACCGCATGGACGCTAAACTTGATAGAGCATATCAGCCCATTGAAGCTTTAAAACCAGACAAGTCACAAATGCCAATTTGCCTTCCGTCTTTGCTAATTGCTGTCAGCTGTCCCACCGCGGATCGATACACATACTGACACTTTGCCAAATGCGACATGTCAGCTGTCCCACCGCGGATCGATACACATACTGACATTGATGTAATGCGCCCATCTGTTCTCTTTTTAAAAATGGACTCGGCGTTGAACGAGATCCAAATAAGATGATTGAAGTACTCGTACTACCTATGCTGATAAGCGTCAGCTGTTGTTGGCCGCGGACGCCGTCAATGGTTGTGAAATCACAATCATATCATAATGCGCGAGTTGGCCGATTGACAACTGACAGATGGTGTTTGTACCTAGAATAAAAAAAAACTCAATGCATATGCTCTGTAATTATAATCCGTCTCTTACCGCCGGGTTGTGCAAAACCTATATTTGCAGCAAGTTTCTGATGTTCTAACGTCTCCAGGACCGAATTTTCGGCACGATGAGTTTGCAATCATTGTTGCTATTTCGGCCCATTCCAGTTTTTTTCACCCAATCTCCGCTGATTCATCACTGCGATTTTCCGACCGCCGGAGGAAATGACATCTTCTCCCGTCGACACCAGGAGAGCTTCTCCCGTCGACACCAGGGAGAGCTCTAATTATAATCGGACAGGCATCAAGGGTTTCCAGTATCAGCAGTTTTTAGCAATATTGGTGCGAGTAGGGGATCCGGCGCACAACACATACCATGCCTTCCGTTGCAAGTAGAGGTCAAGGAGTTGCAACAAGCCCTAACTGTGACACCCAGTGGGGCATGACGCAATGGCTTAGCCTTCAAGATATACTATCGTGACATGAAAAGGTCGCCGTTCCTATGCTTTGGGCTGTCTAAATCCACCAAGAGCCTGGTTTTGGATGATAGCTAGCAAAGCATATAGCGTTTCAATACGCTGCAGACCAGATATCAGCCATGATAGCGGTGGCGGCAAAAATAGCACTGCTTACTGGCACATCTACCCCCGTTTCCTTCGCCATTCTGACCACCTCTCCAAAAATAACCTCCACCTCGATAGGCAGCCCATTCTGCGCGTCAAGGAGCATGCTCGGGAGAGTTTTAAGGGTAGGGCTGCGGTGTAACTCTGCGGTATTTGATATAGTACTGACAACGAGGGAAGAAGGTAGACCATCTTCGTCGTCCGGGTAGCCCAATGCACGCCCTAAGAACAGGTAAGACACATGGCCCAGGAGATCTTACAGTTCATAATTACCAAGGGCAATCATCTCTTGTAGAACTGCACGTAGAACAGGAATGTCTCATTGTCCCTTATCTGCAAAACAATGTGAAGGTGATCAGCGCGCCGGTAAGTTTATGATCTGTGAGAGACAACTACCGTCCTTATCAATCCCTCAGCTACTACGAGACAAGTCCCAAACGGTCGCGTACTCACTATCCAGCTTGATTAATTCGTTTGCCATGGACGGTCGAGAGTTGATACAATTTTCCATTTATAATTTATAGATATTCACCTTGTGTCCTACTAGTATTAGCATACATATACGTACTTGTGCGCTCGCTGTCCCTTCCAGTTGTTGTAGTTTGCTGATGTACGATGCTTCAGCCCGATTCCGTGATGCTGACTTGGTAAGAGACGGATAGTTTCGATAGAGCGCAATAAGGACTAAGGCTGAAAATGTCTTCTGAAGGGTGGTTGTTTTGAGTGGGGAATCAAGGCGTCTATTCTGCCTAATTAGTGTAAGTATGGCACAAGTCGACTCTCGAACCCGGACCGTCAATTATGATCTGCGTTGTGGGAACACAACACTTTCTCGCCAGTACTTACTATGCCATCATTCGAATATTCATGGTTAATGTTAACGTTAACGTTCAGCCTCCTCATGCGTGTGCACCAATAGTAGACCCAAAGATGAATATTGCCACGACGATTTCTTGCATTCGTTAATGATTATCCCAGTCTGACTCAACACCTCGTCCTGTCTCTTTCAGCATTCTTCGGAACAAATAAATTCGATATATACATATCACGACAAAATATTTGCGAAGACCTATGTCTCCTCGAAATCCACTTCGCAACCCCAAATAAATAAGTACCACGACGAAACATGTAAATCAAGAAAAAAGCCAATTCTCCTGCTCCCTGCACAGCACCAGACTATTGTTAACTGCATTGAGCATCTCCCATGCTACACGTCACTGCCTATCGATATTTGAACGCGCTCCTGGAAAGCGATTGAGGTCATGCCGGTTGCTGCGTCAGAGTCTGCTACGAGCCGAGCGTTATATTCTCGAACGCTTAGGATGAGGCGTGGTCCCAGCACAAAGGACTGTATGGCCACCACAATCTGACAAATACCAAGAAGAGTCTGAGCGTCCAGGGAAAATAGGTTCTATAGAAATGATGAACGGCGGTCGCATGCAGAGGTCAGTGAAAGATTGACATACCACAAAGAGTGTTGGAGACATATTAACAATGAAGCTGAAGCAAGACGCAACTCCAAAGCTAGAACATTCAATCTTTCAGCGGAAAAGGGAACCATAATCACAATATGAGCTCACCTCGCAAAGTAAAGCACGTGGGATTTTATCAACACCGTGAAACAGTCCCCAATAATCCCTCCTGCCGAAAATTGTCGCAGTTCACGGAAATGTTTTACCGCAATCCAGACTGCGAGACACAGCGCGAGGACCTCCCAGACAGTGGCGAGTATCCAAGTCACGGTAGACAGAAATTGGGAATTGTCCCCACTGCTAATCATGCACGCAGAGGTGCCAGAGAGAATGCGTTCCTCTTATATTCATCAATGAGCGCCATGCACAGTTTTCATTCACAATTAAGTTTACCTCCTGAAGTATGGCTCGTTGTCATTACAGCGACCACTACGTCGAAAATGTTGATAGCCAAGGACACGACAACAAGAAATATCAGGATCCTACTGGATCGTTGATACATGGCACCTAACCGAGCGATCATGATGACTGCAACATGATTCGGTCAAGTCAATATCATAGGTCTTGTAACTGCACAACTCACCACACAGCATTGGAAATGTTACAACACTCGTCCAATCATACACGAGGAACAGAATCTGGCCTGAGTAGTCCGGTTAGTGATGGGCCTTGGGTGGATTACACACTACAAACAGACTCACATCTGTAGCAGTCATGACAGCAAACAAAGAAGCTGGTCAAGAATGACACTCACCCCTACAGGGTGTGGCGATTAATGGAAGGGGAATATCAGGCATCGGTGTAGAAGACCCACTGCATCTGGCAACAAAATCGTCGAAACACTGACTGTATACCACCGGTCAGAAGATACAAACACGGTAGATGCGAGAAGACATACTCGGTATGTCCGTGCTGATTGTGAGAGATGGCCGATCAGCACAACACCAATTGCTAAGTCTTCTGAACATACAAAGCAAATAAAATTCCAAGATAGCGCACCTAGGATATTGTCAGGTCAGCAGAAATTCACAACAGGCAAGCTACGTACACTCAGATAGAGAAAGGACATCAGGGACCATCGTTGTCTCTGTCGCAAATGAATATTGTTCTTCTGACGTGGAACTGTGCTCACCCAGACCAGTTCTACCTACAAACAAATCTTAGCGAGATGGCTGCTCCGGTCGTAGCATCAACATACCTCTTGTCCGAACGTAAGGGCTGGAAATACTTGTGAAAAATCAATAATTCTCTAATGTTATGATGCTCACCCCAATCATATGTCACTGCAACACCAGCGGCAACTGGAAAACCACAATCGGGGTCAGATCGAGGTCAACATGACAACATCTGACTGCTCTTCACGAACCTGAAAAATAGCTGCCAATACGCCAAGCGTTGATGAGTGGCCAATAACTAGGGTCGTCTGAGACTAGTGTCATACTGTTAGAGGATGTATGTGAGGGAGAAGGGAACTTGGTGGACATACAATGATGATATTCGTGCTAGATATACCACCATCCAGTGTTTGGATGACCGAGGGATGATATCTGTTCCTGTAAATAGATATCATGTTCGAAGTGATGTAGCGGGCCTTGAATAAAATGCCGGTGATGCGAAAGTGATCAGCACATGCACTAGTGGCGGGCGGCTCCATGTTCTAGTACTAATAGATCTCTTCATGCGAAACACTTGAACACCGCAAAAGATGAAAGAACATCAACTTGTTGACAAGTACTTCCCACATGATGGTCGTAGTGGGCGCAGCGATTTCTGAGTTGATCTTTTGGGTTGCAGTGGGGGTCACGGTGGAGCTTCTTCAGTGGACGGCATATTCAGAAGACATAGCTTCCTCTGCGGTCGGTGTCGCAAGGGATTCAGACTTCGGAAGTCATTGGGGTAAGCCGTCCGTATATTTTCTGGGCTCTGACATTGGTCATGATAGAAAAATGAGATGAACAGTTGCAGTGCACAGTACTCGCTGCTTTTCTGCTTAGTCCTTTCTGGTAGCAAAGTAACAATGTCAGTGAGTTCTTGTGTGTATGACAGGATTTCGTGAGGCAGCGCTCATAGTTTTTGTGTAACAGGCTCTATTTTTGCCAAGCCACGCCGCTGCCTCGCTACAGCTAGGTTTATCCTCATGATCTTCCAACCATGCGATTTTCCACGCACTGGACATATATTTGCCCATCACAATCGAGACAACAATGTAACTTTTGATATTTGCTGTGTTTGGACTTAGTTCGTGGCCAGGGGATAGGTTTGCATGGCAATGCAACGCAAGTTTGCTGTAGAACATCATGCATCAGATTTTACTTCTCATATTTCGCTACCAGAGCGTCCGCCTCACATCAGCAGGTATTCCCGATCAAACACAAATTTATACGATCACTGAATTAGGCACTGTATGAGCACATGCCAATAGCGGCTTTTTCATCCACAGCGACTCTTCTAGTGTGAATGTAATCTCATGGCATCGTAACTCCTCCAATACATGTACAATAGTACGAGCTCGACTTAGTTGACACCATGAAGTCTTATCAGAACTACGTCCAACCCATTGCTCTACCTGCCTCGCTCTCCCGTTTTCCCTTTCATTTGTGGCGGGAGTTTCTGCCTTTAATCCAAGGGCATATGCTATCCAGTCCACTAGTTGCAGAGCTGTAGATCGTCCCCTGAACGAAGAGGTCGATATTACCATTGCTACGCATTTACGCGCGTTTCTTATCCAGGGTCGGGGAAAGGCGTCGACGATGGTGAGAATGTGGAGTCGGATAATGTTGCGTGGTTGTTCAGGGCGTACATCTGCATCTGGAGAGCGAGTTGCTCTTCGATCACTGAGGGATGATTGGGGTCGTAGTTGGACGAAGGCACGGTGTGGATGGGATAGCCAGAGTAGGTGTTGTTGCGCCGAACGTGCGAGAATGGGTAGGGATAGGGCGAGCCTACTGGAGGTGCTGGGCTGGCTTGCATGCTTTGCATGCCAGATATCAATGGCGACGGAACAGCAGTTTCGCGGTATAGGTGCGACTGGACGAGGAGCCTGGAAGTAATGCGATATATAAGCAGCGACGGCATCATCGTGATTCTGATCATCTGAGTAGACTTGGTTTTGCAGCGGGTGTGGCCATCTGTTGCTCTGGTGTTGTTGTGGTTCTGCACCACGATTGTCAGAAAACGTGCGGCTGTGCTAATGCCGCAGATCATGCTCTGATACAGAGTCAACCTGCTCAGTCGTCAGCCTCACCGGAAGTGCTGGTCGCTTAGTAGATGGATAAGAATGTGGCGAGAAAAAGACATACTTTTGTCGTCTAGTGAAAGTTCGTTGTCAGATCTGGGAAATCACGAGAACATTAGTCGTCTGGCAAATAGAATTTTGAGGAAGAGACGTACGATGTAGCATCAGGCAGGTGTGATTCAATGTGTGCTAGCGGCAGAAAGAACAAGATGTCAGCTAAGTCGGAGTCTGAGTCGCACGCCACATACCTTCAAGTTGCTCGAACGTCCAGTTTTATGGGGGCGACAAGTCACTGAATTTGGAGAGACAGTCGTTAAAAATGTGGGATAGGATTTCAGTTGGCAAGTCCGAGTCATGGAAGCGTTTGTTTCTCACCCTTTCTCACATAAGTCCACCGCACATCGAAAGCATAGTCTAATTAGTGTTCGGACATGATGAGACCGTCGATTTGTGACGTATTCGCCGCTAATTTTCTCTCCAACATCTTGGAAATGATGTTTCGGCCGTCGAGTTCGTTGATTGACCTGACGTATCGACTGTCAGAGATTAGTTTGGATATTAACTGACCTAGCAGATAGGCACCAAGTATGCGGTGGTGTGAAAGTTTCAAGTGGGGCAAGGGCAGAATTGAAGATGCGGTGTATTGGAAAGGAAAAAGCGGAGCGCGCTGTATGCTGGCGGCTGTGATACGTAATACGAAGAGGAGCGGCATCCATTTATTATCCAAGTCATGCACCAATTAATGGCTTAGTCTTCATGATATACTATCATGACATAAAAAGGTCACCGTTCCTAGGCTTTGGGCTGTCTAAATCCACCAAGAGCCTGGTTTTGGATGATAGCTAGCAACGCATATAGGGTTTCAATACGCTGCAGGCCAGATATCAGCCATGATAGCGGTGGCGGCAAAAATAACACTGCTTACTGGCACATCTACCCCCGTTTCCTTCGCCATTCTGACCACCTCCCCAAAAATAACCTCCACCTCGATAGGCAGCCCATTCTGGGCGTCAAGGAGCATGCTCGGGAGAGTATTAAGGGTAGGGCTGCGGTGTAACTCTGCGGTATTTGATATAGTACTGTCAACGAGGGAAGAAGGTAGACCATCTTCGTCGTCCGGGTAGCCCAATGCACGCCCTAAGAAACAGTGTAAGACACATGGCCCAGGAGATCTCACAGTTCATAATTACCAAGGGCAATCATCTCTTGTAGAACTGCACGTAGAACAGGAATGGTAGTTTTCTCGACAATCGATGCTGTCTGAGGTGCAATGTAAGGACTATACAATTGGCCCTCAGTAGGCGGAGGTCGAAACATCGCTGTAGGAGAGGCCCCGATGAGGGTTGAGAAGGAGGAGAATGCGACATTCCAAAATGTCTTGGCGAATTTCTTGCGCTGAATCTCTGTTACAATCGTCACGTCTGAACCGCCTGTTCTGATCATGGTCCCAAAGTCTGTCAGAATAGCATTTTCTTCAGGAGAATTAGTAGTCGTCAGGTGGTCTCCATGTCTGTACATTCCAATCGTAACACGATCCTGCATCCGTAGGTCAGAAATCCGGAAAGGGTTGAACCATCCTTGCTCACAAAGTGATTGTGCTCGACTACATTCTTCTCCACCAGATTCGTCGCGATCCATACGACAGTACTGATGATATTTGGTTCACCTTGATTGAGGGCCTTGACGCTATGATACAAGTCTCGCTCCACTCCGAGTCCATTTTGGAGCAAGACGTAAGTAGGCTGAGGATGCCTCTCACTATACGGACGAGAAAGCAGCGGTTCTAGGACCTGAGGTGTCTTTATCACCTCTGGAATCGCCTTGGTTGTCAGGACCACGTAGGAATACGGTCGATCGGCAGCTTCTGCCACCGACGATACCACTATAACGCCGTAATTCAAGCTGTCGCCGCGGAGAATATATTGGTGTTACTTACGACGGTAGGGTTTCCAGCTCTCGTGAGTGCCATACTTTTTGCTCCTGATGTGTATGCCCTTGGCTGGGAGTCGGATCAGCTTCGCGAGTTCAGCACTGCCTCGATGAGACAACGTAAATCACCATTCATAACATCATAGCTACTTCGGGCAACAGCAGTGACTCGCGCAAGCTTGCTGCTTTGAAGGATATAAGCATCTACGAGTGAGAGCGTGTCAGTATTACATACACAAGAATAAGCCTTTGCTCACTGTGACGTACATATCGTTCCAACTGCACCCAGGCCGACGAGCAGGACGTCTTTCGTAGCCATTTGATAAGTAACGACAGAACCGAGTATGCAGGTGCAGGGATAGTACCTATCTCGCACTCTCACGGCCTTTACAGGGGATTCCACGACTGTTTTCCTGCTTCTAATACTATGGCCGCCGCATGGTCCGACATAGTCTCCGAGTAACGAGTTCCCAAATAAATTACAACTATGGACAACATCAAGGGGGCAGAGCAACAGTGATGGTCATATACCTACCAGCCAGTCAGTCCACGTGGGGCGACCCTGGCTAGTGAACATGAGTTGTTATCACACATCACAGTAGGATGACTATATACTCTCAGTCTTCCCAGTAGTAAACGGTGATGTGAAAGCCACAGGGCAGGTACGAATATCCTCGACGACATGGATCTGAACTGGTGGTGCAAAGGTCACTTCACTGGCAGGACTTGTCGATTTGTATCTCCGTAAGTCAGGTGTAAGTAGTCAAGACTGTCGTCCCTTGACCGTTACGCCAAAAAGCAGTGATAATCAATGCTCACGCGCAGACAGTAAAATTTATGCTGAATATGGGAACTCAGGTAAGCCAACGGGCTTACATCAGGTCAAGGCATAGACGGGCGATGATGAGAAGAGGCGTCGTGGTCTTGGAAATGGTGAGACGAGAGGAAGAGAAGCGGAAAGTGCCTACAAACAATCTGAACAGCAACAATATTGACTGCCATGAGATCAGCTATGTCCAGAATGAATATTACTACGATACAGTTGGCAATGAACGCACCGGACTCGATCACGGTAAACATGACAGTCTTATAGGTATTGCGACTAGCGAAATCGAATGCTTCTCGTCCCACACGCCAAAGACGATACACGATTCCAAACGTGACAGAGGTGTTGAGAAAAAGATCGAGCGACCAACTAGCTTTTCCAAAAGCTTGGATACTGAGAAGGGTTGGTGATTAAGCTGAGCGATCAGGACCACAGCTATGCTAGCACAGGCTAGGCAGAGGCGATAGATAATCTTAGCACGAGAGCAAAGTAAAGTTTGGCGAACCTGCCGGTATGTGCAGCTTCCATTAGGGACTCGGATAGAGGTTGTTGTGAATCCATGAACCTACGTGGTTTTTTGTTCTGATTTGCCAAGATATAAACACATACACGAAAAAGCACGCAGCTGTCGATGGAAACACCAGAACCCACTTGATCCCCTAAAAACGACAGTCAGGCGGATTATTAGAACTCATTAATGCCTGCGCTCGATAGCCAAAGGGTTGGCTGCATACCGTAAATGATACATTTAAACCATACTGAGGTTATGAACATGCGGCCAAGGGTGTTCGAAGCCCTTTCCGTCCGTCATCTTTGTCTTGAAGCAACTGACAAAACGAGGTCTGCATAACATCTTTGTTGCTGTGGGCGGGTACTGGAGACCCCCGAACAGCGGACGATGCAGCTGCAGACAATATACAGCGAGGAAGCCGGCGGGAGAAGGAAGACGTAGATGCTCCGAGCACTCTGCCGTTTGCGCACACAATAAAATTTTAGTAGAGCCTGGATCATCTCAACCGAAGTTCTTCATCATTATTAAAATGTCTATTTAAAATAGATACAAGCTCACGTGATGTAACTGAGTACAAATACTACAAAAGCCTCCTTTTAGGCGCTTGTACTGAACCCTGCAGGTTACAACGTTGCAACATTGAGCACACACAGACGAATTCACACACTGTGTACATCACAGCAAACACTCGCTAAACATGTCCTACAGAGGCGAACGAGGACGGGGTGGTTTTGACAGAGGGAGGGGAGGACGAGGAAGCCCTAGTGACCGGGGACGGAATTCACCCTCTGGCTTTCGTGGCGGTGACCGTGGCGGTAGGGGTGGCGGTGGTGACCGTGGTGGTCGAGGTTTCGACAGGGGCGGTGACCGTGGTGGTGGTCGAGGGTTCGACAGGGGCGGCGACCGTGGTGGCGGTCGAGGGTTCGACAGAGGCCGTGGAAGGGGCTTTGGTGCTCCCAGAGAACAAGGCGGGTTAGTGCCACGTTTGGAACACTGCCACTCTCAAGTTTTGTTTACCAAAACTCTATGCAGAGTATTTCTCCAGGGCCAACCAGCTACCGTCGACGCTCGAATAGCTGACGACTCCGACAAGGCGCTTGTCGCTAGTTTACGAACCACACAGCTCGGGAATGACCCTGACAGCATGCCCTTGCGTCCAGACTTTGGTAGCGCTGGGGTCCAAATCAAACTTCGCACCAATTTTTTTCCTGTGCGCGTTCCCAAGGGACCACTTTATGAATATGACGTATCAATCACCCCTGCAGCTGGAACAGCTATACGTCGTGTCAAGCGTCGTATATTCCAGCTTGCAGAACAGACTACTGAGTGGCAACAAGCTGGGATGCGTAACGCCGTTGCACACGACAGCAGCTCAAAGCTTATATCGGCTCGTGTTCTGGCACAGCCTCTCACCATCAAAGTTCCCTATTACGACGAGGACCCAACTGGGCCTCCGGCACCGGGTGGTAAAGAGTACACGCTCGCAATTAAATTTATCCAGGAAATAAATACACAGGATCTCATGAGGTGAGTAGGGCTTGGGTTTTATCACGAATCCTTCTTATGTGTGTATTGCAGTTACTTGAACGGGGATGGCCAATATCGGAACTACAACATCCTTCCCGTTATTTCCGCGCTGAATCTCATTCTTGCCGCGCATCCATTGCGCAGTGGTATCAAAGTTGGTCAAGACCGCTACTTCTTCCGCTCCGCTGCTCCTCCATCCAATCTCGGCGGTGGTTTAGAAGCATGGAAGGGCTTCTATTCCTCCGTGCGCCCATCTCATCGTCAGCTGATGGTGAACGTCAATGTCTGCACCACAGCGTTCTATACCCCTGGAAATCTTGCGGTGCAGATGGTGGCCTTCAGTAATTCCAGTTTCGGCGCACGAATGGAAGCATTCTGTAAAAGCGTCAGAGTCAAAGCTACCCATCTTGGCTACCGAAAGACCGTTAAGGGTCTTGCCCGCCAGAACGCACGCCAATACACCTTCTCGTGCGACGAACTTGGAGGACAAGTCTCAGTGGAGCAGTACTTCTTGCAGAGTGAGTATCACGCTTTCTCCTCCAAATGCTGACGTTGTATTGTTCATAGAATATAAGATTCGCCTGCAGCACCCTGACCTACCTCTTGTTGATGTCGGGGGGCAGAAGAAGAACTACCTGCCAGCCGAAGTTTGCGAAATCCTTCCTGACCAGCCTTTCCGTGGCAAACTTACGGATGAGCACACTGCATCTATGATTACAGTCGCGTGCCAACCACCCAATGTCAATGGCAACGCTATCGTGAACAGCGGTCTCGCTGAGCTCGGGTTTACAAACCCAGGTCCCACACTCAACGCGTTTGGCGTATCCATCGGGCCCAACATGGCAGTAGTACCCGGCCGGATCCTCCCGAGACCTGGTCTCAAGTATGCCAACAATGTGTCGCCCGCAGTCGATGACCGAGCCTCGTGGAATCTGCGGAACATTCGTTTTGCTGTGGGCGCACGCTTGGAGAAGTGGGCTGTCCTACTCATTGGCGATCGTAATTCCAGAGACGAGTTTCAGGGACCTCAAGACCCTGCCCTCCGTGATGTTATCACCGGGTTTATGGGCATGTGCAGGAATAGCGGGATTGCCGTATCAAATGAACAACCCCAGGTTGCAGCCGCAAACCTCCCACCACCAGATAGAAGTGATCCGCTTAGAAAGATGGCTATCAATGTTATACGTGAAAGGCTGATACAGCTGCGGCCAAAGCCTTCCATGGTGCTCGTGATGCTATCAAGCGGCGACAAGAACATTTACGAAGGACTAAAGCACCTATGTGACGTCTACCTCGACGTCGCTACTGTGTGTGTACACGTTGCCAAGATTAGGAAGGAGAAGGGACAACCGCAGTATTTCGCAAACGTGGCCTTGAAGGTGAACATGAAAATGGGCGGTGTCAACCATAAACTCGATGAAAACACGGGTCGGTGGCTCTCCGGCGAGCCAACGATGGTTGTCGGAATGGATGTAACCCATCCTGGTCCTGGAAGCGCAAGAGGAACTCGTGAGTGCTGCATTTGCATTGTTCGAATGGGTACTCATTCCTTCGACAAAGCCTCGATTGCCGCGGTAGTTGCAAGCGTGGACAATCACTTCGCTCAATACCCTGCAAGTCTCGAAATCCAGGAGTCGCGGAAAGAGGTATGAACTTCAAGGCAGTCGATGTTTTTTTTCCTTGGCCAATGACGACCTACTTAGATGATTACCAACCTCAAGGACATGATGGTCGCGAGGCTTCAACTTTTCAAGCAGCACAGCAAAGTACTGCCTAAACGCGTACTGGTTTATCGTGATGGCGTGTCCGAGGTGCGATTTCTCCACTACGAAACTGGGTGCGTGTGGCTCATGCTAAATTCAGGGACAATTCAATATCGTCCGAATGGAGGAGCTCCCGGAGATAGTGAAAGCCTTCCATACCTTCGATCAGCCAAAGAAGCCTTATCGGCCAAAGCTGACTATTGTGATTTGTGGCAAGAGGCATCATACCAGGTTCTATCCCACAGAAGGGAAGGATGCTGCAAATGACGGCAACCCAAAGCCTGGAACAGTAGTTGATCGTGGGGTCACAGCAGTATATGACTTTGACTTCTTCCTCCAAGGCAAATTTTGTTCATTGAAGCAGTGTTTTCACAGTTACTTACAAACTTTTTTTTTTTGCAGCCCATGGCGGTTTGCAGGGTACGACGAAGCCGACCCACTACTACGTTGTCCACGATGAAATAGGCTTCGGAGCAGATGGTCTTCAGGGCCTTACGAATGCCCTGAGCTACATGTTTGCGCGCGCCACTAAGGCCGTAAGCCTTGTATCCCCCGCATATTACGCTGATGTGGCGTGCGAGCGTGGGCGATGCTACTTGAGGAAGCTCCTCCAGGGCCAGATTGGGGATGGCACAACGGCCAGCGGTAGCACCAACGAACAAGATGTCATGAAAGAAGCACAGGCACTCTGGCGTACTGGTGTCTCCAAGAGCTTGAAGGACACCATGTTTTACTTGTGAACCGTGCGCATATACTTTTATTTTGACTACTGATTGCCATGGGCTCGTTCATTTCTGTACTGATAGCCATCCCTGTCTCGTCTTCTGTTGTACTCTTAAATTGCTTGGTTTCCTGGCCAATTAGATGGCTTCCAGCCATGTTTGCTGTAGTTGTTTAGATATGAAAACTGATGGATCTCCTGTAATACTATATGAACTGTATCTCGTTGAAGCTATATATTTTCTTGCTCTACCCCCTCAATTGAGCTGTCGAGCAAAATTTTACTTCCGCGCGAGAACCCAACGTTGCGTGGATGGCCGGCGCTCTTGCAAAGACGATGCACCACCCTAAGGTTCCATTCGAACTTCCAAAATTAGAATGCGTTATGTATCCCTCGGAGTCGTACATTTGATCAAGTCGCGACGCCGTTTTTCAAAAGCCGAGATTTTTCGGGGTGAGCACATGCGACTTAGTACCTACCAATAAGGAACCTGTGACGAGAACGCAGCGCGCATGTTCGATTCCAAGTTAACCGACGAGTGTGTTACGCAAGCATAGGCCTTGCGTGCTTTAGTGCACGTCTAGCCATCTCTTCGTTCGGATCATGCGTGATAAGATGCCCTCTTGGAACCCACCAGATTTACAATCTACTTGGCATTACCGCTAATGGTCGCGATGATTGGGCCGCGGGCTCATCTGGTGACAAGCTGCATTTTGTTTCGTGAACCCTGGTCCAATAGCCAACATCGAATGGAAGAGTGTTCCAGGAACGGACGCGAGGGACGTGAACCAAAATGCCCACCTTTGCCCCAAACCTTGTTGTTTGGACTTAGTATCGTGAGATCATCATCCCAACATGTTGGCCTCGACCTTAATTTTTCCCGTCGTGGACCCTTGTCTTTTTCAGAGGAAGGGACCGCTTCTAGAATGGCCCCACAGCTGGCGCCAACACTGCCCCAGTATGCCGATGGGCCACCTTGGTTAATGGGCGGTGGCCCCCAATGAACCAACGCCACCTCCCGTGGCATATAAAAAGGGCCTCACCACTTCAAGTTGAAGTCAGTAAACTCGACCGCGAATAAGCCACTCACAATTTTCAACGTCCATCAGTCTTTAACTCTTACACATCCATGTGCGCACTTGACACAACCGTATCAATGGCCGATGCTCGCCACCAGAGTGGCGTAAGAATTCCAACCTGTCGTCCTTGTAGCGCGGAGCTGACATGTCATTGCAGGTTGCTCCTGTTGCAGCGAGGAGAAACATGAAGTGTTCTATCTGCGGTTCTAATGATTCTCCGACGGTGCATGTGTGCCCTGGTGCAACTGGGAAATGAGGAGACAGAGCCCGTGTCGAGAGATGGTGGCAGACACCGCTGAGGGATGGATACTTGTACCCATGTGTTGATCTGCATGCGCCCCTTAGTACAGCCGTCTCAGGCATCCAAAGCATCTACATTTCCTGTATTTCATTTGTATACATCGTGTCAGCAAGAGAAGTTTTTCAAAATCACTGAAGCAAAACCCGGCAACGAGTTCACCGCTGCGAACCAGATATGCTGCTCTGTGCCCCCTCGTACTCCATGTTCAATTCGGCGACTTTGGCGCTGTGTGGAGCGACCGCGCAGTCAAAGCCGACCGAACGGAATTGAATCCGTTGGTATAGTTTTACGTGTCCGGTAAATTTTTCGCTCCAGTGACGTCGATAGCAGGGGTGATACCAAATGCCCAGAGGATATGGGAAACATCGATGAAGTTTAGAGACAAGAGGCATGCCGGGACCTGTGACTTTATTCATCAACCTGCGTGCCAATGGACGTTGATATCGATTGACGCAAGCGTAAAAATTCTTCTCCCCCACCCAAATGGTAGGCCAAAGGCCAGAAGTCGCGCGTCAATATTTTCGAGGAAGCGCCCGGGGCTGAAATTACCCGGGTCAGGAAATATAGTCGCATCCCCTTGATGACGTATCTTCCGTGAGTATGGTGCGATCTGACAGGCAATTAAACCCTATGCCAAGTGGGTGAAAATCGTCAATAGGTCGCGAGGTGGCTCACATGCCCTGGTATTCGTCCTGTGAGAGCATGTGGCGTTTTCCCTAGCACAGCGACCGCCACCGCAGGGTCCCGTTTATGAGCGCATTGGTGTACGGAAGGCCTTTTTCGTCATGGAACTCTGGGATACGATCGGTCCCGACGACATTGTCTAGCTCGGACTGTGCCTTCCTCATGACATGGGTGAAGTAGATCGTCACGACTATCGCCTACGACATAAAGTTAGTTTATCGGGTACGAAGACACGCAATGCACGGAAGAAGGTACTTAATGTCGCTGCAGTCTTGATAAGTGACAGACTGATGCAGCCTCGAAAAGTTGAAACTTGACTGTTTCAATTCCAGCACCAAACGAAGACGACACCGCATAGGCAACCTCCACTTCGCTCATCCCATTCTTAGGTATTTCGTCGATCATTTGGATTGTTAGACGATCTTTGGATTGTTCCTTTTGCTATGTGTGCTTTGACATCTCCTAGAAGATGCGTCTGCAAATGAATGTCCCGCTCCAGGCTCAACATGGAACCAATGAAGTTCACGCTATAAGTACATCAGTAGTAGCTAGAGGCTAGTAGCCATGTCATCGCTCACAGGCAAGTGAAGGAGCCAGGGCCATGGTTCTGCTATATACTGTCCTGGCTAGGCAAAGGGTTTAGGTATAAGGAGACCGACCCACAATGCCACTCACTTGACACTAAAAGTAACCAAAAGGCTCGTCCTTGATCGTTGGAGACACGCCTAGTCAGATCTTGATAGTAAATTTGTCAAGTCATCGACGTTATAGGAAGCGCATAGTACTTACAATTCCATAGTTTCCATGTTTTCCTTCACAATCCACTCCTCGATACTATTGGCATGCCTACCAAACATAAGGGACGAATTTTGAGTTTAATGTGGACAAACTCTATGATTCATCACGTCTTGGTGGACGGCGCGAAGGCTCAAGGTACCAGTCCCAAGTACTAGTGATACGCGCCAGTGCAGATACCACTTGCGCGCTGACTGTACGAGTCGGAGCAGCTTGCCATCTGAGTAGAAAGGCGAGAAGAGACACGCGTTTGGCCACCGTGACAGTCTCCCGTAGTCAGACCAAGTTGATAGAATGAAGATAGTCGTTCCTTTACTAGTAGACTGCAGCTGAACCGTCATTGAAAAGGATATGATCATGTGCATGCCCCTAGATGCCCCTACCATAGATCCACCAATATAATGAGCCCAGCAATGTGAACACTCGTCCAATGCAGGCGCCAGACATCGTAGTCACTAGACGGTTCGCATCATGTTGATTGGCTTGCGTGATACAGTATTCGGCAATGACCCGATCATGATGAAGTTTGCCTACCGAATAGTGCCAGTCAATCGCTCTTTCTACTCTCGCCATGTCTGACATAGTTTGGCGACCAGAAGATGATCCAGATATTAGACCACCGAAGCAGGAGGGCCAGGTATACAGGCCTGACATGCTGAACGTGATTGACACGACCCTTGATGGACTGAGCAGCGAGCTGAGGGCTTTAAGTCTCGATATTCATGGTAATCAACCCTTGGAGCGGTACTTCTCTTTTTTCTCAACGCATCTTATATTGATGCATTTTCGAAAGGGCATCCAGAGCTGAAGTACGAAGAAAGGTATGTTGGATTTCATCGCACGCCACTATGTAGCTATGCGCAAACACTCAGAGCCATCATCACAGATATGCCCACGATGCATATACTGCATTTATGGAAAAACATGGTTTTGCAGTGACCAAGAATTATCATCTTGAGACTGCGTGGGTGGCTACCTACACCCATGGACAAGGAGGGCACGTTTTGGGTGTCAACTCTGAGATGGATGCGCTTCCTGGGATCGGACACGCTTGTGGACGCAATCTTATTGGGATATCTGGAGTGGCGGTAGCTCTTGCAGCTAAGGCTGCTATGGAGAGGCTGAATATCGATGGAAAGGTAGTTCTGCTGGGTACACCTGGTGCGTTGGTGTCTGCATTTGTGATAGTCGGCTTCGGGATAACACTCGAGGCAGCCGAAGAGGGTGGGTCTGGCAAGGTCATACTGTGTGAAAAGGGGGCTTATGATGAGATGGATGTGTGCTTCATGTCAGTTTCTCTACTGGTGGTCCAGATCAGACGACCAAGGTTACTCAACATGCTTTGAAGGAGCCATCCCGCACCTGGCCCTCGCCACTCTATTAGTCTGTCTGGTTGCTTGGCTATCTCTCGCATCACGGTGGAGTATCAAGGTCATACGTGAGCATCTTTCATACTCTCTATCGAGTTGTGGTATCTCATTCTTATTCTTCTCATTTGAAGCGCTCACGCCGGGTTAAGCCCCTGGGAGGGACTAAATGCACTTGATGCGGCCGTCCTTGCATACAATAACGTTTCCCTTCTTCGTCAACAGATCAAACCTACTCATCGCGTGCACGCCATATTTGAAGGAAAGGATTGGGGTCCAAACAGTGAGATTTTCATTGTCTCCGTAGAAACGCTTGGAAGATAATCTTTGAAAACCTAGTCATCCCGGACCACGCTATAATGCAGTAAGTCGATCTCAGGAATTCCTGCTTCGACCACTCTAATCACAAATACAGGTGTTTAGTCCGTGCTCCCACGACATCAGAGGTGGAAGATACTAGGAAGCGCGTCATTTCCTGCTTTGAGTCAGTCTTTCAACATCAACATTTTCAATCGATTAAGCGGCATCACCTCTATTCGTCACAGAGCTGCTGCACTCGCATCTGGATGCAAAGTTCAAGTCACGATCGGATCGGTAGGCAACGAAATCAGGCAAAACAAAGCACTTGGTATGAAATCACGGCGTGCAGTGGCTTGGTACTGAATATTATGTCAGGCGACGAGCTTGCTGATGTCGTTCTGAAGCGCTATGGTTGCATCGACTACGAATGGGGTATGAAGAATGCTTCTACTGATTTCGTGAGTATGTCGCTCATCCAGAAAGTGCGATAGAGTTGACGTTTCGGACCCACAAGGGGAAGATATCATACTGTGTGTCAACCTCCATGACCGGGTGGTAGGCAACCTTTGCTAATTGTTCGCCAGTGATGCCTAGTCTTCACTCTAGTTTTTGTAAGTAGCAGGTTCCGAACCAACGAGCAAGACACTAACGTTTTGCTCAAGCCATCCCAACCATTCCAGCCGGCGGGAATCATACACCAGGATTCACGGAAGCTGCACGTTCCGAAGCATCCCATGACGCCTGTTTGGTTGTATCGAAGGCACTCGCAGCTGTAGGCATGCGAGTACTGACTGACGACGTGTTCTTCCAGAAAGTAGGTGTCACCTGTCCTTCAGGTAAGTTGATTTTGACTGCGTTTTGCAGGTCAAAGACACATTTGAGGAAGATAAGAAACTAAGAGCGTAGCTGCTATCCGTCCATGGGCCCCTTATAGGATTAGAGGGAAGAATTTGCATATAAAATATAGTTACATTCAATGAGTCTGTTCTCTTCTGTCTTCGGCTAACATCACAGTCTCGAACCAGACACTGACATCGAATTCCTCTGGGAAGCGCTAGTGATGTTGCTCCGCTTCCCGAAAAGTCTGGGCCAAATTCCAATACAAGTATTTTAACGAAGGTGCGAGCGGTGTGTCAACGGACCACAACATCTACCACTTAAATAGCAGACTTGAGTCGTAACAGTGAACGCAGCGAAGTTACGCGGAGGCAAGGGGGGAAACAATCGAATACCTGTGGCATCGTGGCGACCTTGCAGCCCACTGGGGAATCAACGGGCTCAGGAAACCGACAACATGTGATGGGGCTATATATAGTACAATACACAGTGGGTGCAGAGAATGAAAGTGCAAATAACAAGACAAACTCGTCTTCATGCCGACTTGACGCTGGAAGCTGGCACCAAAGCTTAAAGACAGTAGCTCCCCTGTCATGGTTCGCGAAGGAAATGACTCACCTCCGCATTGTGCGAGTGATAGTGATTGTAGGTGGTTTGTTGGGCAAAAAAGTAGAAACAGAAGAAGACATTCATGCAACGGCGGATCTGTTGCACCTCTGATACTCCATAGTAACCAACCTTGTCCCTCAAGTGTGTCCTTCGCGAACTGCCAACTCTGCCCCTCCGACTTGGACACAGAAATCTTATCAAAGTGAGGGCGCCGCGAGGGAAGCTGGCGCGCTCTGCGAGTATCTTGATAAGCCTGTGCAGTAAGTAGTCAAGGTGACCGTGTGGTGGGAGAGCAACGATGTACTTCGGGACGATTCATCAACGTTAAGTGCTGGAAGAGAGAGAAACGCCGCTAAGCGTGCATTAATGCTCGGCAGCTCAACTCCCGCAACACTCAATCGAATTACTTTAGCAGTCTACATCAATTATCAGTATGTCGTAGATTATATGCATCGATTCTTCTCTGATCTCAGCATGATGAACAGCGACAATTAACTCGAATCCGTTTTTAAAGGTGAGAACCAATGTTGTGTGGTGTTGGCCTTGTATCGCTGGGGCGTGACCGTCACACCGAGGAAAAAATCCGGACGTCCCTGTAGTATAGTCAGCTCAATGCGCGATGGCACAGGATGCGGCCAAAGGAGAATGCGAGAACTCACCGTCCACATCCGCCCATCACTCACTATCGTCTTTAAACTCACACACGACTCCATCATGAATCTCGCGTCGTTCCTTGTCAAGCTCGCACGCGGGCCGTGGCTTGCGTGGGCATCGCCAACATCGGTCAAAGTGTGCAACTCTTTCAAACTTGATATTGCTGTAGTAAATGCTTGCTGGAATGACACATGTGATGATCGGTTTGGAATAGAAGAAGAAGAAAACGTACAATGTCTTTGATTGGCAGCGGTATTTCCAGCATTTCCAAATCTTTGCACCTCGAGCTCAGCTTTCTAACCGTGTCGATTGAGACTGAACAGTCCATGAGAGCAAGACGTTTCAACGGCATTGTGACAGCGTTGGGCGGAGCAATGCCATCAATAACAGAGCTCCATATGGGGAGCTGACGGTCCGCAAACTTGAGCAAAAGTGTAGACAGGGAGGTTAGTGAATTAAAGAGCGATGGCATTATCGCAGCCGTTGCATCAGACGTCGGGCGCACGTCAATGGCGAGATGCCGCAGGTTGGGTAAGGTGATGGTAGGCAGGCAGAAAAGGTTCGACGGAGGGGTATTTTCCTGCCGAAAATAAGTGAGGGCCAAAGAAATCTAATCAAGAAAAGACGCACGAATATCGTGAAAGAAAGCGCTTTCAATGATGGGGTGTGCGTTGTGGTAGCTTTAATGACCGCTGTGTGAGGAGCCTTTGAACATCCAACGACGTGCAGCCCACGAAGACGAGGCAGTAGCGGGAGCAAGGCTTCCAAAAATACGCCATTAACTTCTTGAGACATCTAAACAACCTCAGTGAATTGTTGAAAACAAGCGAAAGTAACGTACAAAGATCGTGAGGTGCGCAAGTGTCCGCTGCAGCGAATGTGCCCATCTCGTCAGCGAATCTATAACATTCCAGGTCGGGTAGTCCAGAGTCAAGCTACGTAGTGTTGTCATTTTTTGCAGCATCTCCCCTTGCGTTGTTGTAAATGCGGCATAAATGTGCACATCCTGCAAGCGTTCCTTCCCCTGCAGGGAGCCGAGCAGGGCTGGGAGGATCCTTGGGCCACATACAAATGATAACAAGTTTTTGCAAATCTGCAGCGCATCTGCTGTTTCCGAAAGGAAGTTTGGGTGCACTTGTCCAACCGCGATGAATGGTGCACAATGTATGTTGACATGACGAACATGCACAGCTAGATCGGGGTGATTGCGAAGGGTGAGGAATGGTGATATTGTCTGATGCATTGTTGTGAGAAAAACGCTCTTTCACGAATGTTTGACCTACCCCTCCTCCGGGCCTATATCGTTTAGCATGCTTTGCGGTGAAAGAGACCGTGGCATACAAACACGGAATAACGCCAGCGAGGAACGACTTGCTGACAGACGAAACAGCGACGAGATCATTTCCGGAGATGAATGCAAAAATTAACTCGAGCACGTCGAGATTCAGGTTATCTGCCGTGACCATTGGTTGAGTGTTCGAAGTAAACGTTTTTGGACTGAGTATAAGATGTGGGTCCTCCCGGGCCACAGACTGTTGTGGCAAGTGCTGCCCCCAAGATAACCTGCTCCTTGTGTAGCCTCGATAGCTCAGTGGTCACCGTCTGTGCCGATAATATTGATGGTGTCGTGCCAGCCATCATCATCATGCACACGGTCCACCTTAGAATACGAAAACAGAAACATCACGTGAAATACGTGAACAAATCACTTTTGTTTTTTTCATTTTAGTCTGTGGTGGCACGGAGGTCTTTGAAAGGTGCGCTGATGAAATACAAGATGATGGAGAAGTCACTATTCGTGATGAGGCTCGCCGTGTCACCGTATACCTTAGCTGGCGCACTTCATCCAACTCAAGGTGCCGATGTGTGACGAAGGTGGAAAGCACATCGTGTATACGGCATTTTGTGCTGTGTTTGTCAGGAAGGCGAGTGTCCACGTGTAAATCTGACCAGGGCTTCCGCCAAACTTGATAGCTTCCATTGTTCGTAGAGTCGGAGTGCTTACTTGTCTGGCTGGTGCTTACCGCTCTCGTTCCTTGTTTTCATGTGGGGTGTCCAAAGGCTATTGAACGTCAGGGTGCCGATGTGTCCTGAACTCGCAAGGGTCATTCGCTCGACGCTGGAGCAGATCATTGGGAATTCGTACACTGGGAAGGTGTCCGCCAAGGCACGTATGATGTTAGTGAGCGCTAAGCGCTTGACGCTTGACGCTTGTATTTGATATATGTAGTGCTCGTCCCTCGTCTATGAATTCTATCGTTTACCCTACCGTGCAACCGCACGGTTGAGCAATTCGAAATTTAGCAGCATTAACCTTCTAGTGAACCAGCGGTCAGCCTGCATGACCGCCAAAGGGTTGTAATTCAGACGTACGAGGCACATACTAGTTTGACGTGGAACCGGTCCACTGGAGTTTTGCACTGCTGGATCTGTATTTGAAAACTGTCTGACCAGGTAAACTCGAGTCGCTGCGCGTTCGCTCCGCAATATGGCAAAACTTGTTCAGCTTTTCATAGCCTTCGCCGACCGGATTCCAACCTTTTGTGCTGTGACTGCTGTCTGTCAAACTTGGCTCGTTCTTCCCCTCATCTGTGAGATATGATGTAAAGTCGTGCATTCTTTTCGGCCCTGAGATCTATGCCTGTCGAGCGCATTCTGCTGGCGCACGACTGAGTAGCATCACGAAGGTCTTCTTCTGGATAAGGTTCCCCGTACACCTTCGATCTCAGAAGTTGCATATTTCAATGCATCGCCCCGTTCCATAGGTCCGTTCCATGAGATATGTTGATGAAACGCATCAGAACGTTACCGAAACCACGATGCCGAAGCTTTTAAAATCCGGAATTATTGCACCATGAACACTTGCGCGATTAAGTGTTAGTTGACGGAGAGTAGCGCCTGCATAAATCAGTGACCAGACGTAGACTCATTAATTTGCTGCTGAAGCCAGATTCCCCTCGCAGTTTGGAGCTGCTGCAAAGACTGAAGGGGATGAGAAGAATTTTGAACAACGTCAATCAATCAAAATCACTGACAAACACTAACTACAGACCTTCAAGGGAGCGCGGGGGTTTAAACAATCATGAACGATTGTTATACGCCTCCGTTTAATGAATACAATGCGCAAACGCATTCCCAGCTTTACAGCAACGCACAAGTACAAGTATCTGTAATGACACGACAAAATTTTGTCCATCACATCTGTTGGCACCATCTTTCATATTCAAATCTGCCGTGTAATCTCGTGATGATTTCCATATAATCGGGTTCATCATCAGGCGTCAAGTGGCCATGTCGAACAAAAAAGTCGATGAGGACTGTGGGTCGATTCAATCCAAAATCTGTAGGCCATTTGCATTAGCACTCACCGGCAGCGCAATTGGGCTTGAAGAGTCCCTGCCGCAACTTTGGTATCACTTCATCCAGCGATAGTAACTATCCGATAGGATCGTTTGGCGCGGTCGAGAAATAGAGACACATAGACGTACATCAAAAGACTCCACCTCACCGTCTGATGGGCAGGGCTGGAACGCAGCATCATGTGGCACCCCAAGATCGTAAACATATCTAGAGCGTGTCGTTAAGATCCACGCACAGAGAGTCAGATAGCACTTACTCGACCTCTGGTTGCAAGAAGTTCATTCTATTCCTGCAATCATCCCATGATTATACTTTGCAATTCACCCAAAAACATGGCAGACAAATACCTGAAGAAATAACTGATCGCCCCGACGGGTTTTGCATGATTCCTCACGATGTCTGCTTCCATGCTGGCCTCTTCCTCGCACTCCTTGACAAGGCTTTCAAAGATAGGCATGCCACTGGGTATCCCGCCACCAATACTATTATCCAACCAGCTCGGCCACCTAATGTGACCCTTCAACTATGCACTTCATGAAAATGAGCCGAACAAACTCACGTCTGCTTCGTCTTAGCCCGCGTTGGTACCCAAATCTTCACTTGTGGGCTGCTCGCTATCCCTTGATAGATAGTCATATGTATGCCATACGTCACGACACCGAAAAGAGCACACGCAGCGCGCTCCATCTCAAAGGCGTAGTTTCCAAGCCCCTCGTCGGAATCGTCCTCAGGATAGTGCTCGTGCTTCCCCAAGGGATTTCTGTACACAGGGTACATCTCGTTCCGCCATTTCCGTGGTCCGATGCTCGCAGGAAATACGCCAGTGTCGCGCCAGCGCTCACAAAGCTCTTTCAGCACTGCAGTGCGCTTCTTTGGAGTGTTGACTGACGGATCAAAGCTGACGCGACACCCCGCCTGAGGTTCTGGAATGATCCACGTCCCAGGTTTCTCCTTTTGAAGGAGACCTACTACGTCAAGCCTCAAGAGCCCAACGGCAGGACTTCCTGCCGATTGTGAGAGTGTCCACGGGACGAAGGAATCCACATCGGATGGCTTCTGAAAGATATCAACAGAACCATGGTTAGGTGGGAGGCGAAAATTGTCGCATATCTTTACGAGTTCAAGGTAAGAAAGTGGTGAGGATGCGGGAGATGGGGGGTCGTTGGACATTTCAACCTTCTGAGTCTGAGTCACGACTCCCTAGTTCAACGTTAGCTGATCTTATATATCTCCAGTATGTACACCTCGGCCGATGCTTTCCTCACAATTGCGATTGCAAGTGGGCAGTGAAAGATCCATAAATACATTAATCACGAAACCTATCCTGGCCTTTGTAATATGTATTCAAGACTCAAGAAAACATACAAAGTTCCAGGTTTCCGTGGCATAATTACTGTGAAAAAGAAAAAGAAATGCAGTATGTACGGCACCCAACAAGATGATATAGTTGTAAGTAAACAAGATGAAAGGAGAAGTATACGTATAAAATCAGGGTCCATCTACTATTTGCATAGCATTTACCTTCGACGGGGCAGGTCGTGGACCTTGAGTAGCTGGCGAGTATGAAATACGAGGGGAAGCAGTTCTGCTCCCCCCACCAAATAACGATGCGACACCATTCATGCCGCCCTCAATCTCTCTAGGGGGTGCTCCTGGACCCGCGAGGCGAGGAGAAAACCCAGATGCCATAGGCGGCATACCAAGCTTTGACGAAGACATTGGAGGTGGAGAAGGTGGTCGTCGGGGCTTCGCTACTGGGCTACTGGTTGTAGACGCATGAGGCTCAAATCGTGACGGCGACCGCAATCCGGCGTGCGGTATTGATGACGGACTGGGAGGGAGGGGTCGGGCACGAGGCGGGGAAACTCCCGATGAGTTTTGACGGGATAGGGCAGATTGTTGATGCGGAGGATGACTCGACGAAGGTCCTGTGTATCGATGAGGTCCAGGGGAGTGGTAGCGGTCTGGTGGAGCTTGGAATGGGGGTGGGCGCTCCCGGTCATCCTGATGCATCCAGGCATGCCTAGGCGACGGCGCAGGCCCGCCTGACAATCCAGGACCCGAGGTCGAGCCTGCAATACTATTATGCGACGGCGCCAATACAAATGGCGTAGCAACAGGCCGGTCGCGTTCTTCATAAGGTGGATGAGTTGATGACGGACGGCTCCCGTGCTTATTCCAGTGCTGCTGCTTAAGGTTAATCATGTCTGGCTGCGGTTGCGGTTGCGGCTGCGGCTGCGGCTCGGGCGGGTGGTGGTGATGCACAACGTGGTGGTGGTGACGGTGATGGTGGTGACCGCCAACATGGTGATGTGGTGGAGCATGCGCGTGGTGCGGGTGTCGATGGTGGTGCTCACGATCCAGTTCTTCCTCACGGCGTCGACCTTCCGCTCCTGCGTTCCAATCCATCCCACCCGCTGGTTTGGGCATTCCAAATCGCGTTGTATCCTGGAGTGCTGCATTCAGGAATTGTTGCTCTGGATGAGGAGGTGGCGGCGGCATTCCCGGGCCGTATGCGGGAGGAGGGAGGCCATCATACTGTGCTGGGGCAGGTCCAGAGGGTAACCGCTGTAGGCGTCCTGGTGCACCCAATGGGTACCCCTGGTTGGGTTGTTGGAATACAGGTGGCGGGGGTGGGGGTGGCATGCGTACATCTGGGCCACCATGGAACGCTAGAGCATCCATGGAAGGTGCGCCATACATGGGACCCATGACCATACGTGCATTATTCATCATACGATGCTGATGCAGATAATCGAGATCTGCAGCCGCATCTGTAGCAGGCAGGGCGTTCAAGTCGGGATATGCAGTCGCCAGCATGTGGCGTCGGGAAGTTGTGAGAGGCAATATTTGTGCAATTTGACGAATGGTGGGTGCGGGAGGTGGATCCGGGATTGCGTTGGGAATGCGGCGCACTGCGAACAGCATATTCGTGAACTGTACAAACACAAGACAGAGAAAATAATCCTACGTGGTGGAGGTCTCTCGATAGCTCTGCGCTCGCGCTCCAATTTACGGCGTTTACGGTTAGTCTCCGCAATCATCTCTGTTTGCAGATCATCTCGTGCGACCTAAGTCAAGCCATCAAACACGATGTAAGTAGAGGGTATTTGACAATACGCGCATAAAACGCACCTTCCACCAACTCCAAACCGCGTCTTCGTTTGTCCTCCGCCGTTTGTTAGCGGAGACAACCTCATAAACACGCTTCCTGCAAGCAAGAGCGAGACGTTTATCACGACGTTTGTTCAATTCAGCCTGTAGATGTATGAGCTCTGGGTGAGTTCCTAAAGTAGGTCATCAGCATGGACGAGTATTAAGCAGACAAAGATACGCACCATCTGATACCAATGTCTCCTCCCAAGCAAGTCCCTCCATTTTTTCGACATACACCTTCTCCCGCAACAGTGCAAATTTCAACTCAATAGTCGCAAGCACATCTAGAGCTTCAGCACGGTGGGCGGGCTGCAAATCCAATTCCATTTCCATGTCTAATTCATCCTCCACCTCCGCTTCATGGAGAGCAGATTCAGCGTCTGGAGCTGTTAATGTCGTAGCGTCGCCGTCTTCATCCTTATCTTTCTTGCCTCGTTTGCTCTTACGCTGCGGCTTACCGTTCTCAGGTTTGGGTGACGGAGAACGCGAAGAGGAGGGTGAGCGGGACCTAGACACAGAAGACGCAGACGGAGTAGGAGATGGCGGGTGAATTACTGTTGACCCTGCCATGATTGAGTGTGAGGCAGCCGCAGCTGCGATGGGCGCGACGGACGCTGGCGGTGGAGCTGTAATATCAATGGGAATCAATGGAACAGTTGTGACCGCCTTGACTGGTGCTGAGGATGGCTCTGCCTCATTATCCATGTCTATGTCCATGCCCGCATCTGGCAGTCCGTCATTGTCCTCAGATTCGGTGTCGTTTTCAATTGGGACGGGAAAACTGTCATCATCATCTCCATCGGTATCTCCTTCGTGTGACCCGTCTGGTAGGGCAAGGAGTCCACGGCGCTTTGGAGGGACAAGTGCCGGCTCGTCCTCGTCAGAGGCATAGGGCTCTGGTTCCTCGTCCACCGCCGAATTGGAAGTGGAGTTGTGCGGCTCAGCAGCACCATCCTCATCGTCGTAATCTTGCGCAAGTCCGTTCACATTGACGCCAACATCTTCAAGAGGCTCGTCGGCGTCGACATCGCCGTCGGGGCTGTCGCCGTCGAGGTCGTCTCTCGGGTCATCCTCATTCTCGTCATCCTCTTCCTCTTCCATGGCTCGAGGAGGGCCAGCCATCTCTTCTTCTTCCTCTTCCTCAATCCCAGGTGTCGCGCTTCCTTCGCTCTTCGTATTTGAATTGGAGTTGGAGTTCTTCGATTTGTATGCCCAGTCCCACATCGGGGCAGGGACCAGGCCTCCACGCTTTTTTCTTCCTCCGCGACGGGGTTGCCGACGACGTGAGCCGTCTTCAACATCTCCGTCAATGAATGTCTTGGTCTTCTTTTTGGGCGACTGAGACTCCTGGACGAGCTCGTCGTCTGTAAGTTCTGATAGCTCGGACTCGGCATCCAAGCCGGCGCCCGAATCCTCTTGGGGTGGTGGCGATGGAGAGGGTGAGCTCAACGATTCAAGTGAGGCTGGAGAGCCCGTCATCATGGACGACAGCGAGCAAGGATGATGGCAAGAACGACCAAGGCAAATGCGAAGACCACCACTTAGTCGAAGATGATCGTCCGAAAACGGAAGTTTAATTGGACCGTGCGCAATCCTGCAATCTCATCCACACGTGTCGTGTCTCACGTGATATGTACATAATAGCGGAATCTATTGTTCGCTGTTTGATGCAATGGTTTCTTTTTGGAGCCTATAATTTGAACAATAATATTTACAACCAAGATAGTCCCGAAATCAAGACGATTACAATCCAACGAAACTTGACACAAATCTAGAAATCTCCAAGATCGACCTCTATCGATTCGATGACAGACACTTCAAGGCTCTTGTCTTTTTTCGCGCCTGTTCGCGGGTCAGACAATGCTAAAGGTGGGAGGGGCGATATTGATCGCCCGCCGGCGGCCTCATGGGCCTGCAGTGTAGGCGTACCCGTCCCATTTATATTCGGTGTTCCAGATCTATATGATGTTCCATTCGGATTTGAAGTTGATGGCCAGAGAAGCGAAGCATGATGCAATCAGGGGCAAGACAGATGACCAAGTGACATCGACCATAATAGTGTGAGTACAAACCTTGATATTGTGTCGTTGAACAACCTCGGAACAGTTTTCAATCTTGCACTCGGGTCCGCTGGGGTCGCGGTGCCCGAGGCATTCATCTTGCGTTCCCTTCGTTTCCGTTCGGCATCCAACATTTCTGCCTTGCGCACTGCCTCTAAATTAGCCTTGCGATTGCGCTCGTTCACTTTCGCGAGTTTGTCGTTCAGCGACTCCTCGCCTCCATTTCGAGCAGGAGTAGCTACCACGGGCAGCTCTGCCAGCTTGGCGTCAATTTCAGCAACTTCGTCATAGTCCTGTCGCCGAATTGCAAGGGTCTTGGCCTGCATAAGTCGTGAACGCTGCAACGTGAGGGATGCACCAGATGGCAAATTCGATAGCTGGCTTTTCCGTGCCAACATAGCGGTGATGTCGCTCTAGGCCCGGTTCAGCACTGAGATGTTGAAAAGGCAATTGAAGGTCATACTTCTGTCACGGGTTGTGTGATCAACTTAGACATCTGCGCAATCTTTTTCTCAAGCGCACGCTTGGATGGTAACTTGACGTCGTCTGCGAAACACACTTTTCCTAGACGCTCGAATTCTCGCTAGATCACGGTAAAGTGAATGCAACCGCCAATAGCAACGGAAAACATACCTGTGTGAACGGAGCATTTGACACTTTATCCATATTGAACGCCTTGAGCGACTTGCCATGCTTCAACTCAAGCGTCTGGTTCACTGTGATGTCGTTAATCTTGTATGGCTTCGTGAGATTTACTCCGAGGTCTGGCTCAAATAAGGACAAAACATTCACGGCCTGGTTCCTGACACTCACTTTGTATCTCACAAATCCTGTACTGTGGCTCATTTTTCTCGTCTTGGCCCACGAGATACCGAACCCAGCCACCTTCGGTCGTTAGCATAAAGCACATATTATAGACAACTGTAGCACTCACCCTTCACATAGTCCTCAAACCAGGGAGCCATGCAGTACTTCGCAAGCTTGTCCCGCGTTAATCTGCACCCCATGAGGTCCTCGAGCGATGATGCCTCGTCCGAGGGATCAGGCTGCTTTGAAAATAATTTTCTGTCCTTCTCTTCTTCCTCTTCATAGCGCGTTATTTGACCATCCTCTTCTTCACCCGAAGACATGTCCATGTCATTGGGTGAGGAGGACCGATCTCTCTTGGGGGAGTGTGTCTTCGTCTGCTTGTAATATAAGAGACGTGAGTATACTGATGGTCAGCATACGCACACGCTTCTTCTCATCCTTTGCTTTTCGCCTAGCCTTGAGTTCATCAAGTGTGCGAGACTTCTCTTTTGTAGCGCCTCGGGTAGTACGTTGACCTGCAAAACAATATCATCAGAGGCCGTCTGCACCATAAAGCGCTCTGAGTACGTTTTGCAGCTTTCGAAACACTCTCAGGATCTCCTGACTGTGCTTGAAGCATCTCATGCAGCTTTCGCTTGTCTTGGATTCGCATCAACTCCTCTTGCCGCCCAGCAAGAATTTCTTCTCTGTCAATCTCAGGCATAGATAGTAGCCTAGTAATTAAGAATAGGTTGGGGCGGTGTCAAAATTACACTTGAATTTGAGTTCGACTGGAACTCACCGCTCCCTGTCCGACTCATCTGTGTACTTGCCCTCCAGCGGGTACTTAACTTCCAATTCCTCTTCGCTCTCCGGCTCATCCTCTGCGTCACTGTCATCTGAGATTCTATCGTTCCCCGAGATTTGTAATGAGCACAGTAGTGAGCCGGATCAAGAAGAAGGCTCACTCCGTTCTGCGCTTCTTGGCTGCTGAAGCCCTGGAACTTGATGCTTGGTGTTTGCGCTTTTTCTCAGTTGCACCGGCAAGTTCAAGGAGCTCATCATCGAAGTCGCCTTCAAAGTCGGACATGGTGGAAAAAGTAAGGAAGGAAAAGTGAAAGTGCTGTACAAAGCTGTTCGACGTGTTGCTGTGTATTTACTAAGACCCACTAAAAGAGGGGTCTATATGATCATGGGAACAACATGCCTTATTTGGAAGCAATTGCACAGTGGCTTGTATGCTGTAACCTCGTCACTGTGCCTAACGCGAACGGCTTGGACGACCAAACTCTTCCCCTTCAGCGCCCGACTGACACCAACTTTTGGTAATCTAGCTCTGCTACCTATAGCTAAGCATTAGTCTGTTTGTGGTTCAAGTCGAGGCAGTAAATATTCGTGACTTCCTCCTCCCCGAACTTCCCAGTCAATGGCATACTTTTTCGCATCCCCCGTTGATGTCGACATCAAATTAGAGGGAGAGGAGCTACGGAAGCAAGTGGACATTAAAACTGACAAGGACCGCACAGCTTCGTGTCCAGTTTACTATGACGGAGACTCAGTAGCAGGCCAGGTATATGTTGCATCTAGCCGGATTTATTACATTCAAGGTGCTCACGCAGCTGCAGGTTACCATTCGTGTTCGTGATGGAAAGCGAATGACCCATGAGGGCATCAAGGTTGAGTTCGTTGGCAGCATCGGTGGGCGTTCACATATCCGCCATGGTTCCTGAGCATCTCATTGCCGTTTGGTTCCAGAGCTGTTCTACGATCGAGGGCACCATCATGAATTCTTATCATTATCTCAAGAACTGGCCTCGCCTGGGGACCTGCGTCAAGCGCAGACTTTCGACTTCCTCTTCAAGAATGTCGAGAAGCAATTCGAGAGTTACCAGGGCATCAATGTCAAGCTACGGTGCGGTATCTCTTCTGCCATGCAGATGTCAATTGACCTTTTTCTAAAGTTACTTTATACGAGTATCTGTTGTAAGGCGAATGGCGGATGTTGCGAAGGAGAGAGACATCTGGGTGCACTCATACCGCATGCCTCCAGACAGTAACAATTCCATCAAGATGGAGGTCGGCATTGAAGATTGTTTACACATTGAGTTTGAATACAACAAGTCAAAGTGTGTTATATTATGTTATACAATGGACCAGATGTGCTGACCAGAACGTCAGGTATCACCTAAAGGACGTGATTGTTGGCAAGATATATTTTCTGCTTGTTCGTATCAAAATCAAGCATATGGAGCTTTCTATAATACGACGCGAGACAACTGGTTCCCCGCCAAATCAGTACAACGAGAGCGAAACAATCACGAAGTTTGAAATCATGGATGGCGCTCCTGTTAGAGGTGGGCGCGTACAGATAGGTTCCTTCGCTTATTGCTGACCAGCCCTTAGGGGAAACCATTCCTATTCGACTGTTCCTCGGTGGCTTTGATCTTACACCAACGTTCCGTGAAGTGAACAAGAAGTTCAGCACGCGTTACTACCTGAATCTCGTGCTCATTGATGAGGAGAATCGGCGGTACTTCAAGCAACAGGTATGCTGTATCGGTTTCATTAGTCTGAATTTACCTGACCTTGATGACCAGGAAATAACGATATTTAGGATACCAGAGGTACGTCGTCAAGCCCCAAATCCCGTTATCACAAACTGATTGTTTCGAGCAGAACTAGCTAGTGCTGCGCTACATGATTCTTGTACCCACAGTCTTATCTAATGATGCTGGCTTCTGCCTTTTATCCATAACAACCCCTTTGATCAATACAGGTTTGAAACATTGTTACGGAGGGGTAAAGCAAGTAATGATACATGAAAGCCATCCGATTCTGAAGGTAGTTTTTCTTCTTTTTTTAAAAATCAAATTATTGTCTTGTTGGGGTGCTGAACGTAGGTATAAGGAAGAAGTCACCGTCTGGTCCAAACACTATCTTCGCTCCTGAACTCAACTGCGTCTGAAGTCTCATGGACCTACTTCCCCATTCAGTCTCCGCAAAGCTTGTTCTCTGTTGAACGCTGTCTGGATACGTGGTCCTGCTGGTCCTGTAAATCCGTGCTGGTCGTCACGTAAGGTCTCTTCGCTCGACCGGGACATCACGTCGTCAGGACAGGCAAACGTGTATCCTGGACTGATTACCGTTCCACCGTTATGAATTCGTACGCTCGCAGGCGATTGGGAACGCGCAATAGTTGACCACTGTGAAGAATGCACAGTATCATCATGGACTTGGCTTGCACGATCAAACAAGTGAAGAGATGACAGCTGTCTCTGGCGTTGCTGCGGTGTGTCCCAGCTCTCGCCATCCATTTGTGCAGTTGGGGAATAAATGGTGACTCCTGCCCGTGTGGGTGCTACGGGAAACTGCACTGGATAATTGCCGCTCTGTTGTGGTGCAAGTTTTGTCCATGGTGACGTGGGTCCTTCCGTGCGCGCAAGCGCGGGCTGCGGGATGGATACAGGCGGAGGTATGGGTTTTCGTTCCACGAAATCGCTGGCATAGGTGATTACAGTTTCAGAAGCTCCGTCCTCATCGCCAGATGGCTGTGCAGTGTCATGACGCATGCTTGGCTGGCGTGGGATCCCAACAACTGGAAGCTCTTTCTTGTGATCCTCGTATCCTTGACCGAGCTTGGACCCGGGGTACTTGTCAGTAACACCGGGGGGCGAGTTGGGAGTGAGGTCAAGGACGAAGCTCATGTCGTCGAAGATAGGCTTCGCAGACTGGCGCTGTGTGTTGCTCTTTGAGAGGCGAGCAACAATACGGGATGCAAGCGCTTCTGCGGATATGTTCCGGCCAGATTGTCTCCTCGAGTCATCCGCATGCATAACTTGCTTGGGAGTAGAGAGTGCAGAAAGGCGAATGTGCAAGATCGGCGCCTCGCCACCTTCATCGTGTGCTGTTACACGTCGATCTTTCTTGCCCCTTTCCACATCTTTTTCAATTATAGAAGACTCGCGAGACAGGTCTGAGAATTGTGAGGTCCGTATGCTCATGCGTCGATTGGCTATGAGAGAATGGGAGTTCGATACAGGCTTGCCGCGACGCCATAAGACCAACTCCTTATTGAGGAGCTCAAAGTTTTCATTTTCATCCATTCTGTGCATTGAATATTAGCGAATTGCGCAACATTGTGCTGCAGAAAACCCACCCCTTCAATGAGCCAATAATGATGCAAAGCCTGCCAATCAGTCGTAGGAGTCTTCTGGACAGCGGAACAGCTAAGCCGCCGGATGTAAATCCAACGATGGACTCGATAGCTCCCAGCTTGATTCCTACAGTGATCCATCCAGTGCCATTGAAAAAGTGGCGCTCGTCGGACTGCTTGATGTCGATGCGCTGCTGATCGAAAAAGGCTAAAAATAGCCGGTACAGAGCGAGGAATGCAGTAAAACATTGAAAGGTTGTATATGTTCCGAGTGACAGCTGTCCGAGACTTAGCCATACTGATTCACTCTTGTTGTTGAAATCGATCATGATTTGGGCATGCGATAAAGATAAATTCCCTGAAGGCACATCAGTCAAGAACAACAGGAATAAATCGAATCTCTTACGAATAGAAATTCCGAGCGATGCCGCGAAATTGATCGCCACAATCACGGGAACAGCACCGGTAAGTAGATATCTGACTACAGGTTGGTGGCGGTGAGGGAGGTAGGTGACAAATTCCCTGCGACTCAGCCAGACTAGATATGAAGTGTATGACAGCATAGGAACAAAAGAGACAGATCCTGTAACATTAGAAGAGTGAATCTCAGCATTCAAGTTCTCTAGTGGACATGGTCACATACCAAGGAATAGTTCAACCGCGTTCGAAGCGGTGGCTGAATTCCGCGCAGCGGGTGCTACGTGCGATAAAAGGTCGACCAGCGCCAGGATGAAATATAAAACACCATCTGCGGCCAGCAATAGGTGCACCCTACAGGTGAAGCCGTTAGAAAATTAATGTGACAGTTGGTGATAGATATGAAGGGTACCGTCGCGAGGGACGGCGCAGAAATGTTGATCTCGATGAGGCTCTTGTAGCTGAAATCTGACGCACCTCCTCGACCTCCAAGTCATTGAAATCAAAAACACACAGAAAAAGAGCTCGATAACAGGGGGGATGGTAAGGGCGTGAATTTGAATGAGGTTCAGAGGAATGCAGCGAAGATTTTCTGCAGGGAGCAGACAACCTACGGAGCTCGATGATGAACTCATGCTAGCGAACAGCTGCTCGAAGAAGAGTTAAAAGTTCAAAAGTATTAGAAGCTTGTGGCGAGCGGGTAAGGATCGTGGACAGAAGCCAACAAATAACGGCTGGAGTTGGCTGGGGGAGTCTGAGTAGTAATAATATTAATGCAAGTAAGTTGCTGCGAAGGCGACAGGGAGGCGCAGCCTATAAAGCTGCCTTCGGAAGATGGGGGGATACCAGAGTCATATACTCATTATCGGAGACCTTTGAAGGATTGATATTCATCCATCATGATCTGAGATCGCAGTGGCAACTGCAATAGCCAAGTTGACTGGAAATGCAACCGTATATTTGAGTTTCTACGTGGCAGATTCTGATCGACGTTGACTGCCTTTTTTGAACAATTGTTGTGCCAGCCTCGTTCTCGTGTCTCACGAGGGATCTATCGCCCAATGGCGATAGGTGCTCGACACCGCGCGCAGGTGCGGACCCAGATATACACTGCCGGGACCCCCTCAGCCCATGACCAATTGTACCGCGACTTGCCTACGTGCAGGCAAATTCAAGTTTAGGCGGTCTAGTCCCAAGCTGTATTCAATAGGTTGGTGCACGCTGAGAACTCACGAAATTTACCGGCCACGTCACACAGACTGCGAGTATTAGTACTTGTAAACATCCGCCGTACTATAGTACTAGTGGACAAAGATGTAAGATGTTCAAGCTGGCACATGGGAGTCAAAAACACTAAATCATACTTCTTATCGCGAATACAGACATAACTCACAACACCGCTGACGCTTCCCTGCGCTTCCCTGAACGAAGAACCCTAAGATTGGTCCCGGAACGGTAAACGTCTGGTTCGAGACTACTAGTACATATATGTAGTAGCATCCGCCGAATCGCACCCCAGTCGAGCTTCGCTTACTACAACCTTAACGTACCAGCGAAATTTGCCCGCAGTGTACAGACCCCTCAAATATTCACCTCTCAGTCCTCCTCAGTTCACGCGAGAGGGACGATGCGAAGAAAAAAAACAATGTAAGATACATCCTGATGCAAGGCACATTGTACTTGGTATGTGAAATCGATTGAATCGCGACAGAATCGTATCTTCTATTGATCATATCAACAAGTCGTGTCTGCGTGCGACTAAATTGGCGGTCGGCGGCTAGCGCCCAGGAGGCAGCAATGATAGAGATTGCTATGTTCAGGATAGAAACAATGATGGGCCAGTGGCTGCAGAGATACGAGGACAAAAGGGAACACAGGGGCGAATGATGTTCTATCACATCAAGGCCTTGTCTCACATATAGTCAGATGGTGATCATCCCAAATAAATAGTACAACTCACCAATACATCGACGACTAGCATGTGTGTATCAGGTCAGCCTGCACTGGAGACTAACTCACCAGGAATGAATCCGAGTCAGTGTGTTGTTGCAGATTGCACTCAGCGGAAGTTTCCGACTCCAAAACAGAGTAGCCGATAATAAAGAACTCATATAGGCTGTATCCTGTTGTATCATAGTAAAATGCGGTGACGCAAACATCCCCGTGTTTTACAAGTTGAAGATCTACCGACTCCCGGCGAAGTCCATATAAGTTAATCACATCTAGCGTAATTGGGGTTTTCTTGGAAGTGAGTGACCCACACGCTCCTCGGTTGCCGTTATTCGCCTGTTTCTTGCCCTTTGGGTCTTGAATGAAGTAGGTTGTGGCTGGTAGCAAATGCACGGCAGATGGCCCGTGGGAATTATGAAATACGCCAACATGGCGGTAACCTGGCACTTCTGGACAACCTGCAAATTCTCAAACTCGGTGGCAACGCGTTTTTTTTGGACAGAAGCGCAGTGCTCCAAAGAGAATTCGAAATGCATCTATGTAGAGCCTTGTGTGCGGGAAATTTCAATTCCTGGCATCGATTAGCGAACTTTAGCGAAACGGCAACATTGACATTTGACATTGCCATATTCGCCCCCAGTCGTCCCCCCATCGGAGTTTGTGCGTATGTGCGCCATCTCCATATGTCGGACAATCCTGACAGCCATGGCAGATCACTGTCATATGATCACATGAAGCAGCAGAATCGAACCCGATGTCCATTCGAAACGGCCCAAAAGATAGGCGACATGACTCGTGTCAATTCAGCGAGATGAGCAGATTCATTCACTTACTTAGTACTTGTGCCATCGAACACCAGCTTGATACATACAGGGAGGACCGCGGTGATACGAGAGAAGCTGGAAGACAAAACGATTCGGAAAAATCTTTAAGTGATACTCGTTAGTATACCGCTACTAGTAGGATGACGGATATTGAAGATCACGATCGATCACAACAGATGCATATGAGGTGTAAAATCCCGGGGGACGTTTCGTTGAAAAGGCATTGATAGACACCGTCATATCTGTGGCAATCAGATCCAATGTCCAACACACCGCAAGCGGATGCACGATGGTCGTACTCCAGAATTCTCCAGATTGTCACGGTAAAGTTTAGTGCTCCATGAAAAAAATATGACTAAGCCAGATCAAAATCCCACGGATGCGTTTATGGATCTACTGTAGAGATACGACACTAGCTTCGTCACGTGCAGCACGTGACAAAGTCACGCTTAGTGTCACAGCTTCGAATTACCCTGTCACCTGTGACCACATAAAAAATAGCTTCGGAAATTGTGATTTTGTCAAGGCTTCTTGTCTGATTCATATCTTATTATAAAGTTGAGAAGTAACAGGTAGAATCTAGCTGGACATTGTTGTTTTTTATATGTTTTTTGTATGTTTTTTATATGTTTTTCTGTATGTTTTTACCACATGTCACAAATTAGCTTCGGCCCCCAAAAAATTGGTGTGACAGTCACACCAAATAGGTTCGATTCGTTGATGGCTGTGACCTGTGACGAACCTAGTGTCGTATCTCTACAGTATAGCAAAATCTTGAGTAACTTTTAGGACTTGTCATTAACTCCAGAACAGTTGTTTGCGCATATGCCATGGTGGTGAGTATTGGCCAGACACATCAAGTAAACTGGTATCATTGACCCCTTTCAGAAAATATCTGTTCTCCAGCATGCTCCATCAGTGCACCTGCCTGCACGTCCTGGAGACCCTACGCCTACCACCCGCAATCTCGATCCCTTGATGCACCCATTTGCGCGCGCTCGTGAGCGAAATCGTGCTTTGAATGCTGCCAAGATGGACAGGCTGTTTGCGAAGCCCTTCGTAGGGGCTCTCGAGGGTCACATAGACGCGGTCGAGGTGTTATGTAAAAAGCCTGGATCATTGAGCGCTGTTGCCAGTGGTAGCTGGGATGGAGGTGCGTTGAAAAATCGACTCGGCTGACGACCGTTCATGTCCAAAAACATCCACTTCCCCTAGGTGTCATTTTGCACAATGTTTCCGAGCGCAAACACATCCGCCGAATACAAGGTGCTCATAAGGGCAAAGTATCAGGCCTTTGCTTTGCTCAAGATGACCGACTACTAAGCTGTGGTGTGGACAGCAACATAAAACTTTGGGATGCAAGCCCACAAGATGATATAACGGTCAGTTCCTCAGTTGGCAATGAGTTTATTGTGTATCTATCCCAGCCCATCTAGGAGCAGCGCCCGTTGAATGTATATCCTGGGAAATCACCATTCAAGTACGCCACTTTGATACGCTAAGATCTACATTTCATTGACCCGTACCTTCACAGCTCAATAGATCATCATCGTTCGGATCCACTTTTTGCTACAGCTTCAAACATTGTTCAAATATGGGACGAAACGAAGTGGGCGCTATCCATATCTACGTTCAGGTCTCAGCTGACTTGCCATTCAGGAGTGCCGCAATATCCAACCTAACGTTCCCCACGTCTACCGAGACCATCACATCTGTGCGATTCAATTTGAGTGAAACAAGCGTACTTGGCAGTATTGGCTCAGACCGGACTTTCACGCTCTATGATATTCGCACAGGAAAGGCAGAGCGTCGTGTTGTCATGCAGATGCGCTCAAACGCACTTGCATGGTCACCAACATTCCCAACAGCTGTCCTCCTCGCGTCCGAGGATCACAATCTGTATACGTTCGATGTTAGGCAACTGAAAAATCCCACCCACATCTACAAAGGACATGTTGCAGCAGTTATGAGCTGTGATTGGAGTCCAACTGGATTGGAATTTGTTAGCGGTGGATGGGACCGGACAGTAAGAATATGGAAGGAAGGTCAAGGCACGGGACCAGAAGTATATCATACTAAACGAATGCAAAGGTAAGCTCGTGTATCTCCGCTTGTCAGCTTGTTCACAATTCACGATAAGGGTTTCATCATCTATATTCACTGCTGACGCGCGCTTTGTGCTGACGGGCTCGGATGATGGTAATGTACGGATATGGAAAGCCAAAGCATCAGAAAAGCTTGGTGTCATCACAGCCCGGGAGCGCGCCGCAATCGAATACCGCGACAGCTTGAAAGACCGATGGAAGCACGACAACGAGGTTGGCAGGATTGCACGGTAACGATGATTTTTCTTGTTTTGACTCGCGCTCACTAGCAGCTCAGCAAACGACACTTGCCAAAGCCAGTCTACCAGGCTGCGAAGCTCAAACGCACGATGCTCGATTCACGTGCCGTCAAGGAGGAGCGTCGGCGGAAACATACACGCGCCGGGGAGAGCAAACCAAACGCCGAGCGCAAAAAGGTGGTTATTGCGGAGCAGACTTGATTGCGCGCTCAACTTTAGCCTATACCTATATTTTAATTTCGCAAATATTGTCTCATGCAACAGCACAATTACATAGACACATCTTGCAGCTGTCAATTGTTCTCAGCTAACACGTCTGCTCCCATGGACATTTTCATAATCGACTAGGGACTCGCGACATACCGCAACTATATAGCAATTTATGAGTGAAGCGGTCCGTCGCGCGCAAACCTTGTAGCACGTTGATTAAGGTTAGTGTTCACCTTGCCTAGGGTGCCATGGAAGCAGTACGTAGTCCTATGTGGATGCGTAGATCTGCGTAGATCCTTCCTACGGCAGTACGACAAGCAACCTTTTGTTTAAAATGATGCACAAACCTCGACGGCCGGGCCGGCTCAGCCCCTTCAAGTAACAAGGCGTCGCCACCTTGAATTTGAGCCGCTGGTGGCTTTAAAGTTTACCGCGGATCACCTTTACCCATCAGACTCGTGAATCGTCGACCACGATCATCGGTGAAAGGTATGGCCCACTGGGCCCCATTTTGTGAGAAGATGATGAACAGCTGATTCCAGCTAGCTTTGTGAATTCAAATTGAATTTCGATATTCAATTTGTAAACTTCCAGTTGCAATTGGTGGCGGCTACCTCGTGGTTTCTGTACGTGACCATCCATGGTAATACTCTTGTGTACCGGGTTGAACTTTCAGCAGTTGGTCGTTACATAGTATTTGAACTGAAGTATTCTCTCCTCGGTCCAGTCTCCATGAACACCCAGGGATCCGTTGTCCATGCACCTGCAGGTTTCCTTAGCTCCAGTAGTAAGGGCCAGACCTCGCATGACGAGTACTTCTATCTTCCTCCCCAGATACAATCAGTTTCTGACTAGGGTGGAAATTTCACAGGAAACACCGATTTGTCGGAGTTCGCGACCCTCGCAAGATTCGAATTCTCCAGTTTCATCCCGACCTCGGTCATCCCCGTCGTACCAATAATAGAGTTTTGCCTCCAGAGTTACTTCTACTGATCTTCGAGCATGTTTATGCAGATAACATGCTGAACGAAGAGTGGATTCCTTGTAACTCGCAGTCTCGCACGCAATTCCCATTCGCTCCCGCGGCCGTATGTCAGGCCTGGAGAGATGTTCTTGCGTCGGTGCCAAGGTTCTGGACACGTATCATAATCAACCTCGACACTACAAAGCTTTCACACGTCGACATATACCTTCATCTTTCCCGGAATCTCGTTTTCGAAATCATCGTCACGCGAGACCAACGAATCGTTTCTCAATCTCGCACAAATGATGACGAAGGGGCACGAGCAGCCGCAGTTATGGCTCGGATTATTCCCCATCTACGTCGCTGCAAGTCTTTATGTTTTCAACTCGTTCGCAGCTCTTCTCTGCCTGCTCTTCGTCATCTGAACATATGCGCACCCCTCCTTGAGCGGCTAAAGCTGCAATGTGGGATCGATGATGGCGAGCATCCCCTCGTAAGCAGCGAAGTTCCTGAGCAGTGGCGCTTCGACGCTCCGGCGCTTCGGTACCTCTTTCTCAATGGGCGTAATTTCCGTGACGCCTGCGCCCTTCATTGGGTTGAACTACTTGCAAGCCTAGAGGACCTATGTGTTTCGCGCTATTCCGGGGGGAAACACCCCACAGGAGAGCTGCACTTGCACGACGTTTTGCTCGTCGTCGACAGGCTTCATCGCCGTTTTGAAAGACTCCAGATGCTGACTCTTCAAGATATTTCGTTTGATGGCACCCTCGTGCAGCAAGATGGCTACGACATTCAAATCGAAGCTATGAGCATGCAGTCCATTGACTTCTCGACGGTCCGTACCATCTTCGCGTCCAAGAACGGACCAGCTCCACACCTTGTGCACATCAAGCACGAGCTCGCGCCCAGTCTATATCACATTCGCTTGACTCAGGCCGACACCCTCGTGCTGGAAGGTCCTTTCATGCGCATGGCTGAAGCGATCAATATCTGGGACGGCAATTGTCTTTCCATTAAAAACAGTTCTACCTTCAACGATCGCACCATCCGCGACATTTATCGTTCATGGAATCCAGATAAACTCACGTCTCCAAGCTGGTCCCGACTATATATAGAAAATTGCACAGAGTTCTCCGCAGATGCGCTTCTGGAATTGATCGATGCACGCGGCGTTGCGGTACAACGAGCGCGGGATAGAGATCCCACATCGCAGGCCCCTATCAATAGCTTGCGGGGTTTGAAGGTACATGGGGGACCTCCTATCTCGCCAAAGGACACAGAGGCATTCAAAGAGAAGTTACCTCAAATGGAATGGCATGAAGCAGCTACGGGTACAAGACATTAGCGGAGCATAGGTATGCGAGGGTTTCAACTGTTGACACACTCTAAGGGCGGGTGTATTCCTTTTTGTTACTGCAAGCTCATCTCTCAGGAACTTCACATTTCTTCGTAGAATGGGCTACTATGTAGGCTGCGTGGCGAATATTTCACCAGCTTGATTCATAACAGGGTAAGTAGGACACGATACATATGTATTCGTTTCAGTGACAGATTACCGTCCACTCGAATGCAATCTTACAGGAGGCTCTGATACTGTGTAGTAGTAAGCATATTATGTACAGTTGACAAACAATTGATATGATTTCCTTGGACTCGTGATACTTACATGCAGGTCTGAATTCCAGAGCGCCTTTGTCTGTGACTGGAAAAGCAGTGGACCGTCGACGTGTGATCATAAGGGAGTGTCGTGGCTCAAGCTCGTCAAGTTGGTCCTTGCTATTTGCAATTGCTGACTTGAACAAAAATCGTGTGGGGCGGGCATTCGAGTGTAAAGATCCCTTCACGGAATGTTCCGGAAATCCGGAGATCGATGTTCGGCCAGCACACACTGCGGGCAAAGTCGAAAAGATAAGGCCGATCATGACGGCCAGGTCAAGTTGCCACCCACACAATCTTAGCAAGGCCAGTTCTCGATAGACATGGCAGGTTCCTCACTCGTTGCATGCAGCTTGATCCAATTGCTGTGAGTTCATGAGTATTACAGTCAACGCAGTCTAGCTTTCCGCTTACTCGCTGGTTGGGAGATCGGCATGGAGAAGTGTGGGACTAGGTCATTATGACGCACTTTGCGTATTTTAGGCGGGGGTGGACGTAGACGTAGAGTGGGGTGAAATGGTGAAGTGTATAGTTGCTGCGCTGCTATCAATGTTGACGGGTTTAAGAAGCACAGAGATGTTCATAACTTTTCATATCGAGGAGCGAGCTTTACCACGCTATCCCACAACTATTCTGCGTGCATATTAATTCTGAGAAGGTCCTGCTGTGGAGGAAATGACAGGTACATACGAGATGAAGGAAGCACGGGGTTTTCGAAGACGTCAGCATGATGCTTTATCGTCGAAATGATTGTTTGCAGCCATTTGACTCGAAGGTCCAACTTGTTGTCATTGTTTGAGGGAGGATTCAAAGAACTTCATATGTCCAGGTGGTCGCGCACGTAGAGCATTGTACTGTTCCGTGAAAGACGGGGGTGGTGACTCCAATTAGTACTGCATGGACAACGTCGTATCCATGTCCACTTGTCGGTATAGCTGAAGTCACATAATTAACGCAGGTCCCTGAGAAGGATGACGAAGACTTACTGCTCGTATGCAGTGTGGTTGAGCACAGCATCAAGGAGGCAGAGACTACGTCACGATATGCGCTCCACTGATGCAAGAACCATGACGACTATGGTGACCGAATTACACCCTGTTCAATCGTCCACGCTTTACAGCCTTTCATGCGTGACGCTTCGACAACTTGAAGGGGGCCGACCCACTGGTGCATTGATATTCCACCTAGAGGCGAACCCACTCGGTTTGTGAAGAATCATAAAAACCATCAACTTGCAGACATATTCGCTACTATCTTGGACGGTTGGAGACAATCATAGGACGGCAGATAGCTTAGCATCTGAGCTAGTCTTGAGCTACATAGTCTCTGTGATCCGTCACTCGGCGCAACTTGAACAAGCCGCATCAGATGGGGCGAATTGCGAACCACTTGAGGTCTTCGTCTTCAAGTTCAAGCGGTCCAAGAGCCTATCTCCGTCGAGGCTATGGTACTGTGCTCCCCTCGGAATATTAATTGAATGCGACTCACACGAAGCTGAGAGCAAACGTAGCTTGGAAGTTCAACTGCTCAGTGCTGTCTATTAATATATTGTTGTGCTAAATTTGTCCCTGATTGAGTCATGACATAATGACCCGTTCGAATTCGTTGAACCTGTGACAAAACACGCATCGGAGTGGTTTACATAAATCCACTGGGACCAGTGGACCAGGCATCGTGATTCGTCGTTCAAGACACGATTTCCACATCGACGCGTTGATATTACTGAAGGTGCCATGATCAATACTGACAACGGGCAGGTTACCCGCGTTCACTGTGTGTGTGTATCTATGGAGAACTTCAAGTTAACTAACAGGGTCCCCATAGCTCTGGTAGAACTATCTAACGACAGTACAGTATGGCTCGATGGAAATGGCCGTTCCTTCGAGTTGATCATCCCTGTATGACCGTGTGCACGGTGTTCCGCAACGGGGCTCTTCCATACGAAGTACTGGGGTGGCTAGGCTTCAACGATGTCGCGGACTCAAGTGGCGTCGTGTGGATGATGGTATGGCGTGTAATGCAAATAAACGCTGAAGTCCATGGGAAACAATAAGCAAGCAGGCCCTTTTATTTTTGCGGGGTTGTCAACATCGCGCCCACTGACACTAGGATTGATGGCCGTGCGGTTGAGGATTTATATTTGTGGTCGCGTCAAGGTTGACCGGTGACGCTGAGCTATGAATAGGTATAAAGATGTCATGGTATTGGAGCTTAACACATGAACTGGAATGTCGGTCATGTTATTTCAATCATATCTTCGAGAACCTCATGTCACTCCCTATAGTCAACGCTGGGAAGAGTTAAGACGTTCAGAAGAGTAGCCTTCTAGCGGCGGCTATTGTCTGTTCAATGAATATGCACTAGCGACCAGTGCTTTCCATCGTCTTGCTGCACGATGACGGATATAGACCACATAGAACATGATATACTTAGTCGTCCATCATGTTATCTGTCGCGGGAGAAAAACATACCCCAAAGACAAGGTGCGTTATGCGTCGTCCGTCATTCGCCCCAGAATGGTCGCTGATTATATATCAAAGGGACTGGATTATCGTGACTGCTAGTTGTCGTCCATCTTGTGACCTGTCGTGGGGGAAACGGGTGTGGCCTTCGTGTCTTTGGAGTATGTTTATCTGGTGCGTCATGTGTCGCCCATCATTCGCCCCAGTGTGGTCGTGGTCGCTGTTTATATACCGTGGGGACTGTGGATTGTTGTGACTGCTAGTTGGACTAACATGCTCATGGAAAATTTAAACGTGAGCAAGCTGACTGAATGTAAGTCCTCATAGATACCAGGGCGGACTGATCCGACGATTCAGCCTAACGTTGTCCCGGTGTCGGTAAGTTTCTCAACAGAATTCAAAGGTACAGAAATTCCAAATGATATTTATATCCGCAGGGTACTTTCAAAGAATCAAAACGTAGTCGTACGCAACGTTATGCTTGACATGTGGTCATCATGGAGCCCGTTCGTCTTCCAGCTGAATGATGCACGCGTGACCTTTTGATCTTGACGTGATACCTTACGACAGCTTACAACGACGATCATCATCTTTACGGGGACTATGCTGCAACGGGGATAGCAATGCGTTGCCCTACATGTTTCATTATGTAGTCCCGCTGCACCCTGCTCTTTAAGGACATCGACATCGCCCGACACCGAAGTATTAATTTGCCAAACACGTTAATGAAACTGGACTGTAGTTTGGGAATGCAGGACAATATTATTCTTTATTTTCTCTATCTCGGAAGTTCAGCTCCTGCCACGGGGACCGCATGGTTTCTCATGCTTGATGCGCCTGTTCGGTAGAAAACCTGTGCGTTCAAATAACGATGGCATCTTTTCCCTGCCACAAGAATGCAACAAGCGAGAGGTAGATCCCCTGGACTCGGGAAAACCACCCAGAGTCTTATCAGATATCTGTCAACTCAGGCTCAAGTCAGGTGGCGATACGGTACTATAAGTTGTGATGGAGTCATCTGGACAGCCTGTTCCATCAATTTTGATAGAGCGGCGATGAAGCTGTTGCGACAATGATGGGCCTGATCAAGTTGAAGCACGAGAATGGAAAGGGACTGCCAGGGCCAGCCGGGGAATAGGGTGGGGACCATGACATTTCCTGTTAGGTCCGATATTTGACAGTAATACCTGGACCATGTCCAGAAATAACCTGAGGCGCAGCACAGGCTTTACCAGAACACAGCCGGATGCCACTACTTATCTGATACGTGAGCGATGCGCGGGCGAATGTTGCGCAGCCTTTGTGATGGAGAGACAGTCCCGGCTATCAGAAGTCGACTTCCAGGTGCAAGGGGAGATGATAGCAACGACGACCTGACATGATCAAGTAACCGTGGGAATGACTGTTAGGAAACAATATGCATAAATTGCCTTGTCATGTGTTGCATAAATCTTATCCCCCTACTCCTCTTTTATCATTCTCCGCAGGCAGGTCCTTACTTTCGTTAGACGCGCAGGTCGTTCTTTGTATCATTCCACTATTGACTGGAACAACTCATGTCCTTCGAACGGTCCTCCGGTCTTGATTTCAAAGATCGCAACCCATTCAGAGATCAGGACCCATTCGTCGATGGCGCAGGTGACTATCCACTGAATGCTATACCACCAAACCACCTCCAGCGCAACAAAGCAGAACGCCTTCGCCTTCAGGGTATCCAGCAGCCCCTTCCAAATGCTGGTATCGGCGCACCCAAAGTTCTTGATGGTCCCCGTACTCTCGGTCAAAAGTTTGACCGGTGGATGATCAACGAGGGTGGAAAACGCCTCTTTTTCTTTTCTTGGATCTTTTTCCACATGCTCGTTATTGCATTCGGGTTCATGAACTACCAGCTCAGTGATGATCTCACCGGAGCCCGCGCGACCTTTGGCATCACCTACGGTAAGCATTCAAATAAGTCCTACAGGTTTTCCTTCTTCTAATATTGCAACAGCTATCGCTAGATCTGCAGCACTTGTACTACACACCGATGTCATCTTCATTCTCTTGCCAGTCTGTCGAAACTTCATCTCCCTGCTTCGCAGAACGCCCCTTAATCAGTTCATCCCATTCGACAAGAACATAACATTCCACAAGGCGACAGCCTGGTCTATGGTTGTCTTCACTGTCATCCACATCGGTGCTCACATGCACAACTTTTACGAGCTTGCCCTCGCTGATCCAAATGCAACCACCTTTGGCCAGCGTGTCCTCGTTTTCTTGCAAGCAAATTTTGCCACTGGTCCCGGTGCTACGGGTTGGATTATGACTGCTGCACTCGGCACCATGGTCTGGTTCGCTATGGAGAAAAGGCGTCGTGCCAATTTTGAGAGGTTTTGGTACACGCACCATTTGTTTGTCGTCTTCTTCCTCGCTTGGCAGTTCCACGGTATGTGGTGCATGATCAAGCCGGACAGACAACCATTCTGTTCCTTCAACTCCATCGGTGTCTTCTGGGTATGTGAACATTGACAAGCCATTTTTATGCCATCCCTTGACAACACCTTTTTCAGCGATACTGGCTTGTCGGTGGCCTCATTTGGACATACGAGCGGATTTTGCGTGAAGTTCGCTCACGTCATAAGACTTTTATCTCCAAGGTCATACAACACCCGTCCAAAGTCATTGAAATCCAGATCAAAAAGGAGAAGACTACTACACGGGCAGGGCAATATATCTTCATCTCTTGTCCAGAGATTTCCTACTTCCAATGGCACCCCTTCACCCTTACGAGGTAAACCAAATCTTCAATCAGTTTCTGCGAGGAAATACTTACAATACCACAGCGCTCCTGAAGAAGATTACATTTCTGTGCACATCCGTGTCGTTGGTGACTTCACTGCTGCGCTTGCCAAGGCTGTCGGCTGTACATTCGACTCTAAGGACTCTAAGGATGCCGATGCCAGCGGTGGAAAGGTTATTGGCACGAACACAAATCCGCCGCTCAACCGAGTGCTCCCTCGTATCATGGTTGATGGTCCGTTCGGTAGTGCCAGCGAGGACTTCTTGAATTATGAGACCGTCCTTCTTGTTGGTGCTGGTATTGGTGTCACACCCTTCGCTTCGTGCGTATCACATCACTCGTCTACTTGATGACATCATTGACCATATCTATTAAGCATTCTGAAATCGATCTGGTACCGCATGAACAACGTGAACAACTCTAAACCTACCCGTCTCTCCAAGGTCTACTTCACTTGGGTCATCCGCGACTTTGGCAGCGCCGAGTGGTTCCACTCGCTACTGCAGGCCATCGAAGAGCAGGACACGTCCAACCGGATCGAAATCAACATCTACCTCACTGCGAAGATCAAAGAGGATGACATGAACAACATTATCGTGCGCTGCGCCCCTTTTCTAGGTGGCTCATGTATTAATTGCATTTTCCTTAGGTTCAAGACGTCGGTGCAGAGAAGGACGCTATCACCTCTTTGCGTGCTCCCACTCATTTCGGCAGGCCAAACTGGGACAAGGTGTTCGGTTCTATGGTTGAAAAGCACCCCGAAACCGACGTCGGCGTGGTTCGTAGTTTTCCTTCATCTTTCAAGTCACATCAGCTCACCCGTCCTTCTCCAGTTCTTCTGTGGCCCCCCAGTGCTCTCCAGGCAGCTCCACCAAATGTCCAACAAGTACTCCAATCCCAAAGGCACACGGTTCTTCTTTGGCAAGGGTGCGTTTTTGCTTCTAATTCCGTCGCCAGGCCCAACTCACTCGTTTTGTGTAGAGAATTTTTAGGATGGCTTGTTACTCTGGATACAGTACTGCTGGGTACTGTAGTTGTGTTGCTTTTATTCGCTGTATCTATGTACAATGCTATGGATATGGACGGGGATACAAAAATGCAAGGGAATACCACCGGCTGTCGGTGGGTATAATGGGGTATATAATCCAAAGTAGGGGGTGGACGCTATGATACGAAGTATATCCACGAAACTAATAATTTATATTCTATTACAAGTCCGTTGCTTTCCTGCATGAGTAGATTGTCGTGAAGGTAACCATTCCAATGCGATGACAAAAGGGAGTTCCACTCAAAACGAATCAGTCGCCAGGCGGAATCTATTTGGATTCTCTACCAACCACGGTGGGGGTGGCGTCCCCCACAAACTCTCATACGAACTCATCACGTTTCCTTGCACGGTTGGCTGTGTGAACATGACCTCATGCCGGCCACACGTGCACTTCTCGAGCTCCCCAGCCTCCACGAATGGCGTCTCCAATGTGCAGTAAAGCTCTTCCTTATCCTTGACATTGTACACCTGACACCAAATCTCTACCAGCTTACGCACAAAGTCGCCCATGTTGCCCTCGCCGCCATCAACGAGCACGACCACCATGCAGTCCGAGATCGGTTCGTGGCTCCACCCTGAGGGCTGAGCCTCCTCCAGGTCATCGTCCTGGCAACGCACGACATCACGGGTCTTCTCCCATTGCACGGACGCGAGCCCCGACCGGCTTCGCGCGTGTCGCTTCCGCGAGGTCCAGACCACCGGCCGCGAGCGAATGACGCGTCCGTCTGGCCCCTTGCGCAACATGACCATGAGGTCTGAATGTCGGAAACAGCCGTTGACAAATGCTTGTGCTTTTGCGTCGTTGAGAGATAGGGCGGCGTACAGGGACAGGTTGCGCTGCGTCTCCTCCCACATGGGCCCGAAGGACTGAGAACCGCTATCCGTACAGACAATGGAGTGTCGGGGTGAGGAGAGCGGTATGTCGCTAGGAATGAAACCCGCCAGGAGTAGTTCTTTCGCACCGTCGAAGCCGTAGTCGTACTTCAGACACGATTGTGGGAGGTTTGTGCCGGAGAACAAGGCAAACCGGGTCATGGCAATGATTTCGTCCACCTGGGAAACTGGAGCATAGGATACTAATTCGCGGATCGACTGTATAAAAACGCACCGTCTTACACGTCGTGCGGAGGCAGGAGTAGCACTGGTAAATTGCCATCATGTGGCCCCAGGCGTGCATAGGCCACTCCTCACCGCTGGCGTCCTTGAAAACCTTGCCCCCCAAGACCATCACAAAGTCGCCCTCGCCGTTGGCCCGTAGAACGTCGTCCACCGCGTCTCTAATATCGTGGACGCACAAAGCCTTGACAGCATTCCAGATCTTTTCCAAGGTCACCAAGTCCAGATTATCATCGCTGAGAAGCGCCATGACACTATCGTAGCTCTGTGACAAGAACATAAGGGCTGGCTCTGTAAATATTCCGCGGCGCACGTAGGCGTATATGACCTCTAGTCGTTCGTCGTGGTACCTCGAGGTGGAAGGAGCGCAGTATCGGGCCAGACGGGACCTAATCTTCTCCAGGAATTCGATAGCCTTCTCGCGCAGTACTGCCTCCAGAGGATCCTCGATAGCTACACCCCGGTCGCTCTCTATAGAGTGGAAGGACGCGTCGCGACCAAGAGATTCGTCGCCATAGCCAGAGCAATCTGCTGGTTCGTGAACATCGGGGTCACGATCCAAGACCCAAAGCGCGTTCTGTGACTGTAGGATAAGTTGATAGGCCCGCGTCTCGACGTAGTACATGAATCTTTCAACTTCAGCACGTTTCTTGACGAGGGATTCCCGAAAGGCTTTGTGACCAAAGTCCTAGTATACCACACGTGAAATCAAGCTCAAGGTGCAATTTGGAACCTCATACCATGTCGTGGCTATCATAAATGCGATCAATGAAGTCAAATGATACTGGGAGAGCCACTCACCCGAAAAAACGCTCGGAGAAGTAGACTCGAGCTTCTATGCATCTTCCGCTCGGCACTCAGTGAATGACATTGAAAATGAAACTCATAAGGGCATGTACCTGGTTAACAAATTATACTTCAGCCTCAAGCCATCATTCCATTCTTTGAGAAGCGTAAGGGCGCTGCACCCCAGGATCGTCGTGACATCGCTGCACGCTGGGTTATCGACAATTGCATCGAGCAGTGCATGATGCGCTTTGTAGTTTGCATACAGCTTCAGTCGTTCCTAGAATGAGATTAAACTTCCGGCGCAACCCCACACAGTACCGTCCGACGGGTGTGTTTGAGGAACTCACCTCATTATGTCGCGGGCACCAAAGTGCACCGTCGATGGTCGGCATACCACACTGTATGCCAGCGGAATACAAGGCAGCACAGGTGTCGCGTTTTTTCCTGGGCGACCTTGACATGGTGTGGCGAAGATAAGTAAGGCTGCAAGGGTCAAGTCACAACTTGCAGAGGACCACAATGGCTTTGTGACGACGTTGGTGGTCACAAACGCACGTGATCTGTGACAATCGCGTTTAAATTATCCTTTGGTCTCGTGAAGTCCAGACTCCAACCCAATTGATCACCGTCAACGCGTCAACTTTCAAGTTGTCAACGTTAACTATTAATATTGGTAATGATTTCCGTGACGACCAAAGCAAACACTCAAGGCACGTGCCCCTACGTGTCGCGGTATGTTAGGATTTTATGTCCTTGCAATGATTCTACCGTCCGCTGAAGCGATAGAAGTCGCTCGTGTGACTGCTATTTAGTCGAGAGTCTCTCTCATTCAGCCTATCAATCATGCAGTTTCTGATTTCCTTTGACTATTGCCTAGATCTGGCTCCTGCTGCGAAGCAATTGTGCCCCAGTCTCTGTCCTCTCATGCACACGAGAAGCCAATGAGGCGAATGCATCTCCTCAAGGCCGTAACCGATGACAGGGACTCGCCAATAGGTAAGTTCTTATTATCGCCGGTCAGCGGCATACGGCGCCTGACACAATATTACATTTCGATCTGATTCAGCAGAGCAAGATTAATTACCTGCATACTAATGAAGCGCAGACATCTATTTCCATCGATGAAAGATCGCATTTGACCCTTTCTCTGGCTGCTAGTAACATCGAGCGCTGGACATCTATTGCACAGACCGAAGTCCTACTTGGAGCGCACCTCACTCACTCAAGGCCAGTGACCACGTGCTACCAGTGACAACACCATGCAACCAGGTTCGAATGACGGGCAAAAATAAAGATAGTCTCCCCAAGGCAGACCCACATAGCATAGCCGCGGATATAAAACTCCACATTTCCAACCAGAATCTCCGAGCTGCTAGCGGCGCTCCCTCACTACCGAAGGGCCACTGACAGTGAGGCCAGTGGCAAATGTAGGCCGATACCTCATTCCCTGATTGAAGGGTATTTCTTGCTGGCCTTGGCCTTTCATGACTTTCATTCAAATCGGTAAAAAGTTGAGTCACCACGCTCGAAACCACGCTGTATGTGACATCATGCGACTATATTTCAAATATCGGACAAAGAACAACCCCGAGGCAGGCTGACGTAGAATCACCGCGGATATAAACTCGAACGACATCAACAAAAGTCCCTGGGCTCTGGGTCGCTTTCGCCACGAGTGCAAGTAGAAAATGGATGGTGTGTACTCCAGAGCTGGTTTAGGAGCTTGTCGCTTAGACAAATCCGCCAAGACAGCAGTACTTAGCAGCTGAGAATTACCCACAATCCCGGTGCCTGAAAGCATGGTGGGACTAATCCGACGTTCGACTAGCCAATAAGTTAACATCGGAACCCAATGGTAACTGGCACAAGTGGCATTAATGCAAGGTTATCCTGGGTGTCCTTCTCATCACTCGCAGTGAAGATTGTGGGCAGAAAACAGTAGCCTTTAATCTGAAATAACATCTTTCGTAATCGATTGCGAGTGTCACGGCCGTACAGAGTCAGTGACCGCTACTTGGTTCAAAGTTTCACACAGCTAAGCAATTTTCCCGAGGTTTGATGCGGCATGTCGTTTTTCGTGGTTTAAACTCCAGACCCACGTAGAGGTGGGAAGTATTGGAGAATTCAACCCTATTCGTACTGCAAATCGCAAGCATGTCCCACATGGATACAACGAGAACCTTAGACCTTCCTTTCAAAGGAGAGTTATTCGTCCTCGAAAGCATGGTCGAGCGCGAGGGAAATTGTAGTGCGTTCCAACCGTTCGATTTAAATGACCTCGTCAGGTTCCGGAGAACGAATGATTATTTTTAAAGGCCGAAACACATAGATAATTAGATAATTTTACATTACGGAGAAGACCCCCTGGTATGGCATGACATCTAGCCCGTGTAACCGGTACCATAGCCGTACAAGAAGGGGTCGTTGCTGTAGTTGTAGACAGAGCATCCGCGCAGGACAGTCTGATTGCAGGAGAAGCACCAGTTGTTGGTAGAGTTGATTGTAGTCCACTAAATGAAGTTGTGAGCAAGAACTTATACGTGTTGTAAAGAGCAGCTCACGAAAAGTTGTTGAATGAAACTGTCAAGCGTGATGCTCGTGTTGCCGAACATCTTAAGTTGACGGAACTCGCTGTCCTGAGTACCATTCTTGAACTTCATGCTGACCTCGTGCTGACCCTGCGAGTTCTGCGATAACTCGAGGGCAACGACAGAACCATAGTTGGCTGTGGAATATTATCAGTCTGCAGTGCTGGAATCATATACTATTGATACTGACCAATGCCAGCAATGTCGGGGTCAGCCAAGGTAGCATTCGTGACGTTAAACAGACTGATGAATGGCTTGTAGTCGATCTCCTGAATGTTCATCTTGACTTGGTTAGAAGTCTTTGTCATGTTACCCAAGGCCCAGAAGATCTCCGGGAGGAGTGTGCGAATGGGAACTGAAGCAAACGTTAGTGGAAACGCATTTTCCCATCGAATCTAAACTGACTTTGGCCGATGCCGTTTTGGACAGAATCGGTGAAGACATTGCGTTGGAGCCAATCAGCATAATAGCGGGCTTGCTGGAGGAAGGTGGGTGGTAGGGTTTCGTAGTAGGTCTTGTTATAGGTGTACTGGACATTGACGTGGTCGTATATCTGCGAGACGATATGGGCTCAGTCTGAAAATATTTTTCAAATGAATCCTTACATTCCACTGCACAATTTTGTTAGAAAAGCTTTCACACAAATGCAATGATATGACATACCATGTTTGAGAGGGTATTGTTGACGCCCCCCAAGTAAGGTTTCAATGCAGTCAGGAAGGGCGCGGCAGTGGTGGACATGTTTATGAATGAAGTCGAAACGTAAAGTCGGGCTAGGTGATATTGGAAATACTGTCTCCGTGCGTTACGAATAGATCTCTTGAAGGTAAGATGGATTTCATACCTCGCACTCCATCCAGCTCGTGAGAGACGGACTCTGCCAGAACTCCAAAGATTCGACTGCAGCGCATTAGTTAGAGGACAAAAGAGCAGCTGTGATTGACTTGCCTGGAACATATTGGTATCCCCCAAGAGGAGGGAGAATCACTGAACCATTTGCCAAAGTCAATTCCGACTTAGATGTGGACGGGTAGAGACCCTGAAGCAGAGCATATGCAGAGTTAAGGATAACATTTCCTCCACCAGCGTCTGCGCGAACTGCCAGCTGATCGATGTTTACCACGTCAGTGCTGATATTCTGGATGAAAGACGGCGAGGCTGGATTGAGATAAGTGTTACGAAGGAAGCTCCCGAGTTCAAATTCTTGTTGCTAAATACTCGTGAGCGACATCTAGTATCATAGCACAGAACTCTTACCTCTCCAAGAGGGGTGATGTATGCTTGGGTGGAGTTGTATGTAGTAGGGTCTTGGTAGTATCCCGTCCTGTCGCCGTGGCGAGCTAAAAGAACAACCCCAATGAGTCCTGCTGTGGTGGTGGTGTTGACCATGGCTAGAGCTGTTGAACCTGGAGTAATGAGGGCTTTAGCTTCAACTTTGTCCAATTTATAGCACGTTGGCGTGCGTAGCAATTTGACAATGGTTGCACCATCTTGAGACTAGCGTTATTTGAGCTGAATGCGCCAAGACGAATACCGCCACGCTTAGTGCAAAACCTATGGCGGGTATCGATGGAGCCAAGGATTAGGGTCCCAAGCGCTATAACATCGGCTTGTTGCCGTCCTGGAGCCGCAATGTCTGTCACACTGCGATCGGACTCAAATCCGTTGAAGTGTCGGAAACTCACGATCACCGCCCGCTGCATATGTCAGCGCGTGTTGCGCGGATATCATTCAAGGCCGCAGGGGTCAATGATACGCTGGAGCAGATGAAGCACGGGTCAATACTCAATTTATAGGTATGAGCGGAGTCTCAGTATAGAATGCACGTACATTCTTTTAATGCCAATCTACACTTCACGCACGCTCGAGTAGACCAACTTCCTAGAGGCGCCTGAGCAGGAACGCCTAGTAGCTCCTACTAGTAGCTATTCCGTTGGCAACGCAGATCAGACACGGCTGTGAATCGATATCGCCTGCCATTCTCTGGCATCGCATGCCTCTGTAATCGATATGATCATATGACCGGGATGATGAATCATTGATGCGATGAATGTTACCAATTTGGTGGCACTCCCATACTACTACCGCACTGCCACTGCCACCATCATGGCATAATGTCAAAGTTAGTGTGCGGCCTATGTTTAGGTGTACGACATGAAACCGGTGGAGGCATAATGAAAAGGGGGAAGGAAGCCTTCACAACATACACGCCTTCCTACACCGTGACCTCCAAGTTCCCTTACTAGTTGCAGCGAGGTCTTCATGCCCATGGTGAAACAACACTGAAGCATAAAATGGGACTCATGACGAACATGAACTACTCATCATCAATGGAAGGAACGACTGTCTCTGGGTTGCAAGTATGTGGTTTCGAGACTACCCAGATGGATCTCATCAGTGCCAGTGGGTAGGTGTTGGACAAGATTTTTGTTGGAAAACTTGGTTCGGTGCAGGCGGAAATAATTTGACCTATGAAGGATATCGACTGTCAAAATATGTTATATTGGGTCAGCTACTGGGGGCTAGACCTATATGACGATACGTGCTAAACGGTTAGCCTGCCAACTATCTCAGGCTTCCATGGGCGCAACTTGGTCGAGGAACTGGGCCGATCTGGCAGCGACCGCGCCAGTGCACATAATTCTCAAAAAACTCCATCGTACGGGTGCATGGTACAAGTAACGAGGACAGGTATCGGGCCATCTGCTGACTAGCTAGGTAGCTAGCTATACAAAGCGACCAAAAGCGAGAAATGGGACTGACTTTGAGAGGCAACTGCAGCGGGTCGGGCGTTGCCGACTTGAGCTAGGCAAAGGCCAAACGGAGGTTGAAAACACAACTGAAGTGCACAGCTACTTATTACAAATAAATGACTGGCCGTACAGGGGAGAAATCATTCAAGGACGATTTATCACGTCCGACGCTCTCGCGAGCGTTCGCCTTGTAGGACAGCCCGAGCACACTCAGGCGATTATCTCCCGAGCTCTGTCGTTTTACGCGGCAAGTGTATCAGATTGGACCTGTCAGTTTAAAGCTCTTCCTGCAGCGAGTTCAAACCTAAATCTAATGGATGCAGCTCCGAGTCCATTCGATTGTCCTCTGTCCTAGATAGACAAATGTCACAGTGAGTACTTGCTCTTTATCTTCAGTCTACCAATATATCATTCTCAAGCTAATGGAACATTGTATTTGCAAACATCCGGCGAATAAACTACATGCTGTAGTTGTTCCTGCTGCACTAACAGTCATTATTTCCCTAGTCGGACCTGTATTAAGAATGCAAGTTGCGCTACTAACAGAATGGAGGTTACCGAGTAGCTAACCACTATTGGTATACCGATCATGTCGCTAACCCTTCCAACAGTCACTTCTACCTATCACATCAGTGTTGTTCCTGCTGGCCAAAATGATAACGCAATGCTACATTGCATCAGGCGAATGGAACATGTTGTCGAACTTGTCCCTCAAGTCGTCTCAAGGTACTACGGGTCTGCAATCGTTCTTGCTTTGTCTATACCTTTCCGAGTCAAATTTCGATGATTTTAGCCCAACTTCTATCACATATATCCATCTTTCCGACATGCGTCGCGGTGCCCATAAATATCAGTATTACCTCGCCGAGAGCCATCAGATGATAAGAAGCGGCGGACAAACTCATGATAGCCGGTCGAAAGGATAATAACAGCTCTGAACGCGAGGTTTCCCAACTCGCGCCAGGAAATTTAACATGAATGCAGGTCTTTGTTCTTATAACCCGGAGTCCTGATTTGCGTCCATTTAGTAACACGTTTAACGAGAAAGAACACAAGGTCGTGTGTCGGTTGGAGAGGACGAGTGCGTATCGCTCCGGTCCCACTCCTTCGAGTTCTCTCAGGCTCTTTTCCATGCCTTGAATTGACAAAATCATGTTGGCGCACATGGCAGGGATATTTATGTTGGTCGTCCGCACGAAAAGCCCAGCAAACAACAACTAACAATATTGGTACCGGGCCCTCGGAGGCGATGTCGACCTAGGTCGGCATTTCCGTCACATCAGCGAGGCACAACTGTACCTTCTCGCATGTCTTCACCGTGTAGCATTTTTCTCCTTTTCGACCACCATACTGCTCATACCTACTCGGAGTCTCAGGGGCCAGCTCCGAGGAGATCCATTTTGGCTGGGATCTGACTACCAGTCATGATGATGCTGACCGCAGTTGTACACCAGGAAAGTCTCCATGTTTGTCAAGTCCCCTGGGCAGAAATTAACGAAATTTCATGAAGGAATTTGTCTCTGATGTCACGCGGGAGAACATACATGTCCGCGACTGTTGAAAACCCTGCTTAATTCAAATGTGATCTCTCACTCCTAAACCCGTGCTCTTTCCACAGGGACGCCCTTGAAGACTTCCGAGGCACCAAATGTGTGAGCATCCAGCTAAATTGGAAGTATCAGAAGTTTAGGATTTTGCCAACCGAGAGCTCATCTTATTTCAGATACGTTCGCTGTCAAATCCTGTGAACTTCGCGAGGGGCTGCCCCGCTAATAGCATCAAGTTCTGTGAGCGCGGAGCATGTATACATGTTTGGCGCTCCACATATTTATTCTCCGCGAGACCGAATGAGTAGTCCTGTGATATAGATCCGCAAGAAATTCTCGCACACACAGGAGCGGAACGGCACTCTGCTGCGGTGCATTGAGACGCCAAGAGGATGACAATCTGTGAGCTGACCGCTAACTTGGGAAAAAACTCATAAAGATAATCAACACAATGTAGACGACAGAAGGAAACATAATTCACTTGTGCATAAAGCACAGTCGCACTCAAGGCTGCTTATCTCGAGTAGGTGTCAGACCAGTTGCACAGATCTACTCTATTTCTGCAGCGAGACCTTTGGACGATCCGTCCCATGAGTGAGATAGGGCAGTAAAATCCTCGGGGTGATCAACTTGAACGGGATAAATTCAGCGGCTACCCCGCAGGAGACACGCAGTGCAGCAAGGTAAACTTAGAGTTCATGGAAGGATTCTTAGAAAGTGGTAGACAGTGCCTTGTGTGCACACAATTTATATATGTGCGTGAACTTCTCGCAGCAGATCGCGGAGGATCGTGGATCGCCCGTCCAACCAGAGGCCCTTCTGAAGAAATGCTTAGTAAGCTAGCGATTGGCTGCCCCCGGATTACAATTGCTTCGATATACAGGTGTTGCGATTGGTGGAAAACTAAGTAAACGGCACCTTAAAATAAGTCGTTAGCTTTGAGCTATTCCAAATGGAGTGGTTTCTGGCATTGTAGATTAGGCGTGACGTTTTCACCACTCAGAGGAAAGTAATGCAATAGACTTTGCAATATGTATGTGGGTGCCGATTAAAGCGACTCACTAAAAGAATCATGAATTTTCGGACCTTTTGTGTGGGCCGAATTCGACACTGGTGTGCTTGCAGTGAACTCTCGAGTTTTGGATATATCAATGTACTGATACGTCGTAGGAACTAGTCGTTCTGGTAGGCTCTATTTCGATTGTGCATCATGGTATCATGATCAAACGTTGACGTTGGCTGGCAGGCAGCTGGCAGACATCGAGTGCCAAATAGCTACGATTTCATTGGCCAACGCCACCGGCAACTAACGGTTAGCGTTTGTGCTAACGGATGACTTCAGCCTTTGTCCAGTGCGATTCCAGCCTTTTTCTAATTTCTAATCATTGGTTCCTTCGTGCCCGTCATGTTATATATAAGTTCCCTCGCTCCCATAAATTCTTTAGTCTTCGTTGGCCACCCATCCCCCATTAACCCGCCATGACTGTATCTCACCCGGACTCCACCAGCACTACCACAACTGCGGTTCCCCTACCTAGTAGAGATGCTATGGCTAGCGGTTCAGTCAACAGACCGCCACCAGTGTGGTCACTGGAGTCTAACGGAACCTTAACTCCACCACTTGTCGAAAAATGTGATAGACATGGCCGCCAGGATGGTGTTTGTTGCAAGGAGCTCAAGGACGAAGACGATAGAATCCTGATAGATCCTGATGTTATCCGCGACGTGTGAGTTTTCCTTGTGGCCTTCTTTCTGCCCTTTCCTAGCAAGTTATTGACATGTTTGGTGCGCCTTCTATAGCATTATTGGATTGTCGGATGGCCTAACAGTTCCCTTCGCCTTGACAGCTGGTCTGTCTGGCCTAGGGACTTCAAGAATAGTCGTTGTCGGCGGCCTTGCAGAACTCATTGCCGGCGCTATATCGATGGGAATAGGTGGCTTCCTTGCGTCCCAGGCTGAGCGGGACCATTATCGATTCTTGCAGCGCCACACCTACTCACGGGTGATGCGGAGTTGCGTCGGGGAAATGGAGAGGGAGGTACATGCTGTTTTGGGTCCCGTCGGTGTCGACGAATCTACTTCCCAGGCTGTCACGAATTGCCTGCGGAAAGTAGAGGAAGAGCCTGGGTTTGAAGAACGTAGACCCGCACCTTCCGATGAGGAGAAACCATCACGGGGGATGAAGAGCGAGTCTGGACTGACACCATTCTTACTGAAATTTGGAGAGGGGTTGGGTATGTGTATTTTTTTTTATCCTGGCGTTTGAAGTTGTTCTGATTGACATTACCTTTTACTTGTTCAGAGGAAGTTCCGACTCGCCGACTATACATTTCCGCGTTCACTATCGGCATGGGATACCTCTTGGGCGGTATTATCCCGCTTCTCCCATATTTCTTCATTCCTCGAGCGCTTGAAGCACTGCAAATTTCTTGCATAATTACTGGGATAGTTCTTCTCATATTTGGTGCCGTCAAAGCTCGAGTCACGGGGGCAGCGAGGAGTATCTGGGGGTACATTTGGGGAGCAGTCAGTACGATGGCTGTTGGCGGATTCGCTGCCGCTGCCGCCTACGGGTTGGTTGTAGCGGTGGAAAGATCGTCTATATGACATTATCATTTCCCTGTCGATTTTGGTGGTCTTATGATATCTCTCATACTGTTTGGATGATCCGCTAGATTAGTACGTTGCCTATTTTGTGGGATTTTTCATGGAATACCTATCCACAACATATAATTTCTTTTTCACATCACATACAAGGCCTCATCCAACTGTTTCAGTTGCAATTTGCACACTCGTTGAATTAAAATTTCCTTTGATGATACCTAATACCGCAGGCGGCAGCACAACGCTTGCGATATCTCGAAGTTTGCATCGTGATCAGCAGTGGAAGTATCCCCTCGCGCCTCCGCCTTACATACTATCCGACCTCGCAGGTCCTCTTTACAGAACAAGTGGAAAATAATTTGACCAGATTACACATGGGTATATTGCGTAGAATACAATTACCTTTTCATCTCGGAAGATAAGCCGCGCAGCGGCAATCACATGTAATGCATACAACATACATGCAGTCATTCGTGTATATAGTCATGTCAATTTTTTTTCCGCGTATGTCAGTTACTTCAAGTTTGTTGTCCAGCAATCATAACTCTATAGTGCTTCTAAGTGTTCTATAGTCAGTTCTGACAGGTCCTGACGTCTTCCGCGCCTGGAGACCGAGGTCTTAAGGAGCATGCGCCATGCCATCCAATCCACTGCTAGCCATTTGTTGGCGGAGATTATCTTGGGACAGATAACGGTGGCAAAAATGAATTGCCTACGCCAATCCACAAGCTTCTTCCACAAGGCTGTGGCGGGTGGCTTGAGTGGCTTTCATACATAATGGGAAGCAACTCATCAAGAATATTATTTATCTTAGAAAACGCGGTCACGATCGCGAGTAAATCGAGTGGCCGCTCAGTGTAGGGGGGCATAGCAAACGCTGCCCATGAAACTGGGTAAGCCAAACGGGCAAAGCCATATAAGCGACGGCCACCGAGACCAAGGAAACCTGTCAACTTGTATGCTCAGCTCAGTAAGACACGCGCAGCAAAAACACTTGATAGGGCACGAAGTAATGACCAAAAATAATATGTACGCGTACCAAAAATACCAGGATGAACGTGATAGTTGCGCGGTCAGAGTCCTGTGCCTGCCCGGGGCAGCTCGATGAGGTCTTTCAGGATCTAACAGATCAGACGTTGAAGGTCGAGGGGCAGGAACTTGAACGATATCCAATGAACAGATGCTTAAAGGGTGACCGGCCCGAGAGAGTTTGTGGGTATATTTCATTGACACTTGGCTTCGTTTGCCACGAGTGATGGGAGGCAATGGAAGGCATACGAAACCACCTAGATGAGCTAGGTTTGTCAAGCTCTGGATGCGTTGCTTGAGTACCAGTCAGAATTCAACAGTCGACGCTTACTTGCACTTACCTGTAGGCTGTGGCCCGGTGTGGCGGCCTGAAACCTCCTTGGGCCTAACTGCCATACTAGCGGGTCACGCCGCGAAGACCCCGAAACCAATCTACGGCTGTGATGGTTAAAGCGGGTTGCCCCACGATCTCCACCGTCCTGTAGCCTTGCTGCAGCCTGCTCGCCATTCATTAAGCTGCTCAGCGCTCAGCCCAGCTTAGAATTTTTGCGAAGAGTAGTGGATGCCGTTCGAACTGCAAATTTTGATTTCAGACTCATCAAGGTCTTCAAAACTGCAAAAACTCTGATCTGGCATTCCAGTGCACTTCCTACCCGCTTTTTCTTTCGCCCGTACGGCGGTTAGAATCATGCTTGTACAGACATCCGGATCAAAAGTCAACATGCTTGCTGAAGATGACTTTGGAATTGTCTATCTTATAGAGAATGCTCAACAGTTTTGGTCAGGTACGTTGTATCACATGTTTTAAACGTCTCCTTGGGACATAGGGAGAACGCTCGAACTTATAATCGCGGCTGCATCTGTGACTTCTAGAGCTTGATGATGTCCTTCGAGTTCCCAGCGACGGATCTGTCACGTTATCCATGTTAGACACTGCACTCAGGAGGTTTGTGTCCCTCTGTGCTTCTTACCACGGTCAGCTTCGCCACAATTGCATAACCTCTCCGTCATATGTTAAAACACATTATGTCTGATTATAGAACAGTTCCTTCAAAGTCCAATGCAACTGGAACATGCATGCAGTCTTCTGCTCGACTCCGAGTTGTTCGCGTTTCACTCTGAACGGATGTGCGAGTTGGCCATCGAAGATGTCGAGTCTGTGCGCAAAACTCCTTATACCACTCCTCCTGCGCTGAAGCTGGCTTATAGAAAACAGATCCGCACTCACAACTCATTCTATACAGCATACTATTATTCTACGGTCGTCGTCAATCGAACTTTATTCGCTCCCATAAGCATTGGCAACCACTAATACCTCTTCTCATGGATCACGTTTTGGTGGAAATAAATCCAGATACAGAGGACGTCTATATTGGGGCACCCTCCATATCAAGTGGTTCCGGTTCACGTTCCAGCATGGTGGTTGGCCACATACCCATAGAGGCCAAGCTAAGGAGTCTGGGTGTGAGGCTACTCTATGAATTTTGTCGGGTTCAGAAACTGTCCCTACATGACTTGAGTATGTGGCTCTCTTGCTTCAACGATGATGCACTTATTGACCAACACCCTGCACAGGTGTTTTCAACGATCAGTTTCTCGACAGTTTGTTTGAGCTTGTGGAGCAGACTCGATTTATGCCCGATGAAACTCTGAATTATTCCGTAATCAAATTGATCGTGAGAGCGCAAAATTTCTATGAAGGTTGCACCTAACCTCCTTGTCAGGTCGCATTGAACGAGCAGTTCATGGTAGCCTCTTTAAGCAATAACCAACAGCCTGGAGCCAAGGAGCCCGAGTTGCATAATCGAGTGCTTACCGTCCTGATATCTCGTCTCGGATCTAGCAAGACTTTTGGTGAAAACATGATATTCATGCTCAATCGTGCTTGTGAGTAACTAAAGGCATTGATGAGTCACTGACTGAAGTTTCTTTTGATAGCGCGATCTGCTGAAGACCTGTGTATGCAACTTCTGGTGCTCAAGCTTCTTTACATTCTTTTCACCAACAAAGCAACATCAGAATATTTTTACACAAACGATCTCCGTGTCCTTGTGGATGTTTTCTTACGCGAACTGGTTGACCTTGATGAGGAGAGTGAATCTGTGAGTCTTGCAGCGCCGCACACGGAAGCGGTCTGAATATATTCCTCACAGCTTCGACATACCTATCTTCGCGTCCTGCATCCACTACTCACAAAGACGCAAATGCGAAACGTACCATATAAACGTCCGCAAATTGTTCTTGCCCTCGAATCTCTGATTCAAAATGGCAATATCCGAGACATCAATCCCACAACGAAACGTTTGGTCGAACGATGTCTTGGAGGGGAATGGTGTGTGCAACTACGAAAGACAACGCACGATAAAGATGCACTCAAGCGTCAAGGGGATTTTCGGCACAATAGCCCAAGTCACGACATCATTGCGTCCACGACGCAAGGCACTGTGTCCTCGCGAGCACCAACTTCGCCAGACGTGGAGCATGACTCCGCTTCCAAGGCGCTGAACTTGAAGCCGAAGGCCCTAAAGCACAGTAGAAGCGTTGAAAGCATGCACACTCCCACATCTCCGCGACTACCCTCTCCACGATCGGTCAAAAACACGTATATGCGTTCTAGCACAGACAGCACTACGAGTTTGGCGGCTGCAACCACTACTGCACCCAGACGACGAGAGAAAGCTAGTTCTGTTGATGATGTCAATGTTACACTTCATCCAGAGAAGGGTGTTCTCGTGCAGCAAACCAGACCGACTTCATCTAATTCTTTGAACCTTCCTTCAGTCACATCTGTCAATCACAAGGTTCGAAGGCCTGCACCTGCTCCACCTAAGAGAAGAAAACCACCCCCAGTGCCTGTCGGAACGACCAATGGCGGCGCCACAATCACAACCATCGCAACTTCTGCTTCTACTCCATCCCTTGGTCAATTAGGGAAGACCAGCAAACTGGCGTACCGCGTAGCATAGAAACGGACAGTAAGTATCGATACTCGTCTGTATTGGCCTTCCTCTACATTTTCTTCTACCCACTTCACTAGGAGTTCCGGAACTCTGCTTTACACTGGTTGTTCTATCATCACTTTTCTTGTGCATTAATCATTTGCATCTGGATCCTCCATCTCACAGCTAGGACACTCATCATTGGATACAAATTGTATAGCTTCCTCACAGCACTTATTTAACCCCTTCGTTGATCATGATCACGATCGATCACGTCCCAGAATTTATCTCACTTGATTGCATTCTTACATTCTATTTCTTGCTCGCATCCTAAGGCTAAGGGGGGTGTTTGCTCTAATTTTCTTTCTTCGAAGTTGGCGGTCATTTGAATTTGAATTAAATCTACATCACTGACGTAAGCACAAATTCCGGTTTGCAGTAATTACATGCAGTCACCGAGGACTCGGATCTGGTGAGCCGTTAGCCACAACTCCTCAGTCTCCTGCAACTGCGAGGCAACTGCGATCGTCACCGAGATGGTAGATCAAGCTGGATCTTCGACACTGAAGGAGTTGAAAAAGCCACGGAAGAATGTAAAGCACGGATTGCGACTGGCGAAAGCCAAAAGGCTCTCAGAGAAGCAGCAGATTGAGGCTTTGGAACGTGCAGCAATGGAGTTCGTGAGTTATTCAAGTCTCTGCACTGTTGAATGCAACGTCATCTCAAGGGCGGGTCAGGAGCCGCGAGACGGTATCCAAACTTTTTCTGATCTTCCTATTTCCGACTTCTCGAAAAAAGGTGTGATATAAATCTCTTTGAACGCGACTGATTATGACGTGTTCCACGCACAGGACTCAAAAAGTCATTCTTTGTCAACATGACAGAAATCCAAGCGACTAGTATACCAGTCTCTTTGAAGGGCAAAGATGTACTTGCAGCTGCTCGCACTGGTAGCGGAAAAACTCTTGCTTTTCTCATTCCAACGCTGGAGATACTGTACAGGAGAAAATGGGGCCCCCAGGATGGTCTAGGCGCGGTAATAATTTCACCGACCCGTGAACTGGTATGTCCCACCTATCCTTAGTTTTTCAGTCATTTGATGGTTACATGACCAAGGCTGTACAAATTTTTGACGTCTTGCGTTCCGTCGGAGCTTTTCACACATTCTCTGCAGGGCTCGTGATAGGTGGAAAAAACATCAAGGATGAGAGGGAGCGACTCGCGCGAATGAATATTCTGGTTGCCACACCGGGTCGACTGCTGCAGCACATGGATCAAACGTTCGGCTTCGAGTGTGATAACCTGCAAGTTCTCAGTAAGTTCCGGACCGCGCTTTGTTGCCAAGTATTAACCATGCTTGCAAAGTTCTTGACGAAGCGGATCGTATATTAGACATGGGATTTTCCAAGACGTTATCCGCATTACTCTCTCACCTACCGAAATCACGCCAAACTCTACTTTTCTCAGCTACACAAACCCAGTCTGTGTCACAATTAGCTCGCTTGAGTCTCAAAGACCCCGTTCACATTGGGGTGGATGGAGCCAGCAGCTCGTCGGCTACTCCAAGCACCCTTGCACAGTACTACTCTATCTGCACATTGGACAAGAAGCTTGATGTCCTATGGTCATTCATCAAAACTCACCTAAACTCCAAGGTCCTCGTCTTTTTGTCGACTGGGAAGCAAGTTCGTTTCGTTTTCGAGACTTTCTGCAAGATGCATCCTGGAATGCCGCTTCTGCATCTGCACGGGAAACAGAAACAATCTGCCAGATTAACTATGTACACTCGGTTTACATCTTCTCAACACGCAGTGCTATTCGCTACTGACATAGCTGCACGCGGTTTGGACTTTCCTTCGGTCGATTGGGTTGTACAGGTCGATTGTCCGGAGGACGCTGACACCTACATTCACCGAGTAGGCAGAACGGCGCGTTATGAAAGCTCCGGAAACGGCTTGCTACTCATCATGCCCAGTGAGGAAGAGGGCATGAAAGCCGCACTAGAAAAGAAAGGTATCAAGATCGACAACATCAAGATTAGACCTAGCAAAACCCAGAATATACAAAACCAACTCCAGAACCTTTCTTTTCAAGATCCAGAGATCAAGTATCTGGGACAACGTGTATGTTTCTACTCCAGGTCTGCGTGGTGAATTTTGCTGCTCATCAGGAGGTTCAGGCTTTTGTGTCATACGTTCGTTCTGTCCATCTTTACAAGGATAAATCGATATTCAAAGTCGATGAGCTTCCTGTGGAGAAATTTGCCGAGTCTCTTGGGCTGCCGGGCGCGCCAAAGATCAAGTTTTTAAACAGAGAACTTGTAAAGAAACAAAAGAACGCATCTCGAACGGTTGCGGCCATTCAGGCCGAGATTGAAGCGGAGGCCAAGCAAGGGTCTTCTGATGACGAAGATGATTCTGAAGAAGCTGCTTTGTCGTCCGACGACGATGCGTTAACTAACGCTGCTCTTGCTCCAGATTCCAAGGTCAAGGATGATGATTCAAAGCTTTCCATGTCTACTAAAGTGTGTGGCATTGCATTCATTTCATCGTTCCTAACTCAGGCATTACAGCCCGGCGTGCGCACGAAATACGATCGAATGTTCGAGCGCAAAAATCAAAATATTCTTTCTGCGCACTACTCGAAATTAATTGATCATGGCGACGCGGTTGATGACAATGAAGACTTTATCACGCTCAAGCGCTCAAATCATGACTTATCTGACACCGACGCAAACCCGGAGATAGACAACCTGTCGAAGAGGAAACTCAAGCTGTCCAGAACGAAACGTGCAGTTGCTAAGTTCGGCCAACTGGGACAGAAGTTAATATTCGATGACGAGGGAAACCCTCACGAAATTTACGAAATGGTGGACCCTGCCGAATTCTACAAAGGGGGTCTCGAAGGGGCGAAGGAAGCTGGGAAGGCCTTTGTGGAAGGGGAGAAGGCCAAGCTGAAAGGCGCGGACGTGGTCGATAAAATGGAAGCTAAGGACAAAAAACGCGAAAAGAAGCGCAAGCGGAAGGAACGAGAGAATGGTGTAAGTTCTGTGTCCCTCCATTGCGAAATCCTGCTCAGAATGTTCTCCTCAGGTTGATCGCGATGATGCTCATGGGGGAGCTATTGCGGAACTTGCACCCTCTGATGATGATGGGTATATATCCCCTGAATTTGACCTGCCGTCGGACGATGACGTGGATGGCACATTGTCGCCGCCGCCAATCAAACGGAGTAGACATTCAGCTTCAACCAAAAAGGATTCCGAGAGCCTTGAAGACGAGGAAGAGCTTGCACTTCAGCTGCTACGTAACCGCAGATAGGGTCAGGATGCTGTGCGTATGCAGTTCATCAGAATCCATATGTTCTCCGGCACCCAACAGGCAGTGCAGGCACGGCCGCACTGGATTTACATTGTAGCTTCAGTTGTAGTGCTTGACTAATACCCCGTTGATGACCTCTTGTTCCACGCCTTTCTCCTTTCCATTCTCCAGTTCTGATTGGCCATAGGCAGATGTCCTCCCTTTCCTCCATTGTTCCATCGTTGGTGCCTCGCTATCGTCGCAACGCCTCTGAATACCCGCTCTTTGCAAGACTGGACTTTCGGCCATCGGCACCAACTTGACATCGTCGTTGGGCATGGTAAAGTAGAAGACTCCAAGGCGAGCATAGCCACGCTGATCCTCTGGGGGCTTTACAACGCGATGGATTGTGCCCTTGTAGTACCCGCCGGTAAGGAAGTCCAATGCGTCGCCTGCGTTGACAACCTGTAATCTCTTCATTATGTTGTGCGTTGAGGCGTAGAACGTGACCACCCACGATTGCATTTTCTATATGACGGATCCAGCGCCATTCGCCTTCACGGGTCAGAATTTGCAGTGCGGCAACAGGTTGACTCCATAGAATCGTAATGCTTCCAAAGTCTTGCGGTGACACTGGTGAGCACAGGTTTTTGTTTCGTGATTAAGGTCACCGACCTGTGTGTCCCTTCAGCCAAACGTTCTTTGTTTTGGTTTCTTCTTCCTCTGTCCGTGGGTAACTAAACTACATGAACTTGAGAAGACTGGAAATTCAAGGAAGCGCTTACTACTTCATGAACCTGACTGATGGATAAGTCAGCAACGATTTGGAATGTTTCAAAAAGTATGTACCATATGTCTCGCCAACGGCGTCATAGTCATGATTGTTGACCAGCGTGTCCTCGGGTAGCTCGAGGCTGCGTGCAATAAGCCTTAAAGAAAACCTATCATCAGGTGATCGTCCTCAAGCGCAGCAGTACTATATATATACCTCAGAATAGGATGCAACACGTTGAAGTGATTGTGTTTGCAGAACTCCTTGATCTCTGGGAGCAGATGACGGAGGGTCTCTGGGTGTCCTCGTTTGGTCACATCGCGATTGACTAGAAGGATGTCAGGCGAGTCAATGAAGAAACTCAAACTCGAATGTATTCTGCTCACTGTTATAGTGCTCAATCTGGTCGCGGACTCCACCATCGATATGCTGGATTCGATTGACTTGTGTAAGCCAAACGCTCATGTGTTGAGCGAGACACGACCGCCACGCACCCAGTAATTCCGTAATTTATATCCCTGGTACGACCCGGTTTGTTTCATTGTTCCGGCGAAAATTTGCTTCTCGCTGTCGCTGACGGCCGAGAAGGGTAGATCCGCGATGTCAAATATGCGACCTGTCTGGTGCCAAGAAGATATAAATGAGCCACATGATATATGGTATGAGGAAAATGCCTCACTTGGTCTTGCGAATACCCATGATTCACGACATAGAAGAACCCATGGTTGAGGAGGGCCTCCCTTACTTCAATTGCGAGCGCGGCCCGACCTTCTTCGGTGTCGGCTTTCGAAATGTCGATGATAGCAAGGTCGGCGTACTCCACTGTCAATGCACACCTTAGCGATGGCGTTCAGCAGATAACTTGGTACCCACAAGTTTCTCTGGTAGGAGGTGCGGCAACATAATGCGGCACGTAGGGCAAGGTAAGACTGGGCATTGTGATCAAGGACAGAGGGGGATTGTATATTTGATCCTCCGATACGTCCTTATAAACCTCAGGCCTCAGAGCTCTTATGTGCATGACCGCCGGACCGTAATGTTGGAGCAGCTGATCACCTCATTATCAGGGCACATTGCGCACACTTTGACTGATGCGCTTTGGGATAATCCTAGCTTCGAAAGCCCCTAAGGCAGAAGTAAGGTTGTACAGAGGCCTGGTTTGAAGGGCGCAGGATGTCCAATTTCCAAATATAACTAGTTGTAATGCTTGACAACAATGCCATTCAAAACCTCTTCCTCTATGCCAGGCTCTTTGCCCTTCTGCAGACCGCCCGCTCCATATGCACTTATTCTTGCAACTCTCCAGTCCTTCATGGTAGGAGCTACATCGTCTTCACATCTGCGCTCAACCCCAACCCTCTCAAGGACTGGACTGCCCGTTATGGGTACCAGCTTGACATCGTCGTTCAGGAAGGAGAAATATATCATGCTTAGTCGCGTGTAGCCACGTTGATCGATCGGAGGTTGCACAACTCGATGGATCGTTCCCTTGTAGAAGCCTCCCGTGAGGAACTCCATAGAGTCACCAACATTGACGAGCTAAAGGATTTAAGTAAGATGGAAGGTCTATCGCAGGGGAAATACGCACCAAAGCGTTATCAATATGCTTGACCCAGCGCCAGCCTTGTTTCGTTTGGATCTGCAAGGCAGCAACAGGCTGACTCCAAAGCAGAGTGATACTTCCTATGTCTGCTACGGTGTAAGCAAGGCAACATTTTGAGAAAAGTAGAGCGACCTGTGTGTCCTTTCATCCAGACATTTTTTGTCTGGACTTCATCTTCTTCTGACCTAGGGAAGCTAAGAGAAAGTCAGATATAATGGCATGTATCATATTTTCGTAGGCTTACTATTTCATAAACCTCACTAGCGGCCATATCAGAGCCTCGGACACGGTTGAGAAACGAAATAAGTCGTACAATATGATCCTCCGGGTGCATCAAAGTCGTGCAATTTAACGAACGTGTCTTCAGGAAGTTCAAGGCTCAACGCCATGAGCCTGAGAAGCGCAGTCAGATTCAGGATCTGAAGCCAAGGATGAAGACGTGCCTGCAAATTTCGTGGATAATGTTGTGGTGATTATGGCGCACGAAGGCATCGATATCGGGAAGGAATGGTCTGAGTGCTTGTGGGTGCAACAAGCTATGGACGTGGCGGTTGCCTAGCTAAGGATGTCAGACTTTCTCCGCTATAAGTGATTGTGCGCGAACAGTTATAGTGCTCTTGTTGGTCACGCACACCTGCATCGATGTGCTGTTCATGAGGAATTAACAGCAGTAAACGGCAAGTGTCATCGAACGGTCTACCCAGTATTGTCTCGGTTTGTAGCCTTGGAATATGCCAGTCTTCAAGCTGTCTCCAGCATATGCCCGTTTCTCGTCTTCAGGTACTTGGGACATGGGAATATCTGCAATATCGAACATCCCCTCCGTCTGCTCCGTAGGTAAGAATACGCGAGAGGAACAATGTTTGACATATTTCACCTGAGCTTGGGTGTACCCGTGGTTGATAATATAGAAAAACCCATGAGTAATCAAAGCGTCTCGTAGTTCAACTGCCAGTTCCGCACGGCCTTCTGCGGTCGCTGCTTTAGATAGGTCGATGACGGCAAGATCTGCATATTGGACTGCGTATGAGAGGAAGATTAGATGCATCATAAAATGTCACATTTATATCACCCACGGTTCTCCTTGGTAGGCGGGGCAGGGACGTATCTTGGAGTTTGTGGGATCGTCAGACTAGGCATTGTAATACTTGTGCTTCCAATTGGATCGAAGGAGTACTATTCCCCATTCTCCCTTTTAAACGCAGGGCGCAACGAAGATCATCCGCGCACCAAGAAAAGCCGTGCGCATATGATAACCCAAGGAGCGAGTGTGGGACTAGATGGTGTCAACCCCTTCATTGAGCCCCTGGAAGATACTGGAAGAAGCAATCGTTATTTACAGTGTTCTTGCCAAGGTTCAAGAACCACGACCTGCCAGTGAAAACTCTGTCAGATGTTCAATTGGTCAGATAGGGTCTCAATGATAAGTTTAACTTTGCCCCGGCAGGAATTGTCCGACCCCATGATAACTTATGAGTGGTCACCTGCATTGTGTCACCAGGAAGTGGAGATCCGGATTACTGTGTTTAGCCTAGTTCAATGTGCTGAGTAGTACGGTACAACCTGATCGGCGCGTATTCCTCTCCGGCGGAAGAGCATGTATGACTGTTTGTCACGGTATGAATAATGAATAGGTCAATAGGTCGAGAACATTCGTCGGTAGTGCACTGGTGGAACATGACGCGCATTGGGGACCAACCCTTTCTCCATTAACAGTGAGTCCCGTTAGATAGCGCAGACTCTGTGTGGCGCTTGAATAGGACCCGATTAGCTTTTTTTTTGACCTTGCTAGGCCTATGAGGCTCGTCGGACACCGCATGACAAGCCCACTAGTCATGCCAGCGGGTGGTGGTCCGACATACATAGACTGTCATATGTGCGTATTAGTAGGTTAGCTATAGTGGAGATTAGGTGGTCCATCATGATTATGATGAATATTGTTTGGTTCGATCTTAAGCACTGTATTTCGTTCTCCGAGCGATACAACCTATTATCTTGCTTGTATGATATCATAACGTCACGGCTTGATGGATGGTAATGGAGCCCCAACACGGCGAAGCCAAAGTAGGCTGCCATCTAGTAGTAGAGCGGTTTATGTAAAAGGCTGGTTCTGAAGTTTTATTACTTGTACTTAGTTACCTTTGAACAAAAAACGAATTCTCCTGCGCCCTGCGGCAGAGTACCTGAGAAGTGTTAATCACACAGATCATCCCTCGCCGCACACCACTGCAAGTTGACACATGCACGTACTCTTGGAAAGCAATTAAACTCGTTGCGCTTGCTGCATCGGAGTCGTCCACGAGCTGAGGGTGATATTCTCGAACGTTAAGGATCAACGCCGATCCTTAGCGTTCGAGAATATCTCGATCAGACGCAATCCTAGCACAAACATTTGCCCCAGCATGACCGAGAAACATTGAGGAAACCCAATATAAACCTGAGCTCCCAGGGAAGTTGTGTTCTATAATAATAGAAATGATGAACAATAGTCGCATGCAGAGGCCAGTGACAGATCGGCATACCGCTGATATCGTTCGAGACAAATAACCAAAATTGAAGGAAGAAATAGTGCGGACCGTCAGTAGGCAAAGGGACCTATACTGAGATAGAAAGCATTCATGAGGGACCAGCGTTGCTTCTGATGCGGATTAATTTCAACTTGTCATTCTTCTGGTGCGGGACCTCACCCAGACCAATTCAGCCTATAAGAGGATTCATAGTGAGATTCTTGCTCTGGTCATGACATGAACGCACCTTTTGTCCGAATGACAGTACTAGATATACCAGGATATCGACAGTTTTTCGTACTAGCTTGCCCACTCCAATCGTACAGCACCCCAGCATAGGCGACGACTGCCAAACCGTAGACCAGATTAGATCAGGTCATCACCCGACTAAACATCCACAAATCCATCAAATAGCTGAAAACGCGACACGAATCAATGGACGGCCACCAACGGTGCTCAAAGACTAGGGTCATAGTATTCGAGGATGGATGTGAGCGAGCTTGCAAATTTGGTGGACGATGGCGTTCGTGCCAGATATACCACCATCCAGCGCCTTAATTTGGCTAGCATTAAGGGAAGATATTCGTCGCTGTTTTGAATGATTGAAGTGATGAAAATAGGTGTGAGACGCACCGGATAGCCTACTACTAGATCACTTGACTGCATGATACCCCCGGGTTCCGGAAGGTGGAAGCGGTTGGTCGCCCATAATTAAATCGTGACTTCGAGTTATTTGATTATCGTGGCGGTTGGCAGGCCTCCCAACTAGGATAGTACGGTCGCTGCGTCAAACTTGAAGGAGCTACTCACTGACCCCCTTTTTAGGGGTCAGCTGAGATTCAGGCAGCGAGGCAACATGTGTTACTTAACCAAGTGTCGTCAGCGCACAGTATTTCATGATATTGATATCTGAGCCTTACGGTGCTTTGGAACTTCTTCAATCTATACGCTAGAACTCTTTTCCTGCCTACAATTTCCACTGGCAAGCCGGTGCTCTCTCGGAGATGTCAGTTGAACCACGCAGCGCGGCCGCTCTTCATACCGAAGGTGGATCCGTTATACCAAGCACAGGTCAGTGTCTGATATGGATGGCAAGTGGTGTGAGCTTGATTGTAGCAAAAAGCTTTCCAACTTGACGGCATGGTCACAAGAAGCCTCCGCCTCAGGCTTGGCTGAGCTAGAATCACCTTCATGACACCACTTTACATTGAAACCCGTACTGATAATTTGGCTTGTTCGGCAGGCAAGAAACGATTGTCTTTGAAGCTTGGAGTTTCTTTCTTCCTCTTTGGACTCATAAACAATGGTGTGCCATTTTTGTTTCTTCAAATGGTTGTTCTCATCATCGTAAAGTACTCTACGTTATCATTCTTTCGGCTGCGCTCGACCTCGTCCCTCCATCAACACCCAAGGGCATCATTGCCTTTTGTAATATTGCTCCAGCCTTAATCGCGAAGCTCGGGTGGCCGTACTTTCTCAAAGGTCGCATACGTTATGCCCGACGCATTGTCGGCTGCTGCACACTAAGCGTTATAGGCATGCTGGTAAGTTGACACCGGAATTACCTTGCAAATCCACAATTCACGCATGATACAGGTCGTTGCCTTCCACGAAAGCCTGTTTTCGAGGCTGCTGGGAATATGTCTTGCGTCGTTTTCGTCGGGTGGGTTTACACATCCGCCAGCACACCTCTTTCTCACATGAACCTCAAATTATAGGTCTGGGAGAAATGACCTTTTTACAACTTTCGACAACATATAGTCGTTCCGCAGGAGGCCGAAGCGTCGGGTTCGCATTGTCTTATGCTTTGGGTTATTCCATGTTGATCCCACTTGACAGGTACTTTGCCTCAGGTACTGGAGCTGCAGGTATTGTCGGAGCGTTCATGTGGTGGGAACTCAGGGGCCTGGGTGTCCGTACGGGTGTTGGCATCTCAGCGGTAATAATATAGATATAGCGGCCAGAACAATTGCTCATATTTCATCACAGGTTCTCCCATTCACCCTTCCTCTGGCATACTTTTTTTTGCTTCCTCGTCCAGCAGCATTTATTCATCAGTCATCTTCTGCATCATACACGCTTGTTCCCGCTGACGACCTTGAGACTGAGATTGATGATGATCTGTCTGCTCAAGATGACGTAGAATCTCGTGTAGAGACCAAGGTTACCGCTGGCTTATCAGCCGCGGATAAATGGCGTCTAGTCAAACCGATGCTATTTAAGTATATGCTTCCACTATGTGAGCAGTCTTTATCAATCGTGATTCCTATGTCTCATAATTAATCACTAGTCTGCGTTTATACCGTAAGTAGCCGATGTTCTGCGCAGAGCCTGCATTCTGACTTGCACAACCTAGTTTGAGTATACCATCAACCAAGTACGTTATCCCTATCTCTGTGCTTCTAGTCTTTCTGAACACATGCAGGGTGTCGCACCAACTTTATTATACCCCGTTCCGTCGCACGGCCTCATCAGCAAGATCATTCATTCTGTCCGCGACTACTATCCACTTTGGCAGGTCCGCATGATCATCCGATGTGATCCCTGAACACGTTCTGATAACGTTCCTTTTACAGCTAGTTTACCAAACAACGGTTTTTTTTCTCTCGTTCAAGCATATCTCTTGGCTTGAAAACTCTTCCGGCCCATCTCCTCCCTGCTCCAGCTATCATTCAGTTCGTGATCCTGCTTTTACTGGTCATGGAATCCGCTGTTGGGCTGCTTCCGGAAGATCGTGCGGGAGGAAGTATATTCCTCGTTTTCGTGCTCATCAGCATTGAAGGCATCTGTGGCGGTTTGGCATAGTGAGTCCTATTTTTATCCAGACAATTACTGGTGATCTGATTGATTACTCGCTAGTGTCAACGTGTTCTATCGCATTAATCAAGAGCAACCGGATCCAGCCTCGGCGCACAACCTTGAGCTCACAAAGCAAGAGCGAGAGTTTAAGATAGGTTCTATTGGTTTTGCTGACAGCTCGGGGATTTTACTGGCTTCGATTCTCGCCGTACCTACGGAAATGGAACTTTGTAGAGCGCAAGTTGCAAGGGGGAAATACCTATGCCAGGGACTCTAGGTCTATGGGTGCCCCTTCGGTAATTGAGCTGCGGAGGACACATGTTATATTTATTAGGTACATGGGGCCAGATATAGCTTATACACAACGTTTTGAGAAGTAATGATACATTGTGCTGGGGGTAACAAGAAACTGAAAAGAATGCAAAGTGGCCAAGTGAGAGCGCTAAGCATAGATCAAGTGGGTGGAGAAGACGCATGCTCTACGTCGGCCGACCTGGCGAACCGACGTAAACATTGAATGATTGCCACGTCTCTTGCAGATGGTGCTGTTGGGTAAGCGACGAGTATTCTGCACCGGGTGCAGGGGGTTGTTGGGAGGTTTGGTACTGGTTGTCATAGCACGATGATTGGTAATACATAGTGCTTCCCTGCGCCTGATACGACTGCTGTGCAGATTCCCAAAATGGTTGGGAAGGTGTTGTGTTGTAGTCACCAGGAGCGTGAGGGTCCGCAGTACTGAAGGACGATGATGGCATGTATGGATCATGGGTATAATGACCAGGCTGTTCCTGGCTATAATATTGGTGTTCCTGTGGTGGCGGATCGGGACGACGGTGCTGATGCTGATGCTGGGGATGTTGTTGGGGATGTTGCTGGGGATGTTGTTGGGGATGTTGCTGGGGATGTTGCTGGGGATGTTGCTGGGGATGTTGCCGGGGATGTTGCTGATGAGGGTCCGCATGGTACTGGGTATTGCCAGGCTGGTGATGATGAGACTGTGGCGGCGGCTGAGCGTACTGGGGCTCATGCTGATAGCGTTGGCCTTGACTTCCAGACGAGTACATAGATTCCTGGCGCTGGTTCTCGCTTTGATAAGACTTCTGTGCCTCGACTGGCTGAGAAAAACCATGCGACGAGGCGGAAAAATGGTCATGATATCCTTGTGCCAGCTGGGTAATTGGATGCAGCTGGTGCTGGACCGGCTGGGCTTGGGATGTGCCCTCCTGCATACTGGCCATTCCGCTTCTTTCCTCAACAGACGCCGCAGGTACCATGAAGTCGTCGTCTTCAGTGTAATACGCGTCTCGTTGAGCATTATAAAGCTGAGCATTGATATCGCCATCGAAAGTGCTCCACTGCTCGCGCAGCGATGGATGAATGTTGCTAAATGCCTGCGGGGGAGTAGCTTCTCCCTGCACCGGGGGAGATTGAGTCAGATTTATGCTGTTTGGAGGTGAATGGCTGGATCGTCCTGACGGCGGTGGCATGGGGGCCTTCGTAGCGACCTTGTTGATTTGTCCACTGAAAATCGAAAGTTCATCCTTCGACTTCTTTGGACCAGTGTTCGAGAAAATATCTCGTCGAGTCACAGTAGGAGTGGCAGTACTATATGCTTTCTCAGCTTTCTGCAACAACCTCTCAAGGATAGGCTGCCAATGTGTCGCCATCAGCATTCATTGTCTAGTGTTCTGTATGCCAATGCTAATGCTGACGTACAAGGAATTTTCCAGCTCGACCTCCGAAAACAGACGCTTCCTTGAAAAGATCGATAGCGCGCCGCAGTTCGGTCAAGGCTGCAGTGGTGATCTTGGACCGGGAGCCGCTTCCGGATGCATGCGTAACGACGGAAGACAGCAAAACCTGAGTATTAGTAGACCATCAGCATAATATTCAGGATGGATATGTCAGCAAGATGTGCTTACGGACGAGGAAAACGCGTGGGTCCATAGAACCCAGAAGCGGGCGATCTGTGCTGGGAACAAGTCGAACTGCCTACGAAGACCGCTAATCAGCTCGCAGGCACTGCGGTACCCTGCAAGGAACGATGGAGCATATGGGCTGATCATGGGGTTTGTGGGGTTGTTCGATACAGCTTCCGCAAAAAAGCATCGATGAATATATAGCAAGGCTGCAACAAACTCAGAAATTACTTTGATGTCGGACTATGCTAGGGTCACTTACTAAGGTGCCGGTAGTTATGGGGCATGTAATGCTTCATTGCTTCCCCAAGTTCGGCGCCTTCTCTGGAAGGTCGCTGAGCGTATTTCGGAAGCTCCATGTCGCGAATCTTGCGATCCAGTTCGATGACAACAGAATATTTTGGTACTTTTGCCGTTTGTGCATGTTGAATGACTGCAGATATGCAATGGAAACCAAAGCGAGCCTTCCACGCCGGGACTGAGGTAGTTATCTTAAGGCCAACATACTTAAAGAAGAAGATAGTACCTACAACTTAGTAAAACACTTCCATCTTCATCCACTGTGGAATCGGGGTCATTGGGCAGTTCACAGTCTACAAAGGGCAGATAAAACGTAGCGAGACGACCTGTGGCCAAGGACTGTGGAAGTGAGTAATAACTGACAGAGTAGCAGGAACAAGATTTACCTGCCACCCGTCTGTGATGAAGAGCTCCCAGAACAGCGCACGGCGCTTTTGTACCTCTTGCGGAGGTAGCTGCCAGCGAGCACAATCACGGTCTGGCGGTGGATGATGAGATACTTTGACCGGTAATCAAATGATTGAATTACTAACGCAGTCCAATCTATGTAAAGATAAGCACGGCGTCAAGATATGTAGAAACAAGAAACCAGTGTAAGTAACTTACACTCTGAGCCAACTTCGTTGCAAGTCCAAAAATTCCCCAGGTGCTCTCGATGCTGTTTTCTCCACTGCAAAGGCCCTGGTAAATCGCGAGCAAAGCCAGCGTCTGAATGGTTGCTACTGATGGTGGTCGGTCAAGTACGGGCTCCAAGTTTAGGGCAGCGCGCGTAAGCTTGAAATACATATCGGCTTCCTCGTTGTCTGGCGCAGGCGGCAATCTGTAGTCCGTCAGTGACCCGAAGCAGAAGATCACGAACATCAAGGCGAGTTCATGAGGACCTTTGCTCAGAGCATCATTTGCCTCGTTTTCTGCGGTCGCTGGTGGTGCCACAGAACCCGGATAGATGAGATCTGCTGCCTCTGCGTACCACAAAGGAAGAATCTCCTCCATCAGTTGCCGCTTTGTTACCGCTCCAAAGAACCATGGTGCTTGCTGGAGATACAGCTCACTCAAGTGGCGAGCTCGGTGCCATGGAGGTAGATGATTTTGAATGAGGTAGTTGAGATCGACCTCGTCATTAAACACCGGAGCCAGAGGGAAAGACTTCGACAGATGCTTGATACTGGAAGGCAGACGTTCATTATACCGCAATCTGTCGCCTGGACTAAAATTAGTCGTAGGTGGTACGGCAGACTCTCCCTGTGGCACAAATTAGTCTAGCGGTATTGTGGACAAGGCCCCCGTAACTTACGATGAGCAGACTCTAAACACGTTTTTGTGGTGCCATCAGTCGTTCTAAGGTCAAAATAAAGTTGACAATGCCCACCTCCGATCCAGCCGATGGGCCATAAAAAGTTGCAGCTCCATCGTCCCGTATGGCGAGCGTCCCAAAAGATTCGATGTATTGCGAGTCGTCATCAACCTCCTGCTTGGATTTAGCCGACGTTTCCTCATCCACAGCAGCGTGTAAATCTATGATTGATTTGATGTCAAGGAGATCTCTATGCAACAGAGGATGTTGATCGCCAGGACCGGTTTCCAAAATAGCAAGTGCATCTTCAAGTTGACGAATCCTGTCGCTCATTTGTGCGATCTTCTGATGCAATTTTTCTGTATCTGCTAGTACAAACCTGAAGCGAGGAACAAGATTGGCATGAAATTTTCAGTCACCTACATAGCTGGCAGGAAACCTACCGAGTTCCTTGACCAGTCGTAAGGGAGCCTGGCGACCACAGCCCGCATGAGTGGTATCTAATAGCAGATTGGCATGTACACATACCATTAGGACAGATAGCCGAGCAGCCTCTGCGTTTGCACGAAGAGCACGGAACCGTTTTGTCACATTTCAATTTGAGCCTAGCCGCAAGGTGTCAGAGGAAGATTTTGATGAAAACGGAGTACCGACCTTCTACATTCAGCGCAGGACATAGCACCTCGGCTTCTCTTCTGCTCCTTGTCCATGGCTTTTTGGGCCTCCCTGGAGTCAGGCTGACGAGCATTTCCTCGGGGTATTTGAGGCATAGTTTTTGACCTGGCGGCTGGCCAGGGAATAACCAAAACGCGTAAAGTTGGGCCGCAGTCGAGAGGGAAAAGAAAGAAAGGCGGAGCCTGGACCTACATTGTGCGTCCCTAACTTTAAGCCTTCATCCAATTGGTATTACACACAACGATTACATAATTTTGCTTCCGCTCTCACATTTACTATTTCATCTTCCGAGAGTCGTCCGAGCGGCGAGAGTACTAGCTAGTGCTAAAACTCCCATACCTGCGGGGCCATCCTCGGGATGACCCCTACTCACCTTGTTATCCTCAACGCCCGGCTGCGCGTTATGGTGCTGAACGCTGTTGAACAATGGATTCAGCTCTATGGAACCATGGCACGCAAATGTCCAAATTTATCAGATAAGGGTACACGTTTTCGTCATATTAAGCATACCGCCGTCAGCTGAGACGTTGACGAAAAAGTGCGTAAAAATCAAGTCATGTCATATGTTCTTTGTACACTCATCATCAGTCAGGTGAGGCAGGAGCTCAGGGTCCTTCATTCAGGGTTACTACGTTACGCTTCAAGTTGTGTTGCAAAACTAGGTATGCTTGTACGTACGATATCTGTTCAGAAGGCTCACTACCAGCCTCCAGGTCTTAGAGAGACCTCAAAACGTCACTCCTCGGCTTGTTCCGCTGCCATTTACGACGGAGAAAACGAGAAGTTACTCGGTCTGTGTTCTAGGTCTGAATCTAGAGTGTCCAAATCTGATCCTATCAGATTGCTTGGTGCCAACTTTGGAACTTTGCCGTCTATCGCACAATGTTGGCTTATGTGTACCGCCAAGCCGGCGCTCAGTCCACGACTTATGTACGTGCTTCAAACGTTCAACTGTTGATCGACCGCAGAACATGGTGCAGATATTGCACAAAGGATACACCCATGATTAGAATTACCGAGCTTAAACTGAGTATGTATACCTGTGCAAATTTAAATAAACATGACTATCCACTATGATACAGATTCCCAGCATGATCCAGCTTCCAACTAATCTGATTTTCCGCCCTTGCTTGGCGCGGCACTTCCCCAACCAAACCAGCTGACTGGCTTCCTTGCCTCAGTCTTGTCATGACCCTCCCGACCCGAGTCCCCATCAACATCATACCCCTCTGCATCGCTGGGGACGTCCACTTCCTCGAATCGCCCAACAAAGCTGGACCCACGCTCCCGCAGGTCAGAGTCCGAAGACACGCGGGAGGGTAGCTGGACGGAGCCTGAAGCAGGTGGAATCGGGATACCAGGACGCTCTGACGAATTAATGAACGCAAGCTCAGCTTCAAGCTCGCGCTTGCGATCTTTCAAGGAGCCCTGGTGACCTGCGTCAGAACGCCTTGTGAAGGTGTTCGCAGGGGTCTTCCATGCTTGGTCAGCAGATGTTCCCGCTGCCGCAGCACCTTGACGCAGCAGTGCTGTACCAGAAGCGACGATCGAAGGGCCGTACGAGTGCCAAAGCCCCATAGCAAGTCGAGCGGGCCCTGATGCCGGGTCAGCCAAAGTTGGGGGTACGCCGGTGTCTGTCACCCCGCCTGCAGGGGAAAAGTTGGCCTGTTGCTGTTGGCCAATTGTTGTAGCGAGAGCGTCCCATAAGCTGCGAAATCTTTCTTGGATGAAGGCATAGATCCGAATTTTGAAAGATGCGAGTGTCGCATCGATCTGGGATTCATGCGTGTGGAAGAATGGTTGAAGATGGTTGATATAGAGGTAGGATGAACCGCGAGTTTGTGGTAGCGCGATATAGAGAAGAAATAGGGTCTTCACGAGGTAGTAGAATGGTACCCTATTAACACGCGCAAGGGGCGTTTCAAAACCCTAGCACTGATACCATCGATGAAAACCGACTGACCATGAAACAAGCCACTCTGCAACGTACTCGACGCCGACAATACATCCAAGCACCGACCAGTACATGAGCCATCGCTCCAAATCCTCCTCGGAGGCTGGTCTCTGGGAAAGGGTTTTGTAGGACGCATAGCCAGGATAAAGAAAAACGACAACCGAACTAAACACTTGATCAATATGTAGCTCTTTTAATATCTCTGAAGACATACCTAATCATGCAAGATGTGACATAGAAGAGCATGATGTGCAAGCGCGGGCAGAACAGAAATCAGTCACTGTACTGGTACGCAGTGCGCAAGCTGGACTTTAGCTGGTGCAATAAATGCTTTGGGATGATTACATAATCATCAATTAGCATGTTCTTTTGTGCCACAGACGCGTTTCTCGTGTTTTGCAGCTTGGACTCGGACAACATCAAACGACGTTGAGCATTGAACGTTAAACTGTCTCTAACATTTTCTAACATGCCACGTAAGAAGAAGTCACTTCTTACGCATAAGAAAGTGTCAAAACAAAAATTCACAATCGGCATACCCACCGATGACGATTGGAAAACGATGAAAGATTATGGCTCGTTTGTAGGTACGAGATCTTCACTGTTTTTGCAACTTGACGTGGTGACTGTTTGAATTTCAGTTTCCGATGAAGAGGGAAACCCGCATACATTTTCCCTTCTAGAACTGTTCGTGTCTCGAAAGCTAACTTTACTGTAAGACGTAGTAAAAACTGACCTTCAACAGCGCGTTTATTCTACCGGAAGGGGTGCTTCCAGACGGTATTCACCATCCCACTGCGTATTGGATTGGCAGAATCAAACAAATTAGGGCAAGGGGCGAGGGAAATGTATGTCTCGCCACCCACTCTAGTATTATCTTCGCTCAGTCATAACGCAGGTATGGGCTCTAGTACAGTGGTATTGGTCGCCTCAAGAAGTCTCCTCCGTAATCAAATCCTTGTGAGTGATCACGGAGAATCAACATCTGTGACCGACGTATTCTGAAATATCAAAGTGATGTCAGTGGCTGCGGCCAATATGAAAAGATTTACTCAGATTACTGTGATTACGTATCTTCCGACAGTTTCTGTGGTAAATTCCCATCTCTCGTGTTGCATTATCAGTTTGAACTCTGTCTAGATCATGCGACTGTCGTGAGATACAATGAACGAGATGTCGACCAAAAGGTGTTCGACTCTGATGAGTTCTACCATCGTTTCGACTTGGAATACCGCGCTCGGAGAATCACCGTGAGTGTGCGTTAGAACTGCAATTGGAAGAGACGTTGATCATACCTTTCACAGCCGAATATCATGCTTTCTGCTTGTATCTGCGGTGTATCTTACAATCCCGATCGAGACCCAGTAATGCATTTCTGCCCGCGTCCAAGCTGTCGCATAGCCTTCCATCAAGAGTGTTTGCAAAGACCGACTCAAAGATCAAATGCAGCTGCCAGGGCTCGGATGTTCATTGAATGTTGGCCCGACACAGATGCAAAGCTAGTTATCGAAGATTTGGTCGACTCACGACCATGCCGAAAAAGGAGAAAGGGATCCAAAACTTCGATCTCAGATGTCCTTGAGGAATTTCCCGTGGAACTTGTGAAGGCGGCTCAGCAACAGATTATCAAAGGTGTGCAAGCGGGGGGCGTTGTCGGGAATGTGAAAGCGGTGGTGGCAGCTCGCCAATTGATCTACCACACCTTGCTTGATGGGTCTGATTTACCCACTGACTGGGAGGACAAGGTGGACGTCGAAGCGGCTATTCCCCCGAAGAGAAAGAGTTGTCCCGTGTTTTTGTGTCCCCAGTGCCAGAGTCTCATTTGATAGAAAGGACATTTCGGAGGGTTTCCCGCATTGATACCCTACTCATCCATCCTGCTCAGTTACCGATACCTTTTCGTTCCGCACATGCGGCTTAATCTAGACGACTACCCATGTAGCATATCGATACCACTGCATACACAGTACTAGTACATTCAGTATAACTACATAGCTAAGCAAATTACATCTAGTTCTTAGGGGCATATGACGCAATGTAGTATCACCGAAATTCTCTGAATTTACGCCCATCTCTGACTTGTCTCTGACTATGGCTATGCCCAAGAGCACGATTGCAAAGGGTACAACCACGAGGGTAAGTACATCTAATATCTGGACCCGCTTATAACAACATCTGGTCAGCCACCATACAAGATGAAATCTGCTGGTACGAAGTGGGGAATTCCTCCAGACAGTTCAGAAGATTCTACCCCAGGTCCAGCACCCACTCGGGCCACTATAACTGAAGAGCAGCCTACACGAGAGGAACATGAAGTGAGAAATAAATTCAGGTTGAGAACATCGAATTTATATGACCGCGGGGCTCTTGTCCTCAATTACAGATCTCTGAACCGGTGTCTAAGGATGTCCCGGACACATTGGGGGATGAGCTACTTGCAGAAGTTGCAGCCCCGGGTGGGGAAGGTTCTAGCACTGTTAAGCAAACGAAAGAACGAAAGAAGACCCTGCAGAAATCGAAGACAATTCCGGCTGGGACTACTAAAAGGGGCTTTGTGCGATCTCGAGCCCACCCGCGACGGGGTCGCAAAGTTATCACTACGGTAGATCATGAATGGATGGCCGATGATGAACTTGAATCGGGAGCGTTTGACGGCATGTCGACTGATGATGCTAATGCAAAGAGTGAGCTAATTTCTTCCGGATCCGGGTCATCTGACTGTCGACTCACCAATATTTGCGCCTTCGCAGTGGCTCAAATCTTTCGTGGATTTGGGTAGTGAATGTGCCAGCGCCGGGATGACGTGAAAAGCAACCAAGTCAAAAGCAAAACAGTATATATATGCTTCGATCCGTGTATGTACACATATGCTACTGCAAGATATAATGAGATTTCCGCGGGAGAAACCCAAATGAAAGATGCTAAGTCCTTTGCAAAACGTAATCGGTCCTGATCCATAATCTCACACTGCAACAAACTCAATCACACTCACTTCCGCTCTGCGGAATCCTCGTGGCTCTGCTTTTGCTTGTACGGGATGGAATGACGCTTGTCTCTGAACCCTTTTTCTTGCGCTTGCGCTCCGTCTCGCGGGTATTGAGTCGCACACCATATCTGGAGAGTTGCTAGAAATGCGACAAGCTGTCAATCGGGGTGTGCTTCTGAGGGGTGCCTGGTTACCTTTGATAGCTCTGTTGAAGGTTGTAGACCAGGAAATTCTTTGGTTGAATATATGTGGAATGGACCGCCATAGCACTCAGCCTGGACCGGCACATCTACTAGACTTGACGTGCGCGAAAAGATATCGAAAATGCGATAGCGGAGGAAGAAGTCGCCCTCAATTTTCACCGCAAGGTCCTGTATGCGTGCATGTATCATGTTAGATCAAGTTCTCGACTGTGATCAAAGACGTACAGCAAACGGAAAGACGAGAGCCCTCTTGCCTTCATAGTCTATACAAGCTGGCTGAACGAAGGTGGCACCTGAGAGTGCCGTAGTGCATTTCATGCTTTCGGGATAGGCGGCGTAGGGTGGAAGGTGGGGCAGCTTAGCATCCGACACGGGAACCCTACTCGAACTGCTTAAGGGAGGCAATTTATCTGACTGGGTAGACATGCTCGGTAAGATTGAAGGTAGCGGGTAGCCGCCAGAGGGGGGGCGAACAGGTTGCACTACTGGTGAAATTTGGGGAGGGTGACGGGGGAGGGAGCTTGGCTCCGATGAGCTATCGGGCTGAGTAGAGACTTGGAACAAGTCGACATTGCAAAGCAATCCAAGGTTTTGTATATCGCTGCGAAAAATGATGAATATTTAAGCAGAACCAGGAACGCTGGGGGGCAACAACATACTCATAGTCCTGAACTTCTTGTTCGTATTCATGATCACTACCCTCATTGTGGACGCAGTATAACTTGAGTTGGACCACTGGTGGGGGGTCTAGAGGGCGTCGGTCTACACGAGCATACCTGCATGCAAGGTCAGCCACATGGAACGAGTGAAGTAGGCACCGTTTTCACTTTCGCCCTAGGTCTGCTTTTTGTATCTCGACGAGCTCGGCACGCACGCATCTTCCCTGGAATTGACCAGAACTGAAATGAATGGGTACATTGATGTATGAGAGTGTCGTTCGACGTGTCGACTCGTGCATCATGTGCTGGCAAGCCTAGAGTGAAAGAGTGCGCGAATAAGAAGGGTCGTGTTGAAGAGACGTAAGGTTTGATAACACTAGTACTGCGAGCACTCTAAAATCGGCGTTAGCGTGTACCAAATGGTATACAATGTCCTTTGTGGAGGTCCCCCTTCCTCGCAGTAGTGGTCGTCCGACGATCTCAGTGTTATAGACGCCAAATGGGGACTTCCTTGTTACGAAATTGCTCCACCTTTTGGCTGCTCACTCTGGTGCACAGAGAGGACTGAACGGAACGCAGAAGGCATGGATGGTTTTCTTGATCCATGGATCGCTCTTCAAGCTAACAAGACAACTGAAAATGATAGCAGCTTGCTACTGGTATTCATTACCATGGCGTCATTCTCAAGCATCCATTTTACCCGGCTCTTTGGCGCACACACATGGAACCAGCAACATGGCGGGGACCCACGTGCTAATTACAACGTCGACATAGCTTTATTTCTGCCTCTCACTATCTACCAGTCGTCCTAAATCCCTTCCAAAAGGATGTGGGTTCTAGCTGGACACGTTGGAGGTCATGGGCTAGACCCCCGCCCTCCCTGGAGCTCAGAGGTAGATTCTCGATGCCAAGTGAGTAATATCCAACCATACGAAGGACACACAAACTTATGCGTCGCCTACCCCAGCTGACCGTTCCTGGTCTTGCTGTTCCTGCTCTATACTCGTATGTCTCCGCTAAACAACCAAGTACCAACTGAACACATTTGCAGAACAACTTCCAAACATGATAGTATCACGTCAACGGAAGACAACACGGCCGTCGATTTATTGTCAGTCAACGACATCCATCCCTTCCCACATCGGGATAGTTACCAAACGTGATAACATCTTCGATACCGTTCAAGCCGTTGAAGCAGCGAGTCGCCTCGTGCACAGGACCGTTTTACCGAGCGAAACTTGTATTAAACCTCTGAAGGAGGTTTGGGAGGCACCCCCCCCCCTAGGACCACCCTACCAAGTGGAACTTTAAACGGACTTCCGATGGAGGAGGAGGCCCACTTCAAGACCAAGTGCTATACCACCGCACACATCATAGGGCGGTTTCCCGATTCGGAACAATACACAGGGATTCGTTTCTTTCACTCCAGTTCGAAGGACGCGATCTTCAAGACCCCTTCTGTACCTTAACGATGCTGGCTGTTACTGAGTATTTATATATTGGTTCACACGTTGAAGGCTAGTTTGTTGCTGCCATCCGGCCAGCCTGGCGGTGACATTCTATCGCCTCGTCTCCATGAATCATACGTGTCAGGGCCCCTCAGAAAGAATCAATATTACCAGCCCTGTAAGTTTCCCTTCATCATATGTAACTCAAATATGTGATTTATAAAAGTTCGTAGGTTCATATCCGTACATTACACCAATAGTGTCCATGTAATACGAGGTGGTTTTGACAACGTCAAACCTAGACATATTGACAGTGTTCATGTGAATGTCCAGCGCGCAACAGGATCAGAAAAGACTACAAGTAATGGTGGATAATCTATAGAATGCGAATGTTATAGATGAGAGATGAATTCATTACAGATTATTGCATAGGGTGCAGTTGAAATGAATTCTGCTGCGGAAGGCGGCAGCTGGGGAAGACATCAGTAAACCAAGAGGGGATAGGTAGCGGTGACGACTTACGGAGGACAATGAGCGCTGTGAAGATGACAATGACGATCACATAAACAACGCCATATTTGATGATCTGGAGTCATGCATGAGCATCCTTTCCTTGCCTGCCAAGATTTGAAAACACTCACAATCCAGCGGCGTTGCTTTTTCTGTTTCAGAGAGTAAAGGGGAGCGCGAATCTGCTTGGAGGGCCGCAACCAGACTGTAGCTATATCAGTAATGCACGAAGGATATTGCGATAGACGACTCACAAAGCAGCATCGCATGCAAACGATCCGCGTACGGGAAAAGAATGGGTGGGGTCAACATGAATAATAGGAAGTGACCGATGAGAAGGTCAGAGCTCCACAGCGACAGCTCGATGATCTTGACCACAAATTCACGGGCAGGTTGTGACATGACATGGGCGCCAAGACCACGACCGTACCAGCGTCCAGTCCACCACGCACGGTTCGTCTCGTCGTGCTTGAACTCACGCGATAGGAATACAGCGATGAGAACCTTGTGAACCGCACGCTGGATAGCGATGACCGCGACAATGCCAAGGACTGCGTGGGATGCATTCCACGTCTCAAGGAACCACTTCGATGCCAGAGGGGACTACGTTAGAACTGCTAGACGGTAGACATGCTGCATACACTCACCAAGAACTCGAAGAAGCCCAACATACCAATAACACCGAGGATGTGAGTGGTAGAGGCCATGACGGATCCGAATCTCGGGAACGTGGGGTCCATCATTGGACCAAGGAAGATGGAGATAATGAACTGCACAAGGAGGACTGCAGCATTCCATACTATCGGACCAAGGGCAATGATCGCGATACGGATCAGTGGATTTGGCGGAAGCTTGCCAGTGGAATCGGGGAAGGATTTTACGAAAATGTAGGCAATGGTAAACAGCACCGCCATCACTATGGGGAAGACGACCTCTGAAAAGATGACTGCTCTCCAACCAGCGCGTGGAACATCACCCGACATTTTATCTGACGGGAGACCAAGCTTCTTCTTCTTGTACCCCGTAATCATAGTCCGCGATAGACGACAGTAACCGATCCAAGAGTTGTTATGCGAGCGAGAGTTTCCACGGGACATCCATCTCAAGAATTCCCTACATCGCATTCATCAGCAAAACAGGCAGACAAAACAAAGGAATCAACTGACCGATAGTCGATGACAAAGTCCGCGAACGCGAACTGATGAGGATTGAACAAGAAAGGAGCGACGCAAAGGGCAAGAATTGAGATCCAGAAGTAAACCAAATATGGCGTCCAAAGTGCCATGGTGACATAGAGAAGACTCATCAAGGTCCTCATGCCGAGGTAAATGCTAGGTCCGGCAAAACGGGAGAAGAGGATGCTAAACGAGATACGGGTGGTTGCGAATCCACGTCCCGTCGCGATGTATCGGGCACCACCAAAGGTCAAGTTGCTGATGATGGAGTGCGTATAGATTTGGGTCGAAAACACCTCAAAGACAGGGGAGAGCGACATGAACTGCTTTCCAAGACGAATGATGGCACGGCCCGTTCCACGTTCCACCAGTTCTGAAAAGGTGTCAAAACCACACTCAACAAGACAAGTGAATCATGCATACCCTGAATGAACAACGGCAGGAAAGCAATCATGAACACCAAGAAGATACTGATGATGCAACGGTGAATCCAGTCGAATACAGGCGTCAAGTTGTAGCAGCCATCCATGCCAGGCAGAATGCTGCCAGTGGCAGAATACTGACACACCAAGATCGAAGAGTTCAACGTTCCCAAGAATACCACTGCACAACACAATCAATTACAACTCGCGCATGACCATATGAGAAGGCATACTTGTCACAATGAAGCACTGGACGGCCAAGATGACCAACATGTTGTTGATGTGGAAACCGGGGTGGCCGTAGTAGAACGTGAGGAAACGGTCGATAGGCAGCTGCGTGCCCAGGTAATAGTACTCCCGACTGAGCATCTGCTCCCCCATACCAGTGCCGATCTTCGTCTGGAAGTTGAGGATGGTGCCGAAACCAAGGTCACGACCTTTACCACACTGATAGTACTCGGTGTGCTTGATACGACCACCGCGACCAAAAGCGTTCATGCCAGCATAGATATCCTCGTTAAGGTGCAAACCTTTCTGTGCCTTCGACACGCCACCACGAGTGTTCATGTAGAGCGCATTCAGAAAATCAGGATGTCCATAGTGAAGCTTTCCACCGATCCACGCCCAAGCACGAGCAGACAGCGTACCGAATGTCTGCTCCTTGCCGGCGGCGAGATCACCAAGAATACCAATGTTCTCCGAGAAGATGTACTCGCGAGCGCCGACGATGGCTACAGGACTTTTCTTGAACTCTTTGTGACCATATTGTGCGTACGGGCTCTGAGTTGACACCGAGTACTCCTCAAACTCGCCTAAGATATTGCGAATCTTAAGACACTCCTCCAGATAGTTGTCCTGGTTGGCATCAATGAGTTGTAGGTATTCGCCACGGTAGAAGACAATTGCGTGATTCTGGTTGTCCGACTTGCCGTCGCCCAGAATGGGGTTACCGGGGAGCTCAATGCGGAAGTTGGGGCGACGGCGACCAGTCTCAGGAATGAATTCGGAGTGGCCATCGATAAGCGCAGAGAACAACCGCGATTCACCACCCTCTTTGCGTGGCGGCTCCTCATCAAGATATGCGATCTGAAGATCCGGGTATGCACGGAGCAAGAACTCAGCATTCTCGTGCTCCTCCTTGTTGAATTTGGAGTACCGCTGCATCGAGACGACGAATTTGAACTTGCGCCGGGCCATGCGTTCAAGCTCGCGTTCTAGTTTGTCCGTGTTTCCGCCGAATTGCTGCACGACCTCGGGATTTTCCACGCGGTAGAGCAACTTGATTGCCTTGGCATAGTTCATCATACCAGAGACCGTGCGGTAGAGTGTCTGCGCGCGCAGCGAAGCCCAAATACGAGTCCGCAGGGTGAACTCGGGGGCGGCACTCTTGAAACCGATGCAGTAGAATGGCAGATCGTCCATCTTTGATTGACCCTTCTCATCCGTACCGAAAGGACTTGTGCCGTTGAACATGGCAGATTCCTCAGCCAAGATCTTGGTATCCTTGACAAAGTTGTCCCATTCAACAGGGTGGAGCTGCTTCAGGTACTCGAGTAGGGTGACGCGGGTATTCTGATCTTCCTCGCGGATAATCTCCCTCAGTGACAACAGAATCTAAAAAATGCTCCGTCGGTACAACTTCGGATAAAAGAAAGTGACCACGGACCTTTTCACTGTAATGAGGCGTCAAGACCGTAAACGTAGGCATGGCATCCACAGGCAACGGCTCCGGAACAGCCGTCGTGAGTGACTGCGCAAAGAAGGAGATGCGCCGCTCAGCCTCACTGCCGGGAGGGAAAAACTCGCCCTTGAAACCCTTATCGCTCTGGGAAATGAAGAACGGCGGTGCACGAAGACTGCGTTTGCCATCATGCCCCGAGTCAACCTGGTGGTACAACAGCTTCTGCACGTGCTCAATGGAAAGCAAGTGCTCGCGGTACATAGAAATGATGATTGCGTTCCAAATCTGTGAGACCAACACCTGTAGAGGAACACTATTGAGTTGCATTCAGGCAACGACCGAATAAAACTGACCTTCGGCTTGTACTTAACCTCCATATCCCTCGTCGCAAGCAGCTTCGCGTAGATCCGTTTTGGTAGCCTAGTGTAGATGTCCTTCCATGGCGTCCATATGGACAGGCCAAGCATGAATGACCGCGCGATACTGAACACCGTATTCCAAATGATGTACCAAAGGAACGTATCGAGGAAAAACAGCACTAGGTCCATGACATACATGATAGCCAGCGTGAATTCGGCTTGGTTAGTGCACAGACTGGAGCCAAAGTATCTGTCGCTACAGCCCTGAATCTTCATCCCCACCATCACGGCAATGGGATCTCGGAAAGAAAGCGTAAGGAAGAAATATGATTCCGTGGCTTTGCAACCAAAGACGAGTGCCCAGAGCGCGATAGAGCCCAGGCGCGCTTCAGTGTGCAGCCCAGGATACGAGGCAGTGAATGTCTGACTGGCGAGGTATTTCCTTGACTTTCCAGCGACTCTGTCCCCAAACATGCGTCCAGACGGCATGGTCGCGAAGAGAAGTGTAGCAACAACCGAGATAAAGAACTGCACGATACCGAGGATGAGGGCAAGCGAACTCGTGGTCCCATTAGAGCTGTTTTCCGCAATGGCAATGTAGAAGGTTGGACCGCATGTCAGCGCAAGGGTGATGAATAAAAATAGCAAGCGCCGGGAGAGATGAGAGGTATTATTCCAGGTAGTGGGTATGTATGAAAACTCAGCGAGCGTCGCTGCGATCATGATGACCGTCGCAACTGCACCTCCAAGCGCGGTAACAGACCAAGCCAATGCCGGGGAGTTGTAGACCTTATTCAAAGGAAGTGAGATCTGGTATACTTTGGGGGAGTTGAATGCAGTGTAGAACCAGTATAGAGAGACGTGAATGACCCATATGCGGTTGAAGTTGACCAGGAGATGTCCAAAGGAGCGTTTTTCATAGTATGTCTTGAAGAACGCACGATTCCAGTCGATGCTATGAAACTTCATGAACCTGTGGGGAGGTGGAAGGTCCACGAGTCGAGTCTGCATTGCGAAATCAGGTTAGCATCGGCTATAAGCCGCAAATAGTGACATACCTTATCGGAAAGTATGATCCGAGCAATACCTTCTGGGTACCAGAAGAGCTGGTTGACATCATCGTAACCAATAATATCTGCATGATCTCGCTCCCGCCTGACGAATCGCCCGTCAACTACCTCATATCCCTGGTCCCGAATAAAGCGGTATAATGGCTTGATGACAGATTTGAGGTACAAGCCCTCGGGCACGGGATCTACTCGGTTCTGGCACTCTGGCGAGCGATAATAATCGTCCGCACACTTGAAGATGAAGCACAGACACTCGGGGACAAAGCGCACTTGAGCGGCCTCACCCCAACACAGAAGGTATAGCGCGATCTGGCGAAGGCGATCGTATTGGCTCATGTTGTTCATGGCCTGGCGCCAGCGCTCCATAGCCGTTGCGAGCGATTTCTCATTAGACGTGCGGGCACCGGCCCTGCGGTTGAGACGCTGGAGACCGGGATTTTGAACGTGGCCCACGGCGTCATCGAGGTCGAGCTGGGCTGCAAAATACCATTTACGGTAATTCGCATGCTCACCGCCAATGTAATCTGCATGTAGGGTGAGGAGGGCTTGATTGGGCGACATACGGGACGCTCGACTGTCCAGCAGTTGCATCAAAAAGTCAAACTAGACTGGTTGTCAACATTTGCAAAAATTGTGACTAAATTAAATGTTACCATGTTCCGCATAGAGTCTCGCTGGAACCCAAATTTCTGAGTCAAGTCCAAGAAGATATCTTCTATTTCCTCCTTGGAGAGTGGGATTTGGCGTTCGGCTGACCAGGCAGGGTATGCCTCACGGGCGCCTGGTGGTCCTGCGTATTCGGCCCATGCCGTTGCGTTTGAATCTGACATGCCCATTCTCGAAGGCCCTAAGGATTCTGAAGATGCTGGTGGATACCGCTGGCCATAGATATCGATGTCCGAGTCTGTGTCAGGTTGTGCTTGAAAATCACACAAGTGTGAGTATATGTAAATGGCGCAGAAAGACACTTCACGCACCGTATGGGTCGTAGTTGCCGTTGTGATCATAGTATCGCTCGGTGTCATTGAGACCATTGTTGCTGCTGTCTGACGCATAAGTGTCTCTGCGGCCGTAAGGGTCAACATTGTCAGAGTCGTTGTCGCTGTAAACATATCTGCGAGGGCCGCCAGCTGCGGAAGTGAAAGGATCTGCATGATCTGCTGTCGGCGAGGAAGACTGAGGATACATTTTGACCTCTGTTTTCCTGAGTTAACAGGCCAACAGGAAAGAGAAAGTGCCGTGGTCAGGACAGAGCAAAGGAGTGGTGGTGCGTGAAGAAGGATGAGCAAGTTGCAACGTTTTGGTACAAAGTTGCAGCCCGTCCTGTGAACGGCAACCCTGTTTCCCACACCACAACCACACCCACGATCCAAACCAACTCGCTCGGTTTGTTTTAATTTTCAGTCATCCTCCTCCAATTTAATTCAAGTACTTGAGCTACAGTACTTATTCATGCTCTCTTATACAAAATGATACATTAAAGTCACCAAAGCTGGCCTGGAATTGGGACGCAAGATATGCTTGTTGGCACAGCACGAGGAAGGCGCGTCCGAACCATCCGACAAAGGTATCGCATCCACGTGCACTTGACAAAAAATAGCCCTCATACCTCCACGACCTAGGATCTCCTAGGATAGCCTAGTACTGCTTTTCGAAACCCTGGGAAGCCGCCGTTCGTCCTCATGACTACCCCATTAATGTCAGCCACGTATTGGATTACAACCCATATTTTGTACGACGGACAAAGATTTGTTTTTTTTTGAAAACCAATGTCGGAAGATGCCATACGATAAGATGCCAAGGACAACGATAAATAATGATACGGATCTCGCACTGATAATACCTGTTTCGTGTTCGACCTGGATGTATTTGAATTGACCCTAACTTTGCAACGGTGATTAACGAAGCTTACCACAGAGGTAAACGGGGAGAGGATCGGGATCGTGAAGTGCGAGGCACCCTTCGATTTCGGGGAATCACGCAGCAGTATATATGTCAGTGCAAGGAAGAGAAGCATAAAACATGCTACAAGGACTGCCTGAATGAATTCTAGAGTGAGCTGCAGGAACACGAGCAAGTTGATGCAACGCACGACGAACTTCTCGAGCCTGCTTTGCCGTTGCTCGTTCGCCCGCACGAGAGCCGCAATCTGGGTCTACGTTCGATGTGACGGTTAATCACCGAAAACATCCTTGTAGACATGGCAAATACTCGCCGTACGCTTCTCTTCCTCCCCCAGCCTCACTTCCGCCATTTCCTTCTGATGCTGAACACGTGTTGTCAGCACCGTTTCAGCGACCAGTGCACGCGCAGCCCAGTACTGCTCGACGAAAGTGCGAGGATTGGCAGCAGCAGGTGTAGAGTACCATGTTGTCTTAGCATATTCCAGCGTGTTGTTGTGCGCAGAAGTTCTTTCTACAGCAAGTGAAGCACTCGCGATCTGCATCGTTCTCGACACTGGAAGTTTGCTTGCGACAGAAACTAGACAGTGGTTAACGTTTGTTTTGGAACTTGATGATGGGCCGGAGGTTGTGGCGGCTGGCTTGGACTTTCTGAGTCTGTTCATGGTTGGAGGTAGAGCATGAAGTGCGTAGCAGACCAGGTTGAAATCAAATCTAGCAGGTATTGATTTGCCTGCTTTAAGCATGCCGGCATGTTAGCTCCATAGTAAGAATTATCCGTATCGTTGCTCGGACCGTTGGCATCGGGTTCATCGTGGAAGAGTACCTCAAACTTGGACGAGGACAGCGGTTTCTTCTTTATCTCAAAACAATAGCAATAATGGCTGGAAGGAATTCCATGGACGACTTGCTTCCAGAATGCACCTGCGAGAGATTATCATGATACGAGTCACGTTCTTAAAACATTGGAACTCCTCAAACCGACCAAACGTATCTTGTGCTCAATCATTCTAACCCTGACATGTCTTCATCAGCCACCCCAACACTTCCCTACGCGCAAACTCTTGCAACCATCTCGCGTTTGGTTACCGATCCTCGCTTGTTGAAGCCACGCATCGGAATCGTGTGTGGATCTGGTCTTAGCACCCTTGTCTCGAGCTTGAAGGATGTGGTGCAACTTCCGTACTCACAGCTCCAGGGTTTCGGCGAGAGCACAGGTGTGTGATGATAAGGACGGTCAGGTGCTACTGAGCTCAGCAAGAACATCTACCAAGTTGCTGGCCAAAAGAGCATGCTCGCATTCGGGCTAATGGGCAAGGATAACGTGCCTGTCGTCGCCATGCTCGGGCGGGTGAGTGTGGCGGAACACCATTTCGTCGGTGAGTTTATTGAAAGAGAAACAATAACAGTTTCATCCGTATGAGGGCCACAAGCCGGCAGTCGTGACGTACGGTATCAGAGTCATGAAGAGATTAGGCGTCAAGGATGTCATCAGTAAGTACACTTCTGACTCGCAGAACAATATATCTGATCCTGGAGTAAAATATAGTAACAAACGCTGCCGGGTCATTGACACCACAGATACCCGTTGGAACAAGTATGGTATTCCATCCATTCCAAGTTCAAGGCTGAACGATGTCGCAGTCGTCGTCATTCGCGACCACCTCGCCCTCCCTAACCTCACTGGGATGAACCCCTCGTTCGGACCGCTCATGTCCCCAGAATATGCCAGGTTTATTCCTCTGGGTGACGCATACTCCCCTCGTCTACGACGCCTTGCCTTCCTCGCCTCCCACTATCTTAACTTTGACTCTTCTGCACTGGCAGAAGGAACGTATGCCTGGGTGGCAGGACCTGCATACGAAACCCCTGCTGAGGGCCTTTTCCTGCGTAATGCAGGCGCACACGTAGTCGGTATGAGTACGATACCCGAAGTAGTGGCTGCGCGAGAAGAGCAGCTCGAGGTTATGGTGCTGAGCCTTGTCACTAACCAGGTGGTCGTGCCTGATACCTACCGGAGTATCAAGGCAGAGGTTGAAGCTGAGGTACGTGGTCAGGTAGAATAAACGCTAGCATACTGATTGCTGGTCTCTGTAGCTTGCTGGTCAGCGTGTTGAGCCTCCTGCCATGGAGATCGCGTCGCACGAGGAAGTCCTGGAAACTGGGAGACAAAAGGCAGAAGTGATGAGGAGTCTCGTCGAGCGCATCGTCGAGCTGGTCCCAGCGAACTCATGAATGGAGTCGGATACTGTAGTGCAGTGTAATCTGAACCCACACATTGGATTCTGAACAGATTTATAACATTGATGGGAAGATATCCTAAGATATCGCACCACTTCTGTTGCAAGCGATTAGGCTCTACGGCAGGGTTCGGTATATAAGCCTGTACCTGTTACAGTCTGTGGCCGTCCTAACTAGACCATACTCGCGGATTCCTCTAATGCGCCGGCCAAAAGCACCTGATTATCGTTTAGCAGCACGACTCGGAGCTTGTGCTGGCAAACGGTCCTAAATCAGCCGATACTTATGACGGGAGGCCGCCATTCCATGTCAATTCCATGTACAGCCTGGCCCGGGCAAGCAAGGCTTGAACTTTTACTCTAAAGTCAAGGTAAGGTTTTTGCGAAGCATCGATTTTTCCCCAGCAGCCGCTGGCTCGTTGTCAGTGTGCTCACGCATCCCACGCGCACGCCGTGTGCTTCATTTGTGTTCCTACAAGCCCACGCTTACAAAAAGCAATTATTCCATCTGTTTGATTCTGCCACACACTAGTATTTTCTTGTTTTACTAACAAATCATGCCAGTGCAAGGAGCTACGCTCTTTACCGCTATTAGACGCTCGTTGGGTCCGCAGAGCAGACCGCTGGCACGAGGCTTTGCGAATTCGATGAGCTTACGTGAGTAGTTCATACATACTATGTGGCACAGTGTTCGGGGTAGCTCGAGCTACGCCTTTGCAGTAGCCGTGCTGTTTCTGAGACCTTCTCGTTCCATAACACTGGAACTGATCCAATCCTGACAGAATATGGGAAGAAGATTGCAGTGGCGAACCCCGTCGTGGAGCTTGATGGAGATGAGATGACGAGGATTATCTGGAAAAAGATCCGCGAGGAGGTGCGTGTGTGAAATCTTCCGCTACTCTCCAGCTCAAACGTTCTTGTTATCTCAAGCTCATCCTTCCTTATCTACAACTGGACATCAAGTACTACGACCTCGGCCTTGAGTACCGTGACCAGGTACGCTCTCATTCCATCAATTCATTCTAATTTGCATATTCATCCGGCGATAGACCAACGACCGAGTAACCGTGGACGCCGCCAATGCCATCATCGAGCACAAGGTCGGCATCAAGTGTGCGACGATCACGCCGGACGAGGCTCGTGTGGAGGAGTTCAAGCTCAAGGAGATGTGGAAGAGCCCAAACGGCACGGTGAGTGCTGCATCTGATAACAAAGGTCGCCAACTTCTCAACAGATGACGTAGATCCGTAATATCCTCGGCGGAACCGTGTTCCGTGAGCCCATCATCTTGGACCGTATTCCCAAGCCAGTTCCAGGATGGGTGAAGCCAATTGTCATCGGCCGTCATGCATGTTCGTTTTTTCCATTTGTTATCTTGTGATTTCTGAGCCTGACAATGATATAGTTGGTGACCAGGTATGAAATGTTTGAGCATGAATGACGCACACGTTTATGTGGGTCTAGTACCGTTCAACGGACTTCGTCGCACCGGGACCAGGGAAGCTCCAGCTCGTATACATCCCAGCTGATGGAGGAGCAAAGACTGTCATGGACGTGTATGACTTCAAGGGAAGGGGTGTTGCCATGAGTATGTACAACACTGATGAGGTAAGTTTAGTGACTTTTTGTCCTGATGCGACCATTGACTTTGCCCATTCCTAGTCAATAACTGGCTTTGCACACTCATCATTTAAGATGGCTCTCCTTAAGAAGATGCCTTTGGTATGTCCGATTCTACCCCGCCCGCCCACAGCCTGTTGACGTGACTTTGTCTAGTTCATGTCAACCAAGAACACCATCATGAAGAAGTATGATGGTCGTTTCAAGGATATCTTCCAAGAGATCTATGACTCGCAGTACAAGGACGCTTATGAGAAGGCTGGCATATACTACGAGCACCGCCTTATCGACGATATGGTTGCACAGGCGATCAAGTCCTCTGGCGGTTTCGTCTGGGCATGCAAGAACTACGATGGTGACGTGCAGAGTGACATCCTCGCTCAGGGCTTCGGTTCCTTGGGCATGATGACCTCAGAGCTGATCACCCCTGATGGCCAGGTCGTCGAGAGTGAGGCTGCCCACGGTACCGTTACCCGACACTACCGTGAGTACCAGAAGGGCAACGAGACGTCGACCAACCCCGTTGCATCGATCTTTGCGTGGACCCGTGGACTTCTCCACCGTGCTAAGCTGGATGGCAATGAAGAACTCAAGAAGTTCTGCTTGGACCTCGAGGCTGCATGTGTGGAAACGATTGATAAGGATGGGATCATGACCAAGGATCTTGCTCTTGCTATCCACGGCAAGAACATGAAGAGAGAACATTGGGTTATCACTGACAAGTACATGGATGCCGTGAATGTAAGTGATGTTTATGAATGCATGTATTGAAGCTAATTTTTTTCGTGCAGGCTAAGCTCCAGAAGAAGCTTGCTGAAGGAGCCACTGCTTTACTTTAAGCGTGTGTCGCGCATAACGATCTATCTGTCTTTGTAAATAGATGGCATGTATGTTTGGGGAAGTATTCTACATTTCTATTGCAACGTGCGGTGCGCGAGCGTCGTCGTAGCCTTATACCAATTTGAATGAATTCAGATGTGTTTGTTGTTTATTTCCTTTCCAGCTTGCAGGGTCGGTTCTAGCAGAAGGACTTGAAGAAGTTATGACTGGATGAAAGGACACTCTGGCCGAGGTTGCTCTAGTTTTTGGTCTATGTTGCCTCGATCACACTGGGAAGTTAAAACACTGAGAATCTGCATAATAAACGTTAAACACTTGCTTTGAACTCCGCTATTCCACTGAACTTCATGTTCATCTTCGTCTCAACTCTGGAGCTTGCGTCGGCTATGCCTTTTTTTTCACTTAGTGTTAAGAAAAACAAAAGGCATGTCCTAGGCCATCAGTGAACTGGTGAAGAAAGTAGAAGGCCATATAACACAATATATAGTACATAATCACAAGAACTAGCACAATGCTGCTATCGAGCATCATATGGCCATATATTGGGGAAGAGATTGTCTGATTTTCTCACAGAAGTGTATCATCGGGAAAAGGTGGAGACATCACTCAAACTCAAACTTGAAGGAAAGATGCAGTAAAAGCTGACGGTTGAGCTAGACGAATAAAAATTGCGACAGCGGAAGTAAGGTCTACAATTTTGAAGCTAAGACTGAAGGTTCGTATATTGCAGACAAAGAGGATCTTTTCATCCAAACGAACGACCGTAAGTTTGCGTCTTGCTCCGATTGTCAATGCCAACCCCTTTGAAGGCTGAATTGTCTTCTAATGTATGTGAATCCTCCATGAAAGACTCAATGTTCGAATATTGCCGACAACGAGGATATTTTAATCCGAACGAACAACCGTAAGTTTGCGTCCTGCTTCAACTATTGACGCCAGCCCTTTTGAAGGCTAATTTTCTTCTATTGTATGTGGATCCTCCATGAAAGGATTCAATGTTCGTGAATTGCAGATAATGAGGATGTGTTCATCCGAGCAAGTGTGTGAACATTATATCCCACTGCGCAATACATGTGAACAAGCTATAGATTGCACACAGCACATAGACATTTGTGTCTTGCGCACCAAGCACATACCATTGGCCATCTTATATCACGTGCTACAGCATCAACACACCGCGTGTCTTTTCGCGCTGTAAGAGGAATTTGTTATGCGTCAATTTGAAACCACAGTTATATCATCAGTGAACTGGCGGGGAAATTAGAAGGTAGCATATAACAATGATGGTGTGTTCATTCAGTGAGTGAGAGTAAAATATGTTCACAAAGTGAGCGATGATCAATGCATATCTTATGTCGCATATCGATGCCACTTCTTGCGTTTATCTAATAGCTGGCTGTAGGCTGTGGTCCGTGACATGGTTTGGGACAATCACGCGAATGGGAAACGTGGTACCTGGTAGGCGAATGACCCTTCGCTGTGTAGCTTCGCGCTAAGGTGCTACACTATATCTACACAGCATCTATTCACAGCTCTAACTCTCCTGTGACGCAGTCGTGAGTGATCAATGTCTCGGCTGCTGCGTAAAGGTAAGCCTTTTTCACACGCATTCCCAATCGATATATAGCGGGCAAACATTAAATTTCTGGGTGCAGATTTACGGTGTCCTGCTATGGGAGCATGTCTTCTTCGTCCGGAAGGTACGGGCCTTCATTCTTACCTGGAGCACGGTCATAAGATTGACAAATGTCAGGCGTCTCAAGTGATAGTATTGAAATTTAAAGCAGGACGCAAATTTACAGTTTTCCGCTGGAGTGAACACATCTTCTGAATCCAGGAAGTGATAGCAGTCTCACTGGATCGAGAACTTAATGGACTCAGGTCACGAATGAATGCATGCAGAATTCCTTCTGTAGCGCGCAAACACGAGCAGCCTCTGATTCGTTGCGTCATTCATCAATATGATTGTGTGTTTTAGTATGTGGAAGTATTCTTTATGCTTCTTCCATCTAACCACCACTGTGTCATTGGGCAACGTTGGGTATCTATGCCGATCTCTCAGAACCAAAAGGAAGCACCACGGAGAGCCCGCAAACAAAGGAAATAACGCCTCGGCTCAAGTTTGGGGACTTGGGGACCTCAAATTCAACTTGGCTTTCCGTTGCTTTCACTTTGTAAGTCTGCGCTTACTGCGCCGTTGTTGGCATGAAGACCAAACATTCTAGAGACCACGAAGATTGTCCTGGATTTCCTGGATTCAGGTTTTCGGAGAGAAACATGCGGATTCAGATACTGTGGCTTAAATTATAGTCCGGAGACCATTCACAAGTGTCGATGAGGTCTGTAATATGGAACGAGTAGTGCAAATTTATGCTTTCAAATTTTCATCCGTTCACAAGCGGGCGTTTCATACAAGTAGTGTAGTCACATGCAAGTAAAATCATTGAGTCATGACATTATTAAACTACGACAGCAAGGAAGCTACACGAAACCAGGATGGGAATATAATAACAAAACTCTAGCGTGAATCGAAAGCAGCGTCATTGCGGCGTGCCCTTTGCATTGCGAGAGCATTCACGGACATGGTGGCCTTTGCCGCGTTGCTGAGGTCCTCACGCCGACTCCTTCCAAAAACTTTTCTAAACAATTTGAAATCATTAGGTGAGACACGTTAAAAGGATGGATGCCGCACCGAGTCCACCACTCCAGGAGTTTAGTGACCCTGCGTTGCGCTTCTCGGCCAGGGGCGAATTCAAAGAAATCCACTATGATTCGCCAGAACTGAATGTAATCGAAGTCGCCGTCGACAGACCGCCACGAGGTAACGGAGGAAAGAGCGAATCGTACCTGCCATAGTATGGTCATCATTTACCATTGTTCCCAGCAAAACTATCACAACGACGTACCTGGCAGGCAATGTAAGCAATAGACCGCGGAGTAACTTTATCCATCTTGATTATTTGTGCTACGTGTTTCTTCACTTTGATTCCTGAGAGTGCGTTCGCGTTGTTCCTGACGACATCTGCGCCGTCGCCGTCGCCGTCGATGTCCTTTGCTGAAGAGGGTGAAGTAAATACAGCTTTGTAGCCCTGTGAACGAGTCAAGATGATTCCTGGAAAACTTGGGTATGACAAACCTGCACGAGTATTTTGCCCTTGAAGAGCCCTTCCTCCAAATCGTCCGGATTAGCGTTGTACTTATCATATAAAAATGTCGGAAAGGAGAGCTCCGTGACCACATGGCCCTCCGATCGGTCCCGAATCCCTGCCCTCACGCTGCTGAACAGTTAGCATTGTTCAGGATCCGGAGTGCGCTACTTACGCTAAGTTGCTCCAATCCAGCTCAGCCGGGCAGAGCAACCTACCACATGCGTCGTTGATGAATCCGCGACAGTGCTTATCATCATGGTCAACAGGAGGGTCTGGTTTCAGTTCGCGATTAACCCATTCTGAAATAAGCGTCTTGAGTTTGGATGTATCATCCCCACGGGCGCCGTCAGCCCCCTGCCTGAGCTAAACAAATATTAGATTCAACGTGATAAAGCCGATCGATTATAGCGATGAAACATACCGATTTTAACATGCGCACATAATCATCCTGCTCGGCGTCCGCGGCCTTCTGTACAAACCACGGCAAGGTTCTCGTCAGGGTGGCGTACCCTGCTTGCAGGCGATTTTGGCTACATAAAAGTCGATGAGTCCACTCACTGCGAGAAACTAGCAAGGGGGGAACACTGACTCGATAGTAGCAGCCTCGTCATCGTCATCGACATCATACCTTCTGTCGTTTTCTGACACGAGATTCTCAATTCCATCGAAGAGAGCGACGACACGCCTGTAGGCTCTTCCTTGGGCCAGGTAGTAATTTGTCTGCCTTTGACACGTGGTGAGCAAACGATCTAACATATGATGGAGTGGAAGTCCGAGCCACACCGTGACTATCTACCTTTCTTTCACAGCTCTCCCGGACTCAAGGGACTGTATCTTCCCCTCTAGTTCGGCAATTTTTCGTCGCTGCCGAGCTTGACCAAAACTTTCTTGGGATGGGTCTGGACCGGGGGGCCGCGGCTGCTGAAGATTGTGGTCGTTCTGCCAGCTCTCTGTGGGAGACGTGCTGTCACGAGTGCCATGCGATGTGCTGCCCTCAGCTTGCGACATCGAGAAGAGAAGGAAGAATTTGACAAGCAACGAGCAGGTTCGAAAAGCAGTAGACGAAGAATGAGGGGATGAATACAATGGAAATGAACACCAGCACCCTTATATAGTACTGGTGGGCTGCCCAGATCTGTGACTGCCCTAAAGGACTGTTAATGTGACCATCGCGTATAAAATACCATGACCTGCATCCTACCGATGAAAAGCAAGCTTTTTTGCGACTTACTCAAAATGGATAGGAACCCCTATCCACTCCAAACTCCGTCACGGTACCAGTTGTAATTCAACTTCAACGTGCTCGGAACGTTCGAGTGGCACCTTTCTTGTTGCATCTTGCTCTGTGTGTCGTTATTGGGACAGCGCATCCTTTCAGCAACAGGGCGGACCGAAAACTATTAAAAGCAGCCTCCGCGCCATTTAGTAAGTTGGTCAACAGCAAGGGTCCTCCAGTAGTAGTAATACTAGTCATCGCAATCAGCGAGATAGAAATTCCGATAGGTTTTTTTGCATACCAGAACCTTCCGCTCTATGTCAGGCTCAGACTCGGTCTCGGAGGAGGTCAATGCGGTTGGGCCAGTGACTACATGTAAAAGACAAATGAGGTGGCCTACAGGTGAGCGGCCACTGGTGAACTTCGATGACTGCGAGTCGGCGTGTATCCATGACTTGGAGGTGTTCAGTACTTGCGGCTGACACTTACAAGGTTCCGGTGCAGGGATGCCTTCAAGTGGACATGACTGTTCATGCTTGGTGGAGTATGTGCTGACTGAAGGAGTACTAGTATTAGTCACAGTAGAGTGGACAGTAGCGACTTATTGTGTGGTGTTTGAATTGTGACTGCTAGCAGGTATGCCCGTGGTGGGCGTGATGAACACTTGGAGTTTGAAGACAACTTGATTGCATGTGGTTCTGTAGTACTTCAATAATTTGTTGTGATTGAGGGAATTTAAAAAGATGGGAGGTCAGAGTCGTCATCATCCTCGCCCTCGTCACCATCCCCTTCCCAACCATGATCTCCCTCATCTCCCTCATCTCCACGCTCCAGCTCCTCGTCGATATGCTCTTCATCGCTCATTTCATCGTCGTCATCCTCGCCACATCCATTCCAACCCTCGGCATCAGCGTTCTCTGCATGGCCTACATCCATCTCGTTACTGTCGTCCTCAACATCCATGGTGTCGCCTGGTGAGTCAGGGGCAAGACAATCTCTAGTTATTCTCCTCATCATTACTGGATGTCCCACGCCAAAGTGACCATAACGCATGAACATATCTCGGTCAGCGAATCTGCACAAGGGGTTGAGGATCAATATACCATAAGAATGGACATCGATACTCACATGCCGACGTAATACGCCTCCCAGTCGTCTAGGTCCCCTTCGGCGCGTGCCAACGAATTTCCGTGGCGAAGCGAACTTACACCGCGTTTTGAATCAAAGGCTGGGATTAAATGTACCCCTCGAATCACTTGCCCTGGGTCAAGAAAGCCGAATGCATCCGCGTCAGATTCCTCCACGAAGGCGACCTTGGGAAGACGTGCGTGTCTCGTGCCGGATTTATGGTACCGTAAGGGGGCCAGCCACCTAACCCAGAGAACTTCAATGTCCTGCTTCACTGGTGTAGCTCCGTCATGGAGCCACGTCTCCATATGATATATTCCCAATACGCGGGCATACCAGTATGGGTGGTCGGGCGTCGTCTCCCCTGAAATCACCATGACATCTGCATGCGTTCTAGGGTTTATGGTATCATAGTTGCGCCTCAGGTCATACGTAGTGTAATGCACTTGCATAGTCTGGACAGAGTGAATTGTGTTGTTAGGAATTATCACGGAGTTTCGCTCTTCGTCTGTGAACGTGTGGTCGCAGAAACTGACGTCGAGCTTGCGCAGCCTATAAAGGACATGATCCTTCAGCTTTGGTATGAATTTCTAATAGCCACAGTGAGTAAAGCGATTTCAAAACGGACGTGTCTTTTACCTCAAGAGCAGGATCGCCATCATGTTCTCGAATGAATGTGAATAAATTGACTGGATGCTTCTGATTGATAGCGATGTGGTAATGCTTTCCAGAGGAGGGGGCGTCGACTGGTGATCGGCTAGGAGGGGGGGATGTACCCCCTGCTTCTGCAAGCTCGCCGTAGTACGCGGCGCCTGCGCTCGTGCTTGGCTAATTGTGCTGGGGTGTCTTGCTTGTTGGTCAGTGGATAGAATGCTTTCAGAGCTCGGTGTGCAAGCTCGCCCTATACAAGGACTTCAGGTTCATGCTGGTGGAATGTAGTTGATACGTACAATTTGGGTGGTAAATGAATCCGTCGTTCCAAAGAACCTAATGGTTCTCACATAATCCCCCATAGCGTGAAACTTGTATGTATTCAAGTTAAACTTCTTTGCCCTCGCCCCAGTTGATTCTGGAGAGGCGTTATAAGCTTCGGAGTGCTTAGCAAACCTTCTTTGACGAGCTGCTTTCTCTTTCGGCAATTCCACCGGATTGAAAGCAGCGCAGGTGTAGGTCTGAAACTTCCGCAACTTCCGGGAGAGTTTTTTGAAGGTTTCGTCCATAAATGCCAAGGTAGAATCAGAGTGGATCCTGAGCTTTGCAAGTGCATGCCACTCTGCGAATCGATAGAGCAGAGTTTGCACAGCCGCATCGTGGTCATGAGGGAACAACCCTTCGAAGACTGGGATAGCGCACTGGATTCAGAGGGCATGTAAGGGAGCTGTCCAGACAACTAAACGACGTAAACGAACCTGCAAAATGTCTTCAAAGTCGCGAGCTGCCAATTTTTTCATTTCTGAGGTATTGTCTGAAAACTTGCGGATAACGCCGTTACCAAAGGTCGGGAGCAGGCGAAATCTAAGGCGAAATTGTGAAGGTGACAACTCGTTAGCGGGTAAAGATACTCATTAGCTCCACATACCTTTCATCCAGGGTGGCGACAAGTTGAGCACCCCCAGGAAGTGCATAAAGAAGTCTTATCAGGTGCATAAATAGCGCCTTCCAGGTACCCAATTCGCACTCGTGCATGAGGTCCACCACAAGCATGCGAAATGGGTCGAGGCCTAACGGTCCCAGCTTTTCTACAAATCGATTCTATAAACACTTGTTTGAGCTGATCATAACCGGTATGAAGCCTGTCGTGCCTACCAGAATAGGAACCCACGAGCCATCTCTGAGGGTGTCTTCAACTTTTCCACTGTTTACAGTATTTCCCCATCGGTAAATGAACTCCCGAGCCTTGACGACCTGCGTTGTAGCATATACTCGAATACTGGTTATGCGGCTATTCATGTCCTTCGCCAGACCGAGACAATTGAACAAGCTTTTTGGTATAAGGCAGCGAGGGCATGGACAGAAGCCCATGTCCTTGATTGTCGCGATTAGAGCCCTGGAAAATCATGATCCAATGAATGTCTTTAGATAACGCAATGAAAAAAAAAGTACTTCTCCGGATAGTCAGCTGAATATGTGAAGATGCGAGGGTATACCCTCCGCATTAGTCCATCAGCGCATTTCAAAACGATACCGTGTCGATAAGCATACAGAAATTCGGCATCCAGCAAGATCTCCCAGCATGCATGGAATAACTCTCTGCGGCAGTGGGTGAGAAGGGAGGCTATTCCTGTTTTTGATATTCGAGGAAGGCTACTCAAAATATCTTTAATGCCATCGGGAAGCTGAGGAGGGTAGCGTAAAATGAAAATGAGGTCGACAAATGAGCAATCAGGTGGACTAAGGACTCACTGAAGGTAAAAATCCCACGAGATGACACGATCCCGACGTAGGCGACGAACGTACATACTTGGTCAGATTTCCGAAGTAGGCGTAAAGAGGCCAAGCCTTGGCAGTTCCAAAATTCGCCAAGTGAGTAGCGTCTGAAAAGAACATCAGGCCTGCAATCACGCGTTCCAAAGAACACCCAGGCTCCTTCGGCAGTTTGTGCAGATCGTCTTGAGCTTCCAACCAAGCATCGGAGGTGTAAAGTTCGTCGTATATCCGCTCTTGATGATTGTCTAGAGGATCCTTCCACAGACGTGTGAAAGGAAAGAGGTGGAACATTCCTCCTTGAGCATCTGCGAATGCGGCGCGTACAACTTCAACAAGAGGGCGGTAATGAAATCCAGGAGTCGTGTAAGGCCGACTATCCTCCTTGGACTTTGTGGGAATCTCGATGGTGACAGTAGTCTCGATCCAGTCATCTGGAAATGTGATTCTCTTTCCACTCTCATCTTTGTCCAATTCTCGTATGCTCCGCCTCACCGAAAACCCCTGAAGGTCCTTCCGGTCGAAATCCTCTGCTAGTATCACATCCTCGACCAGGGCACTAACTTTAGTCTCCGACACCCGACTGCTTCCGGAGTTCATCCACTGCATAAGTCTATAGACGGTCATATTAGAAAATGGGTACGGCGGTGCGAAAACTTTTGGAGGAGAATGGGCTTCTTGAATAGCGGCTGGACATGTCCTCGCAAGTAACACAGATGGTATGAATTTATCTGGCTCGAACGAAGGACGTCGAGAGTATAGTCGACAGAGTCCGAAGGAATTGAAAGGGGTCTGAAGCACATCTCGGAGGGTTAGAAGGACGCGTCGGATTCTAGACTGGGCTGGTACAGCCGGCAAACTTTGACTCGACGAACTCTGATCATTAACACTATCAGAATGATTAAGGTCCTCCTCTGAGGGCTCGATGATGTGGAAGGGTCTTGGAATTCGTCGGATACGGCTCGTCGGTTGATCTGAAGGAGTCAAGGAGTGAGGAAACTAGCAGTCCACCATTCAAAGAGAAGCGAACCAGAGCCATCCAAGTTAAATCCGTCCCCACAATTGCCACCCATCTCAACATCGAATTGCGGAACCTCGAGGTCGGGGGAGGGTCCTGGGTCATCGAGATTGGGGGCATCAAAGATGTTAGTGCCAGACCCTCGTCCTTGTCCTGCTAGCGATCGGCAAGGGGCAATTGGTCTTGGACGGCCATTTCTCTGAAGTTCAAGTTCACATCGGTCAAGAAAACAGCTGGTTACTTGGTAAGACTACCCACTGCGTGTGAAGCATCTTTGGCACGCTCCCGTCTCTTCTGAGTTGCGAGAGAGCTATACCTCTTGTATAGTTGACAAGACGCGCGATGTCTGTTGAGTCCACGGGCGTCTGTTGCCTTCTCCCAAGAGCAGTCTGTAGCACCGCAATGGAAAATCATTGTCAGTAGAAACAAAACTGAGAGAAGAACAACAATCCAAAGAGATGACGCGAGGCTTGCGCGCATTACACGTTGGAGCTGCCAGTGCTAGCAAGAAGCGGGAGAGAAATGGCCGTTTGAGTTGTTGAGACCTGTCAACACCTATGATTTGGAATCGATATTTTGCGAAGTCAAAATGCAGTGATTCCGTGTGCAGCGGGAGCTGAAACTAGCATCCGTCCATTGCTACACGTGCCTTATAATACTAGCACCGCATCTCGTGCAGTCACACAAATGTAACGGAAAGTCTGGGGATGCAAGTGTTGTTTTGAGCGATGCACGAGATCTGGGGATGCACGAACTGGTGGTAACTAATAGTATCACATCAACAAGAGGGAGGATGAACTAGAGCGGAGAAGGGCATCGCATCATGATATCAATTTTGATGCGCTATAACAGTGGGCGTCATGCGCCGCTCGCGAGATTTTCACGTTATGTGTCACTTGTATATTACATTGGATGCACGATCTATTTCATGCTATATTCTTCCAATAGAATGTGGACTAAAATCAGCCCCTCCGCCCTCCTTCACAGCTTCGCTAGCAACTCCCACTCGACGTCCTTGCCCTCGTCCCCAAGCTTCTTCACCTTACCCTCGGCTTGAAGCTTCCCCAGATGCTGGTCCACGCTTCGCGCAGCAGGCTCCCATACATTCTGTGGGTACGCAGAATATATCGTGGATACAATTCCCCACGTCGACCAAGGCTGCCCTGCCCCTCAGGACTAGGTTTCTCAATGACGCTCGCAATCTGCGCCTCTCTCTCCATACGATGCGCAATGCATGTACCGATGAGCTTAGGACCCTCGGCGACGACAGGGCCATGCCCAGGGTACAGAACAGTATAATCAGATTGAAATGCGAGGAGCTTGCGGAGGGAGGAGATATATGTCCCTAGGTCCTCAAATACCGCTGTTCCCTGGCCGAGTACGGTGTCGGCTGTGTAGAGGGCCCGGTCGTCAGGGATGTGGAGGCAGATGGAGTCGGAGGTGTGTCCTGGGGCGTGGATGACTTGCATGGGCGAGGGGGAGCCTGTTATGGGGAGGAACTGGCTGTGTGTGAGGTCATGCAGGAAGGCACCGTTAGCGGTAGGGGTGTATGTACCCGGGGGTGGAGGTGTGATAGTTGTATTAAAGCCAGATGGCGTATTTACAAGGGGGAACTTGTGGATACGGGGCGGCTTGAACGGAGCAGGGGTGTTCCGCTCATCCCACATTCTCTGCAAGAGTGAGAGGACGGAGTTGATTCCGCCTGTGTAGTCCTGGTGCCAGTGAGAGATGACGATATCGGATATGTGAGGTTCATTGGATTCGTGAACTTGCAGGTGTCGGAGAGAGCGGATTCGAGCTGGGGGATATAAGCTTCTTTGCCTTCGCCGGTGTCGATAAGCGTGTAGGGGTTGCGCTCGCCGATAAGATAGGTGTTTGTCCCTGCGGGGTCGTTGGGTTTGAGCTTGGACTTGGAAGGGAAGTGATTAGTCGTTACCTTGGAGTGTGAATTTACCTGGGTTCTGTGGAAGATGGTATTCATGAGAATGACGAGTCATCAGAAGCGTGCTTTTCAGGATGACACTCACCTGGCCCAACACTCTCACTACGCGGTCGCTCAGCTATCCAGGCGATCGCAAGTGAGACTAGTCATGATGGTTAGACGTGCATCACAAGAATGATTGAGGCAAGGTGAGCACTTCCAGTGAGTGCACACCCCGTAAGCGGAAAACTTCATGAGTCAGTCAATGACTCCTACTAGAAGTCACGGAGGATTCGTAACTGCAGTAGCAGCTTTCCCTGGTAGACGACGAATGGAATTACCGAATCCAGACATCACATGATATGTTCAATTTTCTGACGCCATCAATTGTACATACACGTCATATCCGACATTTCAAATATCGTCGTGACACGCTGACGTCAAACACACTGTCAGACAGATATCAGTTACATCAATGTCTTGTATAGAGTACTTGATGCAATTTTTTTTTTGACTCATTTCACCTGAGGCCCGTAAAACACAAACGGCACATGACCTCGCTGACGAATCAGTAACATTTATGCTTCGCGTCAACAAGTTGTTGGAATCACGCTCAGTGTTGTGAATCAATGACTATTATTGCTCTATGTACCTGTTGGAATCACGCTAATGTAAAGTATTATAAGTATGGAGCTCGGTACAAGAAGAAACAGAGACACATACCTCAGTGTTGTGAATCAACGACTGAGGTATGCAAACACAATGCAGACGAGATACTTAAGTGCTGTACGGACGGAGATTGAAAAAACGAAACGAAGGGGCATGGTTGTCCCCAACCCCAAAGACAATGTTACTTAATCTGCCCCAATGCAGATAGTGCTTCTTGATGTGATCCTCCAACACACCCCCTCAACCCGCCACGAGTGAGAGACCGGAACGATGAGTGATGAATGTATGATGCAGAAGAGCTTTGGTGAAGATGTTGGCACTGTTGCGATGAGTGGAAACCCAGATGGGTTGGAAAGTGCCGGCTTCAATATGGCGTCTGATAAAGTGGTAACGCAAGTCGATGAGCTTTGTCCAAGTGTGATTGGCAGCCTCTTCCGACAGTGCTATAGCGCCAGTATTGTCAGCGTAGAGTTTGAGAGGAAGGGTAAGGGGGATTTGTAAACACTCGCAGAAGGACTTGATCCAGATTCCGTCTTGGATTGCGCCTGTTAACGCCATGTACTCTGACTCCACTGAGGATAATGCCTGGGTGGTCTGTTTCTTCACTGCATGAGATATTGGACCGCCATAAAAATACCACACATATCCAGTGATTGAAATGTGGTCTTCTGGGCACGTTGCCCAGTCATCAGCAAAACCCTAACTTACTTAGTTCGTGCTTCACTGAGCTTGATCCAATTTGTTTACAACAAAGTACTTTAAATGTTTCAAAGTTAATCAAGGAAATTCAAGCTATGAGGATCCCCTTAAAAATTCCTTAATTCAAGTCATGTAAGGCACAAAATAACCAAAGTTCGTCCAAGCCACAATGCAACAACTAAGCAAAATTCAGTGCTATCCAAAAAGAAAATAAGTTGCCCTCCAAGAGCCGTCAGGAGGCAATTTCGAATGCGTGATGGTCCGCAAATCTGTTGACATAAAACCCCATATAAGCGTCCAAAGAATTGTGAAAATTGACATGCTCTGGGACAAATTTGTCTCCAAACATTGGTACTAGGTGAGCGGCACGGAATATTGAGTCAACATGAATAATTGAAATTTCATGAGATTGGTCGTCGTTCATTGACGGGCGCACCATCCACATACCCATGTCCTCGTCTGGCTTGGAGCCAATGCGCTTGAACCAGTGAACAACAGCGCACAGCCAGACGGTGTTTCTGAAAGAGAACGAAAAGAAAGACAGGACACGAGCAATGTCCATGCCATTGATCCCATCAGTAGTGTTGTCCATGCTGACGAACACACAGTCGTAACGTGGAGGGCCGCCGCGCCAAGAAGGTGTTGAACGAATGTGTTCACGGTGCATCCCCCCTACTCCACTTGGATCACTGGGGGCGAAGTATGTGGCAACAGCAGAGTTGACGACTTGAATACGCCCAGTGTAGTTTGGGCACCGAAGAAGCGGAACATCGGCGGAGGTGTGGTTGTCGTCAGCATATAGTTGGTCGTAAAGGAAATATTGAAGAAGGGTTGGGAGTTCCGGCAAGTGGAGTTCTTTGCCGAGATTGAGGATAGTACGAGCATGTTTGCGCTCTGATGGAGAAGCAATGTGTCGACGGCGATAATGTAGGAGGGATGTGTCGACGGCGGTAATGTAGAATTGATGTGTCGACGGCGGTAATGTCGAAGTGATGTGTCGACGGCGGTAATGGAGAAGAGATGTGTTGACGGCAGTAGAGGAAAAGTGTTGGTAAATATTGAGGTGTCGAAGGCGGTAATGCAGAAGCGATGTGTCGACGGCGGTAATGTAGGAGGGAATGATGTGTCGACGGCGGTAGAGGAAAAGTTTTGGTAAACATTGATGTGTCGAAGGCGGTAATGTAGAAGCGATGTGTCGACGGCAGTAATATAGAAGAGATGTGTCGACAGCAGTAGAGGAAAAGTGGTGGTAGATATTGAGGTGTCGACGATGGTAATGTAGCAGCGATGCGTCGATGGCGGTAATGTAGGAGGGATGTGTCGACGGCGGTAGAGGGAAAGCATTGGTAAATATTGATGTATCGACGGCGGTAATGTAAGCAATTCCACCTCAACATGGATAACATAGTACTCACCAATAGTGCATGCAAGCTCGACATCACAATTTGCCACTGGACCCTCCACAACTCCGTTGTTGTTGTCACCATTATTGCCTCCAGCACCCCCTACACCGTCCTTGTCCTTGTCCCCGTCCATCCTAGCGCCACCCCTGTCCTCATCCGTGTCCATACTGGTGTCTTGTGCATCTGTCGTGTCCATCGTGTCCATCGTGTCGTTGCGATTGTGATTAGTATCTGCGCGTGCAGTCAGCTGGTCTATTTTAGTTGAATAAGTTAGTGTTGGGCAAGAAAACATAAGAGAAAACATACCAAAGTAAGTCGTGTAGCTTGAGGCGCATGTTCCATAAAGCATGCCACGTTCTGTGAAGTCGATGCGGGCCGCTGCCAATTGATCTATGCGGGTGTTGGTGCGCACCATCTGCCCAAGTGCATTGAATTTTCTCGAGCGCCGCCACGGTTCTTTAACCGCCTTGATGTGCTTGGATTCGGTGATTGACGAACAGAGTCCATTCGGGGCACCAAATTGGCGGACGAGAAACGGATAGTGAGAAATGGAATGTTGACGAGGGAGGGAGAAATGGTCACGGACACCAGTTGTCTTGAATATTTCACGGTATACATGAAACCATTGAATCACGTCCTCCATGTCCTTGAGAGTGTCGTCCGTGATGATGTCGTGTCGTGCAATATAGCAGAATTCGAGGCATGTGCGAAACGTACGGACCATCTCTGTGGGAACATGCCCTTCGATAGCAGACAGATATACCTGCTAACCAGTTATCCTAAATATTTTACAGTGATAAACGGAAGCTGCTTACCTTCATCAGGGCCTTAGAGTCGTCACCGGTCCACTGCGAGAATCCCCGGCCTTCTGGAAAACGCCGGAGACCAGAAAAACTCGGCGCTACCGCAATCCTATGGGCATTGAGTTGTGATTACGAGCTGCTAGTAGAGCGCACCGTACCGTCTGTCGATGTCGTCCATAATTTCTTTGGCTCGTGCCTCACTATGGGTGTCTTCAAGATATAGTTGTACCCACGCGACGAGGTGATCTTTGAAGATGCCCTTGATAATCTGATGGAGCAAGTCTGGTGCGATTAGCTTGTAGATATCCGCACGCAGGAAATTGTTGGTGAACAGCTAAAAACCAACATATCAACGAAAATGAATCAAAGTGCTACGATGAAGGCAAACCGTGATGTCAGCGATGAAGCCCCATTCGTCCCATAAAGTCCCTAAATTGACTTCTTCAATCAACGCATCCAGGAGTTCCCGTGATCGTGGTCCCCCATCTCCGTCGAGATTCGACAACTGCGCTGTACATCTACAATCACGATGAGAACAACACGAGGGTGTTGTGATACAATACACTTACTTGCAGCACCATTTGCGGACTATTCCAGCAAGAACCACTTGCTCCTCATAATCCGCAATGTAAGGTCCAATGCCATATATGACGCATCGGTAGTGGCCATCTGCACATCGTGCAACCTCCGGAGTAGTCATGGCGGGCCTTATGCTCTCGAGGATCCGAACGAGCGCAGTATGAAAAAGCTCCTTCTTGAATTTGCGATAGCGTGGATCAGTGCTCTGTTTTTTCGTTGCTGATATGTATTAATTAGATACGCAAACATATCAATAAATTTGAGCAATGTACTTTTTGGAATCGCGAGAAACCCCACGAGAGCAACAGCATTTCGATGAGCCTGCCTAACGTTGTTGTGAACGTTGCCAATCGATAAATACAAGGGGTAGTAGTCATTTTGACCCGTCGCGACTGAGACCGTTGTTTTATCGCTTCCCAGAATAATGGGAATGAAGGTCGATCCATGGGTTGCAGGGTCTGCAGAAATAATATCCTGCCAATCGGGGTGAGCAATAGTACTACAGTGTGGCAAGAAAGAAAAAATATCACCGCTTGTTCCCAAGCCCAGTCTCCGGACATAAAATCTCTCCACTGACGATTATGACTTCCATCAGGCCGCTCCTCCCATTCGCGATATGGTGCAAAATCTATCTCATCCTTATAGTCAGGATTAGCTAACATGTTCTGCACAACCTTGTGAGGGTCGCAATAGAACACCTCGTACTCCTTCTTCATCCAGGGTGTTTCTCCGCCTGACCTGTCACCCGCATACTCCATGTTGAAACTCTCCCAAGGCACGTCTCCAAGTGGAGTGTTATCGATGACATTATGCAAGTCTTTGCGATCAGCGAATGGTGGGGTGTCACCGTGAACAGCAAGGGTGATACCCCAAAAATGAAGGACCTTGTCAATATCAGCACCAGGAAATCTGTGTTTTTTTAAATAGAAATTCCGCTGTTTCGAATTCCAGGCGATTGCGATACGGTGTCCAATCATCAGGGGACTTCGTTGTGAAAGCTGGTGGTGGAGCTTTGGGGTCAATAAATTGACCAGCTTTATTACAAATGCGCCCTTAGAAATGAAAAGGTGAACATTAGCTAGAATGAATGCCGGTTCACTCACCATCAAGGCCTAGATGATAGTCTCTCATGAAGTTCACTTTTGGGCGGTTTTCAGGCTTGTCTGGGACTTCAGCTGTAGCAGAAGGAGGACATCGCTCTGGAATTCGAAACAAGTGTTGGTGTATTGTGCGCAAGTGTTGTGTGAGCGCAGACTTATTCTTTAATTGGCGGCAGCAACCAGGATGAGTGCAAGGTAGTAGGTGGACATTGAATTGACAGTGTCGTGTTTGGGGCATTTTTGGGGTGGGGTCAGTAGCATTGAGGACGTGTTCGGATTGCAACTGTATTGGGTTGTCAGGGAAGGGATTACGGCACAACGCACTAGTAGTACAAAATCTCTAATACTAAAACAAACTTTGAGTAAACTCTATTGCATCCCACATCGTTTTTTTCCATTTCTCACCGATGGCCATCACAACTAGACCTTCGAATGCAACAAAATGTGTTGCAAAGCCGGTACTTGATGCCAAGCAGCGCCGGCACACCAAAGCTCAGATGGAGGCTGATAGGCGTGCTGCTGAAGAGGAACAGAAGAAGACGAAACAGAAAGCACTGGAAGGCCTTGAGCGGATTGCTGGAATCCAGAACAACGAAGTACTCATTGTTGCGAAGGCACAAACTGACCCTCCAAAGCCGCGTCCACGTCCACGTTCTCAGCGCAGTCACTTGCAGCCTGGTGCGACTCCAAGTCCATCCGAGGATGTTGTCATGGCCGATGTGGAGGTGAAAAAAGTTGTTGAAGGGGAAGCGCTCAACCCAGAGAATCAGGGTGAGACCTTGGAGACAAAGAAGAAGAAGAAGAAGACGCCTCACCATGATGCCATCAATGCAATTCACAACACTTCCCATCAAGATAGTCACGCTGCACGTGCATCAGACGCTGACAAGAAAGGCAACTTGTTGAAAAGGTTCTCACCTCTTGTTTGCAATCCATGATGCTTCTGCTAACTGAACCGACTCTGTTTTTCTGGAATTATATCAGTGAATGTGCTGAACCCGGCAGCGAAGAAGATGACAAAGAAGCATTTCTGGGACATATGCAGAAGTGGGTCTCAAACATCAAAAAAACTAAGGGCTTGAGCGTCCCAAAACCCAGAACGCCCAGGAACACAGTTGCGAGCACCCAAACCACGACAAACACCAAAGTTACGACAAACTCCAAAAGTACTGCACCTACCTCAGCATATCCACCTCCATCAACATGTGTAGATGAGGCTCTGGACTCAGATGATGAACTTGAGGAGCCTGGATTCTTGCTGGATACTGATGATGTGGAAGAGCGCGACTCTCATATTCATATGGGGATTAAACCAGTCTCAGTAAGTCTGGACCGCCAAAAGTCTTTCTGTCTCTATTCTCACATGGTTGATCAACCAACAGGACATTATTACTATTTCTGATGGCGCAACTGAAGATGACTCCTTCGTCGACTATAGCCTCCCACCATTCATGCAGATCCCGATCAAGCGGGAAGCAAGTGTCTTAGTCAAAGTTCCCGCTTCCAAGCGTTCCTAGGACAGAATGTCCTCAAAAGGAGTCACCGGCATGCGAGAGCAAGGTGAAGTCCATCTAAAATCATTTCTGTCTTAATACTTACATCAAGATTGATTAACAGGACATCATCAATGGTTCAGATAATTCCTTTGTTGACTATAGCCTCCCGCCATTCACACAAATCCCAGTCAAGCGGGAAGCAAGTGATGTCTCAATTAATGTCCCTCCCCCTTCCAAGCGCCCTAGGACAAAAGGTTCTCAGAAAGAATCGAGCGAGAGCAAGGTCAAGTACAAGAATGAACACCTTCCTGATGGCTGTCTGAGGAACAATAAATGGCGCAGAGTCCTCATCCCCACCTATGCAAAGTGGAATGGTGCACTTCATGTGGGGTGGGGCATGAAGGATACTGAAGAATGCAAGGTCTTGAGGATCATCTGGGACGCCGTCTACAAGAGTAAGATTCCCGCAGTCATTAAGTCCGACGGCCCTGTCCATTTTGTAGTACGATATTCTTATAACATTTTGTATTGATGCTAATGATCATGCAGGCCAGTCAGAGGATGACGGAATGGCGGGGTGGAATCACATCCGCAACCATTCTAATGATCACAAGTCTTGTTAGTTCTGACAAGGCTTATGCAACAGAGGATGGACGTCGTCAACTCGGAGAATTTTGGCTTCAAGACAACCGCTTTCTTTTTGCAAATATTTCAGCAGACAACAAGCAGGTGAGTAGCAAATTAAACCACATGAATACTCTTTCAAGCTGGTTTCAGGGCTTTACTGGAATGTGGAAATCCCCGTTTATTTTACAAACATTTGCGGCCCACCTACACTACATTCTAGGCGCCATTGAAATTCCTGAGCTCGACGGTGACAATTGCCATCCCAGTGCTGCGCTTGCACTTGCAGCTGTTTCAGTATGTCGCGCTGACTTTGCTTTTTCACGAGAACTAACACGGATCATATTTACTAGGTCAAACGTGCCTTCACACTTCTCGCTGAAAACAATATCACCTTTGAGATTGTCAAACCTTCTGGAAAAGGTAAGAAGAAAGCCGCTGATCCACAGGAGATCTGGAAGGCCAGCGTGAACGAGGCAGTTTTCGAAGGAACTCTGGGGACACGATACCGACCGCCTGCTCAAAGCAACCAAGCGCATTCCAGATGACGCGTGGGACAGCATCATTGCTGAAGCGCGCCATTTCATGAAGGACTCGGGACGCAAGCGGAGGGGTTCAAACTCTGGTGAGGAGGACAGCAGTATAGAGGATGACATGGCCGACGACGACGACGACGATGAAGACAAGTACACTGGACCTCTTCGCATTCCGGTAACATTTTTGTAAGGGATCCGCACATTCACTCCATACTTCCACGACTAATTTGTCCTACAGGAACCATCAATTTCCGCATGGAATTTCCACCATCAACTTGTGCATTTCCCCCTCGTCTGCTGGCTTGTTGTTTCCGTCCTTCTCTCTGGTACCTTTCTTTAATACATGCATTTTGTGTGCCATTCCCATTGCAATTTTCCGTAGCTCACGCTACACTAATCACCCATTTCTACTCCATTTTACTAGACCACCTTGATTTGCTTTATCGCTCTCGGACTCTACTGGATTAGCGCTTATAGAATTGCTTATTTTGCCTTGAAAATTCGCGTGATATCAACATCAAGTACATTCAAGCCGGTTTCAAGGCCCAACCAAGCTGCAGTTCTCAGATGCTCGAAAATCTCGCACTTAGTTAGTCTTAATTACACTCTCAACGGACTAAGCCATTCAAGCTCGATTAAATTGAATTTAAATAAGTTAGGGTTTTCCTGATGTGCAGGTGTTGTGTCGAAGAAGATGGAGGACATCGTAATTGGGTAAGCATTTCTCAGGCGCGGGGATTCCGAATTCATCTTTCAACTTCCACGATCAACGTTCAACATTCAACTTCCTCCTCTCATACGTATACTGTATATAAGGTCAACCACACGAGACTATTCGTCATGAGCAGCTCTGAATCGAAGCGCAGCGATTCATCAGACTCATCGGAGTCTAATTCTAGGTTTGTTTTTTAATGATGCGTAGTTCACCAATTCACATACGTCCAGACTCGGTCAAGCCCAGTCAACTGCAACATCCTCACCCCCCACATCTGTAGCAACCACTAGCTCTCCAGTCAAGAGCATTGGCTCTCCTGTTGTATCTTTTGACACCCCCGCATGTCCCGTTGAGTGGAGTTGCCCCGTCAGCGAAGGAAAACATGTTCCTCGCAATCCCAGTAAGCGTCCCGCCGAGTATACCTTATTCCAAAATGGCACACGTGACGAAGATTGCGACTTGCCTACGAAGAGATCAAAGACCCTGAAAACGACGGTACGTTAGTTTGACTTGTAGCTTGGGGAAGTATAATTATTATTATTATTTTCAAAGTGGAACTTCGCTACCCCCTCTGCTGAAGCTACAACATACCTTAACGAGCGCATGCTCGAGCTCTCCCGGATCACTCGTCGGGCTATTGCCGCGAGGATGCGCTACCAACGACTTCGCTCGCGCGAACTTGATTTAATAAGATCCATCTGTGTGGACGAAACCGAGCTGTGCCAGACGCAGCTGAATGAAGTTGACGTACAGATTGGTTCCATTCGGAACATGCTTCAGGTTGGAGGGGCTGCGGCGATAGGGAGTACAGGTTGTAGGTTTGAGCCTGGCGACACCGGGTCGTGGTGCGAAAGTTCAGTCTGATGAAGGATCGATTATTGCTGCTGTATCTCGGGGCAGTTCAGCCTGCCCGTCCGATGACACAGATGACACGTAACTTATTTTTGTACCCACTGTGCCTTATATGTAGTTCGGGTTCGAATGAATGTACATTATGTATCCGCTTCTCTTGGAGCCAGCCTGAGCTGGCGTGGGGTCAGGGGGCCACGACATGGCAGAAGCTTTTGCTTTCGCGCAGCATGTCTAGTACGTCAAGCTTCAAGACCGGCAAACTAGCTTGCAATGAGGTAGAAAATTAGATTGATGCAACTGAAATGTACTCGTCGGACTGATGTACGGTGCTATAAAATTTTCTTGCGTTCGAGGTGTCCAGTGTCCCAACCATGTGACTGCCTCATTTGGTGCATGTCACATGGTGTAACGGAGCGCGCGGTTTCAGTTCAGCTCACTTCGCGGCAACACTATAGTACTTCTAATATCAAAGTTGAGTTCGCTATGGGTTCGGACATTGATGCATGATGCATCATTCGATACCCGAACCTATGTAATAGCGTGCTCCTATTCCATTGTTCCGGATACACTCCTAACTTATTATGTGTTGAACTCTAGATTTCACGCAATCGAAACCCGCCGCCATATGACTACTATTTAACACGATCGCTGTATTCTTTTAATCCTACAATGGACGACTCGGACCCCCAATCATTTTCGGTGATTCAACACGATACCAATGGCGAGCCCGCCGCGGCTAACCTTACTAAACGTCGGGGGGTAGTACTATCCGCTCAACTCAGTGGCTCCTCCCGATACAGCCCATACGCAAACGGTAGTACCACGAGCTCGAGGCCATCCACGTCTTTGGCATCAGCCAGTGTGACTGATGATGCGGAGAGTACCACAAACTCGCAGCAAGCCCCACAATCCAAGGGCAGCCACAAAGACTACGATAAAACTCAACAAAATGCTATTGATTGGGCGCAAAAGCGCCTTGTTATGGATGGTGCATTCATGGGCTGGATTAAGAACCAGACCGACGAGGACAAGGCCAAGATGGATATCCGTGTCATTGAGATCATCGGTCACGCCGGTGCAAAATTTGATTGTGGTACGTGCTGACAACCACCCCCGTGTGCATCGCAACATGAACTGATTTACATCGATACAGTTTTGCTGCCCAGCAAGTACCTCAAAGACTTCACAATTGGTGCCTTGACGAAGGATCGTAGACGGCTCACGAAACAGACCGACAAATTAGTGCACCTTTACAAGCTTGAACCACCGTCAAAGATGTCCGATAAGGACCGCAAATCTTATATGCAGCAACGCAGGGACGAAATCTACAATTCAAAGGTACTCCCAAAATACTTCCTACATGGGATACAGGAGACCCCGACATCAATCGATATCCTTTTGTTCGGAAACCCAGCCGTCAGTGGCGCCCATATCTCGCATTGGTATAATGACAAGAGATCACCGCTCTGTGATGAGGGGATGAGGGCATTGCTCTCAACCACGACCCTTCAAATGCTCTCAGCGACATCGACGGCAGTGAGTGAATTATATTTTGATTCGCATTCATTGATTGCTTCTGCACGATCTGTAGACGAGGTTCGTTATTGATCGATACGTCGATGGTCGACCCCCCGGATCAAATAAAGGTCTGCGGTACTCTACCGCCGCATATTCCGGCGAGCAGGACTTGATTTTGAAAGCTATGTCGGATTCTCTCGAGAAGGATCTACATCGGGAGTCATTCGAGGCGTACTTACTAGATCTTCATCACAGGGGCCTGTAAGTCTCTCGTTGCGGTCAAAGCGGGCACGATGCTCATATTTTTGTAGTCGGGTGTTACACAAAATGCTGGGCCTTCCGCCTCCCAATATTCCGATTTACATACCTGTGAAAGCGGAGGAGTTGAGCATCCCGCGGCAAATACCATATGCTGCTACCACCCTGCCTTCAAGTCTCACTTTGTTGCCGCTCGTGCAAGCGAGCGGTCAGGCGCAGATGCTGTCGACGCCGATTACAGATGATATGGCATTCAACTTGTGGTTCTCTGGCTTAGAGGACAAGGAGTCCGAGGAGCCCCAAGCCTCCGGGTCAGGATTGAATGACATGCCTTTCAATTTAGGTCAGTATAACCGTTGACCCGGTCTTCACCGTACCTAACTTCAGCCACAGGTTCAATTTGAACATAGTCAGCTGTAGTACCTCTAGCATGGTTGTGTTATATTCACGCTCAAATGTACAAATTTACTAGTGGTCAATGATTTAGGGGGCCGTTTTCTGGTGATTTTCTGTTACTGCGGCAGGAAACAGGAATAAAATGTCACGTGAGATCTTGTATGTCATTGTTTGTATGGTGCTGCGATTGCGCACTGCGTCAACATCGCCTCTCACAACCCCACATCCGCCCTGCTCAGGTGCTCTAGGCTAGGCAAGTGCAGCTGTACCCCACCATTTGTGGTCGGGGCCGCTTCGTCATCCATTACAATTCTCAGGCGGGCCTTGATGATTGCGATCACATCGTTAACACCAGATCGTTAACATCAGCAAGCGTGATAGACGATGTTGACAGTGCTCGAAGTATGTCGGAAGCCTCACAACCAGCCCCAAGGATTTTGGACGGTGTAATCGCGGGTTGGATTAGGAATGTGACGAAAGATGAGAAGGCCAAGATGGAGATCTGTGTCACTGAGATTATCTCTCAGGTCAGTATAAAATAATTCAGTTGTGGCACGTGCGTATTGCAACATGAACTGATTTGCGTTGATGAAGTGTTTCTAGCCAGTGGCTCAAAGACTTCGTGATCAATGCCTTGATCAGAGACTCTCAGATCCGACTATTGTGGTGCGCACCGGCTTGTGAGTTCATCTATCGTTGGATCATGATTTTCCAGGACCCTAATCGCAACAATCAAGGACATGGGCTCCTGTCCATGCCCTCGCTGCCTTATACCAAAAAGCTTGTTCAATTGTCTCAGTCTGGCGAAGGACATGAATAGCCGCATAACCAGTATTCGAGTATATGCTACAACGCAGGTCGTGGGAGTTCATTTACCGACGGGGAAATACTGTAGATGGAAAAGTTGAAGACACTCGGAGAAGGCTTGCGGGTTCCTATTCTGGTAGGCGCGACAGACTTCATACTGGTTATGATCAGCTCAAACCGGTGTTCACAGAATTAATTTGTAGGAAAGCTGGGACCGCTAGGCCTCGACCTATTTTACATGCTTGTGGCAGCTCGCGGCTTTACGACTTTGAAGATATTTTACAAATTCGTTTACGTCGTTTAGCTGTCTGGACAGCTCCCTCACATGTCCTCCAGTGCGCTATCCCAGTCTTCGAAGGGTTGTTCCCTCATGACCACGATGCGCTGTGCAATCTCTGCTCTATCAATTCGCACAGTGACACGCACTTGCAAAGCTCTGCCCTCGCGGGTCGTCCATTGACATGTACCACGACCACCATAGGCTGTGGCACTGCACGTGCAAAGTCTCTTGTTACTGCGACATATGTTCCCCGGGGTACCTGCACCCCATGTACACTGATCTTGGTGGGTACGTGCTTCCGTTCCAGTCAGTTGACTAGCATTCACTAACCCCCCGAACTCCAACAGTCCGCCTAAGACACCCCTAAGCGTGTCCGAGGTATATTCCGGTGGTTCGAAAAGCTCTGCCACCCCCACGTAACGCCATCCATCAGCGTCCAGCAACGATTCCTTCAGCTGCCTCACCGTACGTATCAATTGGCGAGTGTACCTCACCGCGGGATTCCAACGCCACTGATTTACCTTGTTCTTAGGTACCATAGGATCCGCTCCGATTCTACCTTGGCATTTATGGACGAAACCATCAAAAAATACTCCCGGAAGTTGCGGAAGCTGCGGGCCTACACCTGCGCTGCTTTCAGTGCTGTGGAGAAGGTAGTCTGTCAAAGAAGGTTTGCTAAGCGCTCCGAAGCTTATAAAAGATTACGATAAAACTCAACAAAATGCTATTGATTGGGCGCAAAAGCGCCTTGTTATGGATGGTGCATTCATGGGCTGGATTAAGAACCAGACCGACGAGGACAAGGCCAAGATGGATATCCGTATCATTGAGATCATCGGTCACGCCGGTGCAAAATTTGGTTGTGGTACGTGCTGACAACCACCCCCGTGTGCATCGCAACATGAACTGATTTACATCGATACAGTTTTGCTGCCCAGCAAGTACCTCAAAGACTTCACAATTGGTGCCTTCAGAATGGTGATCAAGTTGCCGTGCGTATGCGCATTGTTGTTGTTAGTGTCTTTCTAACGGACATCGGGTGGAAGTATTCTTTATGCTTCTTCCATCTAACCACCACTGTGTCATTGGGCAACGTTGGGTATCTATGCCGATCTCTCAGAACCAAAAGGAAGCACCACGGAGAGCCCGCAAATAAAGGAAATAACGCCTCGGCTCAAGTTTGGGGACTTGGGGACCTCAAATTCAACTTGGCTTTCCGTTGCTTTCACTTTGTAAGTCTGCGCTTACTGCGCCGTTGTTGGCATGAAGACCAAACATTCTAGAGACCACGAAGATGCCTGGATTTCCTGGATTCAGGTTTTCGGAGAGAAACATGCGGATTCAGATACTGTAGCTTAAATTATAGTCCGGAGACCATTCACAAGTGTCGATGAGGTCTGTAATATGGAACGAGTAGTCTCGTTCAGAGTGACGTAAAACGCAAGGCAAGTTATCTCTGTCTCTCTTCCACATTGGATCTCAGTTCTTTATCAGGGACGTGCACTTCCATCTAGAGACGTGCGCCAACCAGTTGTGGACACACTGGTCTTTCGCTTATTTATCTTGGCAGATGTTTGTCACCCCTCGCATACCTAGACAGAAGGCCAATAACGGTTTGGCTAGATATGTGGGTCTAATCATGTCTTTCTCCAGCTGGCTCAAAACATTTCCTCAAGACGTTCTGGGCGCATGCTTTGACCCGCGGCAGAGAGCATACGAACCCACAGCTTTTTGAGAAAGGAGAGGAGGTTCATGTTTCGGGCTTGCCTGGTACGCCATATGTACCCCTACAATGAGTGTATATGTCTAACAGTTTATGATATTAGGGGCGAGTCCTACGTCTTGAAAATAGATCCAGTCGGGACAACCTACAAGGACCGTCTGAGACATTCGAAATTGATGCCTCCGATGATGAACCCTTGACCACGAAGAAGCGGCGCAGACATAAAATACCTGCGGGAGAGCCAAAGGTAAAGCGGAAGCGCGAGTCAGAACCTGGCACTGCCATTGCCAGCAGTGCCCCCGCTCAACGAACGAGGGCATTTGGGCCCAAAAGCAAGGCCAAGTTATCACCGCCATCGAAACAAAGGCGTGCTTCATCACCAGGCCCCCGTAAAGTTGAGGGCACGCGCCAGTTTTCCCTAACTAAACTGACCGATACGGACGCTGAGGGGGAGCTTGACATGGATGTCTTTGGAGAAGCGGAAGTGGAAGAAGAGCTGATGCAGATGAGCCCTGATGACCCTGATGCTCGGGATATCCCCAACTCCCATTCTGATCCTGCCAAAGTCAATGGGACGATCGTGGAGTTCGAGGACCTTCCAAGCTACTCTCCTGATATCCAGGACACCATCGAAGTCAGTCAAGTAATAGTTGAAGATGGACATCTTTCGGTCGACGAGGGACGTAGCTCACCTGACCCCCTTTTCGATTCTATTTCGCAATCAGGGAACGACGAAGGATCTCGCTCTCCCGTTGAGCCAGCGGTACCTTTTCACCGTGCTCGAGCGGCTAATCCTTTGGTCAAGTTTATCGATGCTGCTCCGCTGATGGATAAGGCTTCGGGGGTTGTCAACCCCGCAAAGACACGCTTGATTTCTGGCCAGCCTTCGAACTCATCTCGGGATAGCGGTAGTAACGCATCCCAAAAGGCACGACCAAAACCTGGTCCTGGTGGACGTTCCTCGGCTTCCCGAGGCAAAAATCGAAGCTCCTTGTTGACAGCTGTGAAGGGTGGCCTAACCAGCGTGAAGGGTCGCTTCGAGCCGGCAAAGGATGTAAGGGAAGAACCAGAACCAATTGAAAATGCGCCATCGCCGTCTCATCTTACAGAGCACGAATTTGCCATTACATCCTGGAGTGATGAAGATGCAGCGGGCGAGACAGATCACGAGCATCTAGCAACGGCACCCTTGACTGACCAGATGGGGCCTGCGTCCAATCATGCACCTGCCCCTATCCCAGTTCCCTCCGGTCAGGAATTATTAGAGATAGCAGGTTTGAAGTCGGATGCAGCCGCGCTGCCTGACTTCGAAGATGAAGCGAATGTCGAACGGCCGCCTCAACCCACGAATGCTATCTCGGTAGACACTCTTGCTGATGACGTTCCTACCGAAGATGCAGCCTCCCCGGCTACCATGACCGTGGAAGATGAAGCGGCACGAAAAAGGTGAGATAATGTTGTAGAGTGTAACCAGACCTCGCTTGAATGACATGTCTTTCTAGTCTTGCAGAAGCTAAAGAGCAGCTGTTCCCGTCTGTACAGACTACGGCTTCGGTGACATCCATTTCAAGCTCATCATGGAAGACGTCAAAAGACAACACTATCTTTGGACCAATGTGCGGCTTTGCTTGTTTTTTCCTCAGTGGTGTGCCATCTCACGCCTGAGTAGGTATAAGCTACAGGAACCAGCTAAGCTTGCTCGCTTAACATTGATACAGGGTGAAGATTTCTGGGGCAATAATACAAATCTGTCAGCTCCGCTCGCGGGCCTAACGGCTCCCCTTCATTGGCGTACAGCGTTGGAATTTCAGCCTGTTTCCTGTTGGAAGGTCTATATGCACCGTGTCGCAAGAAAAATGTAAGTGGTTCGGCATCGCTCCTTTTGATACCATTGAAATAAATACTTATGCAGAGAATTGCCATTTCCCCTTCCACCGCGGCAGAATTGGCCAGAGCAGAATTGGCTGCAGCTACTCAACATGCGAGTGGCACCGAGGTGGGCAGTTCACTGCAACACAGTTAACCTGCAGCGGGGGCACAAGCGTCTCAAGGACAACCAATACAAACACATGTCCCGACTGACGAGTCGGGAGACATTCCCTATATAGGAGTGAGCTGCTGTGGACTAGTCTTTGGATTTCGCCGTCCCCCTTCGCATCAGGCTAAATTGCTGAAACTGTCAGCTACATTCGTCCGTATTTCTTAGCTCTCCTAAAAGGTGCGTCGTCCTCAGATTCCCGTTGTACTGTGTTGGTAAGTGAGAACAGGCATAAACTATCGTTGTCTTCGGAGATTCGGGAGCAGGTTCAAGCTCACTATCAACCTCGTGGCGGGACGGCAGGTGGCGCATACATCTCCTGACACGCAGCGCTACGCTCGTTGACTGTCAAACGATCTCCATTTCCATGTAGCACTAAATTATACAGCAGGCCAAGTTATTTCTCCACGCCCAGTAGCACATTCTAACATAAACGTAAATCCCCGATCTGTCGTACGTGAGATGCTCTCACCTTGTTCAGTCTTCAGCAGCTCGAGAATTACACCGCGCCGCTCGACTCCAACGGTTCAAAAACCCTCTGAGCCTCCTCCACAACCCCACCCTCGCCAACCCCCGCCCAATTTCCTCATCCACCGGCATCCTTGGCTGATCCACCACATCCACTGGTACATCTGGCCGATCCGCCACAACAAGCCACCTTCGCCCTCGTCTGCGATAGACTTGCGGTGTTGTTGGCAAAAGAGTCGGGATTCCGGCCATTTCCTATTGATCGATCACGTAAGTGATCCGCAATCTACACGACATACAGGTCACTTACAGGATCGTGAGGGCCCATCTTCTCAGTTGAGTTCGCGATGTATAGATTGATAGGTGAGTGGTCTGAACTCGCATTTGCCACGGCGACTTCCGACATTTTCTTTTTTTAGACAAGCACCGCTTTCCTAACCACCAACCACGAGCATGGCCTCTAGGATCAACGGCGAAATCCTCTGCGCAACAAGCTGAGAGGACTGCAACCTCATCAAGCGGCGGTTTATGAGGATTTCGGTATGTTTATTATTGATGTTTCAATGTAATTCATTTTGACTGTTTCATCTCAATCTGGCCTTGGACTCGAAGCGTGGTGCACCAATGAGTCGGCCAGGTTCGACGGTGTCATATGCTCGTAATGAACATTTGAATACAGCCCTTTATGCTGCTTCGCCTGCCCCAGAGCCAGCTATCGCATCCCATTCCTCGATGTCCCACCAGGAAGAAATGGAACGCTTTACTGTAAGCATGCCCTCCATTTTACACCGTCGGAAACCTGATCATTGCGCGCAGACGATCCTGAGGGACCTGGAGAGCCTAATCATTCAGTTGCCCATCCAATCACTGGCTGCCCTTCCTCCCAATCACGATCTTCGTCACCTTGTTCGGCAGATCCTGTTTGTCGCAGCGAATTCCATGGACCACAACCGCACTCCCCTCCATATGTCTCAGAAGATTGTTCGGCTGCTGTACAAGACAAGTTCCCAGCTTGGCAGAGAGAGATATACGTTGCCTTGTTGGAACAGTTGTGCCGCTCGTTTGAAGATGTTGCTAAAGAGGCTATTACATGGCCGCTGCTCTATGCGGAGGATGAGGTTGGTCTCCAAGTACCTCTTATATAGTCACCGCTCACATCGCTTCAGCGCAAACTTAACATTCCTGTCACTGTGACTCTGCTACGCAGCGGATTTATCAGCACTTCGCTTCAGGATCAACAGCTGGCGAAGAATTTGTTTACTGATCTTCGCCCCAGTTTGCAAAACTTCGCAGCGGGTCTCATTTGCGAATGTCTATCAAGTGATCCCGCGGTTGCTTCCCAGAGTCAGTTGGCATTTTCTATTGAAGTTCTTGGACAGTTAGCACAGGCTGGCGATGCCAATGAAGGGTACGTTGTGTCCGAATTCAGTGTACTTATATGTTAACCAAAGTACTAGGGTGATTCGCATTCTTGACGATGTTCGAGTTGTTCGTTCGTAGACCCACGACGTTGCCGACAGATGACATGGTGGTCCGTCAGCCCTCAAGCCAGAAACCGAGCAGCTCAAAAAAGTCGTTCAGCCAGTCCCAGCAATGGGTTTTCATCTTCCAAAGGTCTCAGTCTCCGGAGAAAGCTTTCGGCGTCCCCTTCATCTCCCAGCTCACGAAGCAGTGAATTTTGAAGGTCAGGATATTCCTTCATTCTTCTTCCGGCAAACGGAGAGTTCGACTACGTTTTCCAAGCTCTTGATGCGATGTCGCGACTGGTGATTGTCTATATCATCAAGTATCATGGCGACACTTCCGGCATCGACAACGGCCCGGTGAAGGTTCAGTCATCCCAGAAATGACCGTGCCCTCCGCCAACTTGACCATGTCATCGGTTCCGATTTGTCTTACGGGTATGTGTTTTCTTCGATGTGTCCTTCATTTGGACATCTGACCAATCGGTATCGGCTCCTCGTCTTATGCAGGATGCTCTTTGTCCACCTTTCCAGGCGGACAAGCCATAATTCTATCTCCTCATTCTTTGTGTCGGTGGTTATAGAAACACCGGATTCTCAACAGAATTTGTCGACTACAGCAACTTACATGGTTCGGCCCCACGTTCATACCATCTCCCTCCCCTAAGTACGACTCAAACTTTCGGACTATCTGCAACCCCTGAACAAACTAATGCTTCACTCCCAAGAAGGCAAGAAGGCTTCGGAGTCACATCATCGCATCCCTTCCATCAGTCTTCGGAAGTATTTCTGTTCGATCCGCACTATCGATAGGCACATCGCCCATCGCGGTCATTTGGGCGTAATCGTCAATTGTGGCTCTGTGCATTATCTCCTTGGTATGGCTCTGCAATCTCGGCTCAGCGTGGCTCTGAGTATTCTCGGCTTGGAACGGATCCAGACCACTAGTACTCCGCCTCAAACTCCAGACCCATTTCGAGCATCCGAGTCGGGCGCACTGCGATGACCTCAGGAGCCCGGCACGGACGCCATCCAACACCGATGGACGCAGATGCGGCTATTCATCAGAATTACAACTACAAGTGCACTGAAGAAAAATACGAACCATGAAACATGAGGTACAAGTACAAATACATATTCACCACATGACGCGTTATACCACAAAACACTACTTACTATGCATGGTAAAAGACGGTACGATGCAGATTGCGAAATATGTTTATAGCGGTACTGAGAAGGACGATAACGACACACGTGATGAAAAGGGCTTCAATGAATGGAGCACCATGTGTCTGGAACGTTATAGGGGCTGAAATGGACCTTGTACTTGTTCCCACGGAGTATTGCTTATGTTAGCACAAATCTTGGAGATCAATTCAGTCAGCACTGTGTGACTGCCCAATGATCGCCATCAGGTAAATCATATTTTCCAGTATCTCATTTTGGTTGTCGCTGACAATCCCGCAGCGACACATTCAGTTCTTTGCAGCCCACCTACTAGTACTTCCCTGGGTTCGCGTTCTCCTGGTTGTCTTGTTTCGCACCGACTCTTCCGAGTCATGCCGAAACTGCTGCTATCCGAAAACCGCAAGGTGAGATATGAACGTCTATTTCAAGGATCTTTTTTGACCTACTAATTCTGTCGGGGCTGGTTCGCGCCCCACAAGCTCCTTCTCTCCCTCTTTAAGTTTCTGGCTCCATTCTTGAAAGAAGCTGATCTCCAACTCGCATCTCGTGATCTGTATCGCGGCTCCCTCCGATTCCTCTTCGTCCTTCATGATTTCCCGGAGTTCCTTAGCAAATACTAGTACTTTAGTCTCTGCGATGTCATCCCTCCGCGCTGCATCCAGCTTCGCAATATCATCCTCAGCGCATTCCCCATGTCTATCATCCTTTCTGACCCCCATCTACGCAATATCAAATTCGACTCGATTCACAAATTGACGTAATGTGTAGGACAACCCCCTACCTCTTGAGCTCCATGGTTCTCCATCTGCGATATCCCAACGCCCATACCCATTGGTTCAGCTCTTTACTTCTTCAGCTCTTTGTGGAGGTGAAGGATGATCGCTTCCGTGAAGTGATGACTTGAGTCCTTGTGGAACGCTTCATTGTACCATCGTCCTCACCCCTAGGGTGCTCTGGTTACCTTCATTGAGTTGCTCCGCAATTTGAAGTACGAGTTCTGGAACAAGAGTTCATTCGTGTCGCATCCGAAGTCACTATGCTGCTTGAGAACGTGAGTCGCCGTGCTGTTCAGTTGAAACTCTTACTCAACTTTCATGTTGCAGGTCGCGAGGTCCATCTATCAACCATAGACTCGCTTTGTCTTTGTTCCTCTTATCTGTCGCGCATATCTGTTTCTTCTTGTTCTCCAATTGCATCCACTGTATTGTATCAACCTTTCACCGTCTTCAAGTGTTGAAACAAGGTGTAACATGAACTTTGATTATAGCAAACCTTCTCCACAACTTAGCACGCACCTGTGGCTTGTCGATGTTTATAACGCCCTTTAAAAAACTCCTTTACATTTACAATACTATGTACACCTATGGGCATTCTATGCTAATTAAGCCATGGCATGCGAGCGTCGAATCCCTGCCCGCCATTGTTTGACCTGCGAGCTGATCTCAATGTGATATCAGGTTGCCGCCGTCGTATCAAATGTACCATACTATTTCATCCAATTGTATTACCAGTAGCAAACGCCAACAGTGCCGCGGCTCGCGAGATATCTGCACGCTGTGCGCTTGGCCTCGAGACTCGGAGACCTGATGAGTCGAAATAATAAGTGCATATCATTGTAATTGACACAATATTTGAACCCCAATATATAGCCTTGTAAATCCGAAATAAATGCGGGAATACGGGGATGCTCAACGAGTAGGATCTAATTACGCTATCATGCCTTGCCGGCCGCGATGATGCAAAGTCATAACCTTGTCGGGAACTCCCATATGATTCTAGATTGGATGACAAGCACTAAAGGCACTTCCCACGATAAAGCCTTGAATAAACTTGTAGTTCAAAACATATATATGGGAGTATGATATTCTTCCACAAGTGGGACATAATTAAGCTATTGTACGTTGTCGGTCGTGATGGTGCAATGTCGCGACAAGGTCGCGAATTCCTTATGGTAATCTAGATTTTCAGACATCCATGGCTATGTACCGATAACTCAAATTTTTCGCAGTATATATACCCATAGTTAGCGGGAGCAGAATTGTAGTGTCCTATAGTTCCCACGGCCACCATATCAAGGACTGACCGGTTCTCTGATGGCCTATGTGAGTGATGCACCGTTGTCTAGTCTCTGAATTCATGGTGTGGACTACAGCTATTGAATTCTGCGCACCACCCTGAGTCGGGCGAGCTTTTATTTATTTTAACGTGCGTAACATTTTAAGTCTAGTGGGAACGTTAGTGCTTCAGCAAACGCCTTAATGGACGATTGCATCTGACGTTGTGTAGTCGATGTTTTGGGGTGAAGTCAGCGTGACACCTCACTCTATAAATTCGAGGTCTTCAGAGCAGAAAACTCATGCAGAAGACTGATTACAAAAAATTCTGTTCTATGACAGCGAGGTATGCGTTGCGGGAATTCTGCGTACTACGTACTGAATGCGACGGGCCCAGTGTGTTAGAAGACGAAAAACAGATCTCTCTTCATCATGAGCCACCCGGGAACGTAATTTCCAGTCGCTGAAGCCCTGACGTAGAGTCTGGAATCGGGAAAAAACTTCGTCCATGTTCGGACGTTGCGTTGGATCTGAGTGCATCATGTCCGATACCAGACCGCTCAGGAATTCCACGCCTGTGTAATGCTGTTTGTGCAAATCAGAGGATGAAAAACGAGATGTCACGGTTGCACTTTACATCGAGAAAGGTTTCTTGGATGGCATGCCCAAGATACCAAACATCAGTTGGGAAAGGGTTCCGAGGTTTAAAATTGTCTTCCTTGAACTCGGGTACGTCTTTATCCCCACCAAATATCGGATCTTCCAATGGGTCGATGTTCGACGCCTCGTATTTGCGAGAGATACCAAAGTCTATATAGTAATATCGTGGCGGCGACTGCGTGCGCGTGCGATGCCTGGCTGGGCGTTTGAGGTCTGCCGACATATATTGTTCACTTGGATGCCATGCATCTATGAACATGCTACCGTCCATCAGTATGTTTAGCTGCATACAATCGCTATGTCCAGGTCATGAGACTAGTCACTCAACCAACTCGGATACGCACCGGTGAGCGACGTGATGCCTGTGCATAAAGCGTAGCCCCTTCGAAAATAAGAAAGAAGTTATCATGACTCAGTAAATCAAAAGCTTACCTCAAAAAGCTGGTGAAGGCAATCAACAACTTCTCCGACCGTGTCGAAGAAAGGATCCGTGGCATCTCGGAGTAACGGCATGACCAATATCGCAATATCATTATTGGTGGGCACCTCCAGAACGTCGTAAATTGGCACGCAATGGTTGGCTAAATCTTCACTATGAGGTGAGCTACAGAAATAGCGACCAATTTCTATCTCATAAGGGTGTCTGGGTACGATTATAGATTTCAGTGAAACGCGAGCGCCATCATGAGTACGCCGTGCATCCAGCAGACGATAGTGCTGAAGGACGCAAGGTCATCGAGTCAAGTTGCTGTCATCGAGGACACATATCACATACTGGTGACCTGATTCCATCCTCGCAATCAATGGGATCTTTGTTGGTGGTCGCCCACGAGGGCACCCAGTCCGGACTGTAGCGACCCCGTAGCATGTAGCCTTTTTCTTTGAGAAAGTTGTAGTGGTCCCTCCACCAAATCTCGTGTTCAGAAAGATGTGAATGAACTGCAGATGTTGATGCCATACTCGAAAATAACTGGCTGAGGTGTGGCGTAGTACACACACGACGAACAAACATGGACCTGCATAGATAAATAACATTCCATCGCGCAATGTTGAATAATGATGATCATAGGGGTCGGCTCACCATGATGAGTTGCGGGCAACCACAATTTAAACTCCGCCAATTATGTATCACACAAGTCAGGTTTGAGTCAGGTTTAGACTACTCCGCGAGCCTAGAAAGCACAGTTGCATTCTCGAGGAGCGACGACCAATCCTCACGATCAATAGGATTTGAGGTGGCACTTTGTCCTTAGTGCTCCACGCAATGGGTGCCAAGTATGGGCGCATTGCACTGGCTGGAGCGGCTGTGCGAAGCTGATCACGACCCTCACCAAGGTGGCAAGTACTGCAAATTGAACTTGAAATTGAGGTCATCAATGTTTTCGAAGATTCTCGAGTCTTGGTGACTTTTTCAGACTCCAATGAGTTGGTCCAGGAGCCTCGTTATGCCACTAGTGGCACCGCATGCAGCATGGCAAACACAGCCTTTCTCTGAGTTTCTCCCATTTACTCCAAGAGCTTCCAAGTAAGTCACTAGTAACCGTCAGTAACTGCAAGGAGTCAAACCAAACGTTCCTGTGGTGAATTCCTCGTCGTCAAGGGAGCACCTCAGTCAAGTGAGTATACTGCTTTTGTCCTTTCTATCGACCCGTACTAATGAAATTAGTACTGGCAGGGAGCAACCATGCAGCGCTTACAGTCCATTCAACATTCACTCTTGACCCCCTCTGTCCGTTGTCTTCAGGCTCTCAGTCTGGTGTCTGCACATAGTTTAGCCGTCGCGGGGGGTTTGGGAGGAGGCGCTCTTGGTATCTTGGTTTTTTGGCTACTGGTCCGCAAACGCAAAACGAATGTCGCATCTAATGGGACCTCTGAATCTGACCCCCTCCTACTGCAAGATCAAACACGAACTGATCTTCAGGTGAGGAACTCAGTGTCCTTATTACCAACGCAGCAGACTCATTGGAGAGGTTGAACAGATGGACATCACTCCAGACGCACCACTCTGTTCCATTTGTGCAGAGTTAGATCTACACCAGATTCTCCTTGATGACATCCCAAGGGATAATGCGATTCCGCTCGGCTCACTCTCATCCATCTTGAAAAAATCCGACCAATGCGGATTCTGCCACCTCGTATCCTTGGTCGTCCGTCGAACATGGATCCTGGACAAGTTTCCTCATCTCGATCTCTCAGGGATTGAATGTGGGCTGTTCTCATTAGATTGCGGCTGTCTTCGGAATCCCATACCCGAACCAAAAAAACTTTGCCACCGCCTCAGCATTCACACATCGGATCGCCCTCGGGAGATATATTCAGCTCTCATGGCAGCACATTCCAGATTATCGCTAGAAATTCAACTGATGGAAGAAGACGCGTTCAAGTTTGAAAGACCGGCCGACCTTCATGGTCGCAGAGTGAACGATACTGTGGATGTCGGCCTGGTGAAGAAGTGGATCGGATTATGCGAGGAAGGACATGGAGACATATGTGAAGGTGCCTGGTGGCTGGGCGACGACAGGAGGTTGCCGGAGTTTATGAGAATGGTGGATGTAGTGTCAATGGCCGTGGTTCCGGCACCTCCTGCCTGTCGTTATGTCGCCCTCAGTTACATGTGGGGAGGTATTGGAGCGGAGTATTGGACGACGAAGGATAATATAGGAGAGCGGTCCACGCCTGGCGGGTTGAACATGGCAAATGTCCCCGATACCATCGTAGATTCAATTCAGCTCGTTCGACAGCTTGGTGAACGTTACATCTGGATCGACACGTTATGCATCATTCAAGATGATCTGAAGGACAAGATCAAGCAAATACATGCCATGGACTTGATTTACGGCGGATCTTATTTCACGATATGTGCTGCTGGTGGCGCATCGGCTCGCGACCCTCTTCCAGGATATCGTCCACGAACTAGAACGCCACAGCAGCACATCGAGGTCGTCCAAGGACTTCATCTTTCTGTACCTTTGCCAGTACCTATCGAGGCACTCACTCTGTCCGCATGGAGCACGCGTGGTTGGACCTACCAAGAGCTTATGCTCTCCTGCCGAAGGATATATTTCACCGGGCAGCAAGTCTACTTCGAGTGTAGACGCGATATCTTCTGCGAAGACCTCGTTGCTGAAAGCATGCGCCTCGCATCGTCCACCCAACCTTTACGGTATAGCGGTGCAGGAAACATCGCATTCCCTCGAAAATCGCCCATGGACGTCTATCTCACGAGTTATATGTCTGCCATTGAGCTGTATACGCGACGCAACCTCACTGTGGAGTCAGACATTGTTGATGCTATCACTGCAATAACGAATGCCTTGGCAAAAAGTTTCAAGCTTGGTGGGGGTGACCCCGCCAAAGCCTTTCGCTTCGGAATGACGTTGATGGACCTGGAGCACGCGCTTCTCTGGCAACATGATCCACACATGCCTCAGGCTCGTCGTTCTCTGACCGACGAAGGCAGCTCACAGTGGCCTTCTTGGGCATGGGCTGCGTGGCGTGGCGCTGTTCGCTACCAGGGGGGAGGTGTGTATGCCTGGATAGACACTCATTCTAACGGGCCAAGAGTGACGGAAACGCTTATTGATTCTTGGTACCTCGTGGACCATGATAGTGATACAGTGCAGCTTGATGTTCGGCGCACCCACCGGGCCTATGTACTTCCCATTCCACAGGAAGCAATGAACCCATATCATTCCCCGCAAGGGAACCTAGACCCATCACACCTAGCTCTAGATATTCATCGACCGCTGGAGCCAGGCACCCTCATTTTCCGCACGACGTCCAGCCGCTTTAAAATTATAAAGCGAGGTGAATCAAGTGCACGGCTCTACCACGATCTCTTCAATATTCTCTCCAGTGCACCTTCCCCTTCCACTTGGGTTGGCAGTGTCATCCTGCCATTAGACCCTGCTCCACCCGCTTCTCTCGAGTTTATCGTCCTTTCCCGTACTAGTGCGTCTCCTGGCGTGTACGATGAAGAAAGTCTTGGAAAGTTCTATGGTGGATGCATGTTATATGTGATGGCGGTGAGTCAGAATGAGGGTTTGATGGAGCGTGTTGGGTTGGGTATCATTCATGAAGCTGCCTGGATCGCTTCAAGCGCGCAGGAGAAGGTGGTGTTTCTTCGATGACAGTCACGTACTCTCGATGTTGTTGAAGAACGACATGCAAAGTTATTTGCATTTGGGGTCATTGACGATTTGTACGAAGTTGTACAGTTGTACTTTCTGGCTCTCTGTCCTTGGATGACGAACATCTTGATGACGTATACAAGACTGGTCCAATGTGAGAGGGCTCATGAGTAGGATCTCACCCAATGCGCTATTACGGACAAGCGGTTCCATGCCAACAGGGTATGTCTACCCGTAAAACATTGGGGAGGAAGTCCCGAAACACTCCCGTCTTGAATGGCAAAACAATATTATTATTGGATCGTTCTACGATTCCCAGAGTTCGATCGTGTGCCCTATCTATCACTAGCCCGCGGATACAAGTACATTCCAGTCCAATGTTCATAGTAGTGAAGCAGAAGATATATGTGCGAAGCTGCGAATGGTGAAGTGAGGTGGTAATCTACGCAACAGTGCGTTGGAATGGGCTTAAAGTAGCTTAGCAAACAGATGTTTGACGATAAAAAAAAAACCAAATAAATTACATACAGTTCTTCATGGAGAGAAGCTCAAGTGAGCCGGTGTACCAGCAAATCTTTCATTGCAATGCGCACGCTCCCCTGGAAGGGCAAACCCAAAAGATCCATTCCAGTAGTTGTGTCTTCATGATCACGGAACGGTAACCCAAGGATGTGTACCCCGACATCAGTAGTTCCCTGCAAGCCAGCCAATGCGCCATGGGAGCCGAACACAACCTGCAACCAATTCTACGTGAACAAGGTTGCGCAAAAAATTAATACTACACAGACCTTGCTGATGAAATTGCTGAATTGTTTCTGCCGACCAGGAAGCACCTCCAACGGTACATCGACCATATCTGCGGTGACTGCGAATATGGAGCCTTCTCCTTCAGCGTCGACTTGAATACTTGTCGCTTCCAGCCAATCTTCAGGTTGTATATGACCAAACGCGCGTTCTGGAAGTGGATTCGGTAATTCTTCTTCCTCTTTATGTTGGGGCAAAAGAAGAGAAGGCGAATCATGGACTTCCCCATCGAAGACCAGAACATCAGGAAATAGCCGGGTAACATCCAGTGTAAGGTCCATTCCTTTAGGAAGCACTATGCGACCGAACACCGTACCACTAGCAAGAAAACCGTTGCCTGCAGAGTTGGGTTTGATCTTCATGTCATGAATTGTTACATTGCGGAGTATTTGTGGTTTGGAATTGGGGGGCGGAAATTCCATCTCCACCGCGAAAGATGGGAATAGTGGACATGCGACAAATACGGGATTAGGTTCGAGGGAGAGGTATCTACTTATGAAAGCGGAGATGGATGCAGAAGGGTGAGGTGGCAGGGGGATAACGCTGCCGGAGATAGCGAGCGTGATGTTGGGGTGGGTCAGCGTGAATGGGTCGGTGTGGACCGATGCAACTGGTACTGATGAATGATTTTCGCCCGGGAGCGAAATGATGAATGGAAGTGAGGGTGCAGTTAGATTCATTATGGATGGCACGGGATTGATGACAGTCGCAAGGGCATGCACAGTCACGTCTTTAGCTTCAGACTCCACGCCGAAAGACTGCAACGTGATCAGCTGCGAAACGGATGGTAGTGGTACGTCCTCGCCTGGGGTGGGCAAGCCAGGGATCGGCGGAACTGTTGGTATTGCTGTAACAATCTCAACCAATTAATAGATAATATAAAGACTCACGCTTCATGGACAGCTGAGTTTGTATATTTAATCTCTGGAGCCTGAGCATTCGCCTCCAACCGCCTTTGTTCGTTGAGCCCCCTGAGACGACCACGCTAGGAATAGAAGCATGTACAGACGCAGCACCGGAATGCCAGGAATCATGTACGAATTGGTTCATATCGGACGCGTTGCGGGTGGGGACGACAAAAAGAGTTAAAGACAAAGGGGATAACCACGAATCACCATACGGGGGATTCACGGTGAGAGGAAGTTCAAATGGTGGGGAATCGATCGTGGCTAAGAGTGCATGTCGCTGAGAGAAGATTTGAGCGGTAGAAACATCCACTGTAACTCTATCCAGACGCTTGACGCTCCAGCGACCGAATGACTTCCACAAGTCGTAGAATGTTCCCTCGTCATTATCCGTATCGACTCCCATGATTGATCCTGCATCGATTCCGACTCTTCCTCGCACTCGTATCCATGTCCCGCCGTCTGCTGTGAAGTTGAGTACGTTCACCTGGTACGGCCCTTGTATCACCAGCGCATTCTCTAAGACGTCTTCTGGGGACACGTCCGACAACCTGGCAGCATAGGAGTATGCCACCAGAGCAAGCAGCAGAAATATTACGATGCAGAAAGCCAGAGATGACAGGAAAACAAATGTAAGCTTGGACCAAAGCCTTTGCCGAGCGTCTGAGCTGCTTTCAATGTCAACATCTTCGTCGTCAGTAACACGTGGTTGACTGGGAGCAACGTCACTGTGGTGTAGTAGCAGGGGTGTTTGTTCTGAAGGTTCAGGATGCCTGGCCTTTCCTTTTCCCTTTAGCATACACGGGGGAGAACCGTCGTTTTCCGCCAATGTCATGAGAGCAGTGCGTCAGGAGTGATAGTGGAGTACTACGGTATTACAATTCAAGAACCTGCTCTGGGGCCTGGGCCGTACTAGTACGTCCAAAAAAGGTCCGAAGTGAATTAGTGTGCAATCCAAATGCAATCACTCTCTGAGCCATCAGCAAAACTCCCCAAGGTATATATAGACATATATACACGTGTAGCCACTGTAACACACTGTAACGACTGTGACTAATATCTATAATAGAGCCTAAAATACATACGAATATACCGAATCGATTTTTTGTGATATGGTCACAGCCACATTCCAGACCGCGTGATATACTCGCCGCCATGTTCCAGAGTGCTGTATGATTGCATCATCTTATATTTAGTTATAACATCAGATCACAGTGATATCCCATAATAACCACCTATCATTGAGCTATACTAATACATGTGGTATGGTAGAATATAATCTAATGTCATAGTGGTAACTGCGTACCGATCGCCTGGACACGATATAGCAAAAAAAGCATATGAGTGATGTCATTGAAGACTGCAATGAAAAAAACGAGACATGCGGGTCCATGAGAGCACGAGAGCAGAAGAGTACTGTAGAGTTCGTCAGAGTAGTACATGGGCAGATGAGCCGGGTGATGCAAATGCGAAAGGAGACGGTAAAAATGATGTGGTAGAGTGAATCCTAATACGATCGAGTGAAGGTTATAAGTATTGAACAGACTACGAGACAGTTGTGACTCACCTTGAATAACTATTTCTTTGCCTTGCGTTTTGGAGTCTTCTTCGGTGGAACAGCAGCATTCTTTCGTTTGCGCTTAGTAGGTCGAGTGATCTCTTCATCTTCTTCAGTAAGAGGGCTGTTATCATCGAAAAGGGCTGATGCGGAGACTTGCTTGCGCTTGTGTGAGTTATCAGGAGGATTGGGAGTAGGGGGGCGTGCAGGTAAGACTTCTTGCGCCTTGCGCGAGTCGACAGGAGGATCGGGGGTAGGGGAACGCACCAACTGTTGAGGAGACGAGGGAGGCAGTGGTGAGGGTTGCTTGTCCTCGCGAGGATTAGCCAGTGCTTGGGCTATTGGAGGATCTGGAGTGGGCGATCTATCAGGGGGAGGTAAGGACTTGTGACGCGACTCTTGTTGCCTGTCGAGTGCCGAAGACTGTGCAGATACCGTCTCTGAGGATCTTGAAGCCCGTGCAGCCCGCGCGGCAAGTTGCCGTTCCATGGCGATCATATCGTCGTCCTCGGAACACTCGGCATTCGCAGAATCACAGGGTTTGGCACCGTTTTCATTGCCAAACAATTTTCTAGATCCACGAACGTGTTAGATAAGATAATAGTGTAGAGAATCACTTACTCATTATAATGTCCTAGCAGGGAGTTGACCCACCCCTCGTCCTTCCTCCCCCGAATAAGATTTACTATCCTGGTATAAAAGTCAGTATAATAGAAAAGGCCGTCATGGTCTTTCCATTTCTCAAGCGAGCTAATAGCAAAGCGAGCCTGTAAAATACAGACTGAGTAAGTCAAGGGTGCATCAAACGAAAAACTTACCTGAACCGCGGCATATGCGATATGCTCGGCCCCCACTTCTTTCATCCCATGGAGCTTCGCATTGCAAGCGCGAGTTCCGCTAGAGATGCCAGCCTTGAGTGCAGATGACGGAGAGGTGAAGATATGTTTAGTAACCTGTATGTATTAGAGTAGCCCAATATAATAAAAACAAAACCTACCCGCTCCAAAAGATATCCGCGAAAAAGCCCTTCAATAATGTCTTCCGGGTCAAAATCTTCGCCCGCAGTGTTGCCTGGATAGAGAAAGGCGGGCCATAAGGCAGCGGTCACCTTTAATGACGCGCTATCGAACTTGTTCTTCATCCTGTAGATATTACTGTTAGTACAGATAACCTGAGAAAAGTAAACATACCCATGCGGATCCTGGATGTAGTCGACCAGATACTTGACTGGACAAAGCAATTTGCCCAGCTGGGTGTGATTAAAACCCATTTGAGCACGGCTCTTGCTGTCGTCAGTGATCGGAGGACGGATGAGTTCTTTGTCAGGGTTTGGAGCGGCGTATGAGCCCATGCGGGACTTGAGGCGACTTGCATCCTCCGAGCGCGTATGATTTATCATGTTTTGCATCTGTAAATACATAGTTAGTTGCAATTGATGTAAAAAAAACATGCGTACCTCGCCAATGAGTTGCGCGAGCTCCTCGCGTTTTTTCCTCCTACCGATCAGAGTCCCAAGATAAGGGGCGTGTTCCATGACGTATTCGAACGTCCGCTTGTACCGTGCACGAGTGATATTGTCACTGAAAATTATGTTAGCATAGATATATGTAGTTAGAGTGCGCATATATGCGGTCAGAGTGCGCATATATGCAGTCAATTGGACATACCAGGTGTCCAGAATCTTCCTGCGGGCAGCCTTGATGTGTTCTTCTTCCGTTTCATCTCCGTCCTCGGCCTCGGCAGCTTCTTCTTGCTCCAAAAGTAGACTTACCTGGATCGCCTGCTTGAGATCGCAGAACATATCAAGTCCGCGTGGGATCCAACGTGCAACGTGGATGCACTGCTCCCGCGGCGTAAGGACTTTAGTGCGTGATCTCCTATACTCTCATCAAGATCAATATTAGATCGCGTAAAATTGAAAAACCTCACCGTTGTGTTTTTTCAGCCTTCTTTTCGGTTCTAACTGGGCTATGCATCCTATAGGTAAGCTCTGTTTGGGACAACCGATATCTTTGAATGACTCACCTGGTCTTTTTGGACTTAAGTCCATTCTTATCAGACGCGTCTCTTCCACGTTTCCCGGACATCCGAGGCAGTGGTGTGCTTGGGAGGGTACTCCCTTCCGATGTCGAAGATCCCGCAGATGACTCAGAAGAGGAAGATGATGAAGTAGAATTGGCGCGATCGTGACGCGCCATAGTGGTGGGAGAGATAAAGATAAGGACGCGTTGTTAATGTTTGTTTGTTAGATTTATCAATAACATATCAACACCCCTGAATAAGGCAACACCACCCGTTTGCTGGTGAGATGGGAAATTTGCTGAATTTCACGGAAGTACAATTGAGCAAGAACAAATGATATAGTACATCTACAGCACAAGAAAAAAAATTACAAGGAGGCCGCTGGATCTTCTACTGACATCTCCTCCTGGTCCTCCTGTACCTCGGTCCTTTTCTTGATGTAGTAACTCCATGGCGCAGTGGGATTCTCGGGATCCGGATTGGGGTTTCCAATACGCCTGGTGAGAAGGCTGCAAGGGGATGCGACTACAGGCCTTGAGAAAGATCAGTCAATATTTGTAATGAAGGCGCTGGCAACTTACTCAAAGTCTGGACTGATCACTGCGTCGAGATCCTCATCTTCAACCTTAACCTCATTTATACCGACCTCCGCATCTTCCGTCTTCATCTCCGCGTCATCCCCGTTACCGCCGTTCTCCTCTTCATCGGATTCATACTCGGTGACCGAGTCATCTGAACCCGAGTCGTGATTATTGGTTTGCTGCCGGATGCGAAAAACTATTTTCTGTTATAAATTAGATTAGTTTGTAGATAGAGAAAAAAAAAACCTTGGGGCCGGGAGAATCTAAGTTGAGATTGAAGCAGTAAGTATTGTCTAAGGAGATGGTGTTTTGGATGTCGACGAATACGACATCCCCGAAGACGTTTACCACAGAGGTCCAGGCGTTGTCGGCAACGGTTACGTTAGACATATTGATATCAATGTTGATAAAGATAGCCACCACACCTTGACTTAATATAATCGGAAGATTCCGGCGGATGTTGAATTTGATATACCAGATATCCTCGATCATGATATCACCTTACTTCCGATCGTATGCCCTTATTTTCGATCGTATGCTTCAGTGAGCTACCACACATCCCACTCAAATGTCTAGGTGAGTAGCAAATCCTTGACACATCCCACTCAAATGTCTATTACAGATCCTACCACATATCCCACTCAATGTCTAATAGGTGAGTCGCAAATCCTCCACATATCCCACTCAAGTTTCTACCTTTCCTAGGACACCTTATCCTGAGATCCGCGAGATCCCACCTCCTCGGGGGTAAATATCCCGGCGATGATTCACAGGATACTCCAATGTGGAGTTCTGGCGACTCTCATCAACATGATCGCGCGCCGAGGATTTTGTAGGTATGTTCCATCGAGTATTTTACATGGTGTAACAGAATTAATGCTTAATTTCAGTTGTTTAATTAATGTAAATTCACAGTAGATGATCTGTTTAAATGATGATAGCGCTGGACAACTCAATTCTGCAACTAGTGAGGCCTCGTGAGGACGTGTCCCCTCTCCCCCTTATCCGCATTGTGTCCATGGTCAATGACCTCCGCTGCTTAGCTTGCAGCGCAACATTTGGTTCACGCAAGCAGCTGGCAGCGCATTCAGGTCAATGCGCTGACAATTTTGATCTTACTGATCAAATTTTCAGTCGGAAACGCAAGTCAGATAAGAAGAAGAAAAAAGACAAGCGGGCGCGTCGTGATCAATCCCCCGTGCATGTTCCTGAAGATGTTGTCATACCAGATCAGCCCGAGATTCAAGATCTCCCGCCTATCGATCATGAAGACATATTTTACAATGACGTATGTATTAATTTATTTCTACAGCAGGATTATACTAACTACACATTTACTAGATTGAAATGGGTCGTGCACCATCTCCCTCACCCCCACCTATTGTCTCCCAGCGCTCTGGACGGAGAATCCGCATGCCTGCGCGCTTTGCGGACTTCTTGCCGGGGTCAGCGACTCACCTTGCGCATATGCCGCCCTCCACCCGTCAGCAACGCGGACATGATGTCATCACGGATCAACATGCGGATCAACACGCGCCTCGTATGCCTTCCCCGGTGCAGTCAGAACACGATGCCCCCCCGCTTTTCATACCCTTTGAGACGGAACCTAATGCAGCAGGTCTCTACCGGGTTTATCCT